ATGGAATTCTAGTTGAGAAAATGTAATATGGAAAAACTGGAGAATCAAGAACTTGTGGATCAACAATTTTAAATATCTATATGACTAATTTAGATTTCGAATTCCTGCATTCTTAATCATCAATCAATTTGATGATGACATCAACATTAACTGAAACTCCAGATAATAAATCTTGGGGAATTAGAAATTTTTAATTATTTTATGGTGTTGCAAAAGATTGCAGTAACTCTATTATTGATTTCATAACTGTTCCTTCATTTATAGCAACTAGTTTTTTTAAATCTTCATCATTTTCACATGATTAGACTTAAAAAATAAATATTGAAATATCTGAACTTGGTATATCTTTGGAGCCAGACTTTGATCAAACTGTGACAGTAGATAAAGATTTAAAAAAAATGACAATCTCAGTTACATGGCCTTGCTTTACAAGTGATCTTAATTTTTCTTTAATAATTTAAAAAACTAGTTATCCAGATTATAAAACTATTACATCAAAATGTAGACATAAAAATTCTAATATTGTAAAATTGGTTTTGATTATAGAATGCATTATACCATTAGAATCTTAAATTAAATTATATGCTATCTTAATTTTATATTTTTATTTTATAATTTTGTGAAATAATTTGATTACAAAATTTTGATAATAATTATTTACGAATTTTCTTAAGAATTCAAGATGTGTAATTTAGCAAAGAGGATATATTGAAATAATCATATACCCTACTAAATTTAGTTTTTAGAATTATTTGATATTCATCTTTTTTACCTTAAAATAAAAAAGAAATATTTTAATTTGTATAAATTTAAGTTTTCCAAAGTTTCGATAGTTTTAATTCAATTCCTTTTTTTAAAAAAAAACCATTTGATGTTTTTTAATTTAAGAATTTGTTTTATAGCTTTTGTATTAAATAATAGAGATAAAAATGTTTAAATGAATTATCGATCAGTTTTGTCGAAAAACATTAAATTAAAAATAAAAAATAGAAATGTAAAACTTTTAATATATCTATGAATATTTATGAAATTTCATCATTATTTAATCACTTAATACTATTTTGAGATTATTTAGCTATTTCAAAAATTAATTAAGCGTTTTCATCACCAGTGTTTACAACTAATCTTGAAAATTCAGTAAATTTATCTATTGAGGTTGATTCGTTTGATAAAGCCATAAGATTAAATGGAGAATCAAATTCAATAATTTTTCCTTCTGACATCACCATTACTTTATCATAATCAGCAATAGTATTTAATCTATGAGCAATAGTGATTAAAGTTGAATTTGTGAATTTTTTTTTGATAATACTTTAAATAAGTTCATCTGTTTACATGTCAACATTAGCAGTGGCTTCGTCTAATACAATTATTTTTTTTTAAGTTAAGATAATTCTAGCTAAACATATCAATTACTTTTAGCCAACAGAAAAAATAGAATTGACATCTCCTATATCAGAATCTAAACCTTATGGTAAAGAATTGATATAATTAGTCAAATTAGCTTCTTCTAAAGCTTTCCATAATTGATCATCATTAAATTACCTTAAAGGATCTAAATTTTAGCGAATAGTTCCAGAAAATAAAAAAGGAGATTAAGGTATGATTCCTATGCTGCTCCTTAATTTTTATAATCCTAATTTTTGTATATCAACATATGCTATTTCTAATTTTGAATCAAAATTTTAATCTATTTCCGTCATTCTAAAAATAGCTTATAATATAGAAGATTTTCCAGCACCTGTTCTTCCTACACAACCTACTTTTTATCCACTTTTTATTTAAAATGTAAGTCCTTATAAAACATAAGGACAATTATCTCTATATTACATATGAATATTTTCAAAAGTAACATCACCATTCTTTGGAAAATCTTGATATTATTGATCTACTTTAGTTTTATGAGGAGCTTCTGGTTTTATTTCAATAATCTAAAACATTCTATTATATGAATTCATTTAAGTTTCAAAATTTATTAACTACCTCAAACCATGCTATAATCCATCATTATAAGTTGTTATCATCAATATTCCTTATGCTAATATAGCAAGATCATTATTATTTAAAAATAAAAATAAAAATATTCCGACTGTTGAGGCTATAAAACTTACAATATCTAAATTAAAACCAAAGCATCTAGTTGCATATTGATATGTTAAAGAATTTAAATTGCATTTATTTGACAAATCTAAAAACTACTTTCTAAACCATTCCCTTTAATTATAAACTCTAACTTAAGATATTCCAGAAAGAGTTTATTTTAAAAAATCAAACATAGGACTTCTTTACATTAATTCTAATTCTTTTAATTAACTAATAATTTTCTTCAAGAAAAAATATTAATAAGCATCAATCAATATTACAAAAACAATCATGATTAAGAAAAAAGGTTATAAAATTGCTAAGGTTATTAAAGAAAAACAAAAATATCCAATTATTTCAAGTACATCTAAAATGACAGTATTAGTTGAATAATCACATAAAGATAAATCATTTGAAAATCGGTTTATTATTCTACCTGATGGATTAATATCAAAATAAGATACTGGTGCCTTAGTTAAAGAATTTAACATTTTGTTATGAATTTTTTAGGTTGTATTTTAGACTTAAATAGAATTTAATAAATATTTCATAAAATTACATATTATTAATCCAAATGTCAATAGAATTAATATTAGAAATGCTTTATCTATTGAATTATTTTCTTGATAAAATTAAAATAAAGAGATGATTCTTGAATAAAAAATTACTAAAATATCTGTTCCAGCCTCAAGCACTAAGATTAAAATAAAAATAATTAATTTCCAATAGCTAAAATAAGTTAAATAAACAGTTTTATCAATTAATCTTTATTAATCTGATTCTTTCATAATAAGAGAATTTACTTTAGCATGTCTAATTCTAGATCTATGAGAAATAATAGATCTTTTAAATTATTTAGATTTTGGAGATGGGGAGGAACATAATTGTCCTGCTAATTCATCATTATTTTTCTCTATTTTAGTTTATAATTCTAAAAATGTACCTGACATAGAAATTTCTCCATTATTCATAATAGCTATTTTATCACATTCCACAGCATATTAGATTTAATGTGTTACTAAAATAACAATAGGTTTATTTTTATTAGGATTAATCATAACTTAATATTCAAATATGAATTCTTTAATACCAGTCTAAAACATATTTCTAGCAACATGAGCATCTACTGCAGATAATGGATCATCTAATAAATATAAGTCTGCCTATTAATATAATGCTCTTGCAAAAGATAATCTAGCCTTTTAACCTCCAGAAAGTGTTGTTCCTCTTTCACCTATATCAGTTTGATCATAAAATTTCATTTTTAATAAATCCTATTCTAATTATGATGCATGAATAACTTTTTAATATAATAATTTATCAAATTCTCTACCAAATAATATATTATTTCTAATTGTTCCTGGAAATATATAGGGTTCTTATTCAACATAAGCTATATTTAGAGATCCTCTTTTTGCATCTTTTCCATCTATCTTAAATTAACCTTTATATGAAGGCAATTCAAATAACAAAGCATTTAAAAAAGAAGATTTACCACTTCCAACTTTTCCAATTATTGCCCAAAGTTCACCATCTTTAAAATCCAATGATATATTCTTTAAAACTGGCCTAGAATCTAATATTTCTCGATTTAACCAAAATCCATCAAAATTTCTAAATTCTATTCTTGAATTACTAATACTTGAATTTATGTTTTAAGATTCATTATTAGTTATTTTTTCCATTTCACGATTTTTGATATTTAAAATATTTGCAATTCTCTCAAATGAAATTTTTATAAATATTGAAGATTGAATTGCGTAAGATACCATCATTACACAACTAAATTTGAAAAAAGATAATAATTATATGGTGGATATCATTTCTGCTACGTTCATGTTCTCTCTGTACCCACTATAATGTAAAATAATGAAGAAAATTAAGCTTGACCATATTTAAGCTATTAATGTAAATAATCGATCAATCGATGAACGTATTGCTATTTTTAATAAACATTTGAATTCATTTCTCCTTATTGATGATATTATTTAAAAAAATGCATCCTCCCATGCATACATTTTTATTAATCTTATTCCCTCAACAAATTCATTAGTTAATTTCAAACGTTTATCTTAAAATTATTTAGATTATCTTAATGTTTCTTAATTGAAGGATTACAATATAATTTAAATTGGATATGAAAGAAAGACTATAGCTAATACTAACATACCAATAGCTCCATTGAATCTTAGCCATAATATCAATGAACCTACACCAATTGAAATTAAAATAACACTACTTTATAATATCATATAAAGGACTTATTCAAGTTAATTTATATCTCCTGATATAAGATTTAAGATCTTACCAATATTAGCTTCCTTTATAGAAAATGAACTTAAATCAGTCAATTTATTAAAGACTATGTTTACCAACATCATTCTAGCTTTCGATGAAAATATCATTGAAAAATTTGAACCATGATGTCGAAATAAAATTCCAATAAAATACAAAATTACATATCCTATTGCATATTTATATGCTTTATTTAAATCTTTTTCTGAAACTGAATTTATTAGTAAGCTCATCAAAACTGAAATTCCATTTTTTGTTAATGCTTCGAGACAATAAAACAAACAGCTTAAAAATGTTAATATTTTTAATTCTCCAAAAAATACTAGCTTTACCAAATTGTATGTATGCACTTCATGAATATCATGTAACTTCTATTATGATTTTTCAACTGTATATTTTATATTTTCTGAAGGCGATAATTTTGGTAGATGCTTATCACTAATTTTTTCATTTTTATCCAATACATTTCTCTTTAAGAATAAACAGTAGGATGTAATATGTATTAGGAAAACTTTTTCAATAATATTTTTATTTTATCCAATATAATATGGATATAATTTTTCTTCTTCCTCTTCTTATTCTGGAATTGAAAGCATGGACTATTCTTAGTTCATATTAGGAGTTTATAAAGGTCTTTATTCAACTTATTAATCATCTTATTGATCAACCCCAAAAGTTGTTATATAATTTATAGTACCAACTTCTTTTTTTTGGAAAAAACTCTATTGATCTAAGTTTTCATTTTAAATATTGGTCAAAGAAGGATTGTTTATCATAAGATATACTTTTAATATAGTTCAAAATAATTAATTTTGAATGATTCAAACATTATTTTAGTTTATAAATCACATTTAATACAGAAATTTTATGCTTTATTTTTTTTATTTTGAGGATTTACAATTATTTCAAAAATTGTATTCTTAAGGGTCTTTTTTTTGATGATTTATGAAGCAAAATATATTCAAACAGACTTAAAAATAATTATCTAATTTTATAATAAATAATTTATTTTTTATATCTGAGAAATTAATTTGGTAAGCCAGATTATTGAAAGGAATCTGAAATGTTAGATAAAGTTTAACTGATAATTGGATAGATACTTTATAAAGATAATAATTTCATTATTCTCCTCTTTATTTCACTTAACTGTTATTTTATTTCTTAATTAAACTAAACATTTGAGATTTCATTAAAACCTAAAGAATCAATGATATATAATATATAAGAAAAGAAACTATAATTTCTGATGAATCAGTTAAATTTTGTGGTTAAAACCAATAATATCATTAGGTAGGAACAATTGTTGAAATCCTAACTCCATAATTCATATAATAATAATAATAATAATAATAATAATAATAATAATAATAATAATAAACTATTTGAATTATAAATGAAAAATTAGAATTTGATGCGTCTTTAAATTTAAATTTATCAGAACCATATCATGATGGAAATTAAATAATTTATGTTGATTAAAAATTTGACAATGATAAATCTTAATAAATCTAAGTTTAGTAAATTCATAATTGAGATCCTTAAAATAAATTTTATATTAGCCTATTAATATATGATTTCAGATATGGTTTATCGTAACATTTCTAAATGAAGATTAGATTTCTTACATTGCCAAAGACTCAATCCGATTAAATTGCTCCAGTACAACCTAGTAAATGCCATAAAGATTTACATTTTAATTTTAAGCAAAGACTTGGCTAAATTTCTCGTTCTTCTCTATTTCCATTTAGAATAATTCATTATTTCAAGATATTATCTTTAACTTTTTGATGTTCACCTAAATTTAAAGTGAAGATAAATTAGAGATCCGCTTCCAAAATTTATTAGCATTTCACGATAATCTACTTCATATACATTTTTTCAGCATTTCCTTATCTATTCAATGTCTAATCTTATTAAGGAGAAAGATTTTTAAATTTGAAGCTCCCAAAATTCCTATATTAATTAACATAATTTTATGATTAGTATCAGAAATATATTTAATATTTTTAAAATATATATATATATTATTATAAGATTATCTTACTTTCAAATAAAACTTTTTATACTTAAATGATGCTTTTAAGACAAATTAATGTAATTTAGAGTTTTTGGAGAAAGAATCGAGAGGGATTACTCCACAATTTAGTTTTCTATAAGAATCATGTAAAAAGTTTAAAATGGAATCCTCATACTATATATGATAGTATATCTGTGAAGAAATGAATATAATCGAATAATTTTTATTTATTATTAATTTATCAGTGATAGATATTAAAGTATTCAAATTATTCAAAAAAATGTATCTTTCAAAATTATTTTCAAGAATTTAAAAACCTTAGATGAATTTTATTCTTAAAAATAATAATTGCAGTTTAGGGTATTGGTATTTACAGAAGATAAAATTATTTAATAAATCATTATTAGATAATCCTCTACCCTATTAGTTTTCTCTACAATTATATCTAGCATTACATGAAACATTATATGTCTTCTTATTAATTTTTTATTTTATATCATTTTTTATTAACTAACTTATATCATGTTAGATTGATATTTATTTTTAAAACACTTATTCAGTCACAATACATTAATACACATTGATGTACAATTATATACAAAAATATTTCATGGATGAAAAAAAGTCATTAGCAAGTGCATTAAAGAATTATCTTAGACATCTAAACAAGGAAATTTTATATGATTCCTTTAAAATATGAAACTTTATCTTATTACTGAAAAATATATAAAATATAAATGAATGATTAAAGAATATAATTATTGAACCAGGTGAAATTTTCATTAATTGTTAAGCAAACAACATAAATTTTAGAGCATTTAGAATGCTTTGAAAATTATAAATGAATTAATTGATATTTTTTTCATTTATAATTACGCTTATCATAATATATATCTCATTTTCAATTATTAACATTTATGATATTTTTTTAATGATTATAATCGAAACTTTATAATTTATTCCTAAACAATGATTGAGATGATATCAATGCGGTCAAGGATCTTTATAAATGATTATATAATACTTCTACTATTCTAATTAAAATTTTGATATAGATATTAGATGATTTCTCAATTTTGCAAAATTTTCTTATAACTTTTATTCTTTTTAATTCAATTTATGGATTTTAATATTTAAAAATTTAGCTAAAAATGAAATCTTCATCAACTTCATCAATTTGGTTAAATTAATTAAAAACAGACGGAAATATTTCTTATGATAAAACTGTACAATATTTTTTAAAAAAGGATAACTTAATAAAATAAAAAATAAGACTAAAATTCCTTGTAAAATTAATGATATAACAATATTATTTTGTTACTCACAAATATATTTTATGACTGCAAAAAAAATTGCTATAGAACAAATTTATCCAGTTTATACATCCAAATTATTTAAATTTTAAATTATATAAGGCCTTTGTTTTTAAGAATATATTTAATAAAATAGTAAACAAATTCCTAATAGTGAAGATTTTAAATAAATATCTGTTTCAAAATAAGTTAAAATGATTATAATAACAGTTTTTTCTCCTAGTTTTATCCATTCCCAATAATAACTGTGTCTGTCGTATTCATTAAATAAATAACAAATATGTTTTCTTAAATTTATATTTTCTAATTGATCTCTTTTAATATACAATAATACTAGAAGGGAAAAAGGCAAAATAATCCCAATACATGTTAATCCTGGAAGTATAAGGCTTATAATCCAATTAAAATGAGTTTTTGTTCCATATCTTAATGAAACATCTCCTTAAATATAATCTATTTATGAAATTTATCTTTTAGCCAATAATGAGAAAAATCTTTTTATAAATTAATATTTACTGCTTAATAAATGCTGGATAGTTAGAAACAAACAAATAAAGTGCAGTTATTGATAAAATACTAGTTTGAAATTTTTTATGTTTTATTAATGAATAAAGTTTAAATCCAATGTAAATAGCAAAAAATAAGCAAGCCAATAATAGAAACATAGTTATAATTCTTAAATAGATCAATTAAATTTCTTAAAACTCAGATAAATAACAATCTAAACTATTTGCCATGAAAAATGATGGATTGCTTGTTTGATCAATAAAGCTAAATGAAAAAGAAAATTTTATATTGAATGAAAAAATTACTGAAAATATCCAAATATAATTGAGAAACAATTTTAGTAAAATACTTGCATGATCTAAGTTTTAAAAAATATTTTACCTTAACTTAATTTAAAAATTATCCTGGCAAATCTTTACCTAATTTTCAAAACTGAAAATAATCTATTCGATTTATCTATACTATAAAGTGTAAGCAGAGTTGAAAAAATAACCCTAAATATTTTTATATTTTAATACCACAAAGAAGCCAAAATAAAAAAATGGAAACGACTATAATCATTTTCGCATAAATGACACAGTGAATTATATTAATTTTTAAAAAACAATCCATCCCCTCTAATATTGAATCTATCACATTCTTCACATAATCCTCCAATATGGCCTTAATAACATATTTAATCACCAACCATCCATCCTCCTAAGCAAGATTCTTTGAATTTAAAACAAAATTCTATTTCATCAGAAAAATAATTTGGCCTCCAATAACCGATCTTAAGCTATATTTAATTTGATGTTATTGATTCAAATTTTTTACTATCAAAGATTGAACATTTTGTAGCATTGTAAGTAACAGAATAGTAACCTTATTTAAATTGACATAATTAACAATTATTCTCTATATAAAATTCTCCCAATTAACATTTAAATGTTTTTATTTATATTCTATAGTATAATTCTTACATAGAATTATCTACTTTGCATCCTATTAAAATTTACTCTTAAAATTTATCAGACATAAAAGGATCAAAAGAGAAAGATTTAGTGCTTAAATCAAAAGAATTTATATTTTGATCAAATTTTATTTCTTCTGACTTGATTGTCTGAAAATAGTCATTTTATCCCAATTATTATCTAATTTCACAAGTCGAATTAATAAAATTAATAAGTTGTTCATTCATACTATTTTTAAATATAATTTGCATCTATTCAATATATTTTTGAAAAGATTAGACTTGAGTATTAAAAATTTGATAATCTTTAATTATTTAGTTGCTTGGAAGCATTAACAATTTTGCTTAAATTAATTTCCCTTAATCTATAACTTTATAAGGATACATTAGCAAAGTTTAAGCTTAAAGATCTTCTTTAATAATTAAAATTGATTTCATTTGTTACCAATTTATTTATAATTCCAAAAGTGTTGGTAACTCTTGCAAATTATTTGGAGGCAAAGAAGCATTATTAAACCAAACCAGAGATTTGACAAAAGTTGTAGAATTGATAGTATTTATAAAAATACCTCCTGCCTGATTTGCTCTATTATTGATTATCAATGTTTGATTAAGCTAGATTTAATGATTTTGTTATTAAATATAAATTCCCCCGCCTCCATATTTTGCAGTATTATTTATTATTTTAGAGTTGGACAACAAAAATATTGTATTATATATAAGTATTGCTGTACCAGTGCCTCCATTATTTTTTAAAAAAAGGGAATTCAAAATTTTTACAATGGACTTAGATTATGAAATAGATTCAACAAAAATACATCCATATAAATTAACAATATTTTTAAAACAAAGAACATCTTTGATATTTATTTCTGAATAGTTAATCAAATTAAAGTATATGATACCACTCAAAAAATTTTACAAATCATTATTTAGTATAGAAATTTAAGATAATTAAATGCGATTATTATTTGATTAACTTTGATAAAATAATATGAAATTGTTTGAATTGTTTAACTTAATTAATCGGTTATAAAATTCGATGAAATTACTTTCTTCCTCATAAAAACTATAAATTATATTTTCTAAATCGCAATTCAATTATTATAGTTCAACATTAATAAATTAAGACTTGAAATCAATATTAATTAAATTAACATTTGTAATGCTCTAAAAAATTATATTTTAAAAAGAGAAAATAGTACTTATAGATTTTTAAACAATATGAAATAAATTTATTTGGAAGAGTAATAAAACTTCATAAACATAAATATTATTGATCTTTAATTAATAAGAGTCTTCTATTTTAAAAATTGAAGATAAAATAACTCCTTCAATCACAAATTAATTAACTGATAATTTGCATCCCTATAAATTTATTATTGAATTATCTTGTAAAATATTTTAGGTTAGAAAATGATTTAATGAGCCTAATTTTTTAAGATATTCAATAAACGATGTTTTATTTTGTATTATTGTTTGGTTAATTATTGATACTTAATTTTCTTTGTAATAATTAATTTAAAAATGTGCTTTCAAGAATAAATTTAAAAGAGAAAAACAGTTTTAAATGTTTATATTTTTTATAAGAATTTTATTTTGTTTTGATGATGGTGTTAGAGCTAGAATTGAAGAACCTAGATTATTAAGCACATCAAAAAAAACAATATCAATAAATTGAAAATTTAAAAGACTGTACTAAGAAAATATAGTAATGCTTCCATCATTTTCAGTACTATTGAAATTAATATTGTAAATATGCATCATTTTTAAGTTATTAAAATTTACAATTCCTTTTCCTTGTGTTTTTAAATTAATAATTAAACTTTTATAAGCAAGTAAATTTTTAAAAGAACTGTTGATTAATTGACATTATTGTGCTATAATTGATAATGCTCCTCCAATATTTTAAATTATCAAGAGTTTATTTATAATTTAATTAAGTTGATCCTAACTTAAGTTTTATCCTAATTAAATTTGGAAAACTTTACTCCATATATTTTATTAAATTTAATTATGATTTTCAACAACTAAATCTGATATGAAAATTTCATTCAAAAACAAATTAATAAATGTATTGGAAGAGTTAGTTAAAATGTTGTTTTTACAATAGAAATTTTAAATAACTAAATAACTTAATTGGGAATGAATTAAAATTAGACTTGCAATATTTTAAGAAGAGTCATCTAAATATTAATGCAAAGCATTTTCTTCAAACTTAATGTTTTTTATAGAGATATTTTAATTTTTCTCAGAATAAATGATAATTAATGATAAAATCTATCCTAGTTTTATTTTTTATATTAAATTCCCAATAAATTATAAATTATTAATTTAAATTGTTTCTTATTCTTCATCCTAATTAATAAAATTTGAATATATTGAAATAATAGATGAGTCGCTGTTAAATTAATTTTACACAACAAGATTATTAATAGTTAAATGAGTAAATCCTTAAATATTTAATAAGTGAGAATTAAAATTAGCTTCCTCTAAGCATTTAAGAGATAATTTAATTTTATGTTGCTAAAAAATGTTATAATATTACAAATTTTCTATATCAATTTAATAGACATTGAATAAAGTGAAATAATTCATATTTTTAGAGCTACTAATTATAATATTATTTAAAATTAGCTTAAAGCAACTAATTGAAAAAATATATGTTTTAGAATGAGTAAGCTGGATTTGAAAATTCTCTTAAAATTTGAGATTAGTCATCAAAATATTTTTAAAATTATACGATTATTATTATTCAGATAAGAAAACTTTAGTATTAGAAAAAGAATTCTATAAAATATTTACATCAAAAATACTAATTGAGTTGCTTATATTTTAAACAAATGAAATTAAGGTTATTAATTATGAATTGAAAAATGTATTTTGTTCAATAATTAGATCAACTATATTCAAATTATTGCTAAATATCAAAAATTATGAAGAGTTAAACTAACTATTTTTTATTACTGATTATATGATCTAAAAATCCACATAAGGAGTAGTTATTATAATCTATGAATTATAAAAATAAGAATTTTGAATAAATATTCCTTTAATTTATGGTTGGAGGTAAAAATCAGAATTTTATGTAAAGTTGAAAATAGATGAATTATAAAATTAACACTCAATAATCTTAAAATTCTATATAACTGTTTTGAAATTATTAAGCAAAGAAAACAATGTTGTATTATCAAATTAACAGTTTTGAATAATTATAGTATCAATTAAAGTTATTTCTTTTGAATGAATTTCAAATATTTAAGAATTTCTAATATTCATATTATAGAGTGTTAAGTTTTAAATTTTAAATTAGTCATAAAGTTGTGCCTTTATTGAAATTTAAGTTCTTGAATTCTCTGAGGCTGTAATTGATGAATTTTGAAGATTAAAATTAATAGATTTATTCTAGTTAAAAAATTGGAATGAAAAGAGTTCGTTCATATAAAATGAAACTTCAACAATTTAGATAGAATCAAAATCAAATGTGATAATATTGCTAAAAATTTTTGAAGGAATATTTTATCCTTTAATCATTAGTTCTACTAGTGTTAGAGAAAATATTTTCATTTTAATTAAATTATAGAGATTTATTGCAATAAATTTATCTCCATCATATATACAATTTAAATTATAAGGTAAAATTAGCTAAAAAATTGATAAACCTATTTAATTTAAATATTGAAAATCCAATTTATTTTGAAATTATTCATGTTTCATAGTATTAAACAAACTTAATATAGAATTGCAATTATTTTCAACCTGAGTATAATAATAATAAAAAATACCTGATATTTCAAATAATTATTACAATTTTACTCAAAACAGTATTTAGCTGTTTAAGAAAACTAATCAATCACAACGTTATGATAAGGGAAAAATTTAATACATTTCATAGTGAAAATATAGGAATTGTCATTTATAACAAAAATAGGATTTATTTTCTATAAAATAAATTAAATAATACTTAAATTTCTTAAATTTATCTTTTTTAACAAACTTGACATAATTATGGACATTCTAAACATTACTCTTGATCTATTGATCTAAGATTTTCCATAAAATAATTCATTTTGCACATAGAACATGTAAAACCATTTGAAGGGATGATATTTTTTTGACACACTTCACAATTATTATTACAACTTTTCTTGCAAAGAAATTAATTAACTTCATATCCATCTATACACTTAACTGGTAAAGGAATTACAGTTAGAGATGGAATTGAATAAAAATATTTATCTGGTAAAAATTACATTAAAAAACTCTAAATCAAATGAATCCAAGAATCTTATTCCTTTAAAAGACCTTCAATACAAAATTTCGCATTTTCAATTTAACAAATACTACAATGACCTGTAGTAATAGAGCTTGAATATCCATCCTCACAAATAATACATTTTATTATATTTTGAGGTGTTTGAACACATTATTTGCAATTAGTAATATATTTATTGCAATTTTAAATTTCTGGGGATATAGAAAAATCATCAACTAATGATAAAGTACAAATTTATTTCCCAGTTAAATCATTATAAGCTCTTAAGCAATTTTTTATATTCGGTTATTCATAAATACATTTACCTTTTATAAAATCAAAAATAAAGCCATTTTTACATAGAGCACATCCTACTCTGTGATATTCATCTATTTAAAATGCTTAAAATCCTTGATAAAGAGTACATTTAGTTAAATCATTAATTAGATATTCAAAACAATAAATACAATTATCTATTTGGCATAATTTACAAATATTTTCAGATGTTTTATAAAAAGAAGCTAAGCATTAATTAAATTTTTATTAGCCAGTTTATTTTTTAATACAAAATCCATCCTTCAGAATTGATGTTTTAAAACATCTTATACATATGATTCTTGTTAACTCATAGCCACATTAAACACAAAAGTATAAATTGCATTATGAGTATATTGGCATGGAATCAAATTAAACAAATTTGTAATTTGTTTCAAAAAATTGATTAGTAACTAAATAATCAGTAAATATTTCTTTTGTTTTGATATTGAAGTCAGTGGTAAAAAAATTTTACGGTTTTAAATCATTTTCATAAAGAATATAATATGTTTTACTAGAATCTTTGAAAATCTTTGATGGACTGCCATCTCTATTTAAAAATAAATTGGTTTCACAATAAGGATCATTTAACCAATTTTAAGGTTGCTCTAAACATTCTAAGCATGTCAAAACTTAATCATTTATTATAGAGGGACTAAAGAATGATTTAAATTAAATACCATTTTTAACAATTTTAATTGTAATTAAAATATCCATAATTACATTATTAATTCTCATGTTATTATAATTATAAGAATAATCCGTAATTTTCTTTGTCCTAACAAACTTCTTTATCAATCATATAATAAGGGCATAGACAAATTTTATATTTAGCCAAATAAATGCGTTTAGATTCTTTGGAACAAGACAAACAATCATTCTGAGTTGGACCATCACATTCTAAACAACTATAATGACAAATTTAATTAGGATAGTATTATTCATCATAAATACAATTCAAAAATTTAATGTTTCTTAAGCTTACACTCAAATAATTAGAACTAAGTTGCATAATATTACCATATTAAAGTTTAAATTAAACCATATGAAACTGATTAACTTAAAATATTGATTCCGATTGTGTTTTAAAAATCCCATCTTATATCATAATACTAAATTTTATTGTATTTTATAATTAAATTACATAGACAAAATGCCATAATGTCACTTTTGGTAAATCAAAACTTTTCTAAATTAGAAATGAATTTTTAATGAAATCCATATTATAGTAGGGAAAACTATAATTGTATGTTGTAATAATAATTTAATTATTTAAATTAGAAACTTTATAAAATAGTTAAAAACTTGCTAAATTTTCATTTTTCATTACAGAATTTTCAAAATTACTAGATAGCTTCATTAATTAGTATAAAAATTCTTCTTAATCAGAATAGCACTCAGTAATTTTAATCCAAGCATGAAATGCAAATGAGTCGCAATTAATATTAGTTGAAGCAAACAATTTTTGATCCATCCATTTGATATCAATATCAGGTAAAATTTAATTTTAATTTAAATTACAAACACAAACACATTCCCATGTTGTAAAAATTTCAATTTAAAAAAATAATTAATTTTCAGTCAAGGATGTTTTGGCGAATGATAAAATATTTAATTAACCTGGAAAATATGGTAATTTAGAAGTTTAATCAATTGAAATTTATTAAGTTTCTGTTATTTCTAAACCACCTCCAAATATAAGCAAAAGATTTTCATCTTAATAAGGAAATTTAATATCAAAAGACTGATTCTCAACAATGTTGTTATTTTAGAATATGTAATATTTGAATCTTTTTTAATGAGGAGCAAATGTAATTACAAGGAAATACCAATAATATTCATATTAAAAAGGGTCGATTTTTATTTAAAGTTTATGTAATTATCTCTAATCATCTATAAATTACAAATGTTTTGTAACTGTCATGGTTTCTGAATTTAAACAATCAAAGTATACAAAATTGATTCTTTATGTATATTTTTCAATAGCTGAATTCAAATGGTAACAATTACTATCAATAATTCCAAAAGCTCCTATTTATTTAATTGTACTTAGAGGAATATATCTACTCCAAATTCCATAAATACCCACTTCATCAATTTAATAGTTATTTATATTTACACTTATAGGAATTTAATAATACTAGTATACCTCATCCAACTCCATCAGATATTAACTATCCAATAATGTTGGCATCATCGTAATAACTAAGGCAAAGCTTAATTTTAAATTCATTTTTTATTATTAATTATCAAATAAGACAAACAATAGATTCAATCTTAAAATTTAAAGTGCGTTTTTATTGCTTTAATTCAAAAAAAAAACTTAAGTTTGATAAAAAAAAGAAAAATTAACATTTTAGTTTAAATGTCTCTATGATGATACTCATTATGTTATTAATGTAAAATTAATTTAATATAATTCAACGGATGATGATAAAAAGATAAACTTTATATCTAAATTGATCTCTTAAGAAATAATATTTTTTTGATTCTAAATAATCATATATTTCTGAGATAAATTGATTTAATATTAATTTTAAGTTCTTAAGATCACTAGAATGATAACCCAACAATCAACAAGCATGATAAATCTGACATGCAATGAAAATTGAGATGTTTAATAATTCTGAAATCTCAAAAAATTTGAATTATCCATCACTAATTTGGTCAAAAGAAAAACAAACTTAAATAAAATAATAATAGCTGAAAGTTAAGAATGCCTTAGAATTTAAATCAATTTTTCAAAAATTATTTCTATCACTAGGGAAGTTATTCAAAAATTAATATTTGGATTCGAGCTATCTCTGGAAGATAAAGATTTTATTTTTTTATTAAAAAAGGTTATTAAAAAATTATCCATGTTACTTTCATAATAAAAATAAATTATTGTTTTCCATGCTTTAAAAACTTTGGGAAATATTCTAACATATTATATACAATAAAAGAATCATATTTTAAATATTTGAATTTTATAATCTTTTTATTTGTTACTACTACAGGATAAAAATAAACTAGTGAGAAGTGAAGTAATTTTAAATTTAAATTCAAGGCCACTGATGGTTATCTAATTTATCTGAAGGCATTCAAGCTTAAATTAAAATAAACTATTAGATTAATTCACTTTTAAAAACTATATTTCTATAATTATAATTATGAATTCCAGAAATCATAGTAGAAAATTTTTTGATCTAATTGAGTAATAAAGGTTGAATTATAAATCTTAGATTATTTCTCCACATATTACTGATTTATAAATATATTTTCCCTGCTTCTTGATGTAAGTGATGAAATTTTTATTTAAGAGGCAATTTTTGAATTTTAAAAAATATGTAATTATGTTAAACCTTTTGTAACTTATAAGAAGGCTTATTCAATTCTTGAAAATTTTCCCTTCTGAATTCATAGTTAGTAGCTTCACATATAGAAGAGCGTAGAAGAGTGTTCAAAGACATGCTTAATGTAAATAAAATTTTTTGGAGCTACTGAAAGTGATTCTATGTTAAATTTAATTCTAAAAAATAGAAATAAGAAGAATGTATTTTTTTTAATGTTTTAAGGAATAACTCGATTGTCTTTTCTTCCATATTTAATTTCTAATGACTTCTTTGATGAGGAGTATGAGTACAAACTAAAAATTTATAAAATTTTATCTAAATTTCAAATTAAAGTGGAGCTGTCAGTTTATCAGGATTTTTTTTATAATAAATTAGATAAAGATTGAAATTAAAGAAAAACCTAACTAAATTCAATATGAGAATATAAAAACGTTCTTCCTAAAAAGTTTATCACTCCTTTCATTTCCTTTTTTTTGGTAAATACTAACAATAGTAATTTCTTTTTTCTTTCTTTAAAAACTATGTAATAGAGTTTACTACGTTATACATATATAAAATTCAATCTTTTTATTAGAGCACTTAATTAATTTTTAAAAGGTTTAAGTCTAAATAATAAAAGCATTTATATGTAGGGTTTTAATATTGTTTTAATGTTTTTAATATTGATTATATTATTATTATCTCTATTGTCTTATTGATAAGTTATATTAATTAGAAATAAAAGAAATTATGTAATCTTGTTATTCTTTAGGCATTGATTTAGGTAGAAGCAACTCATATTGTGGTTTATGGATTAATGATTCAGTTGAGATAATCCTAAATGAATTTGGTAATAGACAAACTCCTTCTTATGTTGCATTTACTGAAAATGAATGTCTTATAGGTTAGGCAGCATTAGATTAAATTCATAACAATCCTCTATAAACTATATTTAATGTCAAAGATTTGATGGGAAGAAGATTTTCTGATTAATCTTTTCAAAAATTATTAAAAGAATTACCTTATTAAGTGGAACCTGGAATCGATGACAAACCTATGATAGTTGTGAAATATAAGAAATAAATTCAAAAATATTTTCCTACTTAAATTTCTTCTATGATTCTATAAAGTTTGATGAAGTCAGCTGAATTATAATTGGGAAAACCTATTTCTGATGTTGTAATAGTAGTACCAAGTTAATTCAACGATTTACAAAGATAAGCTCTTAAAGAAGTGGGAATTAGTCTTGGTTTGAAAATACTTAGAATAATCAATGAACCTTCTGCTGCTGCTATAGCTTATGATTTGAATAAGATTACTAAATAAGAATAATTAGTAATTATTTTTGATTTTGGAGGTAGAAAACTTGATATTACTTTGTTATTAATTGAAGATGGTTTTATTGAATTAAAGGCAAATAGTTTATACAATTAATTGGGTGGGATATATTTTGATAATAAAATTACTGAGTATTTTTGTAATTAAATTTTGAAATAGAGAGGAATTGATATTAGAAATAACAAAGAATTATTTTAAAAACTTCTTATTCTAAGTGAATAAGCTAAAAAAGCTTTATCTTCAACCAACTAAACAACAATGGAAATAAATGATTTTATGTGCACAATAACGTAAGACAAGTTTGAAACATTGTGCATGAATATGTTTAAAGAATCTATTTAAATTTTAGATTAATTTTTAAAGGATTTGAACATATCAAAAAATCATATAGATGAGATTATTCTAGTTGGTGGATCTTCTAATATTCCAATAGTTTAAAAATTATTATAAGAATATTTTGATGGAAAATAATTAAAAAATTAAATAAACCCAAATGAAGTTATAGTATTTGGTGCTGCTAAATAGGCTGCTCTATTAAATGGTTAAATTTGCGAGAAAATCTAATTTACCTGTGTATTTGATGTTACCATATTATCCTTTGGAGTTGAAACTTCTGGAGGATTATTCACTACACTGATTACAAGAAATACCACAATCCCAACAAAAAAATCATAAATTTTCACAACTCTAAAAGATTATTAAACAAATGTTTTAATTAAAATATACATAGGTCAGAGATATATGGCTAAAGATTGTCTGTTATTAGGACAATTTAATTTAACAGGTATTACTCCAGCACCAAAAGGAATTCCTTAAATTTTAATTACATTTGAGATTGATCAGAATCATATTCTTAAAATAATTGCAGAAGATTTAACTTCAAAGAAATCTAATACCATTAGTATATCTAATAGTGAAAATTCGCTAACTGTATTCAATATTTAGTAAATTGTTATGGATGCTGAAAAATTTTTAGCTGAAGACCAAATAAATAAAAATTTGATCGAAGCAAAAACTATCCTTGAATTAATAATCTATATTCTCAAAAATAATTGTGAAAAATTGTTAGTCGGAATTTCTGATAACTATAAATCAAAACTTGAATCCTCAATTAAATAAACAATAGCATGGATTCATGAAAATCCAAATTGTGAAACTATTAAATATTAAAATAAATTTTATTAACTTGAAGAGCTACAAAATGAACTCTTAAATTAACTCTTGATGGAAGATAATGAATAACAAAAAACAACAGCATGGTTACTAAGAACAGCTAAATTTTCACTTGAAGAAGAATAATTATCCTAATAAAATTATTGATTATATTCAATAAAAAAATATCTTTATATTAAATTTCAAATTTGATGTTTTTACTCCTTATACTAATCATATAAAATTTATAAACAACATTCTTATTGTATATAATTATAGTCTGATTAAAACTTATAGATTGTATTATATTTTTCTTTTTTATTAAATAACTGGTGTTATTAAGGATTTAAGACTTTTGTTTAATATAGTTTCAAAATTTTGCACTTGATTCAAAAGCAGTTATATTGAATGATTGTTATAAATAGTAAAAATAATAATCCTTGGAAATTTCTCTATATAAATATTATAATTTTTTTCACTTAAACCTAACCTATAAATTAACTGGATCAAAAAAAATTATATATTATTTTTTAGGATTTAATTAAGTTTTAATTTATATTAATTTTATTAATACGCTAGCTAATTCTAAAGAAGAACATTTTTTGGCATATAGACATTCAAAAACAGATGGATAAACTATATTTTAAGAAAAATTAACTAGGATGCAATTGATTTTCATGAGCAATAAAAAAGAGGGCTCAATTATTGTTATTTATACCATGATTATTATTTTAAAAATATTAATTGCAAGTTGAATTTAAAAATTTATAAGTAAGAAAGATAATTCAAATAAAATTTTTTAATATTAATTAGTACTGAAATGTAATTCTTTAGGTGCACTTATCTAGGTCATGAAAATGAAGAAATAATAGGATTTTGCTTAAATTAGACTTGCTAAAATGCAACTTAATACTGCTATGAGTGCTTAAGTAACACTCATTCAGATCATTTGAATGACTGCATTCGATTTGCCATAATTAGCAAATATATTAATTAATTCATACAAATCTAAAGAGAACAAACAAAATAATTTAAAGAAATCTAAAATGAATTGACTAACTGTTTTGAATAAATTTTTAAAAAAATTGATCAAAATAACAAAATTTTAGAAAGTATGAATCAAAAGCTTTAAAACAAAGAATTCTTATCTTTCAAGTCGTAGATAAATATATTAAAACTGCACTACTCAAAGGAAAAAGAAAAATAAATATGTATTAATTTTATTTTTATATATTATAGAAGAATAGATAACATAATTGAATAATATTAATAGTGCAATCAAGATTATACTCAGAGATTTAATAAAATGGTATGATCAAATCATTTCAGGAAATATAAATAAAACTAAAATTGAAGAAGTTAATAGGATCAGTTAAGTGCAAAATCAACAAAGAATGTAAGAGGCTAAAAGATTATTTATATAAGGTAAAATAAATTTAAACATAAACTAGGTTAAAAATTAGTTAACGAGGGTAAGTTTAAAGAGGCTTTGATTAAATTTGATGAATCAATAAAATAATTTAATTAGGATTACATTATTTATGTGTGGAAAGGTAACTTATTTAATATTAAGAGTACAAAAGGATTTGCATTAGATAGTTTAAGTAATTTCTAAGAAGCTATTAATTGTTACGATAAGGCTATTGAAATTAATCCTAATCATGATAATGCTTGGAATAACAAAGGTAATAGATGTTTAATATTATTTAGGTTGGGCATTAAATTGTTTAAATAAATTCTAAGAAGCTATTTATTGTTATGACAAAGCAATTGAAATAAATCCTAACCATGATTATGCATGGAATAATAAGGGTAATATAATATATAATTATTATTTAGGTTTAGCATTAAACAATCTAAACAGATATTAAGAGGCTATTGAGTGTTTAGACAAAGCTATATAGATTGATTCTTAAGATGATTATGCATGGAATAATAAAGGTAATTTAGTATTAAATATTATTATTTAGGATTTGCGTTACGGAAATTAAATAGATTCTAAGAAGCACTCGAATGTTATGAAAGAGCTAATGAGATCAATCCTAATCAAGATAGTGCATGGAATAATAAGGGTAAATATTGTTTAATATAATGATTTAGGTTTTGCGTTAAAGAAAATGAATAGATTCTAAGAAGCTGTTGAGTGTTACGATAAAGCTATTTAAATTAACTCTAAAAATGATATGGCTTGGAATAACAAGGGTATTAAAATAATAAAATTATTATTTAGGGTCAGCTTTAAATAATTTAAATAGATTCTAAGAAGCTATTGAGAGTTTAGACTAATCTATTTAAATTAATTCTAAAAATAATTTTGCATTTGAAAATAAAGGTAATATAAATAATTATTCAGGCTTTGCACTACATCAATTAAAAGAATATCAGAAGGCAATAGAATGTTATGATCTAGATCTTTCTCTCCATGTAAAACCTGTAACTTTGAAATTAAAAGGTAAAACATCAAATAATATTATATCAGCTGATGCACTATTAGAATTAGGAAAGAAATCTGAAGCAAAAAAACTTTATTAAACTGCATTGCAAAAAGGATCTAATGAAAAGGATTATATAAAGAAACAATTATCAAAATTATGAATGTTTATAAATATTTAAAATCTCATCACAGCAATATTAACAGTTTAAATAAATTTCTTCATTTCTGTAATGAATAGAATTATGGAAAAATTAATAAATAAAATATTGTAAACCAAAACATTTATTAGCCTTTTTGATTGCAAATAAATCTAGCTTTCTCATGATATCATTAATTGCAGATTTCACATTTAAGATTGTATGCTCATAGAATATAATCTGCATATATGAAAGAGTATCTACAAACATCAATTAATAATAGGCATGTCTATTGAAATTTGCTTTAACTTGTAAAATTGAAGAGGCATCCTATTATATAGAACTTTGTAAATTTTTGTTAATTTTCAATTAAATCCTGTCTTCTTTTAAGGTATTTCATCAAATAGAATAACATATAATCAAATAAGTTCAATTATCTTTTTATTTTCTAATATCAATTACCCTGTTTCTTGGTTATATTTCAAAACTCTAATATGGACTTTTTTCCAAAATATTTATGATAAATAGGTATTAATCACTAGAATTTCAATCATAGATCTTTTAGGGATTAGCATAATCAGCATCAAGGATTATTAACCCTTTTCTATTAAAACTTAAGTTAAGTATGGTTATCGATTAAAGCAAAATGTGCAATGAATACCACAAACTAATCTGCATTCAACTTCTTTACAATCCTTATTAATGATAAAATTCAATATTATATTTAATTTTGTTTTTTTTATTATTCTAATTTATTATTTCAAAAATTTTGGGAGATAATATTACATATATCCCTAATAATCAAATTAATAATTAAAATAGTTTTAATAATTTTTAATCATTATCATAGAAATTTAAACTCACTGTCAATGAATATATGTGATTAAAATAATTTTTGCAACTTTTCCAAATGAATGGGTAAATTTATTTCTTTCTTAAATTTAAGAATAATTAAAATTTTATCAAATGACTCTTAATCAATCTTTTTGATTTGAATCCTGCTTTAATATTTTGATATGACTGTAAGATAATATTATTTAAACTTTATAATGTTATAAGAATATTATTTGTTATGATTTTAAATAAGCTAAATCAGAAACTTATTTAAGTAATTAATTTTAAATATCAGATGGTTAAAAGAGACAATTTCAAAAAAAAAATTCATGTCTAGAAGTTTCTAAGAAAATATAAAAATTAGAATTCAAAAGTAATACAAAGATTAGCTTAAGAATTGATATAGTTCTTAATTAAAAACTCATTTTTTAAAGTGTTAATTTATGATTTCTAAAATTGTTATTAAATCAAACCAATAATAATTGTGTAATTCAAACCTAAGGATTTTTAAAATTACTATTTATTATGAAATTGGCTAGGGTTTTGATTTCTATTAATTGAACGATAAAGTTATATTTGAAAAGAAATTCAATAGTTCTTAATGATTTAATTGTAATAAAAGGATTAAATTATGAAAATTCATATGGATTTTGTAAATAATTAGCAAATTTAGGAATAATACTAACATTAATAGTCATTTCAAACAAAGAAATGTATGTCTAACATCTACAAGATAATTTCTTAGGTAAGCAGTTTTCAAAAAAATAAATAGTTTTTAATCATTTAGAAAATAATATTCTTTAATTAATTAATGCCAGATCTTCAATTAATATTTATGCTATTTAATTCTATTCTATTATTTAATTCATTTATGACAATAATAAAATCTTAAAAACCACTTTTATCAATATCATTTCTGCTAATAAATTTAAAAGGTTCTATATATTCTTTTTTAATAATTCACTCTTTATCGTCAATTATTACAATGAATTTTTTTTAATTGTAGAATTGACATTTAACGATGAATTTATCATTATTTACTTCTTAAACATTATAAATCATTTAATATTTATCCAGAATATTTAGAGTATTTTTCATCAGTTTAGTGAATTCTTATAGTTTTATGCTTCCATCTATATTTCGAAGTCTCAACAATATATACTCAAATATGAATACCTTTACTTCAGTATTAATCTAAACATCAAGCCTTAATTCCTTCTTTTTTCCTCTAAAAAAGTCTAAATAGATTATTTGAAATATTAAAATTTTTCTTCTTCCCAAATAAAATTTTATAAATTTGATCTAAATATTATTGCCAATCTTTTTTAAATTACCTCAAAATCCTTCTTATATTCTTCTAAATCAATCCTACAGCGATATTCAATAATTCATATATTTATATTAATCATCCAATAACTAACTAAATACTTTATTGGATTATCATAGTATAATCATGAAGATATATATCTCCAACACAAAATATTCTTGTATAATAATTTTGAGAATTAACTTCTGCAAATAGATTTATCATGTAATGAATAAACTTATCGCATTTTTTAATTTAAGGTAAAATTAATTTGACAGTCATTGATTTTATTTAGTAAAATTGATTAAATAGAATCAAAGCTTGTGTTATAATTTTAGATGTAATTATGAATAATCTCTTCATTTTAATTAGACAGATGTTATTTATGGGTCATGAACTAAACTCTAAAAATCATTTATAAAAATTTATAATCCAAAAATTTATAAACAAAATTATTTCACTTATTAATAATAATTAAATAATTAGCATATTAGAGATTAAAATAAAAATAAACTAGTTTTAGTTTTATTTTAAAAGAAAATTTGAAATTTATAATTTTATAATTATTGAATTTAGTTAGAACGTGGAAATATTATAACAGTTTTTATCTCAAAAAATCATTTGAATTATTCTTTAATTTACATTCAATTTTTTGCAACCATAAATTCAATTTATACTTGCAGATTGAAAATAATTCTAATTATCAATCAAAAGTTTAAACTTTCTGTTTATTAAAAAAAATTTATAGAAAGAAAAATCTCATTTCAATATCAAATGACTTCTTTTATTTCATTTAAGGTAACAACAAAAACAGTTAATTAATCTAAAAACAAAAGTGAAAAAAGAAGAATATTTGCAGTAATTAATAAATAACAAATTACTATTTCCACTAAAATATGTATAAACTATATGAATATTAGCATTACTGACTTAATTATATTTATTTTAGAATAAACTATTTAATTTTACTTAATAAAGTGAAAAAAAAATTTATCTTACTAAAATATGTTCAAAAAATATTATTTTTCACAAATAACAATGAGTTTGATATCAAAAGGTTAAAACTAATAAGTTTAATTTATGAATCAAAAGAATATTTAGAATGATTTATTTGGGGAATCTTTAATTTGATATCTATTTGTACTGAATTGATTAAATACCCATACTCATCAGATGGAAGTCTACTTACTATTTTTAATATTTTAATATTTCAATTTGTGTAAAAAAATGAAATGAATATGTAGCATACTTTATGAATAATTAAATAAGTTCCTATAATAAATTTTTTTTTTCTCTAATTCTATAAAATGACTAAAAAATTTTCAAAATAATTTTTGTAAATAAATAAAATACGCAATTGATAAATAAAGCCAAGCTTCCTTTATAAACTAAGAATTTTTACTTTTCCAAAGATATATTATCTTTAGTGCTTTCCAAATTATTTCATGATTCATAAAGTTATATTAAATTTTTTTCGATGCAATTTAGTCCATATAAAGTAAAACAATAAAGAGACATCAAATAATAGGTATGATTATTTATTTATACAAAAATTAAAATTATCTTTCTATTAAAAGTCATTTGGTTTTTAAGTAGTATTCTTTAAAAAAAAATGGAAAAATAAATTATATTTAAGAATGTAGCTGATTAAAATTTCGAGATTTAGTTTTTTTTAATTAATTAAGAAATTCATCACTTTTTTCGTATTAATAATATTGTAAATTAGGCTCTTGTTAATATAAATTTAAAATGATATGGTCTTGGAATCAATACTAAAATAAAAAAAAAATATCATAAATTGGATAACATTTAAACAACTCATAACAAATATTAAAGTAGATTTATATACAGAAGAAATTTGAAAATAAAAAACTTTTAAGTAAATCAGCTAAAATTAGAATGAAAAGTAATTAAATATTATCAAAGTAAAAAAATTTTGGAGTTGTTTGAATGGTAGATTACATTTATATATAAAGATAGATATTAATAAATATTACTTGAATTAATCGTAGAACCGTTGAGCTCTATTTTTATTTTATTTAAGTTTTTTATTAAACTTGGAATCTAAAAAAAATTATAATTAATCAGAATAATCTCTATCGATATGTAAAAAAATTATTAATTGATAAATTAGGATATTGTTTAATTATAATTTGATGTTTAAATACAAAATTTGTTATATCGCTTAGTTTCAAAAAATGAAATAAACTTTTAACATATAATAGATTTAACATAATCATTAATCTGAAGAAGAAAATATTCTCTAAAAAAAATTTTCAATATTTTCCTCATATTCTTTTTATTTTAAGCTTTTCTTTATGCTATTTTTATATTCTAAATTATAAGTTTCTTTAGTTAATTTATTTTTCTTTTTATCAGAAATTTTTGTTTTTTAGAGTATTTTCTCTATGTTTTCTCTAAAATCATCTTCTTATACAATATTTGAAGCATTTATTAAAAAATAACCTAAATGATGATCTAAAAAGGAATCTTAATTATCGAAGATTTTTTTTAATTTTATTATTATTTAAAATTGTTCTTTGAAGCTTTAATTTAAATTTTGGATATCGCTTTGTTAAATCTTAAATAAATAAAAAATCANATCTTTCTATTAAAAGTCATTTGGTTTTTAAGTAGTATTCTTTAAAAAAAAATGGAAAAATAAATTATATTTAAGAATGTAGCTGATTAAAATTTCGAGATTTAGTTTTTTTTAATTAATTAAGAAATTCATCACTTTTTTCGTATTAATAATATTGTAAATTAGGCTCTTGTTAATATAAATTTAAAATGATATGGTCTTGGAATCAATACTAAAATAAAAAAAAAATATCATAAATTGGATAACATTTAAACAACTCATAACAAATATTAAAGTAGATTTATATACAGAAGAAATTTGAAAATAAAAAACTTTTAAGTAAATCAGCTAAAATTAGAATGAAAAGTAATTAAATATTATCAAAGTAAAAAAATTTTGGAGTTGTTTGAATGGTAGATTACATTTATATATAAAGATAGATATTAATAAATATTACTTGAATTAATCGTAGAACCGTTGAGCTCTATTTTTATTTTATTTAAGTTTTTTATTAAACTTGGAATCTAAAAAAAATTATAATTAATCAGAATAATCTCTATCGATATGTAAAAAAATTATTAATTGATAAATTAGGATATTGTTTAATTATAATTTGATGTTTAAATACAAAATTTGTTATATCGCTTAGTTTCAAAAAATGAAATAAACTTTTAACATATAATAGATTTAACATAATCATTAATCTGAAGAAGAAAATATTCTCTAAAAAAAATTTTCAATATTTTCCTCATATTCTTTTTATTTTAAGCTTTTCTTTATGCTATTTTTATATTCTAAATTATAAGTTTCTTTAGTTAATTTATTTTTCTTTTTATCAGAAATTTTTGTTTTTTAGAGTATTTTCTCTATGTTTTCTCTAAAATCATCTTCTTATACAATATTTGAAGCATTTATTAAAAAATAACCTAAATGATGATCTAAAAAGGAATCTTAATTATCGAAGATTTTTTTTAATTTTATTATTATTTAAAATTGTTCTTTGAAGCTTTAATTTAAATTTTGGATATCGCTTTGTTAAATCTTAAATAAATAAAAAATCATTTACCAATTAGAATGTGCTTTTTACCTCAGGAATACTAAAACTGTAATTAATGAGATTTATAAAGCATAAATTAAAATCATTAATGAATAACTTCAAATTAACCTTTAAATTATCTAATAATTATTAGATATCTAAATTTTTAAATAAATTTTAATAGTCAACATTAAAGCTCAGAAAGGTTGTTTTAATTTGATTCAAATTTTCAATTAATTAATCAATCATTTATTTTATTTAATCAATATTATTTGCTGAATTAGAAAAAGATTTTTATTAATTATTTATAATATCTATAATTATTTTCTATGATTGTTAAATTTCTTTATTTCTCTCAATTATAGTAGAATCATCTTAAATTGATAAATCATTTAGCAAATTAATAATTTTATCTATTTCTTTTGAAATTTCTTATGTTTAATTTTACAAAAGAAGATAACTTTTTACTATTTGATTATATAAATCTTAATAAAATTCTATTGCATTTTTTTCTTCTTTAATAGTTATTGTGTCTTATATTTTTTCCTTAAAACTTTTTTTAAAATCTTACAGCTTATTTGTGATTTCATTAAACTTATTAATTATATTAGAAAATAAAGAATTTAACTTATTTGAAAATAATTTAAAAATTCCAATTACTATATTAAATGAATCCACAAAAACATTTATTATATAATTATTATTTTCATAACCACTTAATTGTTAGTTTTTTTTATCTTTTTCTGTTCCCTTTTCAAACTCAAGAATTATTATTTGAATAAATTTCACAAAGAACCATTAAAATTCTATACCATTAATAGATGAATCAAATTATTATAATATATCTTGAAAGTCTTAATTAAATAGATTTAAAAATTTCTCAGCAATTTAGATTGACTTATTTATTTCATGTAAAAATTTCTAATCTATAAATTTTTACTTTTATTTATTTTGATAACTTTGAATAAGTTATTGAAACCAATTTTAAGTTATTTTTTCATAGTTTAAAGTGAATTCCGTATATAATTCTTAAAATGTATTTTCAAGTTAATTGATTAGAATTAATTTTTTTTCTCTATCTTCTAATTAATTTGATAAGATTAATTTAGTTTTTTTTACTTTAGCCAAAGTTATTGCAATACTTAAATCAATTTCGTTTATTATATATATAATTTCAAAGAGCAAGGTTTATGAATTATTATGTATAATAATTATATTTGAATTTTAAGATATCTAAGATTACAAATATAGTAATCTTTTAAATAATTTATCAAATAAATAACTGGTGTTCTATTTCATTTATTAATCAATTTTTTAAATATGATTAATTAAAATGTTTAAATTCAATTATGTCTTTTTAAATCTTAAATCATTAATTGGTTATTACAAATACATCTATAATTATCTAATTCCAATTATTTGAAGATTTTCATTATTTTCAAAAGTATCACAATTTTTTTAATTTACTTATATTAAAGATTCTTAAACTTCTTCTTTTTTCATCTCATAAATATCAATTGCACTGAAAGTAATTAATTCAACAATCAATTTCATCCAAAAATATTAAATTTAAGAATTATATTAATCTTTGATATTTTATTCAAACCACTTAGATAAATTGTCGAGTAATTTTTCGATATCAGAATCTTCTTGTGATATTTAGTTTAAGAAACTCCATAAAATAGTTTGAAAAGAACATTATATTTAGAAAATTGAAAAATCTTTAGATAGTTTAAGATTTAGCATTGTAAAATTTTATTAATACGATTCAGAATAAGATTGAGGATATGATTGCAAATCTGATAAATCTGATGAAAGAGATGGTTAAATAGTTTTTACTTAGTTTAAAGCAGACTTTAAACATGTAATTTCAAACTCTAAGGATATCTTCAAAAATTGTGTTTGATTTGCTTATATTGATTACTCAATATCATCAATTTGTTTTTTCCAATCATCACTAGGATAATTAAATGATCTAGACTACAATTTTATAAATTAATTGCACATTGTTAAAAAATAGAGCTTATTATAGTCATTAATTTCTTTTATTTTTGACTTTAACAACAACAAAATATTATTAACACATTTATTCATCAATTAGAATAATTTATTTGTATCTTGTGGGTATTTTTATGTTAATTAATCTATAATTAGATAATTTTTTTAAAACCAATGAATTAAGGGAAAATTTTATTAAAATTAATTTGATTTCTGTTCCTCAGTTGATTTTTGTAATTCATTTAAAAAGTTTTCTATAGATAAAAAATATTATCCTTATCTTGAGGTGACCATTTCCATATCACTTTGACCACACTTTTTTGATGTATTATTAATACTTTCTGGACAGTTTGAGCAACTTGGGCAGCATCCTCCTCCTCTTAAAATATCAATTTTATTCAATGTTTTGATCTAAAATAAATAAAAGAGACTAAATTTGTGAGACTTTCGATTGTTTTCTTCTTTTTAAATGAGACAAATTGTTTTTATTCTGCAATTGTTTTTAAAAAAAAAATTTATGTTCTAAGGTGAATTCTCTTAAATTAAAGGAATAGATTGTTTCATTTTTGAAGACTTTCGTTTGTTTTTTTTCTAATTATATTTATTAAATATTGTATTAAAATTATTTCAAAGTTTATAATTGATTCTTATTATTGTTAATGACCATTGAGATATTTATCAAAATAAATTTAAATCATTAGGAAAAGTTTCTTTTATCTCAAAATTTGTGATATAAATATAACTTCAAATAATTAGGAATAAAAATTATTCTCTTTAAAATTAATTAACAGATAAATGAAAAAAATCTAAACTTCTAACTTGTTTCTTTCAATAAAATTAGGCCAAAATATAGTTCTTTACATACATTTATAATATATTATTAAGCTTGATAATGCATTTCAAATCCATAAATATTTCACTTTCATTGATAATTGATTATAAACTAATCCGATATACAAACTATTAGATTTCCATCTAATTTCTTTTAATAAGAATATCAACTTGAGATATTTAAACTTAAGTACAATAAATTTCATTGATCCTAATTTAAAAGTCTTTAAAATTATAAGCAATTATTAGAATTTCAAAATAAATAGAATAATTATTTTAGAAAAATTACAACAAATAACTCTTGTATTATAGCTAAAATTTATAGAAATTGATGTAAAAAGAGTAAAGTGAAATAATGTCAAAAACAAAAGCCTAAATATTTTTATTTTTCGATTTTTTAATACTAATTTCACTAAATTATGGATTTTTCTGCTTTTTTTTAGTTCAAATATGAGAAAGAATAAAAAATGAAAACAGAGAGAGATAAATTAAAAAAAAAAATCTTTTTGATTTTTCACGAAACTTTTTAATTATGATAAAAATTGTTCATTATGAAGAGAATCTAAAACTTTTGAACAATGATTTATTAAAAATATCTAATAATTTGTTAAAAAGATTTGTTTAAATAAAAAAAATACGCTTTTTTATATGTGATCAAAGTTTTATTTTGTTCAAAATAGAAAAGGTAATTTAAAGTTTAAAAGAAAAATAAAACTATTCCTTACTATTTATTTTAGGAAATAGATATCATTTAATAAAATATTAACAAATTTTATAGAAATATCTTCTTTAACAGTAGTAATGAGTTATACCTAATTAGATTATGATTAACTAAAAAGTGAATGAAATAAAAATACATATAGAATAATATAAATTAAATCAATGTTCTGAATGCAAAGATTAAACTTAAATTTATTAAGAAATAATCTGATCTGATGGAAATTCATCTTCGGCTAAATTCTCAACAATGTAACCATCTATACTTCTATTAATGGTTGATAGTGTAACATTTGTATTCAATGTAAAAGAATAAATATCTTCATAATCTTATTCAAGCAGTTATTTTGTTACTTCACTTACATGAACTTATCCCTTTTTGCCATTAGATTCCATTTTATTTGCAATAAGTACATCGGGCCCATAAATATCATATCTTACTATATCAGTACCCATAACTCCTCCAAATACACATCCTGTATGGATGCCAATTCTCATATCGAGTCCATCGAAATTGATTTATTTTCTGACAACTTCAATAATTCTTATCATTTCAAATGCCAAATCAACTATATTTTTGGCTTCTTCAGAAGGATTTCTTTCATTGTAATCTATCATGCCAAATGCTACATAGCAATCACCAATTGTATATAATTTATAAACATTTAATTCATAACATTTTCTATCGAATTCAACGAATAAATTTTTTAACATAAGTAAAACTTCTTCAGGGGTAACCTTACTTGAATATTCAGTGAAACCTGCAATATCGGCAAATAAAATAGTAACATTTTCTATTTTATCACTTAAGCATCTGGTTCTATTATTATCATCCAGAAATGTTTATAAGATCTGTGAAATTTAATTATAAATTTACATGTTTAGGAAGTAGATATTATAATAATTAAGTTTCTTTAGCTTATTAACTTTAGAAGATGTTTTTCTAATTAAAACATGCAACCTATTGTTCTTCCAAAAAATAACAATAATTAATGTTGTAAATCATTACAATGAAAGCAAAAAAGAATGAAATGAGATGTTCATTTTAAAATATTAGGATAAAAGCTTCAAAAGTAAATGAACAAATACAAAACAAAATTTTAATCCAAAAATGTAAAACTTATATATTGCTAAAAAATGATTGGATAAAGATCATTTCTATAATATGAGAGTAACTTAAAAATAAAGACTTCTCAACAATAATAAAAATACCAGCAATAATAAGCTAAAAACTCAATCCTAAATAAATCAATTATATCCAATAGTTTATTATTCTTTTCTTGTACATCATCAAAGATATTATATTAAGTGTGCATCCAATCCATTATAAAATTATCAAAGGTAATGGAATTATATTATATTCACCAATTAAACAAAATTGTTTTATTAAATAATACATTGAATAAATTTAAATTATTTTATTAGTTACTCCTTCAGATTGCTTATAAATGTATTCATGATATTCTAAATAACTATTTTAATTTGAATAATAAGATCTTTTAAGCAATGAAAAGAAGGAGTTTTATAAAATTAAATTTTCTTCTAATCCATTTTCATTTTTAAGCAAAATAACATTCTAAATAATTATTTTAAATAATTACTAATAATTAATTGTAATCAATATAATGATCAACTTCAGGTTAATAATCTTCTAAATGAAATTTTTGTTAAAATACATTTGCTAATTATTAAATGAGTTCTGGTTACTTAATGCTTCTACTTAATTTATCTTCATGATCATGATCCTATTATAAATGATTTAGATTATTTATTGATAAAGAATTCTACAATCCTTTTTTGACACTATCCTCAGAAAAAGATTATGAATTTTATTAGGCATGTTATTGAAAGTTCCATGATAATTATAATGATAATAATTATTTGGATCGTTATGTTAAAGGGTCTTAGATAGCAATAGATCGTTTTTTTAAACTTCCTTTTTAAATTGATTATGTTTTAACTCTATTTGGCATATTCATTGTATTTTATCTGCTGTTACTATTGCTATTGTTGATTGAGTTATTTTTTGCAATATAATTTTTTGTATTCCCTTTTTATATATAAACATATGTTGGTCTTTATCCTAAACCTTTCATTTCAACATATCTAATTTCAAATTCTATTTTATCATTTTTTAATTATTCAAAAGCTTTCTCAGATAAAGTAATTTTATCTTCTTGTCCAGTTGAACACACTCTACTAGTAGTATTAACTGTATCACCAATTAAAGAAAATTAAGGTTTATGAAATCCTATAACTCCAGAAATAGCTCTACCATAATGAATTCCTATCTTACCAATCAGAGCTTAACTTTAATGACCCCATCTAAAAGTTATAATTAATTATTCATACAATTTTGATCTAATGTATGTAATCATCATCTCTGCCAAATTCAACGCTCTTTAAACTGGTTGGATTTCTGATAGATATGCTAATTCTTATTCACATGCTTTAAGGCCAGCTGATGCCATGTATGTTTTACCTACTGTTTCTATTTTCTAAACTCCACATATTTCGCAGTATTTATCAAAAGTTCGAAATAAGTCATCTAAAAATGGAATTATATTTTCTTATTCCTCCATTATGATTTAATCAAAATTGCATATATCACAAAAAACTACAGCTACATTTCCTTGGTTTTAGTGAATATTATATTAATCAGCTAATCATGTTTGAAAATAAGTTTACTTTCGTTTAGACGATGACGAACAAATTTAGGCAATAATATTCCTAGAATATCATTTATTTTATTGTTCTCCTCTATGAAATTTATTTAATTTGTAGCTTAATCTTCTTCAAGTAGAATAAACTTAATTAATTAATTAACAAATCTTACATAGCTTTTAATTATATATTGTTGCACTGAAAAAAATAGAATTATACAAATTTTAATTATCAAAAAGTAAGGAGTAATATCAACATTTATTGAAAAACTATCTATAATAATTTTAATCTTACGTAACAAAATATGCTATTAAAACTATCACTATTGGTATTAAATATAATCTATTATCATAAATTGGATGCAGTTTACTTGATATTTGAAAAGTTACCAAGATTTCAGAAAATGAATGATAATTTGATGACATATCAGTGACTGACAATCCCAAAACTGCTATAAATGTTGCTATTCCTGACATCATGTATTTTACTAATTCTAAATATTGTGTTTATCTTGAATTCAAATGATATACTGATTGAAAAACAAATAACACTATTAAAAATATTTAGTAAACTATGTATGTGATTAAAAAATAGTAACTATTATCAGACTAAGAATAAATAATAATAAGCATTTGACAATGAAAGAATATTAACTATAATCCTTAAATTTTTGATTTGTTCTTCCATTTTATTATAGATTATGCTTTTTAGAATATTTACGATTGCCATTAGCCTAAATTTTAAAACATTGTTTTTTAACTCAGTAAAACTTAAAGATATAAATTATAGATTACGCTTTTAGAGACTGAAATCAACATGCTCTATATTTTCAAATATTCTATTTATTTCCTTTTATAAATTTAAAATTGAAATTTATTTTTAATTTGTATCTTCTTTATAACGATTTAAAGCATTTGTTATTTGTTGCAATTATCCACTCATCTAAGGCACTTATAAAATAAAATGATGTTAAAAAAATTATTCACTTACTTATAATATAAACATTACTAATAGAATTTAAAATAAGTTTGAAATTTCAAATTTAAACTCTTAATTTGGATAAATTATGCTAAAATGAAGCAATAAATAAAAAAAATAGGAAAGGCTGTAAATTATGAAGACAGCAATCTTAAGTTAATAGCTAACCTGAAATATTAAACTTATTAAATCATTTAGTGTTATTGAAAGAAAACAATAAACTATAACAACATCAGTTGATTAAATTTAATTTTGATATGTAAATATCAGAGATGTCAAAACACCTTGTATTATGGCTAAATAAATTAATATCTAAATTTACATTTAATTGCGATTGTAATGTAATAAGACTTATTTTTTGATTAATTAATAAGTGATTCAATAAATTTTTATTAATTTTAGTCTCTTTTAATGTTATGGTCTTATTACTTAATAAATTCTATTGTTATAGTGATGTAAATAATTAATGAGTAGAGGAAAGAATAGAATACAAATTCAACTATTAAATTAATTTAATAATGGAAAAACCATATATTGGTTGTGTAAATTGTAATAGCAAATGATGAAATATATATAGTTCTTTGAAAAGCTGTCAAAAATTAGTACTTTGTTAAAATATTTAATAATGGGACATAGTAAAATAAAAGTTCGTTAAGTTCATAAAATCCTTATAATATAGCATCAGTATTATGGTATATTAATAATTCATTAAAAAGACCTATTTTAATAATTCAAATGTTATTACATCTTTCATAAACTAATCTAACTTTTAGAGATTATATCATATTTTTAAAAAATGTTTGTTTATTAACATTTTCATACTTTACTTTTTGAAAGTAACTAAATTCTTAAAGAAGTGCAATTTAAATATGTTATCCTTGATGGCATTTTAATAATGTTTAATTTTCAAAAATTAAATTTAATGATAAGTTTGGTTCATCAAACAATTTTTAAATGAAGTTCAAAGATTAAGTATTAGCATTATATAGAAGAGTTACTTTGGCTAAAGAGATTAGCAATTTCATATGATTAATCATGTAGATATTATTTTCCATAATCTTACAGGCTTAACTACTTAGCATAATTGTGATTGGAGGTGCTGAATGAAATTCCTCTTAAACTTTTTTATTTGAAAGTTAAGATGACATTGGGTTTACAAGTTTATTTAAAGATTAAACTTAAGAGTTTGATACATAATTTGCTTCAGAGAATAACTATGTAAATTATTATAAAGATTTTTTAAGGTAAGCTCTTAAGTCATCATCATTATCTTGTTCAAAAATTAACTTAAAATGACTTTATATATCAGTCTACTGGATAACAGAATATGCATAAGAGAAAAATTATTCTGTGTAAAAAAACATTTATTGTTCTGATTTTTCAAAATTTCTTATAAATTCTTAAGCCTTAGGCTTTAAATTATATTTAAATCCTAAAGTAATATTAAATTATAAAAATGGTTCTAAATAGTTGTAAATAAATTCTTCACTCTCTATTGAATTCTAGTTTTGGAGTGATTATTAATTAACATAATATGCAGCATCTTCATGATTAAGGAGACATGAATAGTAATGAACTTAGTGAAGTTATTCAAAATCAGTTTACTGAAGAACATGGATTGATGATTTATGATTAATTTTGGTTTCATCCAAAATATCTTATTTTTTATAATTAGATTCTCTGACTAATAAAATATATTCTGCATTTAAAGGTTTTTCAAATTCAGGATCTAATTCAAATAACATATAAAGTCTTTGTGTATGATGATGGATTTAAAAGTCAATTAATTTGAATGAGTAAATTTTCTAATTTATTTAAACTACATATGCTGACATATTTCTAAATATATAATATATATTTACTAGACATTATTTACACAAATGAATTCAAATCCAAATGATTTAGATATTTAGATTTGTTTTTCATCTAATATATTAACTTAAGTATTTTTAACCTTCTCTTCTCCTGTTTAAGTGTATCTAAGTTTTGAATAAGAAATATGATTCAATGCTAATTACAGTAAAATTGGATTATTTAATTCATCATCTGTTGCAATAACTTTAATTAGATCATTTAAAAAAACAGACTTTCTATCAACCCTACTATCTTTTAGAGTAACAAATGGTTTGTTACTTTTACTGTACATTGAGAGTTAAACTTTATTTGTGCTTGATTTTTATTGATAATCACTCTTATCAGGATTACTACTTTAATGTTAAATCAATCCATTCAAGTCTTATTGAGTATTTTCTTAATTTGTAAAATTACTAATTAATCTAAAACCAACTGATTATGGCATATTAAGAACCATATCTTCATGAGCTTCATAACTAAATATTTCATCTTCTAAATATCTACCAGAATTTTATGTATTATTTTATTATTTGGTGTTTTACATTTAATTAATATAAGAAGCTTAGATTTCTACAATTTTAGAATCATCCTTAGAATCAACTGTTTTAAAAAGATTTTAGCTAGAAACTGAAGAGGCATAAACTTAAGCTTATTACATTAAATCTTGTTCTCGACAATGACAAATACGATTGCCACAAATTATTGCTTTTAATTCAAATGTTCCTTCCAATAGGGAATCTAAATTTATTGTTAAACGTTTATATTATTGATAGTATTCTGGATGAAAAGCTTTAATCTGTTTCATATCCAATTAACTGATCTTATATATAATATGTTATTAGAATAATTATATAAGAGAATAATAGAACCTAAAACTATGAGGCAATAGGAATATCAAGTGAAGTAAATCCTCAATAATAAAAGATATGATATCTAAATATTCATTGACATATTTATTCTAATAAGTAATGATGTACATTAACTCTAATAAATGATAAATAATTTACAATTATAAAGGCAAAATAAAGAAAAATAATTGATAATAGTATTCTTTATGAATAATTAGGAACTTAAGGTTTAATTTTAAATTATTTATAACAACGACATTTTAATCCCACTTGTACAACAACTCCAATAACCCAAGGTGTATTTAATAGTTTTTCTTGAGCAAATATAAAATTATCGTCTTCAATAGCTCTTGATTATGGATCTTTTTTAAGTTAGAAATATCCAGAAATACTATTTGTGTTTTCATTCAATAATATATTTCCAGTAAATGATTTTTTAAACAAAACTAGATTATGAGAGTCAACTAAAAATAAATAATGAATTTAGAGTACATTTATTTTGAACTAATGGTTTTCTTATAGATGTATTAGAATACCCACAAAGCTAATTTGAGATAGCAAAGTTTTCATCATTGCAATATAAGACAAGAATATCACAAGATGCAATTTAATTCCTTTCTACTATAATTACATCTCCTATTTAAACTTCAGCAGCTCTTATTGATTTAATTAAATCTATTTTCTGTTCAATTTTAAGAATTTTAGAATCAATAAGTTTTTTTGATCGTGAAGTATTTTTTTCAAAAATACAAGGTACTTATTACATAAATTTTCTAATAGCAGGATCTTAAACCAATTTATTTTTTAATTCATTTTTGATAATCATGTCTTAGTGAATAAGTGGACTCATTAAGGATACTCTTGATGCCATTTTATCTTATCTTGGGGATCCTGCATTTTTACCTTAATTTATTGATTATCTTGATAATTAAGATTATACTATTAAATAGAAATTCAAATTTATACTTCCAGAAGATCTGCTTTTATAACTGAGTTAACGTTGGACTTGATCATTCTTAATAGGAATAATACGATCTTTTTCTTTATTATCTTCATTCTTATTTTTTTAAGCAGCATTTTATTTGATTCTCTTTAAGATCTCTTTATTATTTATACATTCATCCCACTATTTCAATATTTTATTTTCCTAATTGTTTAATTTAATATCTAGACCATTAATTTTGAATTTATTATACAATTCAACACTAATGTGTGCGAACAGTTAAAAAGAAAAGATGAAATAAAATTCATATTAAGGTGAATCTCTAAAATATTTTGAAAAGTTACATGGACCAAATAGAAGAAAGTAAAATCAAACAAATTGCAGATAGAGTGCAATACATTATATTGTTCCTAGCGACTCTAAAAGGAGCCAATAAAAGAATCGACAAAATGGAAGAGGTTCTATTAATGCGATTGGAATAAGTGGAGTAGCCATCAAGTTTAATGATCTCGCCATTCCTGAAATGCAGCTGAAATTAAGGATGAATATTGCACTTAGTAGGTTTTTCTTTTGAACTCATCGTAGTGCTGAAAGAGTTTTTACATTAATTTATAATTAATTTTAATAATTGCTATTAAAGCTATCAAATTCCTGTGATTAGATAAAATGTTCTAGGAATGAGATATTGAATAATCCCCCATCTTTGTTCGATTAAGTGATCATTAATGAGAATTCTAGCATAATATTCAGTTAAATATAAAGTGATCATCACTGAGGTACCTATATAAATTAATACCCAAAAAAGAATATTAAACCATCCCTTAAATATTTAATATAAAATACTTATTTGAATACTTCTTTAGCTTATATGAATAAAATTCCAGGACCAGTAAATAATAGAAAACATATTGGATAGAAGAAGCCTAAAGCAAAAGTGAGAATGATCTCATGAATAACAGCAGAACATCCAAAAGTTATCAATTATCTAAATAATCTACTTCTTTTGCCTTAACTTAACTTTTCACTATCCAAATAAACATAATAATAAAGGAATTCATGAACAATTATATTCCATTTCCTATAATACTGTCCAAATTCTGAAGCTGTCCACCAATCATGATAAAAAGTTCTGTCTGGAAATCGCAGTAGTTCTGCCCATCCATTAAACCAACTGTGAAGCAAACCAAAAAATACTAAAACCAATGAAAAAGTGGACGGCATCATTAATTTAAAAAGAGTCACTATGAAATTCATCAATGTTAAATTCTCTCTAAGATATAAATATATATATAAAATATACCTTAATTGTAATATTGGTTCTTTACAGAAAGATCTAAATAAAATGAATCCATAATAAATGCATAAAAAAAAGTTAGCGAATTCTATAACTACTTTTTTCTTAGAATAATTGGGAGCTTTCACATAATAGTCTCTATATAATAATGTTGGAGCCAGAAAAAAGTATGTATATCTTTTAAGTTCTTAGGAAATTGATTGAATATTAATATCAGGAAGCAAAACATTCTTTTTAGTTATTCCCTTTTTCTCAAATGATTGCAGGATAAAGTATTTATATTTATTATCTGTACCATATAACATCTTATTACGAGCATATGAATAGTTTTTCATCATCATTCTAACAGCTTCACACATTACAATCATTCTTGAACCAAATCCATTCTATATAAATTTATTTTAATTACCACCCATGCTGATGTCATATAACATGCTGCCAAAATGCTTATTGTCTAATGAACACTAAATATAAGTATAGCTTTAAATGCCTTTACATTGTTTTAGTAACAGTAGGTCACCCAATATACTGTCAAATAACTGGATAAAACTAAAGCAAACCAAATTTCAGCCACTAATAATGGAGTCTAAAAACACCAAAAGAAAGTTTCCATATCAAATATTAGTCCTCTCTCTAAATAATCTTGTATCCAAAGATTTGCCATCAAAATAAACATGCTAGCCACCATCATATGATAAAGAGTTTTATAGTCTGATTATTTCAACATCTCTGATAAAAGAGATGGCTTATATCTATTTCATTATCATTATATTCTTACCTAAATACTTTCTCCATTTATCTTTCTTAATGGTTTATTTAACTTACTTTGTGGTCAAATTAATCATCTCTTAATTCATTGATTGTTTTAGATATTTGTTATTCAAATTATTCCATCTCCTCTCGAATAGAGTCTTCCAATTTCTTTTATGTTTGTAATACTTTATTTTCTATATGACTAATCATTTTCACTTTGTATTCAAGTAGATCATTCTCTAAATCCTTATTCACTATTTCTTTCATAATATTATCTGATTTCCTTACTTCTTAAAGATGCGATTGCTGTCGTTGGTTAAGAAGAATCGTTCTCTTTTTCTACTTTTTTCTATTGCTATTTCTTTCTCATAAAAATATAATTTATGATCACCAATAAACTCAATCCTTAAGATTATATCGCAAAGAAACGGCTAATATACACATCTTACTATATTAAACTTCATTTAATTCCTCTATAAACTCTTTTAGGATCATTCTAAATTACCTAAACATGTGCTTTATCAACAATAATTTCTAAAATATACCAAGCTTGTCTTAGATGATGGCTAATCAATAAAAATGAGATAATATTTTTCATAATACTCAAATACCTCTATAACTTACAAGTGTATATAACGTTACATTTTAAATAATTTGTTTGCATTAAAGATTTTAATACAAATAATTTGTTTAAATTTATCAAAATATTTATGAATATATTTTTTATAAACAACTATTATTTTTAAATACAAAACATTCATTTTGATAACCACTTTTCTAACTCTTTAATATTTATTTAAACTTCTTTACATATACTGTGATTAGGTCCTAATACCTTTTAGTAATATTCTAAGGAAATTTAAAAGAATTTCTTAGCTTAATCAAATTTATCTTATGTTCCATACAACACTCCAAAATTGTTGTATATATCCCCTAATGTAATCAAATCTGATGCTGATTTGCTATTAGAAATTAAACTTGCTGCAGTTTTATACTATAGTTCAGCTTATTTGAAATCTTTCATCTTTCTATAAGCCAATCCCACGTTGTAATAAATTTTTGCCAATCTTGTACTTTCATTATCACCTCTCTTCATAAGTAACTCTATACCCTCTTAGTAATACTCTAATGCTTTATTGTACTTCTGTATCCCCATATAAGAGGCACCTATATTCTTAAGAATATCGGCCATGCTATCAAATCTCTCATCAACTGTACATTTGACTAAATTATCATGATAAAATTATTTAAGTTAATTATAATGTTATAATGCTTCTTCATATTTACCTTCTTCTAAAAAGCTTTGAGACAACAACTCCTGACTTTTCACAGTTTGTTTAGCATATTATCCATAGATTTATTTTCTTAATGTATATGATTCTTAGGCAACTTTAATCGTTTCAGCCGATTTACCTATTTTTTAGTAACATAAAGCAATTTCAAAAAGAGTATCAGATAATCTTTATTGATTTGTTTATTGATGTTTTCCATATATTTCAGCTGTAATTGAATAAAAAGAGATTGCAATATCAAATTATTATTTTTCATAATAAACTCTTGCCAAATTATTATAAGTAGAACAGAGAATAGGACTACGATCTCCACATAATAATTTTTTGATTTATAAGGCACTCTTAAAATATTTGATTGCTTAATCATAGTTTTTTAATTTCTTATGAGCCATAGCAATATTTTATAAAATCACAGCTCCTCCTAAATTATTTTCTCCAAAAATTTTTTCTTTAATTTGATAAGCTTATTCATAATGTTTGATAGCTTTTTCAAATTCACCTTTTTTACGTTTAACAATTCCTAAATTATTATAACCATCAGCAACAGATGAATGTTTATCTCCATTCAACTTTTTATACAATGCAACTGATTCACAAAAGTTCTTTTCAGCCTCTTCATATTATTCTAAATCACAATTAACAGTTCCTAAACTATTCATAATATCTGCTTTGGCATTATCTTTAGATAATTTAATAGCATATTTTAAAGCCAGTTCATAATGAGATTTAGCATGTTCAGGTAAATTCAATTTTTCATATGCTTCAGCTAATTTGACTTCTCTCATCATCAAATCTTAGGGACTTAAATTCTAAAAAAATTTTACAGATAATTTTTACTTTCTTGTCTTATTAAGTTTTCAAACAATTAACAAAAACATCTTCATTTGGTTTTTTGAATAAATCTTTATAAGAGGAAATCAATAATAATAAATCTTCAAATGAAATGCGTTTCTGATCATCCTATTCTAACATTTTAATAAGAATCTATTCAAAAATAGAAGGTGATTTAAGTTTCCTTAAAATTTCAATTTCAATCTTAAGAGATTCCCTATCCAATCTTGGAATCAACTTGCGCATTAATAAAAAAGTGATTCCAATAGAATAAACATCAGATGTATAAGGATCATAATTTAAATGCTATTTGCCAACAAAGAAACGACCTTCCTTGTCCTTTTGTAAATCACAAAAAAAGTATATTTCAGCTAATTAAAAATAATATATAATTAAATACGAGCCCAATAAGCTGGAGATCCACGAACAGTATTTAATTAAGTCTATTTTGGTTTTAAGAACTTGGCTCCTCCTAAATCAGCAATCTTATAGGATTTATCTGCTTAACAATACAGAATATTTTAAGGTTTAATATCACGATGAGTGACATTATGTTTCTTCATAATGACGAACCCATCTATTAATTAATGTAAAATATAGAGTAATTCTTCATCAGTCCATTTAGTTTTATTTTCTTCTATTCTTACCTTGTATTACACCTTGAAATTATACCTTTAAAAGTTCCATTAAATTACAATCGCATAATTCCATCACTATTACTAGATATTTGTTATCATCCTTTATACATGGATAAATATCATAAATCTTAAGTAACCCTTAACAACTAGTTTATGATAAAGTTTGCATAATAACTATTTCCCTCACTGCTGCTTTAAATTCTGGATCTTAATCACTTTCATCATCATATCCTATAAATTTCAAAGCATATTTCTTTCCTGTTTTTTAATCCAAAGATGCAAACACTTATCCGAAAGTCCCAGCTCCAATTTCCTTAGTTATGTTACTTATCTTACCTGTTTTATATCGAAGATTTCCCAATTATAATTTTTATTAGCTGCTTTATCCTTTATCTATTCAATCTATAATTTCATTGCTTATTATAAATCTGATGGTTCAAGTACTACTATGATTTGATTTTGATTCATTCGAATTGTCATCTTTTCATCCTTCCCTCTATACTTCAAAGATTTGCTTTCAAAATTATTTTATTCCATTAAAAATTTATATGTAATGTAATAATAATAACTTCAAATTTCAATTCCTTAAGAGTTCAAATATACAACTTAAATTTAATATATATTATTATTTTTCCTTAAATTTCTTACTATCTGCTAATGATAATAGATCACCTAAACTCACTAAATTATTAATGACTTGTAAAATTAAAAGAATAATTACAGAAAATGATAAACCAAATTTAGAATCAAAGAACAATAAGTTTACAATTTTTTTGAAACCTATAAAAATCAAAAATTGGAATTAATATATAATATAAACTGCAACTGCCCTAAAAAATTAAATATAAAAATTAATAGAAAACTAATTTTTATGAAATTCAAATTTCTAATCTATTGAATGAATTGAGAAACTTATTAACTAATTAAAAAAGGAATCTTACAAATCTTGTAATTGATCAAATATAAATCTTAATTAATTAACTTGAAATTTGCTATGAAAACTGAAATTCTATATTTTAATCAATAATAAATCAATCAAATTAATTATGCAATCATAAAATAGAAAAAAGATGAAGATTGCAAGAGTGTCATTCTCTTGAAATTATTTATAAAATAAGAGAATAAGAAATTTTGGATTTATTATAAAAATGAAACAGATGGATAGTCTTAATTATAAACTAAAAAATAATAAAAATTGAGTATTCTAAATAAAAATATATAATAACTAACTAAATATTTGCCTAATTTACAGATATTACATTTGTTTAGAGTTGCATATTTAATAGCTGTTTTAACTTTTTCATTTTTAAATAAATATAATTGAATATATTAAATTGTAGTAGTAATATATTTCATCTATTTTAATTTAATTTTGTTAATTATAATTATTATAATAACTGATTTGATTCCTCTTCTTCTAATTCCTCAAATATTGTGTCTTTTGGAGTAAACTCTGAATTTTAGTTTACATGTTGAGCAACTTTTAGAAATTGCATATTTAATTGATTGGAATCATCTTCAGATGATACTAAAATTAACCTTTTTTCATCATCTTGTAATAACTATGAAAAAACTCTAGTTAGTTCATTCCTACTAGATGTTTTATCTTCTGCTTTTTCAAATGAAGTAACTAAAATTACAATTAAATCTCTATATTTTTAGAACCATTTGGCAACATCATATAAACAATTTTTCATTAAATCATTCCTTTGATAATCAACAGCTAATAATAAACATTTAATTTGACTTTTAAGAAGTGCCTCTCTTTTAAAAAATTTTTAATAAATTTCAATACATTTTTCTCTCTCTTCAATAGATTCTTTCATATTTAAGAAAGGACATGAAACTACATAAAAATTATTTTTTGATTCTTGATTTTTTAATCTATGGGATTAAAATTAATATTGCTTGGTATTAGTATTTGATTTTTTTAGTTTCTAAAATAATGTGTTAGAATAATCTATTCCCAAAATAAGTGATAATTAATGTTAGTTTCCATACTTTTCCCTATACAATCCTATAGTCTTTAAGAAATAATTAAATGCTAAATTTGATATAAAAAGAAATGGTGCAATAATAATAGATAGCAGATAGTAAATGAGTGTTTTGATATTAGATATAAATGATAATGATAATAATTTAAATTTATTATCAAAGTCAAATATGCTATGAGACATCAATTAATTCTATTAAGAATTGAAATGTAATAAAATATATTAAATAAAATTAATTAAAATAGTACAGATATAGATATTTAAATTAGAAAAATAAAAAATAATAGATTCATACTTTTTTTCCATCACACCATTCTCCTGTTTATTTGTTGCCACTTGGATCTATAACTTCTCCTTTGCCATGTTATTTTCCATCTTTCCAATAACCTTTATATATTTTTCCATCTTGCCAATAAAATTCTCCATATCCACATTTTTTATCCTCTTTATATTCTCCTGGAATGATTTATATAAAATATAAATACCTAAATATCTTTTACCATCTGGCCAAATAAAGGTTCCTTTTCCATCCATTTTATTTTCTTTCCATTCTCCTTAATATCTCCTTTTATCAGCCCAAGTATATTCTCCTTATCCATGAATTTAATTATCAACAAAGGTTCCTTGATATTTTGCACCATCACTCCAAGTAAAAATACCAATTCCATTCTTTTTACCTGATTTATATTATCCTTCAAAAAATGAATTATCTGTCCAATACTCTTTACCTTCTCCTTCTTATAGATTTTCCAACCATTATCCTTCATATCTTGCACCATCATAATGATAATATATTCCAAATCCTCTAGCATTACCATTCATCCAAAAACCTTCATAAGCATCACCATCGACATATATTATTCTGCCATGTCCAGTAATCATATCATTTTAAAATTAACCTTCATATATAGATCCATCCTACCAAAATTATTTACCAAAACCTTCTCTTTTTAAACCATCCCAAGTGCCTATATATATAACTTCACCTTTTATTTAATAAGGAGGCTGGGTTTAACCATTAATTTAAATTTATTATTATATTGGAATGTATTTTCCTATTCTTTCAAGAGTTCTTTTTATGTTATTATTAGTTATTTCAATTGGCTATTCATATAGTCTTAAATCAGGATGCTAAAGTTATTAAGAGACTTCAATCACTTTTTAAATATCTTATTTTTATTATTATTTATAATTAACTGGATGATCCTTCTCACTTTTTATTTGTTCCAACTCTTATTTCTTTTCATCTGTTATTTCAGCACAAACTTCTTAAGATATTATAATTTAATTCTCTTTAGTTATGTATTGAATTTATTCAACTTATACATGAGTTTGATTTTGATTATTACTATAAATTTGATGATTTAATATAGGTTGTTGAATACAACATTTTGCTCCCATTTTTATATTAATTTTAATTTATAAAATTTGTTCAACATGAGTTAAAGAAAATTGTTCAGATACTATATTGATCAAAGTATCTAATAGTAAAAAGAATAGAAACTCTTTCTTACAAGAGTCAATAGATGGAGATTCAACACTTTGGACAAATCAAATTGTATTAAAGATTATGAATTTATTAGTCTTGAAATCATCCAGACCTATTAAACCCATTCTATTTGGTTTAGCTTGTTTAGCAGTTTATGGTACATTATTTTTATATACGTAGATTGGACTTATGGATTTTATCGTATTGATGAACATCATTGATTTATTATTAACATAAATATATATTAATAACAATATGTCTACTCATGTTATTCAAACATAACAAAATTTAACAAATACTTAATAAGAGACTAAGTAATTCACTTATAATAATTAGTTTTAGAAATCGTATCAGATCTCAAAAATTATACTTATCAACACTTATTAAATTCATTTTTGCCGTATTTTTGTTTCTAATGTTGAGTCTTCAAATTTAATATCAATTTAACGTGAGTTTCATTTTTATGCTTCTATTACTTTACAATCTTATTGATTTTTCGAATGTTTTTTACTACCATTTTTAAATGAAGAAATTAGAAATACTATTGTAAACATTATCAATTATACAGCAAGAAGAAAAAGTTATTAATATACCTTGGAACCAAAATATTTGATTTATTTTACTTAATATGTCTTGTATTACTTAAAATATTGGGGTATCAATATTTTGTTTACAGCAATGTATTTTTAGTGATTGCAATCTTATTCAATTTATACTCCCTCTATTCAGATAGAATACTTTTGGAATCACTTTAAATGTTAAACAAAATTTCTTTACTTTTCAGAATATACATTTTAATTTGTTCCATATTCATCACCTTAAAAATAGATAATATTCTAAAATGGGATTGGACTTCAACTTTATGGAGTGTTTGGGTGGGTTTAATTTGTTTTATTGGCATTAGTACAGGATCCTTGATTGTTACATTTAGTAGGATTATCCAATATATGTTTGATCGATAGAATCTATTGAAATCAGAATGTATTTATTCCTATTATAAATTTATAGTGATTTTCTATATATGGATAACTCAGCTTCTCATATTTGGATGTATCTCTGTTTCATTAAGTTCCTTAGGATATTTATAGTATTTGTAAAATCAACCAAATTATTCTCACAAATTCTATATACAATAATATTTCATTATTGCTGAATTCATCATCATTACCATATATTCTCTATATTTTCGTTTAGATATCTGCGAATAAATATTTTTAACACTATAAGATGATGAACCAATTAATTAATAATAATTTTCAGTTAATATGTAAGTAAACAATTAAACTTTGTAATAAATCAATCCAATTTCTTCAAGATCTTAAATTCCTTAGGTTGTATAAAAAATATCAAAAACCTACTTTGGAATTCCCAAAATCAAAAAAGAACGTGAACAAGATTCAATCAGTGGATCACCTGTTCTTAAGAAATCCTCTAAAAAACACAAACGTGCATTTTCTAGTTAAGGAGTTGCTTCATAAATGTTTTAGGAAATAGATTAAATTGTGATTGATAGATAACAATCAAATAATATAAACAAAACAACCTCTAATGAATTAAAATTATAACTCGATAAAAAAAGATGCAATTCTCATTTAGTAACAGTATACTATTGTTTTAATTATTAGATTGCTCATGATGAAACTATTTAAAATAATAAACATCAAGAAATTAGCATGAGTCAAACAAGCAATGTTTGCATAGTTTGTTATGAAAGAGGACCAAATGCTGTTTTTATGAATTGTGGTCATGGAGGAACTTGTTATTAATGCGCAATTGATATTTGGAAATAGAAAACTATTTGTTATTTGTGTAGAAATGTAGATTTTATTTTTTTATTTTAGAAAATCGATTACATTTTGAAGGTTGATTTGGAAGACAGATATGGAGATTTATTTAAAGTTGTTTCTACTGCATAAATGATAGATTAATTTAATAAATGAAATAGCCATTTTTTTATTCATAGTTATAATATAAATTTTATAGATCATTTTTTATTTTAAACAGTAAAATTCATTTTATAGTTAAATGTCTTTATTGCTGGATCTTCGATATTTAAAAATACAAATAAATGGGCTTTTTTATTCAATTAAAATTTTATTTTTTGGCCCTCTAATGTTAAATTATTTAAATAAATTTTTAAATTCTATAATTATAATTAACACTCAACTACAATTGGAAAAAGCGCAATATTAGAAAACAGCAAAACTACTCCTAAAATTTAAAAAATATATTTCATACCTCTAGGATGTTATTTGATGGAAATTTTAGGATTTTTTATTTAGTTATATTTTGGATCTTTTAAAGACAACATATATTCAAATAAGGATTTTTTTTGAACTAATAATGATTATTTATTATTATAGTTTATTTCATATTAAAATGAGATGTCATTCTAAATTAATAAAATTCTAGGGTCAAATTTATAAAGGATTAGTAAATAGTCTTTAGGGTGAATAGATATCTTTACTTTAGTATCCATTTTCAGAGTATCATATTTTATCAAATTTTCATAGTGAATAAATTCAATATTATCTTCAAAGATTGTATCACCATGGTTTTCATAATATATATAAAAGAATCCTTTAGTTTTATCACTAGTTTTTTAAACGTTTGGAAATCCTTAATCCTTTTCATATAAAGTATTTAGGTTTGTTGATTTTTATCGGATCATTGAAATGATAAGTTATTTTAATTTTTCTTCATTTTAATTATTTTAATCAAATATATTGGGTGGTTTAATTGCTTAAATTTACAATTTCAATCTTTATTATAAATTTTTTATTTCTTCAGATAAATATGCAAGATTATAAAATTCTGCTTGACAAAGTAAAGTATATTATCCTTTTATTAATTCAATTTTAAGATAGAGATTTTGAGTAAAATCAATAGATTCAGAAATGAGTTCATAACCTTTTTTTTTATTTCTAAAAATTAAAAGTCTAATTAAACCATATTTGATTTAAGTTAATTGTTTAGAAGCACTAAAGTTAAAATCTCTTTAACAAATTGAGATCCAATAAGACTTATCTTCATTTATTTATTCATCAATTTGAAAAGTATAAATATACGTGTGTTCTTCAAATGGTATTTTTCTTTCAATTGGTTTTTACATAGTAAAAGTAAAAGTTTGATAATTATTATTCAAATGCACTTATGAAATCGTTTAAATCTATATAATGTTCCAACTTAATAGAAAATTAGATTCTTTCAACATGATTCCTAAATACATTTAGCCAGATACCTTCATTATGAATAGCTTATTAGTTTAATGCTTATAATTCTACAAATACTTTTTCATTTTAATCTTGAATAGATTTAATTACATAAGCATTGTTAATCGAATTTTGAAATAATTCAACATAAAGAATAGATGTTTTATCATCTAAAAGATTTTTTAAATCTTCAATATTGTTAATTCTAATTTTGGTAATAGGTGATCCAAATAAAATCTTAGAATAAATAATAGAATGATACATATACGAATGATTCAATTGAATGAGAAATCAAATGATTAAAAGAATTATAACTAGCCCCAAGTAATTTGGCAACAGCTTTTTCTATAATGATAGGCCATTAGTAATCACATTACAAAACACTATGAATACTATTATTAATATCTGTAATACAAGGAACTTTGTCATTTACAATAATAATTTTCCATTCACCCTAATCACAAAGCCATACAGCATATGGATTGTCTGTTTTCTCATAAATATCCTTCACGAATTGTATTTTAGATTATAATACATTAAAAGCATTAATAAGAGCACAATTCTTATAGTATTGCGATATATATAAAGATTTGCAGGGAAGTAATGAATTAGTTATATCAAGATCCTCAATTGAAAAGAATTTAATTTAGTTTGATTAATTATCTAATTAGCATTCTGTAATGTCATCAGGATTCGGTGAAAATTATTGAATAGTTTGAAGTCCCTAAATATAAATCTCCTAAAGTTTATTATACATTTTATTTTAATTTATATATTCTATTTAATATAAGCAATATCAAAGTCTTTTAACGAAGGGAGATCAAAAACTAATTCACCCAACCTAGATTTTCTTATATTTAATCTAATAATTATCTCATTTTTATTTTTCATCTCTTATCTAATTATTCTTATTTAACACTTAATTTTGTTTAATTACTGTTATTATGAGTGTTTTATAATAAAAGTAAAATTTTTGCTTTTATTTTTAGTTGTATAAGTGGTCTCTAAATAATTAATGCCTTATTTTGGTAGATTTTGTATTCAGCTATGAGTTTCTTACAAAAGTCCTATTTTAATTGGTAATTTAGTATAATATAGATATATTTATGATTATAGTCATAAACTATCATGATGATTATTGTATTTAATTTAGGATCTAATATTTGTTTTAGAAATTCTGTCTTTTATATCTGCTACTTTACAATTTAACCAAAGCATTATTAAATTCTTTTTTTAAAATATTTTAATTATTTCATGGACGACTCTTTTGAATTGGACATTTTATGTAAACAAAATCCTAATAACTCCTTTCTCTTAAAAGAAATAGAAATTGTAAACTATCTTAAATCTCTTGGAATAAAAATGAAAACTGATCCTGCTAACAAGTAGGAAGTTTTTCACTCTAAAAGAAAACAGTAATTCATAAAGTCTAACACTACTTAATTTGATGTTTCTAGTATTAAACAATTAGAAATATCCTCCAATTCAATAAAAACTCGCAGAACTCCTTCCCATACACCATAAAGTTCACCATTAATGGTCAATTAAGAAAATACCGGTCAAACTAGAAAATCTATATTTTCTATTAGATTAGACGCATTTGGAGAAGATAATTTTGAAGATGATGAAGTTGGAGATTATTTTACTAATATTTGATTTATCAATATCATTATCTATATACATCATAAACACTTTTATTCAACATATGTTAAGGCATTGGCTCATTTTTTAATAGTTTTGTTACTATTGATTACAGTTTTTGCTAATTCTTGTATTTCTAAATCTTGATATTAATATATTTACATTCTTTATTTCCTTTATCTCTTCAAAAATAGATGAATTTAAAGCATTTGTACATGATGAATCATCATATTTCACATTGTAAGAATTCATCCCGAAACCTTCATTGTCTTCTTCCAACATTTTTTATGTTTTCTGAAATTTCTATATCATCAATTTTAAACAATAACAAATTGCATATATAAATCTAATCTACTCAGAATTTTTTGCAATTTAAATAAGAATTTTTACAAATGATCCTGTCACTTCTTAAGGAAAATGCCTTTTCTTTATAAATCCACTATCCATTATTCTTATTATTAGACTTTCTTCTTCTTCAGTAATCTTTATTTTACAGTTCAAACATATGTCCAATAAACAAACATAAAATCTTTGCATTGTTTCTTTATCATCTATTCCAAATACTGATGCTGGACCATCAATAATTGATTATAATGCTAAAATTGTCTTTAATCTTAAGTTAATATATTTCAAAAAATTGTCCTTTTTTTACCTTAGTACATTCGTTGATTATAATAACAATCAAAAATTCTTTATATCAATTCAATGTTTATTAAATGAACATATTATAAAATACCATTTAGTGCAGATTCATAATATTTAGATACTCGAGGTAATTTAAATACCTTAAAATAGATATAAAAAATTTTCGAAAGAATTTCTCCATTCTTATAAATAATAATTAAAATTATAAATTACATTTTTTGATAAAGTCTTTTTATCCTAATCTCCTTATGCTTCTTATAATTCATTTTAAACTTCTTTCAATCATATTTTCTGTTTAGCCATCTCTTCTTTTATCAATTTTTTTTTTTCTTATCTTTCTCCTTTTAACTAAAATATTCTCTTATCTTTTGCTTTGCTGCTCTCTTCTTCTCCTTTCCTTACTTTTCTAATTCTTATGGTAAAAATTTAGTATCTATTTAAATTTAATTAACTAAATCTTCTGGATTATCTTGTAATTAATCTTCATGCTTAGCCTAATAAAGTTTTTATATTTAAATCAAGATTTATAATTTAGACTCATGTAAAGAATTCTTTTTATTGCTTAGGATATTAGAGAGAGAATTATAACATATTTAATTACATGTAAATAAACCATAAGTAATATACTAATCTAATTCTCTATTAATGAAATAATGAATTCAATAATTTACATAAACTAAAATTAATATATATATATCTAGATATAGTATTACCTTTAATAACAGGTTTCTACAAGAGGGCCTTAATTTATCAATTTAACAAAAGTAAATTGAGCTTTAATAAATTAGTAATAATTTTTAATTAAACTTAATTCAAAATTGAGTACTTATTTTTCTTCTTTTTTGATAAATTTTGTAATTTAAAATTCATGTGCTTATTAATCAATTATATATAATGGAGCAATATCAATAAATAAATCAGTTAATGCCATAATTGTCATCTGAACAATAAATATATTATCATGTTTGAGTAATTCAATCAATGATGGTAATTCAGAAATTTTCTAATCAAGATTTGCTTAAATTTCAGTTACTTTTTCCTCTAACATTTGAGTAATTTAAGTTAATGTAAATCCTCTCGGATTTTCAGACATTGATAAAATTATTAAAATTAAATTATAATATGATTATCATAATTCTAAAAGTGTATCAAAAAAATAATAACTGAAAAGAAACATTAAAATATGAATATTAAATATTTTGTATTGAATAGAAAATAAAAGAAAAAAAGAAAATTTTTTATTAAATTAACAATGTCTAAATATTCTGTAATTCTGCCTACTTATAATGAAAGGGAGAATTTACCCATCATTACCTATTTGATATTTGAGATGGCTAAAAAGAAGTAAGAAATAGAAATAAATAAAGTAATTTAGATTTTGAGATAGTAATAATAGAAGATAACTCACCTGATGGTACTTTATAAGTAGCATAAGAGTTAAAAAAAGTATATGGAGATAAATTGATAATTCATTTTAGAGAGAAAAAGTTAGGATTAGGATCTGCTTATATGGATGGAATTAAACTTTGTCATGGAAATTTTATTGTAATAATGGATGCAGATTTATCACATCATCCAAAATATTTGAAAGATTTCATTTAAAAATAAAAAGAAACAAATTGTGATATCGTAACAGGATCAAGATATATTAATAAAGGTGGTGTTATGAATTGGGGATTTGATAGAAAACTTACATCTAGAGGTGCTAATTTCCTTGCATCTACAATGTTAGGTGTTAAATGTTCTGATTTAACTGGAAGTTTTAGACTATATAAAAGAGAAGTCTTAGAAAAAGTAATTAAAGATGTTGTCTCTAGAGGATATGCTTTTCAAATGGAAATCATTATAAGAGCAAGAAAATATGGATTTACAGTTGAAGAAGTATAAATTTATATTTAATAATATTAAGGTACCCATTGTATTTGTAGAAAGAATCTTTGGAGAATCAAAATTAGGAGCATCTGAATTTCAAATTTATTTAAAAGGTTTATGGAAATTATTATGGACATTCTGATATATGAATATAAATATTTACATTAAATATATATTTAAAATATCTCACTACTTCTTTGATTTTGCTATTAACCAATCAACTACTTGAGTTATATTATTGCCAGTCAAAGCACTACACATTGCTACTGCCCATGCATTTGATGTTATATAATCTAAATTTAATCCTTTAGAATTTTATCATTAAGTATACCTTCTATCAATTACTTTTCATTCAAATGTGGATTTACATCTATTTTATTTCCAATTACTAAAATTGGAATATTACGCAAAGATTTATTATCTAACAAATTATGTAATTCCTTCTTTGATGTCCCAAGCGTGGTTTACTTTAACTTTATTTTTTTATATTACATTTGAAGTATCAACCAAAAATATTATAGCATCACATCCTTAAGCATAATTACCCCATTCTGGTCGATATTAAACTTATCCACCTATATCCCATATCTTTTTATCTTTTTTAATCATACTTTCATTGTTACACCTCCTTTCTTCACAGTTCTAACATTCAATCCAACTGTTGGTACTGTGAAAGAAGGATCACCCATTGAAAGTTAATTCAACATTGTTGTCTTTCCTACATTTTCTAATCCAACCATACATACTTCAAGTTTAGAAGTTGAAAAGAATGATTTTAATTTCTCGAATAAATTTCCCATTTGAGAATAATATATATATCAAACTAATTAAATAATCTATTCCTTTATTATTTTATATTTTTTATTACTTCCTAAATTTATTGTTAATTATTATCATATGCATTTTTAACTATATTTAATCTATTTCTATCTAATTTTATACTTTTTAATCAAATGCAAATCTTTCTATCAAACTAAAACTTATATATTTATTATATTTCCAATCTTTATTGTTTTTAAATTATAAATTAAGCTCTTTTTTTCTTGAAATCATTTAAATTTATGGAATAATTTTTATTTTTTTTTAAATTCTATTTTTTTAAGAGAATTTTAATTCATTTCATTAAGAATGTTTTTTATTAATTAAATTCAAGTCCTCCATGAAAAATAACATTTTAACTAATTCTGATATCAATTCTCTATCCAGAAGAAAATAATCTCATCCATTAACAACAGCACGATAAAATTCATCATAAACACATTAAACTCAAACTATATTTAAAACTCCTGAAAAATCAAGCATATTTAGGTAAAAAACACCATCAACAAAAACAAAACTAAAAACTTATAATCATGAATGTAAAGAAAATGAAAATAGTACAATTTACAAAAATAGTTCCTCAAAGAAATCTAATAGATAAATATAAGAAAAATAACCAAGTAACTTAATGAAGTAAATAAATTAAAAACTAAATTAAAAATCAGTATCAGTTCCTGACATCTTAGAAAACACAATAGATAACAATGAAATTAAGTAGATTGGTTTAACTTAATTTTAAAGAACATTTGCCTAGAATAGAGTAATCAAGATATAGGATTTATTTAGTTCAAATTAAATCACTATAAAAGAATTGGAAAAAAATTGGTAAGCACAATTAACATTAGAATCAGAATTAATAAAATCCATATAACCAAATGATAACATTTAGTAAATTAGAAATGATTCTAAGGATAACTTATTAAATTCTGTGGTTCGCATAGAAAATTCAACTAGTCATTTACCTATAATCTATGTTATTGATTTGGCATCATTGTGAATAAGTTGAAATAGTCTAGTATTTTGATTATGTAATTAAATTTAATATAAAGGCTTTAATTCATTTTTAGTTTTTGAGTTTTTTCTCTTTCTTTACAGCCTTTTACATTTACTTTTATATTAGAAGTTTGTATTGAAAATTTTTGACTTCTAATTAATGTAATTAAGCTTAATATGATTGAGATAGTTTATAATTTGGAGTTAATTTTTCATTTAATTGAGACATGTTTTCTATTATTTTTTCCATGTTTTGCATCTCTTTTTTAATTATCTCCATATAATCAGTTAAATATAATGCTTTTTCTTCAATAATATTTCTCTATAAATGTAAAGATTCAATAAGTTCTATCAAGTTAGCAAAATCCTTATTAAGTTCTTTTTCATGTACATTTACTACTTTCTCTAAAGCATCAGTAAGGAAAGTCTTATATGTTTTATTGAAAAACAATATTAGTTAGTCATAGTTATATTTCGCTAGATACTCTGTAAAAATGTTAAATAATCTAGAATTTCTGTTTTTATTACTTTAAAAAAATGTCTAAAATTTCATTTTGGATGTTTTTTGTGGTCAAAAAGGATTAATCGAATAATTTCTTGTAATAAACTTCTTTTAAATAATCAGCGATTTTTTTGGATTGGAAGCAATCTATAATTTCTTAATTAAAAATCAAATATTCATTTTCAAATTAATCAATTTTATTCAGAAACCATGAATATTTTAATTTAAAATAGGATAATTCTTTAAATGTAAGCATCTCTTCAAAAACATTTTCTTAAATTTTCATTCGTTCCTTGAATAATAATTGATATATTTCAATTGAAGGTAAAATAGGAATAATTTGTTTTTAAATATTTTCTTCATATTGAATTAAAAATTCATTTAGTTAATCATCAATAATACTTTCAAAAACTTTATTGTATATCACATCTTTAATAATATCATTAATTTTATCATAATTAGACACAAATTGTGCTAAGATTTATGCTAATTTAAAGAAACATCTACAATTTAGATTAAATCCTCTCCATTTTTTAAGAGGGATTAATCGAGAACTAAATAAAATAATAATTTATATACTTAACATGCTTGTAGTCATAATATTACCATTATAAATCGATTATATTTGATGGAAATTTTTTAGAAAAAGATACAAAATCACAAATTAGTTTTAATTCATTAATTTATTGAATGTCCAATTCATTTTATTCAATTTCTACAATAATAAGAGATTAAAGTCTTAAACCAATTTATTTGAATAGAGTAAGAAAAGTATTGAATTATTATATCGTTTAACAGGTAATGAATAACTCATCAGCTAAAAATATGGAATAATTAATTAGTTTAATATTTTATTAATTGATATCGGCTGTAATATAGCATTCAAGTAATAGTACATCAGAATTGTAAGTTTGAGCAATATCTTTAGAGATCCATACTCCTAACAAATTTTCAGATTAATCAAATTTGATATTTAAGAAAATGGAAATTTAACTTTGATTGTTAATTTCGTTAACCTAAAAATATATTTGATAACTAATACTAAAATGGATTTGTTTTTCATTTCAAAATGTTCATTACACAATTGAATATAGTCTCCATTCATACATCTATACTAAATTTACTAAGAAATAATTGTGTTGTGACTGAATGGAGCATTCTGATTATCAATATCTTCAAAATATTTAGGTCTGTCTTTTTAATTGATTTAACTGGTGTTAATTGCTTATCCTGTATAGGATGAGAAATCAGATTCAATTGAATCCTTTCTACGGGATCTGGTAGGGGTTAATTAATATAAATATCTATTCCTCATTTATAATATTAATCACATTTAAGCATTAGGGTGATGAACCCATGGTAAAAGAGTTCCAAAAATTGCTTACAATAATCCATTATTTGCATTTAGAGGATTAAAATTGATAAGAAACTATTGTTGAGGCTGTTATTATTAAGCACCAATATTTTCAGCAAAAATATTGTTAAAATCTAATCTATATAGAATAAAATATAATCATACCTTTCAGGATTCTCTAAGAAATGACTTTTAGATAATTCCTTATATCTTCTATATTGGAATGGAATCTCATTATAAATTGTTGTTCCTTCTTTAACAACAGTCAAATCTTCATAAAAAGAACTAAGGTCTAATTTTTGACTTTTAATATTATTAATAATCAATCCTAAAGCACTATTCAAATTATTATAATAGATACCCTTTAATCCATTTAAGAATTTCATTAGATTTCCATTATGATTTACTTTTTTCAACAAAAATACTTATAGATTTTAAAAATCCTTCGTTATCTTACTCTGCATCTAATTATAAAAACCAATGTAAATAAGTTTCTCTTTATAAAAATTCTTCAGTAAGTAATTCTTTAAATGGTTTTCTCTAATTTTCAATGAAGCTATCTAGATTTCCAACATTTTGTTTAATAAATTCATTACTTTCAGCTAATTATTTAAGAACAATTGGATATAAGAGAATTGATTAAATAATGAGAACTTAATGTGATGCTTATAAAGGATGAGGACCAAAATTATTAATAGCTTCAATTATGTTTTCATCCTTAAAAGAATATTGATGATTTTCTCCTTATTCTAAAAATTTAGCTAAAGCACAATTATATATCATATTTGGCATAAAAACAATAGAGGATCTATTAGTTTTATAGACACTTCTAACAAAATTGGATGCAAAGTTAATCAAATATTCATATTATTAGGCTTTGATTGAATTACAATCAATAAGGAAGAGAGCACCATATGGATCTCTAGTTGGACAGAATTTCAACAATATCTTAGAAAATCTATATAATATATATAAATTACTCTAAAGCTGCTTTGTAACATCCTTTTCTTGATAAAACATCAGTAAATTTAAATAAAGACATAAGAAATACTTTGCTATGAATATTATCTTCGATTTCAAGATTAACTGAAGGTTTTTCAAAGAATTTATTGAATGCATATCCTAAACTAGATTCATAAATATAAAGCAATCTCTCTAAAAGTTCATTAGCTTATTTATAATCTCCTTTTAATCTAAAATATTCACTGACATCAAATTATGCTTCACAATGAGAAGGATTCATTTATAAGAAATTAAAAATAGCTGAGGGATCATAATAACCCTTAACAATTGTATAATCTGATTAAAGTCTATCATATTATTGAGAAGCAACTAAACTAAATAATTATAAACCTTGTTCATTTAAGTTTCCAAACTTTACATTAAATTTATCAGGCAATGGAATATTAATAGCTGGGTTATATGTCAAATATTATTATTTAACATTTTTATGACCCTTCTTTTATTAACCACCACCAGCAATTTTAGCATTTTTGAAATATTATTATAATTCTTTATTATAATTTAATCTCTTAATATTAATAGATAAAGGACCATTTTCATCAGATTCTTAAAATTGCATAATTTAATCTTACTATTATTGTGTTTATTAAGCTTAAATTTTATCAAGGAATTCAAAATCATCATCTTGATTTTATTCACATTTTTGATAGAGTTCTTATTATTGTTTTTTTTCTTTCTTCTTCTTATTTTTATTTTTCTTTTTTTTTTGATTTTTGTTAGATTAGTCATTTTATGTTTGAATAGTTTCCTCAGATAAATTAGTTTAACATTCTTCATCTTTATATTCTTGTTGTAATTCATCTTCTGAATCAGATATTTCCATCATTTGAAATACTTATTTTTATTTTTTTTATTGTTCTATTTGATGAACTTGTTTAACTAATTATTCATCTACAATCTCTTTAGGTTCATTTTATTCCATTAACTTCTTCATTTATCTCCTCATGTATATTCTTTTATAAATATCTGTATTAAATAATAAATATAATTCAATCATCTACAGCATAAATTAACCTGAAAAAGTAAAATTTGAAACAAAGAATTAATGCTACGTTGAATACTATAATAGGTATGGCTATCATAAGTGTAGGTTTGCTTTTTTTCATAAAACTACGAAATAATATTAAATAAAATTTACTCCCACAAATTAACCAATAAGAAAATAGTGCTGTTTGCAAGGCCACTCATTAAAAAAAACCATTAAGCTTCATTATATGGAATGATACATAAAATAAGTACAAAAATATAAACACTTAATGAATATCCATACATACAGACAACATCAAATACTCCTAACTCACTTTTTAGAATATATTTCATTATAAAACCTAATATAATGGGTATTACAAATGCCATAGCATAGACTAAAAAAACAGCAACATACATATAATTATATTCGTATTAAAAATGTTTTTTATCTTCTTCCAATAAAAAGCGAGATAGATTTCCTCCTGCAAATAAAATAAAGATTATAGTGGTGGAAATCCATAAGGGTCCCCATAAATCAGGGTTTTTGGCAACACATTGTTAAAATTCAGGTTTCCAAGATAAAAGTGAACAACGAACTCTCATATATACATCTCTTTATTCAATATCAAAGAATTTCTAATAGTATTCAATTGTGCAGATTGGACATGCAGAAGGTTTAGGTTTTGGTTCAAATTTAACTTTGATTTTAGGTTAATCTGTCATCACTTATCCTTTCTCATCCAAGTCATTCTAGTTTAGATATGTAATACATTAGATCCATAGTTTTGCATTATTATTATTATTTTAATATAATTATATACTTTTCTTAATTACATTAATTTCAAATGTGTATTTAACATAATTATTACTCTTAGATTCCTCTCTGATTTTTCCATCTACAAAGAATGTTTCAATACTTGTAAATGTAGTAGATTTTGGTTATATTTCATATGGTAGATCATTTAGTGGAAATTTAGCATATAAAAAATACTTGTAATCCACTTAATATAATTTTGAATTCAAAATATTGTATTAAAAATGGGATCAAGTTGTCAATTCATATATTAAGTAATCAATGTCGAATCAGCATGTACGAAAATGCTTGTGATTGTAAATAATCATGAAGAAAATATTAGTAAATTAGGATTAATTGCTGAATATGGCTCGGAATAATCTTTTATAATTAGAGGTTGTAGATATTGTGCATAAGATTCAGATTTAGATGGTCATTTAATTAATAGAGAAGTTATTATGAAACATCTTAGATAACTATGTATTCTATAAGAAAATGATCTTATCACTTGATACTTGATGGAATTAAGTTCTCTTATTTAGATAGCTATGTTTAAATAATTATTAAGATTGAATACTAAAATTATGGAATCTATATTCATTAATGAAACAAAAATTAAAATTATAAAAGAGCTAAGATATAAAATTATGAGAATTCACTAAGTTAAATTTTCATCCTTAATTATAAATGGAGAATTTTATTAAGGTGATTTTATTCTCAAAGATATTGGTGAAAATGCTATTTTAATGTTGATCATTTTGGAGTTTTTGGTACTATTTGTGATAGTTTCTTAAATATATCCAAACCAAAACTATGTAATAAAACATGATTAGATTGTATTTTTATTTTATTTATAACTAGAAAATATTCCTATAATTACTATTCTTATATGAGCTGAAATTGTTTCACTTGTATTCTTACTTTTATTTATCATCATCCTTCTGATACGTAGAATGATGTTAAAAAAAGTTAGAAATGATCTAGGATCTTAAGTGGATATCAAAGAAATTATTATATTATGCCATAATCTTAATGAATAATTTTATAAATATATCATCATTTAATTAATACATTTAAATACTCAAAATATTTATCTCAATTCAAAATTTATTTAACTTCTATAAATTTATATAATTCACTTTAGAGTATAATTTATTATTTTATCAATATCAAAAAATTATTTGATTAATTTTTATCAATATATCATGAACATTTAGAATCAAATTTAATATCTATAATTGACTTTGTAGTTTGAGTATTATAGGTTTTCACCCAATCTGATATTTAAACAAAAGAGGTTTCTGTGTCAAATAAGTCTTCCTCGCATTTTTAAGAATCATTTTTATATAAATTTCTAAATGATAAAATCATCATCTCTGCGTTTTAAATTTAATTATTCTCGTTAAATGAATTACTTTATGAAAATGAAAACTTATTTTGAAATGAATTAGAAAAGTTCTCTAATTTTAACATTTATCTAAATAGTAATTTTAAATAATTATAATCTGGCATCTCCATGTAAGTTAGTTCATCAATATATTATTTAAATTTCATAAATAATTATGGAAATTTTTATGTTAAAACCAATGTATTAAATACCGCTTCCTTAATTTCTCCTATTTTTCTGATTTCTAACTATTAAGATCTATATTGTTAATTACATTACCATGGAAGCTTCTCTAAAATAAAAAATTAATTATTTTACTGTTTCTTAAATACACTAACATATATAGAAGACTTTCTAAATCATCTTTAAAATGAAGCTAATTTCCTTTATGAGCCTATCTGCTTGCATATCTTAAAGAACCCACAAAATATTTATTTTATGAAATTTTTGATCCTGCTCTCTGAGACAATCCAAAATCTATTAATTAAATAAAACCAGGTTTTAAAATGTGTTCTATAGGAAAATTTATATGAAACTCCTTTAACATAATATTCTCTGGTTTTATATCAAGGTGTAATACGTTTTATTTATGAACTTATTCTAAAATTTCTAAAATGCCTAATCCAATAGCAAGTATCTAAGAAATTGTCATTGAGCTATCCCTTAGTATGTCTTAAAGGTTACTTTTCAAGATAGGTGTTATCAAATAACCACTAATTTGAAATAATACATTAAAATACCAAAAATCTTTAGTTTTTCCATAATCAAGTAATTATGGTATACCAATAATACCTTTGAGATGCTTTAGTTTCTGCACTTCCGCTTCAATCTAACCTAAATTGGGACTTTTTTCAATTTTCATCGCTAAAATTTGAGAAGTTTAGTTATGATAAACCTTCATAACTTAATGTCCAGACCCAGACCCCAAGTAAGATAAAACGCGATACTCTGAAATATAAACACTCATTTAGTATAATTAAATTATCAAAACGAAGTGTCTAATGATTTTATCTATTATTACTACCCATAAATCCATTTAAATATATGCATGAGTTTGTAACATAAATTTAAATGATAAATAAATTTGAATGTTATTTATATGAAAACAAATTAAAGATTTAATAAATTGCAAGGCATTTAATAAAAGTTTTAAAAAAGATTCAAAACCAATACAAAAATCATGAAAATGAAATGAGACTTCTTCCTACTTGAACTTCCATTCCTCTTTATATTTATATTTTTTCAGATCTTAATAAATGCAAAGTTCCAAATTTGGAATGGTTATCAAAAAGATAAACCTTCTTATCTTGAACCTATAATTTAGCATGATTTCGACTAACAGATATATCATTTACTCTTATATCAGTCTCATTTGATCTCCCAACCTTTAGTTCTTAAACATTTAAAAATTTCAGTATGTAAATTCCAGAACTATTATTCCATTCTAATTACTATCCCTATATATTCTATATTAAAAAAGAAATACTTATTTATTGGTGAATTCCATCATTAAATAAGGGTAATCATTTGGTTTACTTAATTCAACTAAATCATAATAAGCATCATCACTTTTGAATTTGGGAGGATAATTATATTTGCATAATTCACATTCTAAATTCTTCCATAAATAAACTATACAATTGTCACTTTATCGATTTTCTAATTTCATTCTTAACCAAGTTTTTAAGCATTCTAGATGAATATATTTAATTGATCCACTACATTTACAGGGATTCAGTAGCGGATTTTTAGGATTCTTTTGAGAAGAACAACAAACTCTACACATTGCTTATTCTGATCCATTTGATTAAGAAGATTCACACTCAGACCTCTATTCTTATGGTTTTATATCTAATGCTATTTAACGGATTGTAAATTTCACTCTTCCTAATTTTATAACATCTTCTTCTTGTAAAAGTATTCCATTTTCATGTATTACTTTCCAAATCTTATTTCCTATCTTATCTGACACAGTTCTTAAAATATTTATTATTTTAACTTGTTTACTATTGTATGACATTCCTCTTTTTCTTATATTACTTATTTCTTGTCAACATTTTGAAAATTTGGATTTACTATAAAATAATTTTCATTTTTTTTCTTTATTTTACAAAGCTCATCCTTTATAATTGAATCATTTTCAATCCATTCTATTTAATTACGACCTACTAAATAACCTCCACTATTTATCTTAAAGAGTAATTTATTAAATAATACAATAAATTTTTATTCCTGCACATTTGTAGCGTTCTCATAATCAAATAATGAAAAGGCATCTTTCTGCCAAGTTTTTACAACAATCACTAATTTTGTACAATCAATATTATTTGTTTAACTCAGACTCTTTTAATAACATTATCCTTTACAATTTCCCATATTTATTTTATTATATTTTATGATATGTGAAGAACTAATTTAATTTAGTTCTGATTCCTAAGTTTTGCCTCTCATAATCTCAAAGAACAAAATAAATTCTAAGTTGAAATTTATTTTTAAGACTTTATACAAAATGTAATCATTAATTTATTGTTGTATTTGAGGCCATTTAGATAAATTGGCTCCTTAAAATAAAATTTATTTTATATATTTCCAAGTAGATTCCAATAAATTTCAATTTTTAATTATATTCATAGATTACAAAAAAACTTATATCGATCAAGATTTTTTTTTATAATTAGTACAAAATATTCTTTAAGAATCTCTATTGTAATTGATTATATACAATATATTATATTTTAATTTTAAGAAAAAGGTTTTCTCATATAATTTAAGTAATTGTTTATAATTTCTAATTTAATTAAATTCATTTATGCATTAAAATAGACTTTTAAAGATCATAAAATAAAATATGAAAACATCCATTACTAGTAAAGAATTAATTTAAAAAAATAAATTTTCTATTATATTTTTAATAATAAATCATTAAATTTCAATGAATTTTTTGGATTAGAAGATTTCATATAATTTAAGAAAAATGTAAATTCATCTCTCCATATGATCAGCTTCTTTTTAAGGAAAATGAATGAAAAAAGATATGGCAATATATGTATAAAAAATTTAGTTATTGAAATTCTTATTGGAAGATTACAAAGTTAGAGAAAATAATTAAAAGAAACTTAATCATAAAATAACATAGGCTAGAAATATTTTTGGAAAACTTAAGTATAATATTTCCTCTTAAAATTTAAGTCAGAATAAAAAAAATTGATGGAAGCGTAATAGTCTAAAAATAAAAAAATATTAAGAATGCATANTTTCATTTTTTTTCTTTATTTTACAAAGCTCATCCTTTATAATTGAATCATTTTCAATCCATTCTATTTAATTACGACCTACTAAATAACCTCCACTATTTATCTTAAAGAGTAATTTATTAAATAATACAATAAATTTTTATTCCTGCACATTTGTAGCGTTCTCATAATCAAATAATGAAAAGGCATCTTTCTGCCAAGTTTTTACAACAATCACTAATTTTGTACAATCAATATTATTTGTTTAACTCAGACTCTTTTAATAACATTATCCTTTACAATTTCCCATATTTATTTTATTATATTTTATGATATGTGAAGAACTAATTTAATTTAGTTCTGATTCCTAAGTTTTGCCTCTCATAATCTCAAAGAACAAAATAAATTCTAAGTTGAAATTTATTTTTAAGACTTTATACAAAATGTAATCATTAATTTATTGTTGTATTTGAGGCCATTTAGATAAATTGGCTCCTTAAAATAAAATTTATTTTATATATTTCCAAGTAGATTCCAATAAATTTCAATTTTTAATTATATTCATAGATTACAAAAAAACTTATATCGATCAAGATTTTTTTTTATAATTAGTACAAAATATTCTTTAAGAATCTCTATTGTAATTGATTATATACAATATATTATATTTTAATTTTAAGAAAAAGGTTTTCTCATATAATTTAAGTAATTGTTTATAATTTCTAATTTAATTAAATTCATTTATGCATTAAAATAGACTTTTAAAGATCATAAAATAAAATATGAAAACATCCATTACTAGTAAAGAATTAATTTAAAAAAATAAATTTTCTATTATATTTTTAATAATAAATCATTAAATTTCAATGAATTTTTTGGATTAGAAGATTTCATATAATTTAAGAAAAATGTAAATTCATCTCTCCATATGATCAGCTTCTTTTTAAGGAAAATGAATGAAAAAAGATATGGCAATATATGTATAAAAAATTTAGTTATTGAAATTCTTATTGGAAGATTACAAAGTTAGAGAAAATAATTAAAAGAAACTTAATCATAAAATAACATAGGCTAGAAATATTTTTGGAAAACTTAAGTATAATATTTCCTCTTAAAATTTAAGTCAGAATAAAAAAAATTGATGGAAGCGTAATAGTCTAAAAATAAAAAAATATTAAGAATGTATATGTAACTGTAACTTAGAGATTTAAAATGAATAAAGATACTAAAACAATAAAATAAAAATAGGATCTTACAAATCAATCCAAATATTAGCTTTGGAATAGGAATAATAATTATTGATGTAAGGAAATTCGTAATTAATTATAAAGAGTTAAAGAAAACTATAAATCTCAAGAGCAATTATTGAAGTTACAGTGTGAATCAGAAATCTAAAAGTTTAGAGACGTGATGGACAAATAATTAGATTAGGATTAAAATTATCAATAATTAATTTAGCTGTGGGCACCTAAAATTAATTTAGAGCATGAATAAATTGAATTAGGGGTATTGATAATTTCTAATTTTTATAGCTTTTTATTTTAATAAATAGCTAATATTAATATAATTTAAATCATTTTTTTTCTAAGGCTTATTTGAATTTATCTTCAATTATGTCGCAAATTTATGATAAACATTTTAATCCATCATTCATTATCTTTTCTTTAGTTTCATTTACAGTTTATAATCGAAGATTCATTTTATTTTCGCTTGGATGAGGTAAACTATAACCACAAAATTCAACATTAGGTTAATTTGCTAAAATATAACGTAAAGAGTTTCCTAATGTATGATCTTCATCAAAAAATACAAAAGTACCATTGAATGGATCTGAGTTTTCCTATTTTAAATTATAAAATAATTAGATACTTGAATTTCCATTCCTTTAGCAGATTATGCTATAATGATTGGCTCGTTTAATTCTTCTTCTTCTATATTAACATCTTAATCTCCTGACTCACTAGAATTCATTAATTAATTTTTATTATTATATTAATTTTTTTTTCCATTAACAAAAATATTAAAATGTCAGAAGGAATATTTGTCTCTATCATGTTGCCGGCTTTTGTGGTTAAACATGAAAATTAAATTGTATATTCACTTTATATTAACAAAGGAGTAACTTTTAAAACAAATACTTTGCATCTCAACTTAATCCTATGAAATATTTGAAATTCCATCAAAGATTGGAAAAGAGTTTGGAGTTAAGTTAATACAAAATTGTAACGTAACCGCAAAATTAATTAGCATTAAATCTTCAAGATATTGAAGAATTAATAGAGGAGAATAGATAACTTCATGTATCATATTAAAAATGTAAAGAATCCTTATAAACTCTAAATTATGAATTTGAAAAAATTGTTAATGATCCTTTGATATAATCTGAATCAGATAAAATTAAATATTAAACTAAAAAATTGAAAAAAGTAAAGGAAGAAAATAAAAGACTTCGATAACTTTTAAAGTGCAAAATTTATGTATATTTTAGATCTTATCTTGATAATAATGATAATAGAAGAATGGAAACACATGCCAAAGTTGAGTTATTAAAGGATGAACTTAATTCATTAGTGAAAGTAAAATCTACTATCCCTATCATAAGGAATTTGCATAGCAAGAACAACAAAAGAAATAAAATGATATTTTAATATCAAATTGATTTAGACTATAAATTGAAATTTTCTTTTTTGAGTTATTTGAATATTATTGTCATAATTTCTGAATAATTGTCTTATATATTTAAAAATAACAGAAATGGAGAATGATAAATAATCTTAATTTGAAGATCATATATTATAAAGATTCGCGCTTTTAGAATTTAAAGGCAAAGGTGCATATGGAGTAGTATGGAAAGCACATGATAAATAAACTAAATAAATAGTGGCTTTAAAAAAAGTGTTTAAATAATGATATCGCTTAGGTATTTGATGCATTTCACAATAAAACTGATTCTTAAAGAACATTTAGAGAAGTAATATTTTTGGAATAAGTATCTAAAAATGCAAATATTATTAAATTGCTTTAAGTGATAAAAGCGTAAAATAATAAGGATTTATATATGGTATTTGAATATATGGAAACAGATTTGCATAAAGTATATAGATTAAATAAAATTAGGTAATAAGAGCAAACATTTTGGAACCAATCCATAAAAAATATGTTGTCTATTAATTATTAAAGGCAATAAAATTTTTACATTCTGGAGACATAATACATAGAGATTTAAAACCAGCAAATTTATTAATAAATGCTGATTGTATAGTTAAGTTAGCAGATTTTGGATTAGCTAGAACAGTGAATACTACAAGGGATGATGATGGTAAATATAACATTAGAATTATAAAAAGTTCCCATATTAACCGAATATGTGGCTACTAGATGGTATAGAGCACCAGAAATACTTTTAGGTTCATAAAAATATTCAAAAGCAGTTGATATGTGGAGTATAGGGTGTATTTTGGGAGAAATGATTATAGGCAAAGCAATATTTCCAGGAACTTCAACAATGAATTAAGTTGAAATGATTTTGGAAATATTGGGTACACCAACAGAGGAAGATATTAAATCTATAGCAGCACCTATGGCTAAACATATATTAGATAATTTTTAATATGTGAAGCCAAAAAACTTTAAGACTGTATTTAGTTAAGAAAGCGACGATACATTGAGTTTCCTCAAAAATTTGTTAGTCTTTAACCCTTAAAAGAGATTGACAGTTGAATAAGCTTTAGCTCATACTTATATGGCTGAATTTGCAGGTTCTGAAGAAGAAACAGTAATAGGTAAATTATTTTTTTATTTTTTTACTAGATTTTCCAATCTAAACTTTTATGGATGATAATGTATAATATAGCATAGAAGAATATATGACTGCACTTTATTAACATATCAATTAGAAATCTTAATAAATTTAACATTAAAATTGGTTTAGTTCTCATTAATCTCCAACAAATTCCAGTAAACCTCCTAGTTCAATTTAATAATCAACAACTCCTACTAGTGTTTAGGATAAAAGGAAAAAAAAAGGTGATTCTATTGAAGTTTCTAATAACAATTCAGAAAATAAACATATAATAAAGTAAGAATTAAAAAAAAAGGTAAGTGAAGATAATTTAAATTAAAAAATGAGTGCTTTTGAAAAATTTAAATCTATTGAAAATATGATTAAAATGTAGAAAGCTAAATTAGGTACAAGTAATGGCTAAATATAAGTTTAAACTAAGTTGTAATATGGTAATAAATCAGTCAATATTACAAGGGCTGATAGTTAAAAAAAGAAAGAAGCTTCTTGTGTATTTTATTTTATTGATTTTTTTTAGGAAATTTAAATTCCAAGTCCAGCTGCTAAATAAAAGATTTAGAAAATCGTTAGTTAAAATACATTTAAGGATCCTTAAAAAATATAAACTATTCAATCTCATTCAAAATTGCCAAAACATGAAAGTTAACATGATAAATTTTTAAACAAGAAAACTTATTTATAATATATTTTAAGTGGAAAAGCTAAACTTTAAAAATGATTTTATAATTTATATTTTATAATATTGGTTTAATATTTTGTAATTATTTTATGTTCATTCATTCAGATTTAATGTTTAATAAATTTATTAAATGATAGCTTTAACTTCTTCAAGGTAATAAAAAATAAATAAATTTAGGCTTATTAGTCCAAGATAAAATTTTTAGTTAAAATATACCAAAAGTATATCAAAAGAAACTAAATATCGTCTTAGAACGGCTAGATATAATAAATTAGAAAGATTTATTATATAAAAACATCATCCAGATGAAATTAAAAAATGTAATACTAGTTGTCATTGTAATTCTTGTGGGAAAATGAGTGCGTTTTAAATAAAAGTTTGGAGATAAACACCTTCATATGAATCTGTGTAAAATATCAAAAATTCAATTGATTATAGTTTTTCTAGGCGAAAAAGAGTTTTTAAACGCTTTAGAATAGCAGGCTATGCTGTTTAATTCTTAGTTTTTTACAAGGCTGAATAGATTAAAAAATTGAAAAGATAAAAATAAATGTAATAATTTCTTAGAAATCCTTTGATAATTACTAAAAGGGGAATGGTAGTTCAATCAGCTAAATCTCATCGATCTCCAAAAACTCCTAAACCTTCAGAAAACAAGATTAGGTTAGGATTATAATTTATTTGGTAGAAGAAATGCAACAGATTATTATGAAATTGATTCTATCCAAGAAAAAATGTCATTCAATGATCATTTTAATACTCAGATAAATTGTTAAAATCCAAATATAAAAAAGAGATAAGTTTCTGTTTATATGGAAGAGATGTTGAAAAATATCACAAAAAAATAAAGTATTGGAATGAGTCTTACTCCACTTTCAATAATTGTACTAAATTTAATATGCTATCATAATAGGATAAAAAATTAAAAAAGAACAAATCAATACCTTGTTTAACCGAATAAATTACCCCAAAAAATAGTTTAGATAATCTGTAGCTTGAAAAGTTGTTTACTCCTTAGAATCTTCTTTCTAAAAAAAATCAATCTCATATACAAATATTTCATAATAAATACTCTAATAACAACAAAGAAGTCATAAAAATGATTGATAATCTAAAAATAAAGCGCAGATAATAAATAAGAAAAAATTGATTTTATACTCTTTCTTGTTAATCATTTTAATTTTTTAATTTCAGACACAAGATCGTATTCACCATTTAATAATCTATTTCTGAATTCCGCATTTCTATCAATCAATTTAACAACTGATTTAACTTTATCCATGTAATTCTATACAGATTATTTGTAAAGATCATAAATTGTTTATTCAATTTTTTTAGACCATTCCGCATATTCATTATCTGTCTACTATAAGAAATATTTCTTTAGGCCTTCAATTGCTTTTTTTCTTTTATCATCATCTACTGGTTCACCAATTCCATTTTAACTATCATTATTTTAGATCTTTGTATTGAGTGAATTTCCATTTTTTTGCTAAATTGGTTTAATATCTTTTTTCTCTTGCTCTTATTTTACTTTTTTTTAAATTATAGGTTCCTCAGGTTTTACTTATTTTTATTTTTAGATATTTTTTTAAACATTTTTCAAATGTTCATCTTTTTTAATATCATCAGTGGCGGCTTGATCATTTGTTAAAATTAATTATTTCCATTATTTTACTAATTTTCTACATATTTTTATAGCCTTGGTATATTTCTCCTCATCATCTTCTGTATATTTTTTTTGGCCAATACGTACCATGCTTTTTGTTACTTGACTATCAATTAAAGCTTAAGTTTCAATATCACTCTTATAAATTTAAGTAATCAATTTATAAGATTTTGAAATATGCATTTAAGAAAATTTCTTGAGTTCTTGTTTAATTTCAGACAACTATTATGCATTTAACTCCATTTAATTAAATATTTATTTGATTTCGTTGTAAAAAAACTAAGTATAAATATACGTGAAATTAGATTAATTTTTATTAAAAAATTAACAATAATCTTTATAATATTAAAGTACGAACTATTAGATAAAGATCAAAAATGTGAAATAAATTCAAACCAATATGTGATAAATGATAAGTCTTTTAAATAGTCAATAGTCATTAAGATAAATTTATTGTAAAAAATGGGATTGAAAAATTTAATTTTTCTAGAATAATTAAAATCATAATCTGGATAGAAGATTTGTTTTTTGATAATGGATTGTTATAGTTTATATATTGTAAATTGAAAAAGAACTTAATATTTTAAGAAAAGAGTTTAATAAAAATTTTCAAACAAATTTGTGGTATGATAGATCTCTTGAGTTTATTGAAATAAATTAAGAAATAGTTTAGTAAGATGAGTTAAATATTTTAGGATACTAATTGAAAAACTTCATTGAAGAAAATAAAATTTATGAATCCTTTATATAAAAATCATAATTAAATAATGTTTAAATTAATTCAAAGAGCTTGCTTCAGATATGCAGTTGCCAGCAGTAAGGGTGAGGCTGAAATAACATCAGTACCAGGTATTGACAATTAAAAAGATTAGGACACAAACCTCCCTCTTTTGAAGATACTGTTTAAGGAAAATATGCTGGTGTTCTGTTTTCAACTGCATCTTAAAGAGAAGCTCTTCATTTAGTTCTTTAAGACATGAAATATTTCAAAGATTTAGCAGAGAAAAGTCCTGTTTTTGCAAGCTTTTTATTAAACTCAGCTTACAAGAGAAATTAATAAAGAAATGTAATATAAACATTAACAAAAGTAAAGAGAATATAATATTAATTTAGGAAGGATTTCATGAAGTCACAATAAATTTATTAAATACTATGATTGACAGTTAAAGAATTTCATTTTTGACAAAGACAGCAGAGAAGTATATTGAATATTACAGAATATTTAACAAAGAAGAAAATATTACAATAATATCTGCAGAAACATTATCTGAAGAATAAAGGTATCATAGTATGAAAATGAGATAGATCCTAAGTAGTTGAGTCATTAAAATAATCAAACCCTAATGTTCAATTCTCTGTATAATATAAAGTTGACCCATCAATTTTGGGAGGTTTATAAATGTATTCTGGCAACAAATTCTTAGATTGCTCATTGTTGTCAAGAGTGAATAGATTGAGATCAGAGTTGTAGAAATTGAGCATTTGATTTAGAATAAATAGTAAAATAATATATATATTATTTATATAATAAAATGGATTGCCTAAAGGATCCTGTTAATGATAGACAAGTAAAAACACTTAAGCCACCTCCTCATCGTCCTCTTGCAAAAAATCTAATGTTTCCAGATAAATTAAAGAGTATGACAAATTCACAAAATATTAGATAAACCTGATTGGAAATTGTTAAAAGATCATCTTTAAAAAGAAGGGAGAATAGCAAAAGAAGAATTATTCAAATTAGTCGCAGATTGCAATAAATTATTGAGTAAACAGACAATTTTATAATTAGAAAATGAAGGAAATGTTCTTTATTTATAAGATCCACTTACTGTTGTAGGTGATATTCATGGGTATTTATATTATTTAATAAAGACAATATTATGATTTGCTTAAATTACTTGAACCAAAAGTTGGAGGAAATCCAGAAACAACAAAGTATCAGAATATTGTTAATAATTTAGATATTTATTTCTAGGTGATTTTGTTGATAGAGGATCTTATTCAATTGAAGTAGTAATATTACTTTATGCAATAAAAATAAATTATCCAAATACAGTATATTTTTTACGTGGTAATCATGAGTGTAGATAGTTGACAGCATTTTTCAACTTTAAAGATGAATGTTAATATAATATTATATTTAGGTTTGTATAAATATGATTAAGAAACTTATGAGATGCTTATGGATTCATTTGATTTGTTTCCATTATCATGCATAATCAATTCAAAATTTATAGCTGTTCATGGTGGTATATCACCTGATTTAAAATCTGTAACTTATTTAATGAACATAAAAGATAGAAGATTTAAAAAAATTGGATAGATATCATGAACCACCAAGAAGTGGATTATTTTGTGATATTTTATGGAGTGATCCTGTAGATTAAGATTAAGGAAATTTAGATGGATAATGGAAAGGTAATGAAGTTAGAGGATGCAGTTGGTTTTTTGGGAATGAAGCTAGTAATAAATTTCTATAAAAAAACAATCTAATAAGTATTATAAGAGCACATGAGGTTGTATATAATATAATATATATAGGCTCAACTTGATGGTTATAAAATGCATAGATGGAATGGAGGTCAAGATTTTCCAGTTGTAATCACAATATTTAGTGCTCCAAATTATTGTGATGTTTATAATAATAGAGGAGCTGTGATTAAATTTGAAGTAATTCTCCTTTAATTAATCTTTAATGTAGAATAATACTTTGAATATTCAACAATTTTAGTATACTCCTCATCCTTATTTGTTACCTAATTTTATGGATATCTTTACATGGTCCATTCCATTTGTAGCAGAAAAAATTACAGAAATGTTATATAATTTAATTTAAGCAGGAGATTAAGGTGATGATGATGATGATGTTAAATAAGAAGATATTGAACAATTTAAAATCTTAACATAACAAAATAAACAATTTAACAAATAATAATCTACTTCTAGCACTGGAACTGGCAAAAGTACATCTATTCCTAATACAAAGGCACTGAAAAATTAAAAAATAAATTAAAGTTTGTTGCTACTATGATGAAGATGTAAAAAACACTTAGAGAATAAAGTGAAAGTATTATGAAATTAAAAGGTGCATGTCCTGATAAAAGATTACCAAAAGGAATACTATCAGCTGGAAAAACAGCAATTACTGATGGTATTCAATATCTTATATTAACAACCTTTTAGCTTTAGCTGATTTTAATATTGCAAAAACAGCAGACATAGTTAATGAAAAAATGCCATCATAAGCTTAAATACCTTAACAATCTGTGTCAATTAAGAAACCGAGTAATACTGTCTAAAATAAAAAGAAATGAGATAGTTTTTAGTAAATATATAAATATAAATATAATTCAATTTTTAAACCAATTTATTTTAATAAATAAAATATAATGTAAGACAAATAAATTATTCAGCTTTTTGAAAAATATTCAAAACTTAATGATCCAAAATTAGTGTTCCAAACAAGTGAATAAATTTTAGAAAGAATAAATGAAAGTGATATAACCTATATTTTAACCAAAATCATGAATTGTCTTCAATCAACAGATTTCTAAACAACAATTAATTATTCTTTACTTTTAAAACAATTAATATACAAGTATTCATCTAAACATTAAAACTTACAACCAAAAGCTATTTTTGATTAATTGTAATAAACATTAAGCAAAAAGAATGCATATGGCAAAAGTGAATTAAAGCATTTTATACTAACTAAATATTTGATTTACTCTTATTTAGATTCATAAAATCTTTTAAATGTAATACTTGAAGATCGAAAAACTGAAGATTCAGAATATTTATCATATGTGTTATTAAAGCAACTGTATACATTTTAGCATTATGTAGTAAACCTGAAAATGTAAAACAAGTTAGCAATTCAATTAAAAATGATCTCTAAAATTTAACTCCAAGGGTTTTTTGTATATTGGTAAAGTTACAATAACTTAGTCAAAAAGGTTAGTTTTAATGGGATAAATATCTTTAAGAATAACTATTTGATCGATAAAAATTTCATAAACTCCTCGAATAAGCTAATGATCAATTTCCAAAAAAATCACTATTCTATTAATATTTAGCTATTTATATGACAAAAGTATAATATTTTATTTATAATCGTAGTTTAGCAAAACTTAAGAAAATTAGAAAATTTTTACAGAATTTTGGGAATATTTGTTTTAATAAGAAGATTTAAGAAAGTTAAACTTTATGATTTTATCAATCTTCAAACATTTCCTTAAATCCACTTAAATTCCCCTAACTTTCTTAAAAAATCAATAACTAATTGAATTGTGGTACAGATAATTTGGAAATTCTAATTCAGTTATGAAAAGATTAGCAAATAAGATTGAATAATATATCACTTAAAGAGAAGTCTCTTATGAAGATATTATTTATTTGAGAAATATCTATGGTTACAGAATTCATCCAAAAAATGGGATTGCATAAAAAATTTTGGCAAAATTTACAGAAGATGAAATAGTCCAATATTTTGAGAATATGAAATAACAAGAACAATCCTCTACTGATCCCATCAATAAACTTTATTTTTTGAATGAAATTTATGTACTTGCAACAGTTAGTAATACTAACATAAAAATTTTGACATAAATGATTCAATATATTTATGAAATTGGTTGCATAAATTTTTAATAAATTTATGAGCAGTTAGATGAAGAGTCTAAAGAAGCATATCAATTTGAAGAAATTAAGAAAAAATTTTTAGATTAATGTTAAAGTTTCTTTTACTCTCTAGTTGGAAAAGTAGCATCTGTAATTATTAATATATGATAATTAGAATATTTAAGAATTTGATGAATTAACAAAATCCCTTTTGAAACAATAAAAGAAATAAGAATTAATAAAATAATATAAATTGATAAATTCAAAGTAACCAAAAGAATGTATAAAACACTTAGTGAATACAATCCTTATTTTTTCATTTTTAAATGAGGATGAAGGCATATAAATTTTAGAAGAATTTCAACATATAGCTGGTGATATTTAAGAAGAAGAGCCATAAATAAAAAAAAAAGTTAAGACCAATCCTGAGAAAGCAAAAGTAGTTTTAACAGAAGTATTTATATAATTGTTAACTAAATCTCCATGTAAGATTCTTCTATATTAAATTTTAGAATTTTTGAGAGAAGCTGTCAATTAATGTTGTAAATCTTTGGAATTTACATCTGAATGTTTAGAAATTTTAGTAGATGTATTATTGAAAGATGATCACGAATACATTGCTGAGATGCAATAATAAGAATTAGAAGAAGAGGAAGGTGGAGATGAAAGCTTAGAAGAAGAGGAAGAAAATTAATGATGTTCATATATTAGTTGTTGTACATTAATTCTATAATTTACAATTTATTTTGTAGACTTATTTATAAAAAAATAAGATAAAGACTTGGAAAATTATATATTAAATAAAATAGATGTATTAAATTAAGTCATATTAGGACTTATCAAATTTATATTAATATTTTAATTTTTTGAGAATTCAAATCTTCAAAAATGGTAATTATATGTGATAAACTCAAGGGATTGTTAAATATTATAAGGAAAATAAAGAAATCAGAAAAAGAATTAAGAATTTTAGTTTTAGGATTAGATAACGCAGGAAAAACTACAATCTTGAAAGCACTTTCAAACGAGGATATAAGTTAAGTTGGCACAACTCATGGATTCAACATTAAAAATTTATAGCATGAAGGTTTTAAATTAAATGTTTGGGATGTTGGAGGTTAAGAAGTATACTATAAAATTGAAAATAGAAACTTCGTGAATATTGGAGTAATTTTTATGAGAACACAGATGCCCTTGTATTTGTAATTGATTCTTCTGATTAAATGCGTTTGGAAGAGGGGGGAAAGGAATTAGATAAATTATTAAATGAATAAGAACTTAAAAAAGTACCTGTCCTTTTATTTGCTAATAAATAGGATTTGGTATAAGCCTTACCAGCAGATGAAGTATGAATATCATGTTTAAAAATTAATTAGATATCTGATACCTTGAAACTTAATAAAATTACTGATAGATAATGGTCAATTGTAGCCTGTTCAGCCAAAACGTAAGAAGGTTTACAAGAAGGAATGGAATGGTTGATAAAAACAGTTAATGACAAATGAAATACATAAATTTATAATACATAAATTATCAATTCATTTATTAGTACTTTGTTTATAAATCTCTTTTCAATAGAATAGTTTTAAATAAATCACCCCATAATTTGAGTAGTTCTTTTTTTTTATTAATTTTATTCTTTTCAACAATTTCAATTTTGAACTATTAATAAAGAGACATAATCTTGTCATAATCTTCATTAAAAATCAAATAACCACATTTTTGAGCAAACATTCTTCCATTTTAAGAATCAAATCCATCTACTGCCTCAATAAATTATATATCATTTTTAGCTAACAAACTTTTTATTCCTTATATCTTAATTAGACGAGTACCTTTTGGAGGTGGAAAAGAAAAACTCTATTAATTTATTTATTTAAATTATGTACTTCGTAATTTCCATATGCATTAGCTGGTAATTTTCCATTATTTTCTTCTAAACTTACTTTAAGATCATTTGTCTACCAAATAGCATATAATGCAGTAAATTTTTTTTTATCAAACTTCTAACTGACCTCTTTTATAGGTAAAGAATCAGGTTTTACTACTCTTAAATATTCTCTCCATTTATCTTTTGAATGAAGGATTATTACATCACTTTATAAATAAATATCTTCATCTTTGAATTTCACTCCAGTTGGTTTTGCATCAGGATGAATCATCTAATATTAAGAAAGTTAAGATTTTAATGTATAAAATTTACTATACTTAAATTCCTTTTCTTATTAATAAGTTTCAGGGGATGGTATGATTATATCTGCATCAACAGGCTCATTGACTAATGATTATAGTCCTTTATAAATTAATTCTAAAATATTTAAATTAATACTTGATTATTAAACTAATTGATTAAACCATCTTTCAAGAGATAATTAACATCTTTGAATTTTAAAATTGTAAGAATATTTTTCTGTGATATCCACAAAATGAGTATTATCAAATAATCTATTTAAATTAAAATCATAATTTTTAAAAGTTAAATCTTAAGCTGCAATAATAAAATGACTCAAACTATTTTGTAGCTTATTTTTTAAAATATTAATATCCATCAATACATTTATATCTGAAATTGGATCAAATGGTATCCATATATTCTAATTAGAATCATAAAACTCAAGCCAAATATTCTAATTAAATGTTTATATATCTTAATTAAGTTATCTTTCATTTGGTTATTTTTTGTTCTCCTTTTTTTTCGGTTTTTTTTATTCCTACTAAAGTTCCATCAAACTATTGCTATTACTCGTTTATTATTATTATTATTTCTATAAATTTTAGGATACTTTTAATCCTTTATCTTTTATGATAGGTTTCTTAAAAATAAACTCATTTAAAGATTCAACTTTTTCAGTCTAAATCATAAATTATGAATTGAGATCAAATATAGTTTTAGTATTTTATTCCACTTCCTCATTCTCTTATTCTATTTTCTTTATTGTACGAATCTTAAATTTTAATTCTAAACCCAAAAAACCAATATCAAATGCTCTAACTAATCTTACATTCAATCCATAATATTTACATAATTAACCAAAGGTTATAATATATTCTGAAGGACTTAATTTTGTGAGTTAAAATTCTTTGGAAAATTAATTTTTTAATTAAAAAGTCAAAGCAAAACCTTAAAAAAGTGCAAAAACTTATTCTTATAAATTTTTTGCTAAATCTAATCTATTTTCTATCATCTCTATAGTTTAAAATGAAAAATTCGATAATTTAAATGCAAATAATCCTTTGTTATGCAAAGTTTTATGATCTTTAAATAACTTAAATAAATGTATAATTATCGCTGTTCGTATTTAATTGACTGGAACATAACTCTTCAATTTTGGTTTTTATTCAATCTTTTTTTATTATTTTCTTTAAATTTTTTCCTATAATTCAAGTAAATCATCAGGTAATCCTTCTTCAATTATTTCATTGTCTTCTTATTTATTTGGTACGATTTTCTTTAATTAATTTATTCTTTCAATATAATCATCTTCATCTTATATTGATTCTTATGAAATATCTTCTGATTCTTGATTTACTTCAAAAGAATCCTCCATATAATAGAAGAAAAAATGATAAATTAATAATGTAAAATTTTTAGTTCTATTTTGAAAAATGAAAATAAACAAAAAAATCAAGTTAAATAAATTTTAGAATTCACAAAATATTTGAATTTTGTTAGTGTAAGAAAATTGTTTAAAATGAAATAATATTATAATAAAGTTAATTAAGAACATGGGGAATAAACCCTCAGTAAATTAAAATAAATTTCAAAGGTAATAGACAACAAATGACAAATAATTTAAAAAGGACTAAAGCTAGTCGAATGTTATTGCACCTTATAGAGAAGGAACAACTTTGGCTGTCGAAAGTAAATTAAAGGCTTATTTAAAAAATGCTAATGAAGGAGAGGATCTTGATGATGATAATTAAGGAGGAAGAAATAAATTATAACAATTTAAAGAAGATTAGCATAATGTAGAAAATATTTAAAAAGAAATCATTCATTTAGAAGAAACAGTTTTTTCAAAAGAAAAATTATAAAGAGTAAGAGAAGACTTTGAGTCTTATTCTAAAGAAAATAAAATGAGTAGGAAAAAGTTATTAGAATATTTTGGAATGGCTGAACTTGATAATAAAAGATTAGGAAATAGGATTTTCTAATGTGTTAAATCAACATTCTCTTAAAAAAAAACAGGGTATTTAAACTAATATTGATGTGATTTAGACCATTTCTAGACTATGCAAAGTTTTTAAAAGCTATATCCATGCTATCATAATAGAATGATGAAGGAAGGTTAAGATTTTTGTATTCCATGTTTGACATGAATTTAGAAGGTAGTATAGAAAAAGATGAAATGTATAATTTAATGATGATGTTTTTAGAAGTAATTCATGGAATAATTCATTAGGGCATGATGTCTATCAACTATGAGAATTAAGATTTGAATGATTTAAAATAACGAATAAGTGAATCACATGATAGATAGATTGAACTTGCATTAGAAGAAATAGTTAATGAAATTTATTAAAATCATGCCTCTAAATAGAATGTCTTAAGTTATGATGATTGGAGAAACTGGTTAATGGAATAAGAGGGTATATCAGAAATTTTAAGTTTTAATCCTCACACAGATTTTTAGGATTGAGAAAATTCTTTATTAGCTTGAATATCCTTAATTATTATAATATAATCATTAAATTATCATTTTACATTAATCATATTTTAATTTATTCTTTTATCTTCTTCTTTATAATAATTATTATTTTGATTAAATTATCTCAATGAAGAAATATTTTTTAATTTAAAATCTTTAAAAATGATTTGAATATTTTTTAAGATTTTATTTTCTATTAATCCAAAATTATTGTTCAGATTAAAATTAAATTTATTAATTTTGCTTAGAAGTTTTAAAATAATCTTATCTAACGACAAAATACCAGCATTAGTTTACCATGGAGAGTTTAAAGAAATATTTTGATTAAAAAGTTGATTTTATATGGTCATTTAAAATAAAAAAGTTTATATCAAAGTAAATTTAACATTTGTTGGCTAAAATCATTTTGAAAGATACTAAGTAAATAAATTTAAAAAGTCTTAATGTAAAAAAGATAAACATAAAAGTTATAATTTAAAGAAAAATTATGAATTTAAGGGTAGCATTTTGTAGATAGATTTACAGTATTTAATCGAATTAATTGATTTTTTTATCAAGGCTTTTCAATTATTTCTTCATATTTTATAAAAATCCATAGATAAATAATATAATAAATTAATTAACTTTTTAGATCAATCATTTATAAGAATAAATAAATAATTATCTATATATAATGATTAATGAAAAATTTACTTAATCTTTATAAGTAATTAAAAACTCATGCCATCATCATCATTTAAACTTTGATTTAAGAATGTTGAATTACTTTGCGGTTGAATTTGATTTAATCACAAAAGATTAAGTTTTTTTCCTTGATGATTTAATTTCGCCTTTAAAGGATACTTTTAAATTAATCTAATCTTCATTATTATCATCTTCTGGAAGTTAAGTTTAGACTTTTTCAAATTGAATAATATTTTTGGAACTGAAAGAAGGTCCAATAAGTTTTTCAGTGTTATATGAGTTAAGTTTCAAAGAAAAATTTTAATTTTATTGCAAATTATGATTTCTAGGACTCTAAATAGAAATTTGACTTCTAGGAGAGGAAGTACTCAAAGTCAAAGTTTTAGACTATTTAATTCTTCTAGCAATATATTGATTTTGTAATTAAGATGGTTTTTTGATTTACATCATTTTTAATTTAGCTAATTGTTCTTAAACAAACCATTAATGATTTAGACATTGATGAGAAGTCAATCTTTCTTCAGGGTTTGGTTATAGGGTGGCAGTTATAAAATCAAGACCAAGAGGACTTAAATTGACTGAAGTGAAATCAACTTCACCTTCAACATTTTATTATAATCTTTTATCAGTATTTCCATCAAAAGGTAATGTTCCAGTCATTAAAATATAGAGAATAACTCCAATACTAAATACATCAACTTTAAAATCATAGTTTTGATGAAGTAAGATTTCTGGAGCAATAAAACCAGGGGTTCCACAACAAACATATTAATAATTCACTTCTGGATCATAGAAATCAGCCAATTAAAATTTCATGATACAAAGTGTCTCAATATTATCATCAATTCTAAATACAAAATTATCAGGCTTTAAATCTCTATATATAATATTCTTTGAATGTAAATAACTGACTGTTTTGACTAATCTAAATATTATTTTAGCTGCTTGATCTTCTTAAAAGCAATCTTCTCTGGCAATATAATTCATGAGATTACCTCCCATTATCAATTCTAAGACTACAAAGACTGATTCACTATTTTCAAAGATCTCATAAAATTTAAGAGCGAATTCTGATTGAAGTCTTCTATGAACAGAAATTCGTTTCAATAATGCAGCTCTATCAACTTCATCAATTAAACTTTATTTTTAATAAATTTTAACAGCATATTCATTTCCATCATATTTATTTATACATTTATAAACCTAGATTGAAATATTAAAATTTTTACATCTGAAAATTAACCTTTGCCAATTTTCTTTTTGATTATATATGTAGCATTGAAATCACATTGTGTTGTATAAAGTTTAAGGTATCGAAGCCATGATTTTGCATCACAATAGATTTCAACAACATCAAAACATTTTATTAGTCTCAAAGCTGAACCAAATTTAGGATGATAAAATAGTTCTAGTATAGCATTCTCAATATCAATCCATTTAGTTTTCCCCTAAAACAGTAAAACATATTAACCTACTTTTTTTGTTTCGTAATATAAATAGTTTTCAATACTATTAAGTGTTTTACACTTTACTATTCCTTATTGATTTATAAGTTTAACTTCATCTGAAATAGTTTGGTTAATAATGGCTATAGGAATGGAAGACTTGGACCATTACATAGTTTGATAGGATATTTAGAAGAACGATTTACTATGTTTATGTTCACAACTAAGGTTAGTTTTGGAAATTAAATTTACTTGGGATTAAGATCCTTTATCATTTTAAATTGTTTTTTCACTTAATTAATTAATTATTTTTTGATTATATTTTATATTGATATTATAGAAGTTTAAATAATATAAAATCACTAGAAAATAATAATATGTAATTTATTAATACTAATAAAGAACTAGAGAAAACATTATTGATTTAATAATAGATTGCGAATAAATTTAAATAATAATTTTTATCCATTTTGAAAATTGATTCATTATACTTTATTTTAAAAAGATTCGAATGTAAAAATATTATTAGACAAGTGTATAATAAACTTTATTTAATGACTCATTAGTGTATTTTATGTTATAAAATATATTAATTAAAATATAGAATAAGAATGGATGTATTTTTAATAATAATCTGCTGTATAATAGCTGTTCTACTGCTGGGAATCAATATATATATACTAGCATTATATTGTCATCGTATAGCATTTTTGTGTTATTAATTTAGCATCTGATTCTGGATTTGGAGCTTCATTATTTTGTAAAATATTAGTAGTACTCGGTTTCACATTAGCATGGGGGTAAATCTTATTAGTATCAGCAGATATATCAGCTTCAAAGTATTAGAATAATTTAATTAGGGGTGTTTTTACGACAGAAGGGGATTCCATGATGATTGTGTGGTATGTTATATATTGCACTATCTTGGGAATGGTAGCATTTTTAATACCTTGTGCATAATTTTATTATGAAAGTGATGAAGACAAACCTATAATGAAAAGAATTTTAGAAGTTTTGTGTTATGAATTCATATTATTGGCTGTACTATTAACTTTATTATTGGTTGGATTTACATATCTTGGAACTGCTAGAATACCTGTTCATACAATTACATAAACATTTAATAGTTAAGCTTCAGCTACATATCCTATTGTTTTGAGCAACTATGATTTTTAATAAGTATCTAATGTATTTCAAGTAGACTTAAAGTGACACAAATGTTGAAATTTCAGTATCATTTCCTGTATTTTTAATGGGCTTTTTAGCATTTATAGGATGGTTTCTATTGGTTTTGTTTGGAGGAGTAGGTCTTTCTGCTTTACCTATTGATTTGATTTCAGAATATATAAATAGACCTAAAGTTATTAAATCATCTGAAGCTATGGAAAAAAAGATGAAATTAAAGAAATAAGCTATTGATCTCATCTAATTTGGTTAATAAATTAAGGAAGAAGAAAAAGAGTTAGCTTTAGTAAATGGATTTCTTGCAGAAAGAAAAGTTAAAAATTAAATTAAATAAAAAGCAAAAAAGTTTCAGGCTGCTACAGAAGCTCTTGAAAATGAATATCAAATATTTAAATTAGAGTTATAATATTAAAATGTTAACCCTATTGTTTGGATATTCAAACTCATCTTAGGAATTATTTTCATAATTTTATCATTATTATGGATTTTATAAATGTAATTATTATTTTCATAATTTCTAGATTATTATATATGCTAATTAAAATCAATGGATTTCCTGCTTATAGTTTCTTGAATAAGATGTTTATATACTTAGAGGGAACTGTAATGTCATTTATTGGAACTATTTTACTTGCTCTTTTCACCTTATATTTATTAGGTTGTACTTATAAGGGGAACTTAAAATTTGGACTAAGAGTTCCTTTCCTTTTTACAATTTATCCAATGAAAATAAATGAAACTTTTATGAACAGTTTCCTTTTTAATGCAAATCTATTACTTATTACTTCTGTTGCTGTTACTCAATTTAGTATTTAAGCTTTTTCAGAATATACTTAAAATTCTTAAATTGCTTTAATGTTCTTAGGCTAAATTTAATATTTATATTTCTTTACTTGGTTCTTTGATTATAATGTATTTGTAATAGCACTACTTTCTTGGACTGGATTAGTTTTAATTTATTTGCTTGTTAGAAAACCACCTAAACCTTATGCATTAATAGAAATAGAAAAGAGAAAGACAGGAGATTTTGAATTATAAACAAAATGAATGAATTTAAACGCTCTTTCAAATTTAATTTTTAATTCATTTCTTTAAAATTTTCTGGTTCTCTTCACTCTAGACTTTATAAATTATCATTTTTATATGCATTCTCAATTTTTTTTATTTAGCTTTTTAGAGAGATCTTATAAGTCTGATTGAGAGTACTTACTCAGCGAATTCAAATAAAATTAAGGATCCAAATTTATAAATATTAGTACCTTAAACTGAATTAATATATATCACATTTTTTAATAATGCTTAATCAATAATAAAATAATTTTAGTCATAAGAAATATTGAAAAAATTCTAGCAAAAGGTGATGAGAATCTAATATAAATATTCATATATTAAAAAAAATGAAAAATTAGAATAAATTAGAAATTCTTTCAATATATCCAAATGATAGTGATTCTGAAGAGATATATCCTTTATATGAGATAGTAGAAACAAGAATTTTTGATACCGAAGACTTTTTATAATAAACATTGTACACTTTAATTCGACAATGTTATGGGTATAAGAATTTAACAAGGTTATGGCCTAAATTATCATAATTATAGAAAACAAAAGGTAAGTTTGAAAACTATTATCAAAAAATAATCAATAATCGAATTTCAAGATTTCCTTAGTTGAATTTATAAGGTATTCAATAAATAGAAGGTAAACGATACAAGGTAGTATTATATTCTGAATTAATGTTTAAATTGCATCCTTAAAAAATGGTATGTTGTATTTGTGAAAAAGAAATATTGCTAAGTATTGTAGAAGAACATTCACAATTATGTCTGAAAAAGCACATGCTTAATAAAGACATTTATGCATTATAAGATAAGATTTAAGAGCTTTCAGAGGAAATTAATAACAGAGAGATAGAACTAATAACTAAAATAAATTTGTATACAAAATAAAGAATGTCTGAGAAAAACTTAAGTCATTAAAATAGTCCTATAATGAATAGAAGTAAATAGTAAATCACTCTATCAAAATTTGCTTAATAAAGTGATCAAAGATAGCGAGGATTATAGAGAGCAAAAACAATAAATATTTCTGAAGATAATAGTATAAGTGAATTTCCAACATTTCATTAGAGAAAACCTGGAAGAAATTTTACTCGTTTAGAATCATCTATGAGTATGAGTCCAGATAGTTAAAAATAAATAAAGTGTGCAATATCGTTATTGAAGGTCACTTAATAATATTGTTAAAAAATATTAAAATAAGATAATTCATTTGGATTAGATATTGATGCTAAATTTTAATCATTAATCAAATTAGGATTACCTGAAATAAATCATTTAAATGATGTAAGTGATTTGATGAAGAAATCGTTAAGTTTAATAACTTAAAGATTAGAATTAAATAAGTAGATGAATAAAATAGATGCAGCTTAATTATAGTTATAATGTGGTTCAATTGAAAAATTAAAAAAAATATTTTAAAAAGGATTGTCTAATTCATATAAATAGGCAGGAACTTCATTAAATAGTAGAAGTAAGAAAGGAGGTAATTAACATACAAGTGGTAAAGTTAGAATTATGGATTTAGTAAAACCTAATAAATCTAAATTTAATTAAAGATAATTTAAGGAGGATTAAGAGGAATGTTAGTAATATTAAAATCAATAAACTCCAATTTAAGAATAAAAGATAGATTCTTTAGAATTTATTACATTTTCTCCATCTGAAGAGAATGCAAATTAGAATCCAAATAAATAATAATAATTAAATATTCATATTTATTCTCAATAAGAAGATGATGACAGTGATGATGTCTAATAAAATTTGTTTATTAGAGGGTATTATTCTGATTCAGGAATAACTTTACGAATCCCTTAATATACTTAAAAGATGTAATTTATTTTATAATATCATTAATTCTAGAATGACAGTAGGATTAAAAGATTTTGAATTTTAAGAAGTTTTAGGAGTTGGAGCATATGGAGCAGTTTGGAAGGTTAGAAAATTAAAAACAAATGATGTTTATGCAATGAAAGTGATAGATACTTAATAATAATCAAGTTAAAACTTTTTTGAAACTTTAAAAGCTGAAAGTACAATATTTTCAGTTTTAGAGGGAGATTTTGTAGCTAAAGCTTATTATTCATTTAGTCATTCAGATTGTTTATTTTATGTTCTAGAATATGTAAAAGGTGGAGATTTTGATAGAATTTTAAGAAAATATGGAGCTTTAGATGAACCTATAGCTAAATTTTATATAGGAGAATTATTATTAGCAATAGAGGCATTACATAAAAAGTAAATAATTCATAGAGATTTAAAACCATAAAATATATTGGTTGATGGAAAAGGACATTTAAAATTAACAGATTTTGGATTATCAGAAATAGGAATGAAATTATATATGAAATAATCAGAACCTAGTCAAGCTATAAAACTATAATAATAATTAGATAATAATATAAAGGATTTAGTAAGTAGTGAACCAAAATCTCCAAGATTTGATCATTGTATTTCAATTAAAGCTAGCAATCATAATAAACATAGAGTTGTTGGTACTCCAGATTATATTGCTCCAGAAGTTATTAGAGGAGAATCTATAAATAATGAATCTATTGATTAATGGAGTTTAGGAGTAATCACTTATGAATTTTTGGTTGGAATCCCTCCATTTAATGATGATACTCCTGAAAAGATCTTTGAAAATATATTATAAAGGAATATTACATGGCCAGATATTGGAGATGGAGAAAATTAATTGAGTCTAGTTGCTAAGGATTTTATAGAGAGATTATTGGATCCCAACTACAAAACTAGGATGACTGTTGAAGAAGCTAAAAGACATTCTTTTTTTGATGGTTGTAAACTCATTTCTTAATTTAGATATTAAATTTGATACTCTTCGTAAATAACCTGCTCCAATCATACCTGATAATGCACCTGATGATTAACCTTTATTATTGATTAAGAAATAGAGAGAAAAAGAAAAGTTAACTAAACTACTTCGTGATACTTCCAGTGAAAACTCAACCATTTCAAAATTAGGTGTTGATAATTTATTAAGACTTGATTTACTTGTAGAAATGAATTAATAAAAGGCTCATTAATTAAGAAAAAAGTATCATTGAAGTTTTGATATATTTCTTCAGATTTTTTTTAAAGTGTTTTATTTAATTGTATCAAAAAAAAAATTTCTTTAACTTATAATGTAATAAAAATATATGAGACCTTTAACATCTGCGAGTCCAAACAAACTTCCAATTTCAAACTTTGTTAGTGTTGATCGTGATAAAACTAGAGGTCAAACCTTTATTCCTTAATACACAAAAATCGAAGAAGTACAATCACCTAAAAATCAAAATAATTTAAATGCTTCCCAAATAATTGAAATCTAAACCCTTAAAAAACAAGTCATCTAATTAGATACTAAGTTAAATTAATAGAATGATATCATTACTCAAATTAAAACTGAACTAGAAAAAATGAAAGAGTTAAATACAGAATTAATTGAAAAATTAAAAATGTCTGCTTCTCCAACTTTCTCTAATACAAATAACCTTGATAGAAGAGCAATTGATGATCAAAAAAAAATTAGATAAGAAATCATGTAATTAGGAAACAAGTTTTCTGAAATCGTAATTTAAATTATAAATATTTTCAAGAAAGTCGATTACGAGACCAAATAAATGTCTTTAGAAGAAAAAGTACGATCCATTTAAATTTCATTTGAAAATAGAATGAAGATATTCTTTGAATCTAAAATGGAATTTGAAGATATTTACAATTCAATCAATTAATTAGGTAAAAATGTTCGACATAACCAATAGCTAATGAATTAAGTCTCTTAAAAGAAAAAAGTGGCTCAATTGATATGATCAATGAAACATACCATATAGATTAAAAGGGATACTTGATGGATTCGAAAAATAATTACTTACTTGATAAAGGATAGATGGTCAAACTGAATGATAAATAAATAATTTATTTAAAGCAACATCATAAATTATTATGAAATAACGACACAAATTTTATCTATAAATTATTAATATGAAACACATTTTTTAAATGTTTTACTTAATTTAGCGATGAATATCATACATACATACATGACACTTTAAAATCTAATCTTTCTAAATAGCTATTTTTCCTTCATTTGTTTTTGCATTGCCCTTCTTTTCACTTTCAATCTTTTTATTGAAAGTATTAATATTCTAGTCTAAGCGATGTTTTATTCAATAACTAATATGTGTTTCTTTAATCAAATTACATATTAATCAAAAAAAAAATTAAATTTACCTAGAGTCTTTGCCTTAGTCTTAAAAATCAATCTAATTTTTTCTAATATAATATGTATTCGAGGATTGAACATAGAATATATTAATCTTCTAATAATTAATAGATATTTCATTTAAAAAAAAGATTATTTAATAAAGGAAATTATATTAATTAATACGCATTTATGAATAATGAATAAAATTTTCAATTTAATTCAATATACATATAATCTAAAAACTAAAAACAATCTAATTCTTGTAATCCTTCTTGATATTTAAGAATCTTTTATATATTTTATAACATTTCTTAGAATGTTAGAGCTTTGGATTGGTTAATTATATTGATTTCTATTAATTTTTCTATTATTTTAGAGAAAATCTATTCTAAAATAAGTTCATTTTTTAAAAGTACGTAGCTGATTTTAATATTACTTAAATAGTTTTTATAATTATCTAAGTAGAGCTTGATTGATTATCTATTTTAAGAAATACATAAAGATTGCCCATTTTATTATTCTTTATCAATCAAAATTAAAGCTGGGACCTTATTTTATATCTTCAAGAGGATAGTTTATTTATATTGAATTAATAATTCTTCTGTAATATTTTCGTGATCATCTAACAAAATAATGATTGGACAATTTAAATGAGATTCTAAAGATTTTGTAAGTAATTATACTTAAAGATTTAATCGATTAACCTAACATTTAGACAAAAAGGCATAGCAATTATGTTGGTGATTATTTTATTTGATCATCAATTTTGTTATTAATCATTAATTAATATTCCAAGTAGTCTTCTTCTAATTCCAACATTCTAAACCTTTATTCTATTTTCTTTAAATCTCCTAGATCACTTTCAAAAGTAGTATATTCAGCTAATTTTTTGATTAGACAAGAATATTCCTGATAGAAATCAAAAAAAATACTTAAAGACGATTTAAAGTTTATTCTCTGGGTAAATCAATTTCACTAATAGTTTTGACATCCTTTTTGATTTCAATAAATTATTCGAAACTTGCAATATAATCTGAAATGACATCTTAAAGCTCTAATTTGCATTAGAAATAATTTTATAGTTCTTCTTCAATATCTCTCAATTTTCGCTAAAGCTTTTGGCTTTATTCGAATTAACTTTTTAGCTTATCTGAAAGTGTCAAAATATTTTGTAATAATAAAGTCATATCAGTTAATTAATCTCCTTCCTGTATTAAATTATCATATTTAGTTTAAAGAAACTAAATAAAATTCTATTTAATGGTCTCTTTGGTTAGGGCTGGTCTATGTTAGAATTAAAGGGAATCTTGATCTATTAATTTTAAGGGTTCTTAGAGATCGATTTAGAAAAATGCCATAATTTTTGATTAATAATAATGAATTATAAAAAGTATGGTAAGTTCGAATCTGTTTTGAGGAAGTTTTAATAATAGGGAATAAATTTTTAATTAATTTTAGTTAAGACACATTAAAATTAATAATGCAAGATATTATGACAGGATATTGAATATTATTATAAACTTTAAGTTAAAATAATCATTCTAAATCTATAAAAAATTAAATATGCTTAGATTTGTAGCAAGAAACCTCAATAATGTTTATAAATTTTCCGAATTGTAAAAGTTCGGGGCTTCTTTTCTTGGTTCTGGGAATGCAGAATATTTAGAAAATCTGTTTGATTAATGGTACTTAGATAATAAATCAGTCCCAGCAAGTTGGGATTCATATTTTAGACAAGTACTAGAATCAAACAATTTTGAATTCACTCCAGAGCCATAAAAAGGGTAGAAAGTTTCTATTGGATTAGATGTATAAATATGTATATGAAAATAGGGATAATAAGGAGTAAGGAAATTATTGAGTGATCATTTCAGAGTGTTATTGTTAATAAATAAGTATCGACATAGAGGTCATGAGAAGTCATAGGTTGATCCTTTGGATTTAGAGCACATATAATAAATAGGGAAAGTGAAAGGATATACTAAATTGGATTACAGTGAATATTTTACAGAATAGGATTTAGAGAGAGAATTTTATATTCATGCTATAGGAAGTACAGGAATAACAAAGGATAAATAAAGTAAATGATATAAGTCATTATTAGTGATGAAATTGAGAGACTTAATAAATTACTTAGAGAAGGCATATTGTGGTAAAATTTCTTATGAGTATATGCATATACAATCATAAGAGGAAAGAGATTGGTTTAGAGAGTAAATAGAGAAATATGATGAGTTTATGCCAAGTAAAGAATAGAAATTGAAAACATTTTAGAGGTATGAATTGATTTAAGTTGAATGATAGATTAGGATAAGAACATGCATTTAGCACATTTTTGTAGAAGAAATTTAATACATCAAAGAGATTTGGAATAGAAGGTTGTGATTCAATGATATCTGGATTATAATCATTAATAGATGCAGCAGCTGGAGCAGGAGCAGAACATGTAGTATTTGGAATGGCACATAGAGGAAGATTAAATACATTATATAATGTATTTTAGAAGTCAGCAGAAGAAATAATGGTTGAATTCTAAGATTTAAAGAGTACTTTTAATGAAGATATATGGGGAAATTCAGGAGATGTTAAATATCATTTAGGTTCAGTTCATAATGTACTTTTTGGAGATAAGAAATTAAGATTGGAGATGTTACCTAATCCGTCTCATTTAGAAACAGTTGATCCATGTGTATATGGAAAGGTTAGAGCTATTTAAGATTACTTTTAAGACACAAAGAGAGAAAAAGCATTTGGAGTAGTAATTCATGGAGATGCTGCTGTATCTGGCTAAGGAATAGTATATGAATCACTTTAGATGGCAGATTTAGAAGGTTATAAATCAGGTGGTATTATTCATGTAGTTTCAAATAATTAAATTGGATTTACTACAGTTCCTAAAGATAGTAGATCTGGATTATATTGTACAGATATAGCACATGCAATTCAAGCACCTGTTATACATGTCAACGCAGATGAACCTGAATTAGTTGATAAAGTATTTAAAATAGCAACAGAATATAGATATAAGTTTAAGAGAGATATCTTTATTGATTTAGTTGGATATAGAAGATATGGTCACAATGAATAAGATTAACCTAAATTTACATAACCTATTATGTATGAAAAAATCGATAAGGCTCCTCCTGTCTTTATAAAATATAGTGAAAAACTAATAGCTTAAGGAATCGTTACTAAAGAATAAGTAGATTAATTGATGAAAACTCATGAAAACAATCTTGAATTAGCATATCAAAAATCTAGATAAATGGATTATAATCTTAAAGATTGGTAACCTGTTCCATGGGAAATGATTAAGGTTCCTCTTCTTTGGGGAAGAATTAAAGATACTGGTGTACCTTTAAATATATTAAAAACACTTGGTGAAAAAATAAATAAGATTCCTAATGAATTTAATGCTCATCCTTAGATTAGAAAATTCTATGAAGAAAGATTATCATGGATTTAAAAAGATTAACCTATTGATTTTGCTACTGCTGAAGCTTTAGCATTTGGAACACTTCTTCATGAAGGATTTAACATTAGACTCTCTGGAGAAGATGTATAAAGAGCTACATTTTCTCATAGACATGCTGTTATTCATGATCAAAAAGATCCTAATGGTTAAGATTATGTACCATTACATAATGTAATACCAAAAGGTTAAGAAAATAGACTTAATATTTATAATTCTCATCTATCTGAATATGGAGTTCTAGGATTTGATTATGGTTATTCTATTACTAATCCTAATACATTAGTATTATGGGAAGCATAATTTGGAGATTTTGCAAATGGAGCATAAATCGTTATTGATAATTATATAGCTAGTGCTGAATCTAAATGGGATGTTGATAGTGGATTAGTAATGTTATTACCTAATGGTATGGATGGATAAGGACCAGAACATAGTTCAGGAAGAATTGAAAGATTTTTATAATTAAGCGACGATGATCCTGCTGTTTTCTAAAAAAATCTAGGAGGTATATGTAATTATTTATTCTTCTAGTAAGATTAACTAGATAAATGAGAAATTCGAATATGTAAGTTGTTCAATGTACTACTCCAGCTAATTATTTTCATGCTCTTAGAAGATAATTAAGAAGAGATTTCAGAAAACCTTTAATTGCTATGACATCCAAAAGACTTTTAAGATTATAAGCTGCTAAATCTAAGCTTACTGAACTTACTACTTAATTCAATTAAGTTTATGATGAAGCCTTTTCTGAATTCCTTGTATAGCCTAATGAAATTAAAAGAGTCATTTTATGTTCTGGATAAATTTATTATGATTTAGTCAAAAAAAGAGAAGATCTTAAATAAAATGTAAATATATTTTATTATCTATTCAGAATGTGGCTATTCTAAGAATTGAATAATTGGCTCCATTTCCATATGAATTTTTATAAAAAATTATTGGCAAGTATAATCAAGCCGAATTTGTTTGGGTCTAAGAAGAACATATGAATTATGGACCTTGGGCATTTGTAAGACCAAGAATCCAAAGTGTATTAGCCAAAACTACCAACATTTCTGATTCACCTATTTAATATATTGGTAGAAGACCAAGTGGATCACCAGCTACAGGTTTTCATTAATTACATGAAAAGGAGATCTAAACACTATTATAAAAGGCATTTGAAGTTTGATAAATTATGTTATTAATGAATTTTTGTATATTATTTATGATTTTCAATAATCTAATACATCTGATAAATAAAATATCAAATACAAAAAAGTATTCCATAATTTTATTATTTTAAATGCTAACAGAAGATGTAGTATTCTATTCAATTGCTGGTTCAATCCTTTTCTTTTATGTCTTATACTTGATATGGGAATACTCAGCTAAAGATGTACCTTTATATATAAAGATTCTAACCTTTATTTCTTGGATATTAACCTTTTCAATTGTCTTAGTTTTACCTATTGATATCACTAATGTTATTTTACTATTTTTAATATTAGTCAACCAAATAGAACAATGAAACTTAATAAGTAGAAACTATGGGGAATATCAAAATATTATGGAGAATTATGTATTGGGGAAACTTTTTCTTAGCTTGGTATCTATTCTGAATATTCAGGTTGGTCCTGCCATTTTTTTAAGATTATGAAGGGTCTGGAGATTTTGATATTAGAGGTAGAATTCGATACTCTTTGAAAAAGAATTTAACAATTTATGGAGTAGGAACAATAATAATTGTTGGATTAGCTATATATTTATTAATTAAAGATAATTTCGATGCATCTCATGTAGAAGGTGTTCTTATTGGTGTAAGCAACTTTTTGTAATTAATTATATATATATATATCATTAGTGGATTACTTTTAGTTGTCATCCTATTGGGATAAGGTCTAGTAGCAATTCCAAAATTATACTATAGAGAACATAAAGAAGAAGAAGTTTTAGAATAATGTTATTAATAAGCTGTTCTTTTGGATGAATAAAGAACTGAGAAAACATATGAACTTGAAGACATATGTAGGGTTGTAATATAATATAATTTAAATTAGACCCTTTAGTTATTGTAGAATGAATATTCTGATAGTGAATTTAGTAGATATTTGATGATCATTTTACAAAGGATTCCTTAAGAATTCCAAAAGAGTATAAGATAAACTTTATAAAAATATAATGCTTCCAATATTCCAGATAAATATAAACCATTAAATTTAGATGTCTTGGCATCAATACATAAATATGTAAAATGCCTTATGTTTGATCTACAAAGAATTTAAACTAAACTCAATATTTTTAATTAAAAAGCTTTAAAATTTGAAAGGAAAGATGTAGCAGATGATGAAACTTAGTTTTAAACTAAATTGTCTAAAATTATCTATAAGATTTCTATTATTTGGAATTTAAAACTTAGAAAATATTACTGTATAGTTTTGGCTATAACTTATGGTCTACTCTCTCTATTTATATTATTTTGTGAGTTAATAACCTTTGTGGCTAAAAACAATAAAGAATTAAATCCCTATTATTTATTATTATCATCAATTACAAGGTATTATTTAACCGAACTCGTTTTGTTATTGCCTTTACTATATATGATGTTTTGTACTTATTATGGATTATTTGCTATGAAAATCTCAGGATTAATTTCATTTAATAAACATCATCATACAGATGCACCAAGTTTAATGTTTGGTTCGATGTATAATAATTATATATATAATTTTAGTAACTTTGCTAGAGTAAGTTTTCCCTTGTGTTTCAATTTCATTTAGATTACAGACATTCTAGAAGATTAAGCCACTTCTTTTAGTGAAACTGTAGGTAATTTAGCAGAATCTCTTTTTGTATAAAGTTATAAGACAATATTACCTTTAATGTTATTGATAATGTGCTTTTTTAATTTATTTAATATTGGTGATAAGTTAATGAGAACTATTGGTCTTGGATAATATGCTTAGTAGGAAAGAATTTAAGGGATGAGTTTAGAGGGTAAAAAAATATTAGAAAAAGGTATAATTTATTATTATTTAACAAGAAAGAGAGATGAGAAAAAAAAATAATATAAATGATAACAATTCTCAAATTGTATTTTAAGAATTATAAATAATGCCTAAAAATAAAATTTAAGATGAAGAAGAAACATCAAGGAAAAATTCATAAAATTAAGGAATAAGAAATTTTGATTAAATTCTAAATATATGAATTATATTTAATTTACTTTTAATTAATATGGAGTCGTCGTAACAATAAGATTAAAAATAGCCTTCAAGCATTGGCTAAGCAATAAAACAATAAGTTTTGAAAGCTTGGCAACCAGTTCCAACTATTAACTCAACTATAATTTTATTTGCCATATTAAGTGTATATTTCTTAAGTATGGGAATTGTCCTAAATGTTTATTCTGGAGAAATTAATTAACAAAGTTTTAGATATGATGCCTATTGCTAAGGATATCCAGTTTGTGAATTTCCAATAGCTTTGGACACTGATTATAAAGCTCCAATATATTTTTATTATCAATTGGATAACTTTTATTAAAATCAAAGAAGGTAGTGTTTTTAAGATTATTTAGATATATTACATCAAAATCTGTTGAATAATTATCTGGATAATAGGGATTGGGAGTAGGTGACTTAAGTACATGTTATCCCGTAATTACAAATGGTTAAATGGGTAAAAATCTTTCAATAAACGCAACACCTTTATCATCTAATGATCCAGCAATTCCATGTGGATTAATTGCTCAAAGCTATTTTAATGATACTTTCAATATTACATATGAAGTAAATGATGAAGTGACAAATGTTACTGTTTCAAATGAAGGAATAGCTTGGCCAACAGATCTTGGATTATATGCAAATACAAATATCAGTTAATAATGGTTGAATGTAACAGATGAAAGATTCATTGTTTGGATGAGAGTGGCAGCAATGCCAAATTTTAGAAAATTATGGGGAATTATAAATTAAGATTTACAATAAGGTCGTTATACAATAGTAATTGAAAACAGTATCATAATTAATAATCTTAGATTACAATTCAAGTGCATATGGAGGTAAGAAATTTATAGTATTTTCAACTACAAATTAATTTGGAGGTAAAAATGAGTTTTTATCTGTGGCGTATATATGTGTCGGTGTAGCATCATCTCTAGTAACTATTGCATTTTGTCTGAAAAAGTATTTCTCAAGAGTTGATCATAAAAAACTCTGAATTTAAATATACACAAGTTTTTGAATTATATTCTATAATTAAAAAATTCATGATATTGGCAATTATTTCTTTTTTTGGATTGCTAATTACAAAGAAGCTGAATGATCCATATAAGGGGTAGTGAAAACTAAAAATAAATAAAATTATTATTTACATAATCCATTTGTTAAATTGATTCTCAATAGTTATAATATCACTTTCCCTTGAGTAGCCTCATATTAATGAATAACAAAGAAATTTCCAAAATTTACAGCTCCTTCCATATCTTAGACTGGTGTGAAATATTCATAATGTCTTTCCCTTTTTGTTGGAATTAGAAAATATTCAGGTGGTTCTAATGAAAATATTTCATTCTTTGTTAATACTCCATTTGCCCAATCAAAAGTATAAATTTCTCTTTTCATTATATGTTAAAATTTAAGATATTCTCCAGATAAGATTAATTGATTCTAACCATAAAGAGGAGCAGAAAAAACTGGTGAACATAAAACATTTTTTTGATAAGCATCTTCTGGTTGTAGTGAAAAATTTATCTAAAAATCCATTTTTTAATTTCCGAAAAATTTTTCATCTTTGCATATAAAAATTTAACCTTTATTTTATTATGTACATCTAAATTAAATTAGACCATCAGGATCATGCTGAACACCTCCAAAAATAATCATTAATTTTGAGAATTATTCATGATGTTAAATAAAAAAACTGCCATCAAATCTTGGAATTAAATTAGACATCAATATTTCCCAAGGCCTTTATTATCTCATTACATAAGCTTTATCTAATAATTCATCTTTTATTTATTAATCTTTATTTTTTATCTATCTTTAACCATAAAATACATAAATATTTCTACAATAATAAAAATAATAAAATTACCCGTTGTAATAAGTTCCCATAAAATTGTATCCGTCTTAAGGTAGAGAAGGTAATTCCTCCATTACTGCAGAGGTTCCATCTTAAAGAGGATCATTAGGAAATTTAATACGAACAACTTAATTACTTTGAACAAATCTTTCTTGAGTTTTTCCTCCAATTATATAAATAAACTTCTCGTTATTATTCTCTCCTTTTATATATAAAGCTTATTCTTTTTATATATAAGGTCTTCCTTTAAAAATTAGTGGAAATTCATGCCAAACTCCATAACTAACAAAATAAACTATAAGCTAGTTTTATGAATAAATAATTACTATTGATTCATTTACCCCAAGTTTTGTTTTTTTCTTAAGTGCAAATATAAAATCGTTTGTCAATTTATTTTAAGTTAAAGCAGTCAACTTCATAGCATTCTTGAAAATTTATTATATTTATTTTGCTTTTTCCTTTAATTTTGCTTACAATTCATTAACTTTTTAATTATTTTTTTTTGCACATTAATATATTTTATTGTTTGTAAATTGTTAAAGCTTAACACTTGTATAAGACATTTCGTTTGATATATTTTTTTATATATCATTCAATTAACTATTTCCTTCAAGCCTTCTTTAAATTCCAAATATAGGTGAGATACCTGGAAGTAAATACTTAGTGGCAATTTGTTATGAGTTTTTAGGAATCTTATTCTAAGCAAAATAACCTGGATTTGTTGGTTAAGTAGATTAGAATAATATTTCTTTATCAAACCTAACCTAATTATATTTTTTTTATAAGAGTTTAAATGACTCTAGTACATGCAAAAGAGTATGATCAATTCCATAGTCTTCGTAAGTTTGAAATTTCTTGCATCCTGGACATGAGAATCCACTTAAAAATAATCATTATTGAAATACTGTCCATCTCTGTTATTTGTCATATAGTATTCAATCCAACAATCTAAATCAAAGAGACATGCAATATATTAGATGGAATTATGCCTTACAGGAATGGATACTGGTACACTACTTAATTAGCATTTCAATTAGATTTCTACAAGATTGCTTGAGATGTTTTTCTCAATCAATTAGGAAAAATGGTGACTGACATTGTTACTATATATATGCTATTTGTAATCTTTTTCGCTCATCATTTTTGATATAAATATTATAGATTTTTATTTTATGCAAAAATATCCCCCTTTAATTAATACTTCTTAACAACTCAAAAGAATTATGCAAAATTATGTAGATTAAAAAGTTTTGTGATAATCACAAATGTAATAAAACAACTACTTATTGTTTTCAAGCTTATTTTGAAAAAAGATGAATAACTTTTTAAATATATATAAATATATCATCTATACTATTATGATTATATAGATCTTAATAAATTAATTCTGAAGTTTATGAAAAACTATTTTCATTAAATTAGAAGAATTCTTAAAAGATATTGTCATTATAATTCTAAATAAGAAAAACTTCTGAGGAATTCTAATCTTGTAGAATTAATAAAATTACAGATCTAACGATAAAGAAAACATGTCTTATAATCAGATCAAGTGAATATTAAAGTGATGGGGATGTATAACAAATTATCAACTATTATGAATTACCAGGATAATTCAATTTCTTAGGAGAATTTCTAAGAACAAAAACCTTCAATTATTATATCAATACTATGAGCTGTAAAACATTAAAAAAACAGACCTCTAAAAAATTCAAATAATCTAAATAATCTGAATTTAACGATTGAAAAAATTAGTTCATAATAAAGCAGAGCCTAATAATAAATAATTATTTAGAGCAATCATTAATAAAATATGGTTGGATTAGAGAGATTTAATGCGAAGGACATATCCATCAATTATAGAAATAGATATATTAGGATTATAAAGAGTCTACTATGCAATTATAAATAAGATTTTGAGAAATATTAGCTTATATTAATTCCTAGTTAAATTTTCCACAATAAGAATCAAATAAAGTAATATTTATTAAAGAAGAATTGGGGAGTTCTGGAAAAATAAAATGAGAATTTGGTTGTCTTGAACATAGTTGAAATCGAATTTGAATATTTATATTATATATAAATGGATGAATACTAAGTTTTTTTTAAAGCAAAACTAATTGAATATCAAAAAAATAAAGTGGAAATCTCAAGGGAAGAAATGATGATAGAAATATCAGGAATGTGGGAGCAATATAAAAATGAAAAGGATACAAAAAATATTGATGGAAATGAGTAATTATATTTTCAAATCTTTGATTTTCTTCTTACTCGTAAACAAAAAGAATATGAAAGACAATAATTGGATTCAATTAATCATATGGCATCTCAACCGATCAATTAGAGAAAAAAAAAAATTCAAGCGCCAACAATTCAAATTTCATATTGTGCAAGCGAACCTAAATTTATAATTGAAGCTAGAACCTTAGCTATGAATATACTCAAAGAATTCAAAGTTAATATTGTCAAAAGTCAAATACATCATTCATCATAAAATATTTCTGTAGTTTTATATTAAGAAATAAAAAATATAGAAATATGGTCTTATTTAAGAGATGGACCTTTAGATTATTCAAAAATATCAAATTTAATTTCAAGACATCTTTAAAAATAGTGAATATATTCTCAATAATACATATAATTTTACTATTATATAATTATAATAATTTTAAGAAAATTATATAATTGAGTTCTTAGCTTCAGAAAAATAGAGTTATTTTTGAATAAAAAAACAAAATTTTTAATTTTATGGTGATATTTATTGAAAAGTTAATATAAATAATAATAATCAATGCTAGACTATTAAAATAATATATTTGCAGTCTGTATAGATTCAAAAAAAAATAAATATTAATTTTTTAAATACATATAGATTGCAATTGATAATATTATAATAAAATATTTTAAATATAGTTTAAAAAATGATTTGATTTTAAATTTGATGTTATTCATAATTTTGGAAATTCTGCTTTTCCTTTAGTCAAAGAGGCGGCAAGAGCAATAGGCATATCATTTGTAAAAAGCATGGCCATATTTGTTCTTGCCATAACATCTAATTATGAATCTAAATTTTATTCTCTGGTCAAAATGCTTTTAATTGTATAACACCCAATAGGAGATTTAGAGGCAATGAGTTCTGCTAGTTTAAAAATTTCATCATTAAGTTGTTCATTTTTGACAACTTTACTTACTAATCCTAGTGTCAAGGCTTCTTAAGCATTAAACATTCTTCCTGTATAAGCTAATTCTCTAAAGAGTGATGTGTTAGAATTTTATAAGCCTAATCTCTAAAGTGTTCCTATATCAGCAGCCCTAAAATTAAGATGAATTTGATTATACATTCCAATATCGATTTCTTTGATTGAGAATTTGGCATCTTCTGTACAATATCTGATATCAGCAGAGGTAATGAGATCAATACCACCACCCAAACAATAACCTTAGACTCCTACAATTACAGGGACTCTGATTCTAATTAATGAAGTCATAGCATATTGCCAATCTTTGATTAGATCATATATTCTGATTGATTTTCTTGCTTAATCTAATTCATCTGGAAACTTGATTTAATATAAGGTTAATAGTTTACTTAAAACATTTCTGGAGCTTCTTTAAGATCAAGACCAACACAGAATTGTTTTCCTCTTCCAGTCAAGACAACAACTCGTATATCATCAGTTTTATTAATGATATCAACAGCAGCTTTGAAATCTTGAAATAGTTAAACAGACATAGCATTTCTATGATTAAGATTAAAGAGATACAATTATTTAGGTCTATTGATTTCAAGATGATAGATTTATCCTTTTTTTGTTCCAACTAGAGTTTACATATTATGATAATATTATTGAAAAAAAGTTTAGTTTAATTTTTATTTGTATTTAATTTTGATGATATAAATGAATTTGAAAATATATATCCCAAAATAATTAAATTATTATGAATCATTTACCAAATACTGATGCAGTTATCAATGCAGCTAGTAATTATACCCCAATTGTATCAAATATTGATTCAACATGGGTATTGGTTACATCATTTAGTGCTTTATTAATAGTATTGGGATTCGCTTTCATGGGTTCAGGAGCTGTGAGATACAAATCTGTTTAATCAGCAGTAATCACAGTTTTACTAGGGGCAGCTATTACAATATTATTTTTCTGGCTTGTAATAATATATAATTTAAAATTGATTAGTTAGGTTATGGATTTGCCTTTGGAGATGACAAAGGAAATAAATTCATTGGTTTTAATAGATTTGCTGGAGCTGGCTATAAAGCTGATGCAATGAGAGATGATTATGCAAATTTAAGTAATTTGAAAATTTTGAATAATAAATAGTTTTCTAGAGTATCGGTGCAATAATAGTAACATCTTTATTTGGATTGGGAACATTAGAAAGATCAAGATTCTTTTCAATCAGTGTTTGTCTAGCTGTTTTATCAGGCTTCTTATATCCAGTCGCATTGCATTGGGTTTAACCGAATGGATGGTTGAATAAATTTGGATTCATTGATTTTGCTGGATCCAGTTATATTCATTTATTCGGTGGAGTGACTGCATTGGTTGTTTCATTTTTCTTAAAAGAAAGAAGAGATTAAGCAGGAAATGTTCACCCAGGTATATTCCCTCATCATTCTCCAATTAACATGGGTTATGGATCCATTATCTTAACTATAGCCACACTTATTTTCATTAATGGTTCAAATAAATAAGGAAAAAATGATAAATACGAATAAGGATTGATAGCAGTTAATACAATAGTTGCAACTACATTCTCAGCTTTGACAAGTTTTATTGTTTAATATTTGAAAACACATAAAACTAGTTTGATTGCTCTTGCAAGAGGAAGTGTTGCTGGAATCGTTGCTATTTCTGCTATTGCTAATGATGTTAGAATTTGGGGAGCAGCTCTTACCGGAATCTTAGCAGGATTAACCTATATTATATTAATTCTTATCATTAAAAGATCCCATGTAGATGATCCTGCTTATACTATAGCAACACATCTAGTATTTTTTATATATCATAAATTAAGGGACCAGGATTATTAGGCACTCTTTTAGTTGGAGTACTAACTATTAGCAAAGGATTTTTGATTGGAAAAGGATTTAAATAATTTGGATTATAACTTGTAGGAGCTTTAGCTTTAATTGGTTGGGCATTATTAATTGCATTGCTTGTTATTCCATTGAAAGGAACTGGAGTCTTCAAAATCAATCCTTTCCAAGAATCCTAAGGAATTGATACCAGTTATGGTATTTAATTTTCATAATTTAATTATAGCCGGAGGAGAAGCTATTCAATTCGTAGATGAAAAACCAGAACCAGCACTTATAGCTAGTACTCCTAAGAAGGGAATATTCCAATGAATAATAAATCATTTATTTTCATACATTAAAATAAAAATTATTTTATTATATATTATAAATAATAGACATTTTTACTAATAAATGATTTTGATTCACAATATAAAAATAATAATTTAAAAATCATTTGCTGACATCCCATATACTATAATCATTTTTACCTTCAATTGCTATCATTAAATCATGAGTCTGAATCTCTAAAAATTTTAGATGCCGAGTTTCTGATGGGGATATTCTGTACTTATTTTCAAGCTGATAGATATATATTTTATTTACTTCAAATTATTCATTTAAAATCAAGAAATGATCAAACTAAGAACTATGAAGAAGACAGAAAAACTTCTTTCTTACTTAAATTACATCTATCAATTCTAATTCCTTATCTTCCTTTTCAAATAATATCTAACGTAAATATTTTTTGACATTCTACACTAATTTATATATATTACAATTTTCTAAGGTTCATATTGTTTATTATCCTTTGAATTTGTATGAAGAGGTGGTAATTAAATTTTTTTTAAATCAACAATTGTTAATACTCCTTACTAAGTCATAATTAAAAGTCTATGATTAGAAATCAATTTTGATCTAAGTACTTGATCCTTTCCTGTCACATTCTTTATTTATTTAAACAACTAAGAATCATGAAATAAATATGTTGTTGTTTTCTCTGATGCTATTGTCAATCCATCAGAAAAGTCCACACTTTTGATTACTGAAGGTTTCAATTCTACTTTGTATTACTCCAACATTTCTCCCTCATATATTTTAGAACTATCAAAACAAAACTTCCAAACTTTAATAAAATCTACACAAATCGTAGCAAATTCCAATTCATTGCTATATTTAGAATATTCAACAGTTTATCTCAAATATTTTTCATTAATAAATTTTAATTATTCAATTGGTTATTAATGTAAATCTCTAAATTCTGTAAGTTGTTCAATTTATTTCATATCTTAATACAAAAATAATTTAACAGTAAATCCTAAATCTATATATTTATCATTTAAAATTTTAATGTTTCGACCTGTTGTTAAGAACATCCCTGGTGTTTAACATAATTCTACATCCTTCAATTCTTAATGAGGTTTTAATTAATGTTAATTAACAACAGATAGATCACTCTATTCGATCTCAATAGTAATAACATTAAGTGTTCCTTCTTTACCTGCTGTCAAACATACATTCTTTTATATATTAATAATTTTCAATAGATAAGTATGTTATGTATTGACTTGAATAATTCTCTTAAATTCTGTGCCTGTTGGATCATATGGAGCAGTAATTGGAAGTTGTTATTTTACAATAGATTAAGATTGCTCTGTTTTCATAGTATGATGCGTGTAATCCAAACTCTTTAACAATTCAAGCTTTCGAGTTTTGGATAGTTTGTTCATTTTCCATCTTGACAACTGTTCTATATCTTCTTAATCATAATCTGTAGCCAAAGTATAAATTTACTATTATGTATTTTGTGAAGTTTAAAATTTTGTAAATGATGTAGGTGGTACTTTTAATTATAAATTTGGATTGCTTGTAACATCCTTTATTTTGAATGCCTTTGGTAACATATTAATCTTATTAATTTAGAAATGTTCTTCTTTAATTTAATTTCTAATTCTTTCCATTTCTTAATGAAATTGCTTTAAATATTTATGTACTTAACTAGCCATTGGTTCTAGTAATTACTTAACATTTTAATGAAATAATTCAACTAAAGCTTGAATCTATAAATATGTTATTAATAATAATTACTTTCTTTTCATAATGCTCTCTTTCCAAATCTCCTGTGTGCAATCGATATAATAATATATTCGCTTCCTTAGTTGATATCTTAGCATTCAAAGCACTCATTACAGTTTGAACTATCATATGACCAGTTTCTCGGTTGCTATGTTAAATGTGAAACTTACTTTAATACTTATGCTGAAAAACAGTCTTCAATTGATTGATTTATAAAATCAACAATCATTTTTTTTGATTATTACAAGCTATCTACCATTTAGTGCAAATATTTTTCAATAGAGTCTTCTAATTTTCTTAAATAATTCATTCTTATTTCATGTCTAATGTTTCCATTATTAGAGAGAAAGATTTTAGTTTTATTACCTAGATCACTTCCATATAAAGCAAAGTCAGGACTTATATTGTTTACATATACAAATTACTTTCCTCCTTTTAAAAATGTCTCTGCTTATTACAAAAATGCAGTAGCATCTACTATTTTATGATTACTATGTTCATTTGATGTTCTAGAGCAATCATCACAAAGTAATTTGTTGTTACATGAATTATCAACACAGATGAATTTGATATATCTCAAATGGAAATCACAAATCTATTGCATAATATTAATAATCTAAAATTGATTAATATATATTTCAATAATAAGATTAATTTTTTTCAAATTAAAAAAATTGAACTTACTTGGAATCGAACCAAGATCTTGAGGGTCAAAACCTCACGTACTAACCATTATACAATAAGTCCATTATTGAGAATCATCTTACATTAATTTAGAAATTCAATTTTAACAAAAAATAAACAACCAGAAAATTCCATGCATATTAGTTAGATCTATCTTCTAATTATTATAATTTCTTTACGACTTATTCTCTTGAGCTCATGGGGGGTTTTTAAAAGGTTTTGTAGAAAATATATTTAAGAATATTATTTCATAATCCATTTGCTCTATTGATTTTCAATAATTGAGTTATAATTTTAGGTTAACTATTATAAACATTTTGAACGATCTCATATTGATAAATAATATAAAAACATCCATAAACAATTTAAACTTAAGGATCTTTAACTGGTTAAAACATTTCTAAACCAAAACCAATTAATCATCTTTTATAAGGTTTTAAAAATTATTAAAATGTGAAAATACTTCATTCTTTATTTATTATTTCATTTCCTCAATCATAAGTATAAGTTTCCCTTTCTCCAGGATTTCCATATTTTAAACATTCTTATGAAAAAAAATAACAAATATGTGCATTATAATTAATGATTATAGATGTACCTTTTGCATACAAAAAATTATAAAAATATACAACCATGTAAGATTTATTCTATTCAAAAAGTATCCTTTACAAATAAGAGCAATAAATTATTATTTTTAGTTTGAAATATATTTATAGTTATTTATAAAGAAAATCGTATATGAATATCTTATTAATTAATTGGTTAGATAAAGAAAATTTTGCAAGTTGTTTGAAATTTAAATTCATATTCAGTTCTTTGATTTTTAATCATAAAATATTAAACCTTGTTTTATAATTATATTTTATTTATATTGATATAAAATTCTGTATTCGATGTTCATGATTAATTATATAAGCATTTGGTAATTTGAATTATATTATTATATTTTAACGAAAACAATAGTATTAAATTCAAATAAAATTAATTTTATTTTTTTTAGTAAATTTTAATGAGTGAATATGCAAAGATTAATTTTAATTAAAAGGGACTTTTTTAAGGTCATATTGAAGTACTTTAAATGATTTTTGATTTTGAAATTTCATGTTTGAATAAAATTTAGATGATTCTAAAAATAGCATTATTTGAATGAAGATTTAAGATATAGAATGATCGAAAAAATTTTGTTAATATAAGAAATTTTGAAGTTGAGGAGAATGGTTGTCAGAATAAAATTTGAATAAAATTATTAAATATATATTATTAAATGTCAAAATAGCCACCTTTATAATCTGATCCAGATACATTAGTGTATTCTATTGTATAATTTATGATAGGGAGGCATATGAGTAATTGAATTAAAAGATATAGCTAAATAATTATGATGTAGTAGATTAAATTGGATAGATTTGTTAAAGTATTATGTGGGGAGATAAGAACAATGACACATTTTTTGAGTAAGGGATTTATTATTGACATTATAGTTACTTTTGTGATTAAAAGACGATGTCATTGTATTTAGATTTAGTGCATTCTGGATAAAGGGAAGTTGTAGTGGCTGTAATTAAAACAATTACAATGTTATTACAAAATATATAAAGACCAGTTAGCATAAATTACATATTAAGTCATAGTGCATTAAATGGAATAATTATAGCAGATTATAATTTTAGGGATGATGAAATCATAGCTTATTATATAAATTTGTTGAAATGTGTTTCGATTAGGATAGATGAGCAGAGTTTACAATTGTTCTATAATTTGGTATGTAATTCCAATCTCCATAGAAATTTAGCACATTTCCAATGTTGATGAAGGCAATAGGATTCTATAAGCATAAAGAAAATCTTATTAGAACAAGTGTAAGAAACATAGTTTTAGGAATTACAAAAATAAATTTACCTTAATTACGTAGATATGTAAGATCTTTTCCATTCGCATTATTTTATGTGCAATTTAGTTGTTATATGAGAGATGCATTATTTTATATAGGAGGTTTAATTTAGGAGGGAAGATAAGAATCACATAAGATAATAAAATTGCTATTAGATGATTAATTGGATATATTATATTTTCTAGAAGATCTCTTAAAAACAAATTTAGATGCATTACCAATAATAGTGAATTCAATTATGGTATATGGATTTGTTCCAACAATAGTTATGGGAATTATTAAAAGTGGGCAATAATAATAATAATAATCAATGAAATAGAATCAGTTACCTTAGAGATAATCAATGAATTAATAATAATCTTAGAAATATTAACATAATAGAGGATAATCATTAGGTAATATCACATTTACTAGTATATTCACATCATCATAATCAACTAATAATTAATAAAATTAATAGGTAATTGATATTAAATTTTGTCTTTTCATTTTAATCTAAATATACAAGAGTTTTAGTTTTAGTTAATTTTTAGATTTGTTAACACTTTTTATACTTGGAAAAGATCCAGAGATTATTGATTTTATAACTTAATTAAGTAAATTTAAATATAAATATTAGATACAAATTCTAAGTTGAATTCATATGAAAAGGATATAAGTATGAGTGAGACTTGGATATAGAAAGAGAAAATATTCATCTAAGCATATTCTTAATTTATTTATAAAGATTGTGAAATAAGCGAAGATGTTAATGTTAATGATAAGGATGAACTATTAAGAGGAGTTTCCTCATATGAAACATAATCTATAAAGAGAGAATGTATTTTTTATATAATAATATTAAAAAGTGAATTGTGAACATTTTAAAACATTAATAAATGATTCAAAAAGATATGATGATTTACTTAATATTACTGATTTGTGTGATATAACAATAGTAAAATCATAATTCAAAAATAAAACATCTGCTTTGAGTTTTATGGAGAAAAATGAAAAAAGTAAAATAAATGGAAACACAACAATCAATGATAAAACACCATTTTATGCATTGATGAAACATTTAGAAAGTAATGATGATACTGTAGTATTTATGGTACTTTTATTTATTAAAACACTACGACATTCAAAAAACATATCTCATTCAGTTTTAGAATAAATTGGCATGATAACTCCAGATAAAAATATGGAATTATATAAAAATTGTTAAGAAACTTAATATTTTATGCAAGATAAATTACTAAATATTTTAGAAATAGGATTACCACCTTATAGATTAGGAACTTATATTTTGTCAATTTAAATGTTGATTGACTTTTGTAGAACCGACCTTGAGAGTTATGACTTACATTATAAAGATAGATTTAGAAATATCGTCTTAAATCATATCCAAAAGATAAATGAATATATAAAGAATCATTTAGAAATGCATTATGTAATAGAATTCTTTTATACAGATTATAAAGTATTAAAGTAATAAAATATACAATATATAGCAAGACATCAATTTCAATTTGGCCATAGACTCATATACAATTATTATATGAGATGACTCAAAAAGGTGTTTGTTAAATTGATATTAAACATAATGAAAGTATTTATTTTATGGAACCTGTAAAATAATAAGACAAGATTAGGAAAGATATGATGATATTGTTGATTTTGAAATATACAACATCAGTCTTTTTTGGATTCCAAGAATAGGAATAACAAATACTTGATAATCCAAAACCATTTGGAGATGGACCTGCTTTGAAATACTAATCAGATAATGTCTACAATTTAGAAGAAGAACCATATTGTTAATTTATTAAACATTTATGTAAATATCAAAATATTGATGCATGTATTTTGGAAGATTCTAATTGTTTGGTGGTTATGGATCTAATGTAAGGTTTAAATGCAGCTAAATGCATTATTTCATATAGTTTGAAGAATACAGACGAAATGGTAGAAAGATTGAATTTAAAAATGCTTCATGTGACTTATAGATTCGAGAATTAAAATAATGTTTTTGATTTAGAATTCCCAAATAAATAGGCTTGTTAAGCGGCAAAAAAAATGACAGAATAAAAGAAAACAGCTTTAAAAATTTAAGAGTTGGATACTATTACAAAATATTTATAGGCACTCACAAATACGTTGAATTATAATAAATGATAATTGTTAAATAAAATGATGATCTCACTATTATTTCCCAAGAAAATGTGATTCTTCTTAAATCAGCTGATGAATTGACATTTGAAGCTAAATTCAAATTTCTTAATGGAAGTATTCAAAGAATTAATCAACAATGTTTCCTCTTTAATCATAGATATTTAATGGAACTTAATGATAAAACTATTGAATATTTACAAGAAGTATAAAATGTTTCTATTCAAAATGACAAATCTGTCATTATTACAAATAATAACACAGTATAATTTTACAAGATGAAAAAACTCTAATGGGAATGTAAATTTACAGATTTAATCCCAATTGATTACATTGATACTTGTGCATTGTCTAAATCTATTATTCTACACATTCATAGCAGTATCATTTTTTTATCTGAAGATAAGTAGATTGAAGAAATAATCTAATTAGAATAAGAAGTGCATTCTGTTTATGCATTAAATGATTTTAATGTTATTGGACTCTTTTATATAGTCAATAATCAATTCTCCATATTCAATACAAAACTTATCTAAAGTTATGATTACTTCTCTTAATAATGCATACAATTTGATATTAGTATTAGTTTTCAACCTTATCGTTTAAGTTGTTTCTAAGATGATCAAGCACTTCATTTTCTCTTAATAAGAAATTTAGAACATGTAAAACATTATTATAAGCAAATCCAATGTGTAGATGTTGTCACTATCAATAGATGTAAAAACAGATTACTCATCTTAACAAAATAGTAAGTATTATCAATATACATATCAGAAATTGAAAATACCACATCTGAAGAATAGTATCTCAATGCTCTACAATTAAAATTAATGAATTACTGTAGTTCAATCTTTGATGGACAGTTTTATTTTAGTAATGATTCATATTTATTCAGTTTCTGTAATGATGAAGTCAAATATTATAAATTACTGTAAAATCAAAAGAATTAAATTACTAAAATCAAATTCTAAGAAAAAATTATCTATTATGAATATGTGAATAATCAATTAGTTATTTATTCTTAACAATAATCTAAATGCTATTTAACTATCTATAATTAACAATTTGAAATCATTAACAGATATGAATTTAATAAATTCCATGAAGCCATTAAATATTGCCCATATTATGTTGGGATTATCATCTATGAATAAAAAGTTCAATATCAAGACAAAGCACCAAATAATAATTATGTTTTGTAAACTGATATGCAACAAAAAACATTTCTTTAATTGATAGATTTTCGTACTTAAACTTACTAAAACAATAATCAAACCAATAATGAATAACCTACTATATAGAGTTATTTACTTTATGGTAAAAGTAAAAATAAGATTAGTTGTGGTTTTATGTTAGATTATGCTATTGTAAATATATAAAATATATGGAATAATCGATTTATAATCACAAGTACATATAAATTGAAAATTATTGAGATATATAATAATACTAACTATGAAATGTAACATATCTTTGAGTTTAGTATATTAAATTAATAATTAATAACATTTAGAAATAGTTTACCATTAGAAGATCTGGAGAGAATTAATTTTTTAAAATAGACAGACTAAAGAATATTATTTACTCATTTTGGATAATAAATTAAGGGAGAATCAAAAATGAATGGTATTATACATAGTTTTTATGGAATTAAATGGGTTAGCATAAACAAAGACAATGTTAATATCATTTAGTTGCAGTAAAAGCAAGAGATAAATAAAATATAGAAGGTACTTTAGGAAGGCAGTAATTATTTTTATATTTTATCAAATGATGAAGAGATTTATAAAATTACACCAAATGAAGTTAAATTAATTTATGTTTCTGGATCAAAATTATTATCTTATGTTAGTAATAACAATAATGAGTCAATAATTTTAAAGGTTAATAATGAGTTGTTAGTAACTGAATTGGAGAATGCTTAGAAAATTAAGTATAATTTGATTTTATGAAACATTTAAAATTATTATTATATATAATATCATTAATAAAGGAATACTATAATTGATGCTGCAGTAATCAATAATGATGATTATATGGTTTCTACATCAATAACATCTGATATTGTATTGATAGAAGCTTCTGTTTCAGCTCCATCTTGACATAATAATATATTCGAGTTCCAATGGCAATCATTGGTTCTTTGTTTGCATTATTCCATTTATAATTTAGAACATATTTGTTTGCAAGAGTTATCAAGATATGTACATCTATCAGAAGATTGCAAACATTGAGAATAATCCATATATTAACATAGATTGGACTGACATCCACTTTTAGAATTATAATAACAATAATTTCCCATATTCATACATGTGCAAGGATCATTAATTTCATAACAAGAAANGCCATTAAATATTGCCCATATTATGTTGGGATTATCATCTATGAATAAAAAGTTCAATATCAAGACAAAGCACCAAATAATAATTATGTTTTGTAAACTGATATGCAACAAAAAACATTTCTTTAATTGATAGATTTTCGTACTTAAACTTACTAAAACAATAATCAAACCAATAATGAATAACCTACTATATAGAGTTATTTACTTTATGGTAAAAGTAAAAATAAGATTAGTTGTGGTTTTATGTTAGATTATGCTATTGTAAATATATAAAATATATGGAATAATCGATTTATAATCACAAGTACATATAAATTGAAAATTATTGAGATATATAATAATACTAACTATGAAATGTAACATATCTTTGAGTTTAGTATATTAAATTAATAATTAATAACATTTAGAAATAGTTTACCATTAGAAGATCTGGAGAGAATTAATTTTTTAAAATAGACAGACTAAAGAATATTATTTACTCATTTTGGATAATAAATTAAGGGAGAATCAAAAATGAATGGTATTATACATAGTTTTTATGGAATTAAATGGGTTAGCATAAACAAAGACAATGTTAATATCATTTAGTTGCAGTAAAAGCAAGAGATAAATAAAATATAGAAGGTACTTTAGGAAGGCAGTAATTATTTTTATATTTTATCAAATGATGAAGAGATTTATAAAATTACACCAAATGAAGTTAAATTAATTTATGTTTCTGGATCAAAATTATTATCTTATGTTAGTAATAACAATAATGAGTCAATAATTTTAAAGGTTAATAATGAGTTGTTAGTAACTGAATTGGAGAATGCTTAGAAAATTAAGTATAATTTGATTTTATGAAACATTTAAAATTATTATTATATATAATATCATTAATAAAGGAATACTATAATTGATGCTGCAGTAATCAATAATGATGATTATATGGTTTCTACATCAATAACATCTGATATTGTATTGATAGAAGCTTCTGTTTCAGCTCCATCTTGACATAATAATATATTCGAGTTCCAATGGCAATCATTGGTTCTTTGTTTGCATTATTCCATTTATAATTTAGAACATATTTGTTTGCAAGAGTTATCAAGATATGTACATCTATCAGAAGATTGCAAACATTGAGAATAATCCATATATTAACATAGATTGGACTGACATCCACTTTTAGAATTATAATAACAATAATTTCCCATATTCATACATGTGCAAGGATCATTAATTTCATAACAAGAAATACATTGATTATTTGGTAATAGAACACACAATTAGGATTGGATTTCTGATCCATTACAATTATTGGCACTTGAACCAAATTATAAACATAATGATGAGATACAAGAATATTTATTGCTGAAAGATTGTATTTATAACCAATAACATTATTTTCCAGCAATTTATTATTAATTACAAGCATTCTCTTTAGAAGTATCTTCACTTATATATTGCATGAATTCTTAACAGGAACTTATACCAATACATTAATTATCATTCCAAATGCATTATTCATTGTTAATAGAGCCAGTACATTCTTCTTTTTTCATGTAAGTGCATTACTTAATTTAACATTCATAATAAGACCACATGCAATTTCCACTACATTAATCTTAAGTGAGATGGATACAACTTTATTCAATACAGTGATTTTAATTGTACAAGTCAATATTACATTTTTTGTTATTAATTGTAAATTTAGTGCAATCAGAAACATTGAATAAATCAGAACATTTACGAGCAGCTTGACATTATGATTTATTTTTATAACATTAATATTGATTTATTTTGGTTGATTCACATAGATCTAAAGAAATATCGTTGCAATTTTTGACTCTACATTTACTCTATTATAAATCAAAAATGCATTAAGAAGCAGTACAATTTTACATTGTGTAAATTGTACAATCTATTATATCATAGAGTTAAGTCAATCCAGAGCAAAAACACTCAGAATTTATATACTTACAATTTGGTAATTGTAGACATCCTATTTGATTTAGGCCAGGAGCATCACATTTATCATTAGAATATACATCAACACAACCTCTAGAAAGATAACTAAATTTACAACCTTATGTGTTTAAGGCTATACAAACATTTTTATTTACATTAATCAAATTATTGCACACAGAAGTATCTCCATCATAATATTAACATTTGTAATCCACAAATTAACATTTATCATTCTCTACTAAAACACAACCTAATCTATTGAGTCCTATAGTTTTACAAGTATCAATTTTAGAATCAAAAATTGATGTGCATTAACCATCTGATAAATATTTACATATAACTTCATCTACATCAACTAATGAACATGAAACTGCATTTACATTTTTTAATTGGTTACATTAAGTAACTCCATTAATTATTCTATTGAATTAGCATTTTTCATCCAACCAAATACTTGGTTATTGAGTGATACTAAGACAAGCTTATTTATTTAAACCATTTAAAGTACTTACAAAATTCACAAACACTAATGTTGTTTCAACAAAAGTTTTACAAGATAATGTTTCACTATCATGATAACATTTAATGTTATTTAAAGTAATTGAAGAACACACTTTTGGTGATACTGTTTGATATTATTCACAAGTTGAGTATTCTATACTATCACTGTATTTTACACATTTATTATTAACCCAATCACATCTATCTGCCTTTGTACTTAAACATCCAAAATAATTCAATCCTGGAGTATCACACAAATCATTTTAATTATCTGCAAAAATACAGATGTAATTAATATTATCATACTTGACTGAAACATTCTATAAATTTTGGATAGAACTATCTTTCATTGTATATGCTCTTCTGCATACATGTTAATTAATAAGGATATGATGATCTATTGTAAATTCATAATCAGAATCAGTTAATGAACTGCATTATTGACCTAACCATTTACAAAATTGTCCTTCTTATGTTACATTTACACAGCCATATATATTTAGTTGATCTTGACAAGAAATAATAAAATTATCAATGTATTAGCATTTATTATCTTTGTATATGCATTTTTCATTTTCTTTGGCTACTGCTAAGCATCCATATAATGATAGTTCAGAAGTGCAATTCACTCCATATGTATCAGCACTTCTACATTAATTAGAAGTCCAATGACAAATTTATCCTTCATTAATAGGTGCAATACAAAATCTTTTTTAAGAATATTTAAATAATGGACAAGTTTTATCCTTAGCCAAATTTTCATCAGTTAATTATAGGCATTTACCTAATTAAATGCTCCAATAACAATTATTTGATTTATTATTTTAGCATCCTAAAGGACTTAATGATTGATCGCAAACTGATTATTCACTTTCAAGATAACATTTGGATTCCTTATATGCACAATAATCGGTTGAAAAGAAATAGCAAATTCCTGGAGATATTGTAAGATTTACATATTAAGAACAACTTTTCATATCACCAGAATAGTTAACACATAAGTGTTTATTGGAATCCCATATACAAGCAGTAGATACATTACGTAGACAAGTATATTTAGATGTAATTTCTGAACAATTTCTGTAAATTGTATCTGGAGCAGCAATTTTGCATGAACCATTATTCCAGATACAATTTTCTTCAATATATTAACATCCAATTATATTTACTTTATCTTCACATACTTTTCCTGTAATTTAACTACTGCATCTTAATTCGTTTGGTTTATACTAACAAGGACCCGCAAGGGTTGATGATTAACAGAAAACACTATTTTAGGAAGAGATAGAATTTAATAAATCACATTGAGTATTATTCTTTTCAATATCCACACATTAATTAGAGGAATCTATTCTACATCCTGTAAAATTAGAACAGTATCCTCTACTAACTTCATCTTCTCTAATTCCTGGACAAAATGGTTATTTATTATTAGCATTCATATTTTTACATGTTTATTCATCTTTATCCCAAAAACAATTATTAATATTATCTAGACATGCTATTTTATTAATTCTATTTTAACATTATGCATTAATTCCTGTTAATGAACAACCATATCGATTATTATTTTAAGTACAACCAACATCAATAACATCAAGACATTAAGTTTCAGATAAAGAAGAGTATTTTAAGTCAATACAAGATGAAGTATTACCAGGAATACATTCTTAATTAATATCATCATACATGCAAAAGATATCTTAAGTAACACAACCAGCAATATTAAGATTTTATAGACATCCAAATGATCTTGATACAGGCGAACATAATAAATGGATTGGATCCCATTCACATGGTTATAATATCCATAAACATGCTGTTTTATTAATAGCTTCTTGACATTTCGAATTTTGAACAAGTAATTATGTACAAGAAGAAGAATAAGTGCAATTATCTCCAATTTATTATTGACAACAATATTTAGATAAATTAGACATACTATTACAAGTGCTTAAATAACTAGAATCTACACATTAATTAGATGTCCATTGACAACATTTTGAAGTGTGAGAAATACATGCTTTTTGATTTAAGTTACTAGTACAATTTAGTTGTGAATAATCAGTAACTTATTCACACATTCCATCTATATAATAACATTAAGCTGAAGTATAATTGACACATGCTAACTTATTCATTCCTTAGTCACAATAATTAGAAGTAATAGTAACTTATTGACATGAATTTGAATTCCAAGTACAAGCAATATCTGTAGTTTATGAACACACTCCAGGATTTACTTGAGAATATGATAAACAATTATTATTAACAGTAATTTAAGTACAAACATTATTAATCCATTGGCAAGATTCTCCATTATATAACGAAAGACAACCATTTTTATTTGAAGGATCACTACATTTGGATGATGTAACATCATTAATTAGAACATCAAGACATAAATTATTTGTAAATATACAATTACCTGATAATGCTCCAACACATGCTTTTTAATTGGCTCCCATTGAATTACAATTTGGTGCATTATCTGTAACACATCCATTATTCCAATAACAAGATTAAGTTACTATAGATGCACACACTTATGGAGAATAAATATTTGCAGAATATAAACTACATAAATCAGATGATTAAATAGTAAATGCAATACAAGATCCATTATCCCATTTACATAATTATTTAGGAGTTTATATTCTAATACATGCAGATTAAGTAAATGAATATTAACTTATACATTAAGCTTCATATGGAGAAGTTGTTATATCAATGCAAATTTTATAATAATAACAGGAATTTGCTGTGTTGGCAAGACATGCATTTTTATTTAAACCATCACATGGTTATAATGTATTTGTTGGTATTATACATTATGATGATAATCCATTATCTTTAAATTAACAATTCTAAGTTTAGTAATTATTTTGCATACAAGCATATGAATTTATATTAGTTAATGATGTACAATCTACGTTTGGTGTAAATTATTAACATTTATTATTTGACCATTAACATGCAGAAATTCTACTATTAATACATTGTTTAAATGATTCAGCCTTTTAACATTCCAAATTCATTGAAGTTATAACACTACAAGTATCAGATGAGAATTTGCAAGTTTATTAAGAAATATAATTAAGACAGTATACAGAGTTTATTGTAGAATTAGAGTTACACAATGGTAATGGAGTAGTATCTTATTTACAAACAGAATTTTATGTATCGTAAATACATGAGGAAGTAGAATTAGCATATGAACATGTTAAACCATTCACTATTTTCTTACTTGGATCTGAATAGCTTTAACAAGTGAAATCCATAAGAGTACTTTCTGATATTTCAGAACATTTTTTATCTGTTTTGTCAAATTAACAAGGTACTTATTAAACATTAATACATGCATCTTCATTCAAATTCTCCAATTCTTAATCTATCATACTTATTTAATTAATTGTCTAACATCTATTCTGCTTAAATTCACAATAAGAACCTTTTGTATTTTAAATACAAGCTTTTCTATTCAAGCCTGAAGTATTACAAGGATTATTATTTGTTTCTATGCTTATACATACTTTGTTAGTAGTGTCATAACCACAACTTGATGATTATATTTAAGAACAGATTATCGAATTAACCTTGCCTCCAGAAGCTAGATTAAATTAATTACATTATGTATTTTCATCTACTTTAATACTTACACATATATTATTAAACCAACCACAAGTTGATGTTGTTACTCCTATACAATCATTATCCGTATTCTTATTATTACAATCACTTTATGGAGGAGATGGTTTGGATTAACATATATAATCACGAGTATTGAATATATCACAACTGGAATTCTATTCGCAAGCTGTCTCATTCTATCCTACTTTACAACTTGAATTCATTGATATTGAATCACAATGGAATGTAACAGCATTATATTCACACATTTCATTTGATTTACTTACCATTGCACATACTATTGCATTATATAAACGAGTATTCAAAGATGAACAGGACTCTTAATCATATTTTATATCTGTCACATTCTTACATTTTCGATCACCTGTATCCCAATAACAAGCTTCTCTCTATGATGCCAAACATCCCAATTGATTTACTGAATCATTACAGTTTATACGTCTTGCTGTATTATTTGTTACTTCCTAACATTTATATTCATTCTTATCAAAATAGCATGCACCACTAGTATTTGTAATACAAGCTTATTCGTTCAATCCACTTGTATTGCAAGATAATGTATTTTCAGAATTATTAATTAACTCACATTTATTTGTGCTTGTATTAAACTTGCAACTTGATACTGATTTTGTACTAGCACAAGTATTCGCATTGACTATTTCATTTACATAACTACTGCATTCTGCTCCTGTGGAAAGTAATTTACATTTTGTATCATCATCTGATTTAATCCATTAACAATATTATTTTGATGTTGTAATACTTGAACATAATTTAAAACCACATTATTTACATTATAGAGTATTTAATAATGGATCATTATTTGCAGTTATTTCTTAACATTTTAAAGAAGTTATATCAAAATAACAATTAAGAGATTTATTTGAAAACCTTATGCATGCATGTAAATTTATATCAAGAGTGCTTCCGCAATCAGCCCAGTCAGATGCACTTGTATATAACTAACAAAGTTAATTTGTACTATCATATGTGCAAAAATTATTTGTACCAACCCACTTTGATTGACTGATTTCATAGGCTAAACAAAACTATTTATTCACATTTTTGTATTTGGAACATTCATTAGAGACTGGAAATGCCTATAATTAGCAAATAGAATCAATTGAATTCCATATACAATATTATCCTTATAAAGTTATAGATAAACAAGTGGATTTTGAAGGGAAATTTGTATCACATCTTATATTTGTAAAATCAGTAGCTGTAGTACATCTATTGTTAAACGTATCAAAATAACAGGATGATCTCAAATAAGCACAAGCATAAGGATTCAATCCAGAAGCAGTACATTAAGTACTTGGATCAACAGAGGCAGAACAACTTTAGACATTAGAATCATATCTACATTTTTCCACAACCTATTAAACCATAGCACAGGTTTTAGAAGTAACACTTTAAAGCGAAGAACAGGTAACAGCTCCACCTAAACTTTAAACAGTAGCACATTGATTGGACAACCATCGGCAACTTAATGATGATTTGGTTATACTAGAACAAGCCTTTTAATTGAGTCCAATAGTATCACAAGTAATATCATCAGTCATGACAAAAGTTTAGCAACTATTGGTTTCAGAATTATATTTGCAAAGTTAAGATGATAAATTAATGATATGATTGACCATTCTACAAGCAACAGCATTAACTAATTTAAGTGTAGAACATTCATCACTTCTTTTAATAGTAATTGATGTACATACTCCTGAAAGTTCATTCCATTTACAAGAAGACATTGTACTATTAAGACAACCTAATCTATTAAGTCCTTCTTATTGACAAGTTAAAGAACCATCAGTAGTTTTACATAAACCATCTTTCCAATAACATGCTTCGGTTGTAACTTTTCGACAAGCATTTGGATTATGAGAAGTAAGATCTTAACACATAGTTTCAGGAGTAACTTAATAGATACTACATTGTAAACCATCATAATAACAAACTTGACTAGGATTTTTCAAATTCAAACAACTAATTTTATTTAAGCCACTTGTACATTTAAGTTGATCTAGTGAGTTAATTAATAAACATTATCCATTAAGAAATTAACACTATTAAATAGCTTCATTACATGATAATTTATTTTACCCTAACTTTCCACATTCTTTATTATCATCAAAAAGACATCCATATTAATCATTCCACATACAACCAGAAGAGCTTTATCTACAACTTGTTTCTGTTTTCATATTACTTTGTGATTTACACATTGAATTACATTTTTTAGTTTAGGAATCAAAATAACATGAGATTTTGGATACATTTGCACAGACACTAGGTGATACTTATATATCAAAAGAACAATCATCTTATAATGTAACTGTTTTATATTAACATTATCCTGAAGACCAATAACAAGTTTCTGCTAAATTAGTAACTGATAAGCATGCCAATTTATTTAAAGCATCAGAACATTTAAGTTAATCAGTAAATTCAACTAATTAACATATGCCATTTTAAAAAATACAACTTTCAGTCTCTATTTTTATACATCCTAATTTATTTAAACCTGAAGCTGAACATCTTAAATATTGATATACAATATCTGGAGGTTTTACACAACCAGGAACTAACATCAGATTTTTATATGTGTTTGCTTGAATACCCATTAGGGAAGTCTTGTACAATCCAGTTAAAACTACATGGACTCCAGATTAATGAAGAACTTAACTCTTTATTCTTACTTATTACCTTCTTATGTCGTTATAAGACGACAAACCTTTACACTTGCTAATTGAATTGAATCTGATGCACTTATAGCAATATTGTTAGCTTCAACTTCAGAAATCGTTTAACAACTATCATTCCAAAAACAATAGTCTTCTTATACTGATAAACAAGCTGCTCTGGATAGATTTTTTGAACAATTGCTTAATAAGGTTGCAACCTTACGACAATACCCACTGAAAATGCCTATGATTTTCATCAATTTCATTTACATTCTGCCAATGTACCATCAGGATAATATGTTTAGGCAATACAAGTTTGATAACTAAGCAAATTGGAACATCCAAAATTGAGTCCATCTGTATATTAACATTAACTTGTTATTTCATTCCATCTGCATTTTATACTGTTATTTTTAATACAATCCATATCTGATTTGTAATAATCACAAGACATAGTTGTCTAACATACTAAAATCAATAAGAGTATTATAAAATATTTCATTTTATTATTATTATTGTTAAGTAATATAATTAATTGTATAGAAATCAATTATTAAATATATTTTACATTAGATTCCATCTTACTACCACTTATTCCCAATATGGTACTTATTTCTCGGCCATTATTTTATTTAAATGTGTTAAAAATTGTTTATCTGATATCATATTCTTCTTATCTTACTTATTTGTTTCTTATTCTTCTTCTGGTAAATCTATTTTTATATATACATCTCTGAATGTACCATTTGTTTAAGTATCATTATTTACAATCACTTATTGTTATTATTCATCATCAGATAAATCATTTATTTGATCCCAAAATAAACATTTGATCTCAAAAAATAAACATTCAAATTTAGATTATTTTTATAAATCTCTCAAATTTTTTTCCAAATCATCTTACTACAATGCACATTAAATCATGTTTAATAATAAGTTTAGATTCTTAACACTTGTATAATAAGAATTATTTCTTGATGCCAATTAGATTACAGAGACAACATTTTCTACTTTTAATTTTTAAATAACAGCTTCATTCTTTGTCTATCCTATATGATCATTAACTATCAGTAAACATTCAATAAATATCTCTAATAAATCTTATTCTATTATTTCTTAAGGTTTTCCCATTCTTTATGCTACCAAACTCACATTCCCTCGATTTTCAAGAATCGTATGCCATAGTTCCCTCTTTTCATAAAGAGTTAATTGTGGTCTAAATTATTCTTCTCTTTCTTTTTTACAGATGTACATAAATATTTTAATTGCAAAATAACATCATGATTCCTAGAAATGGTATTAATAAAAAATCATTTTTATTTTTAATCGTTATAAATTTGAAATTCAATGGCTTCATCAGTTCTTCGTTCTTAAATTCCATTAGGTGGAATATGTGATGTAGAATCAGCAAAACATGTTGCAAGAAGACTATTTGAATCTTATGATAGAGATAGAAATGGAATCTTAGATTAAGGAGAAGTAGCACCTATGATGGTCGATGCATATAAAGGAATGTCTAAAGGATTTAATCCAAGCAAATCAGATATAGATACTTATCAAAGAATCCTTGATAGAAATGGAGATGGCAAAATCACAATCTAAGACATTGAAGCATTAGCTATCAAATACTTAGTTGGTATAACTGGAGAGTCTCCTAAAAGACCTAAGAGATAATATTCTAAATTTGTTGAAGAACGTTTAGATGTTGCTAGAAGACTCTTTCGTAAATTTGATTAAGATGGTTCTGGATTCATAACTGAAAATGAAGTATAAATCATTCTAAATAATCTCTAGGTTCCATAATTATTAATTGAAACATATAAATCTATGGGTATTCACTATAATCCAACTTAAGAAGATGTTAAATCTTGGATGAGAATGACTGACCTCAATGATGATGGTCAAGTATCACTTGAAGAATATGAAGATTTAGTTATTAGATCCCTTTAACATGCAGGAATCCAACTTGAATGACAATATATATATATAATATAAAGATACATTTACTTTATCTAATAAATTATATATAATTTTATAAAATATTTTTAATTATTAGAATTTTAAAAATATTTATATATATATATTATTATTATTTTAAAAAAACTAAAAAAATTAAGTAATAATCAAATAAATTATTATATTTTTGAACAGTATTTTTAATTCAAAAATTCCCTTTATCAAAATACCTCCCTATTATTTATTTGGTTTCTTCTTCATCATACACTTTAAATGGTTGAAATCCTCTCTTCATATTTGAATTTGTTTTCTCAAAATTCGTATTATTAAAATCATCCTATTAAGGATACTCTCTTATAGGTGATGATGATTATCCATTTTACATTTTAGGAAATTCATCAGCATCTTCATTTGGAATCTTAAATTTAATCNTACATAAATATTTAAATTGAAAAATAACATCATGATTCCTAGAAATGGTATTAATAAAAAATCATTTTTATTTTTAATCGTTATAAATTTGAAATTCAATGGCTTCATCAGTTCTTCGTTCTTAAATTCCATTAGGTGGAATATGTGATGTAGAATCAGCAAAACATGTTGCAAGAAGACTATTTGAATCTTATGATAGAGATAGAAATGGAATCTTAGATTAAGGAGAAGTAGCACCTATGATGGTCGATGCATATAAAGGAATGTCTAAAGGATTTAATCCAAGCAAATCAGATATAGATACTTATCAAAGAATCCTTGATAGAAATGGAGATGGCAAAATCACAATCTAAGACATTGAAGCATTAGCTATCAAATACTTAGTTGGTATAACTGGAGAGTCACCTAAAAGACCTAAGAGATAATATTCTAAATTTGTTGAAGAACGTTTAGATGTTGCTAGAAGACTCTTTCGTAAATTTGATTAAGATGGTTCTGGATTCATAACTGAAAATGAAGTATAAATCATTCTAAATAATCTCTAGGTTCCATAATTATTAATTGAAACATATAAATCTATGGGTATTCACTATAATCCAACTTAAGAAGATGTTAAATCTTGGATGAGAATGACTGACCTCAATGATGATGGTCAAGTATCACTTGAAGAATATGAAGATTTAGTTATTAGATCCCTTTAACATGCAGGAATCCAACTTGAATGACAATATATATATATAATATAAAGATACATTTACTTTATCTAATAAATTATATATAATTTTATAAAATATTTTTAATTATTAGAATTTTAAAAATATTTATATATATATATTATTATTATTTTAAAAAAACTAAAAAAATTAAGTAATAATCAAATAAATTATTATATTTTTGAACAGTATTTTTAATTCAAAAATTCCCTTTATCAAAATACCTCCCTATTATTTATTTGGTTTCTTCTTCATCATACACTTTAAATGGTTGAAATCCTCTCTTCATATTTGAATTTGTTTTCTCAAAATTCGTATTATTAAAATCATCCTATTAAGGATACTCTCTTATAGGTGATGATGATTATCCATTTTACATTTTAGGAAATTCATCAGCATCTTCATTTGGAATCTTAAATTTAATCTCTTTTAATTATCCTCCCAATTAAACACTTGATTTTAAATATTGTTTCTCAACATTAGGAAATAAATTCTTTATTGATTACTTATTATTACTATGATTATATGGCATTATATGATCCATTGATTTTGTAGAAATTAATGCACTCTTATAATTTTTAAGCTGACTATTTTAAGAGAAAAGTGTTTTATTTTCTATTCCGAATGCTTAATCCTATTTAAATGTTCTTATGCTTGTTGAAAATTGAGTATATGGGTTCTTCTTTATTACTGGATTAAATGGAAGTTTTTACATTTTCTCTAATCCTTCTGATCTCATACGTTTAAATTCTATCAGAGAATTCTCTTATTCCATATATATATAATTATCATCAGGATTACGAAACGGCATTTCTTTCCATGCTGTCTTTTCTAAAAATCTACCTCCTGCTTATTTAAAATCTTAATCACTAATCCATTTCTCTCTTTAAGTTGGTTTCCAATTAGGTCTCTAAGCCATTCCTAGATCTCTTTATGTAAAATCGATATATCTTGAGTTCTCTAATTTCTCTTATAATCTTTGATTCTCTGTCCTAGGATTCTACCCAAATCTCAAAGGCATCTTTTCTTTTGCCAAAATCTCATTCCTCATATTTAAAGGTAGTTTCATATAAGGACCTGCCTTTAAATGTCCTCTCAAAAACTCATCTTAAGCTTCCTATGCTTTTATTCTCTCTGATTTATATTAAACTGGTGTTTTTTCACGAGGCCTATCTACAAATTCATGTAAATCAGGATTAAGCAAAGGAATACTTCCACTTTTTATACCTGTTATTTAATATTCATTATTATACTCTTTAAAAAGCTTGAGTTATGATTTGAATTGATATACTTTTAGATTCTCTCAGAACTTTAAGCTGCCAATTAAAATACATTGCTTTAATGACTTTTATTAACTTTCATAATTAAATATAATTATATCTAACTCAAATCAATATCCTCTTACATTTACTGGAATTTCCAACTACTTTTTTTTATGAATAAGGATGAAACTTTATGTTAAACTTTACAATTAGACACAATCCTATCAAATAACTATCCTTATTCTTGAAAGGTTTCAAAAATACTACTATTTTTCAAAAAATTTAACCTAATTTTATTCATTGATATCATTGTGCATCATTTAATCTATTTAATAAACTGATAGAATCCATTATCAAATAAGACTGATATTATTTATCCATAAATTAGTGTTCTTTAATACTCTATTAAAGATTTTTCTTCATTTCAATTTAGATTATAATATACATGCTTGATATAAGGCATTATGAAAAACAATCAAGAAATAATATTCTAATCATCTTAAGCTAGAATAATTTTCATATTCTTTTTTCATTTTATATAGGTAGGTTTTATATATTTATATTTTATGAAAGTCTCAATAACTATTAACGATCTAATAATAATCATATTCTTCTGCATTCCTTCATTTCATTTATATTTTTGCAAGTTATTTTATATTTCTTTAATCAGGAATAATATTTAATATTTTCCCTATCAATATTTTTACGCTAAGTTAATCTTCATATTTTAAAATTCTTGAGTATTAATAACCTATAAAATGTTATAATGTCATTTTACCAATAAATTAATTATAATATTTTCTTCATTATGGAATTATATTATGTCTATTATCAAGAAAAGAATAAAATAATTATAAAATGATTCATAATTTAATTTATTTACACTAAAATATTTTGTTTATAAGTTTAAAACTTTTAGTTTTTGACAATCAAATACAATTGCAATAGTAATTTATTCAAATATAGGCTAGAATAAAATAGAAAGGTTTTAGATAGACATAATTATAAATAATAATATGATTTATATTATTTCGTTTTGAAATTGCAAAAATAATACAAAAGTTTAGAATAATAAAAAAATTTCTTTTATAAAAATTCTATTTTTAACTTTTGTGTTTATGGTTTTAATGTCTTTAATTTAAGAAGGGGTGGATACCTTTTAAATAAATTTTTTCATAGCATTATAAATATATTATATATTATAATTTTAATTGATGAGCTTCTAGTCTTAAGAATAAGTGGAAACTCTTACTATTTTAGAAAATAGACTAAAGTCTCTATCATTCTAATATAAAGAGCCAATAAATGAAATTTAAATTTTCAAATAGTTTATAAGCGACAAGGATGAGGAATTTGCAATATGGAAAAATGCCGAAAGTCAAGTAAAATCAGTTTGTGGAAAAGATATAAAAAATGGAGAACTAACATTTTAATGTTTTACTTGTGCTCCTGATCCCTTTCATATGTATTGCTATCAGTGCTTTGATCCTGATGTACATATAAGTATTTTATTTATCTCAAAAAAGATCATAAATGTATTATAAAGCATAAAATTGGTGGAGCTTGTGATTGTGGAGATGAATAAACAATTATACCTTCTGGATTCTGTTCTAAGCATTAAGGGATCTCAAAGTTTGATTACAATTAAGAATTAAAAAAGATTTCAGAGCCTTTAAAACAAAAAATTGAAAATTTTATAAGAGCTCTTTCTTCTGTGTATTTACAATTAACAAAAAAAATAAAAAGCGATTATCATAAGTTTAATTTAAAAATACTCAAATTATATCACATAAGTGAAAAATTGTTGATAATTCCTTTAAAAGAAACGATAGATTCTGAATATGATATTGAAGATTATTATAAAATCTTTTAATAAGCAATATATTTAAATTCAATACTTTTTAAGATGTGTTATTGGCTTACAGAATCAAGATTATGTTTTATAATCTTACTTTCATAGATTTTTTAATAATAATTAACACAAGAATCAAAATAATCCATATTTGAAGATTTGTTTGAAGTTCAAGTATTAATTGAAAGTTAAGGACCATAACCAGCCTTGATAATTGAAAGCTTATTATTTAGATTCTATGCTGATTATTCGTTTAAGTAGTTTATTTAAGTTTGTTACATAAAAAAATACTAATCAATGTGGTTACTGACAAGATAAAAAGTAACCAGATATGATAATTAGATAGATGAAACTTTAATATAACTGTAAGAAATATCTAATTCAAAATTTGTTAGACTTTAAAATGAATAGTTGTTATAAATGGTTGAAAATATCAAAATGTATATTAAAAGTTATAAGAGTTCTCAATATAACTTGTAGAGATTTTATTTATCCGAAATTCATGAATAACATACTCAATATGTAGCAGAATAACTTCAAGAGCTATTTCTAAATAATTAAAATATATCAATAGTTTACAATTATATCAGGGATTTATAAGATATAATTCATTCTCATAACCCCCTCTAATCATTTAAATAATTATCCTACTCAATGGTTTTTAAATTGAGATATGATTATAGTTTCTTCCATAAAATGGGTTTTAAATAACTTAATTAGGCTCTTGCAAAATAATAATTACAATTTTACTCTGAAGAAATTACTAAAGAAATTATACAAAACTTTAAATATCAAGATTTCACTATTACTGCTTTTATAGATTGTTTTAATCGGATTAAGCCTTAGCATCTAAATATAGTTGATGAAAATTTAATAATTCGATAATATGATTTGTAAGATGCAATCTATTTTCTAATTTGTTAATGCTAAGCTATAGAAGTGATTAAAACAGGACTATTAAAACTATTTGATTCTTAATCTGCTACTCCATTATTTAAAGAAAATATTACAAAATTAATGCTAATATAATGCTATTCTATTTTGAAAAAAAAAAGCAAATGCATTTCAATTGATATGTAACTACATGAAGCCTATAAAAAATATATTGAAGTTAAAGATTTAAGTGAAAAGGAGATCTTTCAAAGGTTGTCTAAAATTTATTTGTTATTGATAAAAAGTATAACTGTGATTGAAAGATTGTTTACTTTTTTCTTATCTTAATTATATTGTTTAAAAAATTTTTCATCAGGAAAAGATTTTGAGTCATATATTCTAAATGTATTAGAAGAAGATAAGAAGGAGTTAAAAATAATCTTTTACGAAGTCTTATCAAAATGTTTATAAGTTTATACTTCAATATATTTTTGTTAAAATAAAATTTTAGAATAAATCTATTAAGGATTAAGTGATTAAAATGAATTGGTGATACTTGAATCTTATGATAGTTCATTTTTAAAGTTTTATTTATTCATATATGAAAATGAAGGATTTAATGATTTGTTTTAAATTATAAAAAATCGTAAAATACCTATTGAGAGCGACATGAATAGATTACTCTGGTATATATATTTAAATTAATCATAGTTGTTTATTATTAAGAATGTTAAGTTCTGATCTTGATTTATATAATGTTTGTTGCTCAACCTCATAAAATCTTCATAAAGATTTAAAATTATCATTGGCCAAATCAATCTAAAATTTTTACAATCTCTCAACTTATCTCCAATATACTGATATTGAAAATAAATTAAAAAGAATGGGGATCATAAGTTGTTCCTATCTTCCAGATCATATCTTAGAGATTTGCGAAGTTGATTAAGCTGTAAAAAAATTAAAATTAAAGCCTGATTATAAAATTATTTATGATCCAGCCATTTTTAATATAAGTAATTCTACCAATAATCAAATTGTTGAAAAATTAATAGAATAAAATAAATCTGAAAAGGAGATTCATTTAGGTAATGGTATTGAATGGGATGTTGAATTATTTTCATAAACAAATTTTAGAACTATACTTTATCATCTTCTAAAAGAATATTGTAAAAGAGAATACATATAAAAAAACATTCATTTATTAGCAACAGAAGGATTTGCATTAATTTAAACATATTAATTGTTATATATTTAAATTATAGCAGCTAATTATTTTAGAACCTAAGAATTTATAGTTGATGTTCCTTCCATTTTAGATCAATTTGAATAAATTCAAAAGAAAAAAGAGCGAAAAGATGATATCCAAAGAATATAAGTTTTGATATCAGAAATTAATAAAATTACAACAGTAGTTCAAAAATTTACTGAAAAATCATAAAATTAAGTCAAGAATAATTTATAAAATAAAAAGAATCAATTTAAAGACAAATATAATAAACTATAAAAATCTGAATTTCTATAAGATATGCTTGATAGTAACAATATTAAAGAAAATAATGAAGATACCTATGATAAGGTATGCTCATCTTGTAGATTACCTTTAAGTTAACAAAACAGTGTAGCCTTATTATTATTGATCAAGAAACCATAAACTTCAAATTTTTCAATTATTTCTAAAGAGAGTTTAGATTATTTCAAAAATTAACAATTCAATTTAATTGATATTGGAATAGCAGATTGTAAACACTATTTCCATTAAACTTGTTTAACAGAGGGATTTTAAGCTGATTAAAAAAATAGAAGATAAAATGCTCCTAATTGGGTTAAGATTGGATGTCCAGTTTGTAAGTTGCCTTGTACACTTACTTTACCTATTTAAATATAATTAACAAACTTTGATGTAGAAACTTTTAATTCAGATCTTTAATTATTTGTCTCTGAAAATTTTAATGAGAGCTTATTCGAAAATTAAATTACTGCATTAGTAACCTTAACTTAAACATATTATAATATTTTTTTTGATTTGCTTGTATCTTTATTATAAAACCTACCAGAGTATATTAGAAATAAAAAAAGTATTGTATTCAATTAGTTACTTATGATATTAAAATAAACAAATATAGAAGCAGCAAGAATGTAAATTAAAGAGAAATTTTAATTTTAGACAAAAAATAATTTAATTTTAAAAATATTATGTTTAATCTAAAAATATGTTGTTCTTGATAAAGATTTAGAAAGATTAAAACGAAAAATAATAAAGTGTTGCATTTAATATAATATAAAAAATGATATAAAAGCTTAGCTTGAATTGTCATTTGATATAAAAGATGAAATATCTTAATAAATTTAAGAATCTTTATAAAAAACCCTAATTTAAAATATTCCTTATTAATTTACAATTATAAATTAATAACAATTAATAGAGGAATTGAAATGTATAATTGGTTTAACTTTTAAGGAATTCTACTGTAAATATTTTACTAAAAAATGTTTTGCTTGTGGATTTTACAATAAAGACCAAAGATATAGAGGATTTTCGATGTGTTTATTCTGTTCAAAAACATTTTGTATTTATTCATGTAAAAAGAACCTTCAAACAGGAAATTTTAATTAGCATGCAAATAACGAACATAATGGAATATCTATTTATATAAATTTAGAAAATGGTTATGTTACTTTATTATGCTCTCCAATATCAATATAAAAATATAAATGCTTATTTTATAATTAATTAGGATAAACGATGGATGTCTAAAATTCGCATGCAGATTGGAATACATATTGTTTAGATATTGAGAAAGTAAAAGAGTTATCATAAATAATATTGAACAATTCATATTAAGCAACAATTAGAAATTTAGAAGTTAGATAAAATTAATTAGATATGGATGGATGGCTTTGATTAAGAATTCAGCGATTATTGAGTATCAATAAATTTGGTTAATAATTATGAATATTTCTAATTTTTTTCAGGAATGCGTAAATACTATTACAGATTCTCGACCAATTCTTTATCAACCTTCAATGGATATCTAGGAAGGCGAAATTTTAGTGAAAGGAAAGACTTTTGGTAGATGGGAAGCTAAGAAATTTATAATTGATAATGAAAAAAGAGTCTTTGCTACTATGAGTTCTAAAGAAAAACAAAACTTAAAACCCTATTTTTTATAAGAGTATTAAGTATTTAAGAATTTTTACAGCTTTTAGGTAGAAAACAAAGAAAAGAAAAAAGATAAAACAACATTTGATTTAATATCGAAAACAGGAGGAAAATGTATTACTCTTGGAATAGAAAATGAATAGAAAGCTAATGAAATCATAAGGATTTTATAAGATTTATGTAAAAAAGTAGAGGAGAAATAAAAGTAAGAAGAGAAAATATAAAAAAATATCTAAGAAAAGATAAATAAATAGAATTATTGTACCATTTTAATAAATATTAGTTAGATAATATCATTGATTAAATAGATTATGATATTCCAAGCTTCTTTGATATTACAGAAATTAGGGATAGGTATTTTTTGTTATAAATGTAGTATCGCTTAAATTCGAAAGAGTTAACTCAATTTAGAGAATTTCAAATTAATATTTGAAAATAAATTATTAATATATAGAAATGAACACAATCATCATTAATTTAAAGTATTCTCAGAATTTGACAGCAACTGTATTTTTATATATTATATAATTACGTAGGTAAAGATGATATTATTCAGAATTTAACAGATTATAATAAAATTAATTTGTGGAATGCTTTTATTAATACACAGGAAAGTAGAATGATTAAAGAATTACATGAAGATAAATCTTTTTTAATACTTGAGATTAGAGAGTTATCTAATATATTTATCTTTAAAAGAGAATTCCAATATTTGTAACATCACTTAAAAATTGACAATATTGAATTTATTGTCTAAAAATAAATTGATCAAAAATCATTAACAAAAAATTATTAAGGAAGTTTAAAATATGGTGTATGGGGTATTTAAACAAGGTAATATATATCTTCTTTATTTTAGCGAAAAGTCAACTAAAGTTTATTATTTTTCTGAATAGTTTATGTAAGGATTGTCCTATCCTGATGAAGACTCTTATCTTATTTAATTATTTTTAAATCAAATAATTAATGTAAATTAAAGAAGTAAGAGAAATATTTAGAATAATTAAAAAAATAAATAGGATGAGACAATTTTTTAATATTAATAATAAAATTAAAATTAGGATTAACAATTAATTGAATCAATAAAATCAGATAATAATGAAAAATTTTTTGATTGCGAAGAATTAGATGCTATGAATGATAAATTATTTATTGTTTAAAATGATTCTACTCAAAATATTATTAAAGATGAAGTATCTAGAAATGTGTATGAATAAAATGCAAGAAGAATGACAGCTTAACCATTATAAATGGATGATACATTAGATAATGTTAGAGATTGGGTTGATAAAAAAATGAAATTAGTTTTATCTGGAGATTATAATTCTTGCTCTATTAATGTTAAGCATTAATTATATCCAAAAGAATCTGATATATAACATAGATAATTATTAACTTAATAAGAAGGTGGACATTATATTTTTAAAAAGGATTTTATTAGAGAAGAAAAAAATGGAGGATTAAAAGTGATAAATGAGGAGAAATTAGCTGCTTAAAAAGCAGTTATAAAATTCTTGTTGACTAGAATTGGAGCTTCTTTAATGATGGGAAAATCAATTACTAGTGTTTCAATGCCAGTTTCAATATTTGAAGCAAGATCAAACACTGAACGAGTTTGTAACAGTATGGGATTTGCACCAATTTATTTAGAAAATGCTGCTTAATCTTAAGATATTTATTATAGAATAAAATAATGTGCTGCTTTTTAATTTGGATTCATTTTTATGTATCTTTCTTGTGAAAAAGTATATAATTTATTTATCAAAAGCCTTTCAACCCAATTTTAGGAGAGACTTTTTAAGGATTCTATGATAATTGTCCTATTTATTGTGAATAGATCAGTCATCATCCTCCAATTTGTGCTATATAGATGTTTGGTAGATAATATAGGTAAAATTAATTAATGATTATATAGAATTGACGCTTAATTGGAATTGATAGCTAATTTTAATTCTAATTCAGTAGTTGGAAGAAATATAGGTACATTAAAAATCACTTTTGAAAATCCTCATTAAGTTGTATTGATTACTTTGGCTCCTGGAAGTTTAAATGGAACAACTTATGGAGATAAGGTAATGAATTATCTTGAAAAGTAATTCATTATAGATATCAAAAATAAAATAATTACTGAAGTTACATTTAATCCAGATAAAAAATATTGTTAATTTTTTGATATTGAATATTAAAATCAATTAGATTATTTATGTGGAGCTATTTGTGATGTTACTGATGCAGCTATTTAAAAATTTCATAAAGAGGGTTATCGTAAATACAAAGGATTAGATCTTAAATAAGATATTAAAAATATAAAACATAAAATAAAAGGAATATGGGTTAATGAAATAAAAGTACTTTTTTATAATATTAATAATAGATTGATAATGAAAAATTAATTTCTATCCATAATGATTTTCCTGTAAAAATGCAATTAGCTTAATATCCTATACCGTCAGATGCTAATTTTAGAATGGATTTATTGTGGTGGAAATTGAAAGATTTTGATTAATCTTAATAATGGAAAGAAAAACTTGAAATATTGTAAAGACAAGATAGAAAATTAAGGGAATAAAAAGGGAAAAAAAAAAAGTGAATTATTATTTTAAAATAATGAATAAAATGTAAATCTTATCTAAATATTAATTTTAATTATAGAAATTTATGAATATTTTACTTAAACAAATAATGTTTTGTTCATGATATAAATTCATTTCTTTTGCTTTCATATTCAAAATTTTAATTGATATTATATTATTTGATTTACTTTAACTAATTTTAACAGATTTAAGAGTAGGTGTTCATTTTTATGAGATTTTAAGAAATTGTGACTTAAAAAAAACAATTATATTTATTGTTTATTTTATAATGGATCCTGAATCAAATGATTTTTTAAGAGAAGGATAAAGTCTTTAATTAATGAGTGGTTTACCAACATTCTAACAAATCATTTAAATAAAGTATGATATATCATCCATAAAGTTCTACTCAATAAGCACCATTATATACTCTTTAAATTTAATAAGGCAGCCCTATATAATCTCCAGAAAATTCAATACAGTTTCAAGCATCTCCAATAAATGCTCCTTTATTTGGTAAATAATCACCAATTTATTCACAACAAGATGAAGAGGATATTTCTCTTGTGAATCTAATTAATGAATCTCATCAATTTTCTTAACCTGTTTGGGATATTTCTTATAGTTAATTATAACCTAAAACAGAATTGGATTTAACAGATAAACAAAAATATAAAAAAAAAAAAGTAGGTTGTTCATGCACGAAAAGAAAATGTTCTTCCAAATATTGTTTTTGTGCTAAAGATGGTTTTTCTTGTTCCAATCTTTGTAAATGTGTTAATTGCAATAATAATAAATCCTTCATCAGTTAATAAATGCAAAGATCTTTAGTTTTAGAAAAAAAAGGATGTAAATGCAAAAAAAATTTTTGTTTAAAAGGTTATTGTGATTGTTTTGCAAAAGGGATGTAATGTAATAATCTATGCAAATGCATTTAGTGCAAAAATGTTTTAACATTAGAACCTATCAAAGATAAAGTACCTATAATAAAGAAAAAAATTAAAAAGTTTAGTAAATTTTATAAGAATAAAAAAGGGTTCATAAGAACAAACAAAAAAGGACTAATATTAACTTAAGTGGAAAATTAATGATTAATATAACATAATTATGTGAACCTTATATTTATTAAATTGAAAAATAATATTATTTATAAACTTTTGTTATCATCTAAATCCTGTAATATGAATATTATTAATCATTCCATCTCAGCTTAGATTCCTAAGGTCTCACATAGTTGAATTACTTTATCAACCTCATCCATTAACTATCCTTTATTTTTACTATACAATTAGAGCAAACAGGAAGTTTATTAATTATCAGATTACCCAGCTTGAATATCTACAATGTTAAATTTACAACCACTAAAAGAATAAACAAATATGATACGATTAAACTAATGACAAGATTTTATTTATAGCCCCAGTATCGAATAAATGACCAGTCAATTTAATAGCCAAATATGAAGGAACCTTTTTTAAAGCTTTTTTAGGTTAGAAACTTTCAGCTTCCTTTAATTAATCATTTATATTTCTTAAATGAGTAATATATTAAAATTTATGAGTGAGCTATCCATGTAATGTAATTGTAGCATTTTATAAAAATACTGGTAAACCACTTTCTTCAAGAGATTTAGTTGAATCTGAGTAAGCAAGATAAGGAACAATATCTCTTAAAGCAACTCCAAAATCAATGCTAGCATCATAAGGTAATTAAGAGGGCAAAAAATCTATTGACATATACATAATGTCTTTAGGTGATTTAGAATCAAATTCATCATGAATAGTTTCTGAAATTGGTTCATAAAAATAAACAGGGTTATCTGGTGATGTGTATTTTTTTAAGAATTGAATAGATCCTTCCATATCACATGTAACATCACATACAGCCTACAATCTACTTTTTCCTGATTAAACTAAATCCTAAAATTATAATAAATTAAAATTACTCTCATTTATGAATTTGTTACATATCTAGGAAATTTATGATCCCAATAAATGTCGTTAACAATAATTGTCAAGTATGGTAAATATTTAGTATGGAAAACAGGTGTATATTAATTTGGATGATTGTAATAATCTTATGAAGTAAATTCTTTATCATAATCTTCTTAATGTCTAACTAAATCAGTTGTTTTGAATGGACAAACATAAACAGTTCTTCTATGTTTTGGGTCATTAGGAGAATTGACTAATTCTTTTAGTTCTGAAGGTTTAACCATTGTAACATGAAGATTAGATAAGGCTTCCATTGAACCTTTACCACACAACCCTGTTGAACCTAAAACACCTATAATTATTGGTAATCCAGCTTCCTTTGGTAATCCTCTTTCTTTTATAGCTTATCCTGCTATACTAAGAGCTTAATAAGCATCTTTTTTATTAAAATATTAATATGTTGGACCTATTTATAAAAATGGTGTGGCAATATCTCTTTTCAGTAAAAATTTTCCATATTCATTCAAAAATGTAATTATACCTGCTATTCCTGCATATGGAAATGCAGTTGTATTTACACCCTATATAATATTAATTTAATGATTACCTTTTCATCATAAATTCTTTCATAATCTAAATGTCTAATATTTTTCTTTAACATCATATCAAGTGCAGGCATATTATGTGGCTATGCTTTTATTGTATGAGACCAATGTAAATAAGTCATTCCTTCTATATATTTCTCAAGTGGGATTTCTTTAATACAAACAATTGCTTTGCATTAAGATAAGTCTTCTTAAACTAAACAACCAACTTCCAAATATTGTTCATCTGTAAATATTCTTTTTGTTGATGGTTGTACTACTATTTAAATTTTTGAATGCTAAGGTCACATATTATTTTGTTACTTTTTCCATTATGTATTTACAATCATGAGGAGGAATTGGAGTTCTTCTTTCCCAATAAGACTTATCTTCTGCTCTAATACCGATGTACAACTTGTCCATTTCGTTTTTAAAATAATTTAAATATTAAAGATATGAAAATGCGTCACTCCAATAAATACTCTCAATTTACTTAAATAATTATGAAATAATATATTTTAATTAGAATTATTTTATTTATAATGACGCTTAATTGAATATTAAAATTATTAATAGTTTAATTAAACTAAGTATTTCTTATTTTCTTAACAATTAATTTATATTCTAAACCTTCATATACTAAAAAATAAAAATAAAAGTGATATTTCAATTAGAATTTATAGATATATAAGATACAAGTATTATATTTGATATATAATCAATAATTTAAAATTTTCTTTTATTGAATTTAATAGAAATATCTATTTTTCCTTGATAATTTCACTTTTAGATGTTATTTCTTGTTTTTTCTTGATGGAATAATTGAGTATAATTTGTAACTTGAATATTTGATATTCTATATAAGTATTATGATTAAAAAATAACCGATTTATTAATTCTTCATATTTATTACGTTGGAATTAAAATGGTTCGTACTTTTAAGAAATTGATAAGTTAGATGGAATGTCATTCGAAATATATTAATTAAATTATCTAATTGCCATGTACAGATATGTCTCAAGTGAATTAGGCTTCAGAACACCAGCCTTGATTAATTCCATTAAAATTTTCGTAAGAGATTTCTCAGATGTTCCTTCAATTTCTGTTTCGAAATTAAATACAGAAGAAATTAGCTAGGCTATGGATATTCACTCCTTATCATGGCAATAAAGCAAAGATTCTACTAAACTTATAAAAGAATTTAAATTCACTGATTTCAAGTAAACTTTTGTTTTCATGGGATCAGTCTCCTAAGTTGCGGATTAAATGCAACGTAATTCTTTATTTCATATTTAGATTTCCCAAAATGGGTTTAAAAAGGAAATAAAGTGACAGTCGAAATGACAACTTAAGATTGTAGAGGAATATCAGTCAAAGATATTTTGTTAGCTTATACAATGGATAGCATTGCTAATGATGTAGAAAATTAAACAGTTGAAAATGTTTGTGATACTATTAAAGTATCTACAAATCAGTTGTTGAACAATTGGAATTCAAATTATACTAAAACCGAAGAATTGTTCTAAGGTTTCCAAAAGAATATAGTTTAACTTTGATAATATATATATCTATAGATATCATTATAACTTTCGTTAAATTTTATATATTCTAAAAAAGAAATGTCTTTTAATACGCTTTTTTCAGATTTTAACAGTTGAATTATATTGATATTAAATCATATCATAATTAATCAAATTTTAATAACACGCATTTTATAGGTTTATATACCTCTAGAAATGGATAAAATTTTAATAATTAAAATAACTAAAATATTAACATGTATAGATATATTTCATCATTTACATAAAATCATTTAATCATGGATTAAATAAAAGTTTTTATCAAAGACTTTAAAGATGTTCCAAAGTTAGCAACCTCAAAATTGAACTCAGAACACATAATGTAACTCAAAGAGATTCAACAGCTGTCAGATAAATGGTAATTTAACCCATCAATGACAGTAATCAAGAGAGAGTTTGAGTTTCCAACTTTTAAGGAAAGTTTTGCTTTTATGAGTTCTGTTTCTGATTTATCTGAGAAGATGGAACGTAAGATATTTTATAAAATAATTTAGATTATCCAAAATGGTATAACAAAGGAAGTAAAGTAATTGTAGAAATTACAACTCCTGAAGTGGGATTGACAATCAAAGATATATTGTTAGCTTACACTATGGACAACATTTAACATGACATTTTAAATGATGAGATACAATTTATTAGTTAATAAAGTAAATTGACTACTTAATCAACAACTTTACTGAATTGTTGGAACAAAAATTACTCTAGATATGAGGAAGAAATACTCCCTTAATTATAGAGAAATGTGAATCAATTTTGACCAAGATCAAATCTGATTTTGTCAATTATATGTTATTCGAATATTATAATATAAATTTGTTATCAAACTAATACATAATAAAGATTTATATAAATAGGTGATACTCTAATAGGAAAGAAAAAGAATTATGAAGATTTTAATTTTTCATCATTCATGTCATATATATTTAACTTAGAGTTATTATTCTATTTCATCTGTATATATTTTACAAAAAATAAGTTTAATCAAATATGACAACAGAATAATTAAGTTCTAGTAAGAAAACATGGGCTCAATTAGCTGAAGAAGAAGATGATGAAATTGAAAATGGATAGTTCACAACCAATTCTGAGACTCTTGATAAAAACGAGATTCCTTCTTAACCTATTTTGACGAAATCTGTGTCAGAATTTTAATCAAAAACAAGAAATGATAGATAAAGAAATAATAAATAAAGAGACCAAGGTAGTAATGGACTTAAAAATTATCATCAAAATAATTTACATTAGAATAAAGGAAATATTAGACATAATAGATAAAATAAAAGTAATAAAACATCTAAATTTTTAAGATCCATATGATGAAGTATATGATACTTTGTTTGAAACAACTAATTAAGAAATACTCTTAAAAGTTAAACCTTAAGATAAAAATTAAAATTTGCAAGCTGTTAAAGAATATTTTGAAAAACAGTATTAAAATATTAAAGCATTTCTCAGAAATGATATTAATTAGATTGATTTATTAGTTTCTCCTAAAATTGGATTATTGATATTAGAAGATCATAAATTTAAAGTATTATTTCTTATAACTTAAGATTCTTATTAATGATTCATACTTATCTATACACTATCCTTAATATCCAAATGAGCCATTATCAGAATATTATGCAAATAAAAAATATTTAGAAAAAGATAAAAAAGTAATTTTAACTGCTCCTTTATTTTAAAGAAGTGCTATGAATTCTTAGGTGAATGATTAATAAGATTGCAATCCAAAATCTGATAATGGTAGCAAATAAGATATTAACATTATTGAGAAAGTTTAAAATTATTAAAATTAAAAAGACAACTTAGAATATTAAGAAAAAGAAGAAAACAATCCAAAAAACAATTCACTATATGAAGAGAAAGATTCTAATAAATAATTGAATTATAAATCTAGAAAGTATTATAATAATTATAATGAACAATATGATTATGAAGAAAATTGCAAAGAATACAAAGATGATAAATAATCAAATTATAAATCTTATAAATATAGAAAAGAATAACATTCAGAAAAAGATACTTATCAAAATTAAAAATATTATTCAAATAGAGATTATGAATACACAGAAAAGCAAACATCTGATAGAAAATAAGGTCCTTATGAAGAAAAAGAATTATATAAAGATTATAGAAACAATTAAAACTATCAGAATAATAATAATAATAATAATAATAATAATAATAATAATAATAATAATAATAATAATAATAATCATCAAAAACGATCTTATAAAGGAAATATAAAATAAAAAAATGATCAATATGTAATTTATGAGGTAAAACAAAAGCAAAATTATGAAGAAGTCTCTAATAATATAGTCATAAATAGTAATGGTAATTTTGAAGACAATAATTACATTTCTAAAAATATAAAATAACCTATTTATGATTCAAATGAAGATAAAAATGAGAATATCCAAGAGGATAGTAAAACTGATCCAGAAGAAGAGTAAATTGAAGCAAACAAATCTGCAAATAAAAATAAAAAGAGGAAGAAAAACAAAAAAAATTTAAAAGTATGATTTGAACTAATTTCTAGACTTCAAAACCAAATGACACTAACTTTTTTGGGATATTATAGAGTGTAACAAAGTGATAGATTAGAAGAAATATTATAAATTTTATTCTCTGACAGAATAATCTAATAATTAAAAATATATAAAAAAACTGTTTTTTATTGCAATCGTCCTCACTTTATACTTTTTGTTAATCTTAAGAAATATTTAATAAAGGCATGTTTTCATTATTTAATCTTAAAGGGGACAAAAATTAACTTTTTTGTATTATAATTAAATTTAAACAAGAATTATTTTTATTAAATTATTATGTCTTTGCTGATTATTAATCTAGATAACGTTTTATTTTCATGAAATATTTTTTATAATTATTAAAAATTTTATGGGTTGTATTGCATCTAAGAGGTAATAGATTAAGGATTCCTCAAATCAAACAATGTAACTTAGTTAAAAATAATAAATATAATCAGAAGAATAATCAAAATTACAAATGACTATATCATTATCTAATAGTGTTAGAGCTTCTTCTATCAACAATTCTAAACCTATCTCAAAATAATAACAGATGAGAATAGAAAAACTTTTATTTAGTAAAAAGAGAAACATATAATCTAACTTATTTTAATGCCCTGAAGAAGAATAAGCATATTAGAGAACTATCGTTCGATTATTAGTCAATTGAAGAATTAAATTGTGAGTCTAAACTATGTATTAGAGTAGATATNAATAATAATAATAATAATAATAATAATAATAATAATAATAATAATAATAATAATAATAATCATCAAAAACGATCTTATAAAGGAAATATAAAATAAAAAAATGATCAATATGTAATTTATGAGGTAAAACAAAAGCAAAATTATGAAGAAGTCTCTAATAATATAGTCATAAATAGTAATGGTAATTTTGAAGACAATAATTACATTTCTAAAAATATAAAATAACCTATTTATGATTCAAATGAAGATAAAAATGAGAATATCCAAGAGGATAGTAAAACTGATCCAGAAGAAGAGTAAATTGAAGCAAACAAATCTGCAAATAAAAATAAAAAGAGGAAGAAAAACAAAAAAAATTTAAAAGTATGATTTGAACTAATTTCTAGACTTCAAAACCAAATGACACTAACTTTTTTGGGATATTATAGAGTGTAACAAAGTGATAGATTAGAAGAAATATTATAAATTTTATTCTCTGACAGAATAATCTAATAATTAAAAATATATAAAAAAACTGTTTTTTATTGCAATCGTCCTCACTTTATACTTTTTGTTAATCTTAAGAAATATTTAATAAAGGCATGTTTTCATTATTTAATCTTAAAGGGGACAAAAATTAACTTTTTTGTATTATAATTAAATTTAAACAAGAATTATTTTTATTAAATTATTATGTCTTTGCTGATTATTAATCTAGATAACGTTTTATTTTCATGAAATATTTTTTATAATTATTAAAAATTTTATGGGTTGTATTGCATCTAAGAGGTAATAGATTAAGGATTCCTCAAATCAAACAATGTAACTTAGTTAAAAATAATAAATATAATCAGAAGAATAATCAAAATTACAAATGACTATATCATTATCTAATAGTGTTAGAGCTTCTTCTATCAACAATTCTAAACCTATCTCAAAATAATAACAGATGAGAATAGAAAAACTTTTATTTAGTAAAAAGAGAAACATATAATCTAACTTATTTTAATGCCCTGAAGAAGAATAAGCATATTAGAGAACTATCGTTCGATTATTAGTCAATTGAAGAATTAAATTGTGAGTCTAAACTATGTATTAGAGTAGATATATGTTAAATTTATATATTATTAAATCCGTATAATCTATTCATAAACCCAATTTTGTTTTTCTAAAAAAAATAAATATGAAAAAAACATTTTAAAAATATTTTGTTTTATCAATATAAATTAAAAATTTAATTGCTTTATTAAAGATTTTTATCCTAATAAAATTATACTTATATAAATAAAACTATGTTTCAAAGGAGTTAATTTTTAGGCTTTTTAGTATATACTAGAATATTTTTGTTTGATAGTAATTATAAACCAATATTTAGAAATCCTGTTTTTAATTATGAAACAAATTCCCATAATTAATAATTATGAATTTAAAGATAAGGGTATTTCATTTAACTAAATTTAAGAACTACCTTCATTATATTCATAATTATTTTATAATATATTATTTATTATTTTGTAAAACTTTTAATCATGTAAACAAATTCATAAAATTATTTTCAAATATTGTAAAGAATTGCCCTAATTACATAAATAAACTTTTATTTTTTGTTTTTTAACTTATGGATTCTAATGTCTTACATATTGAAGACTATAATATAAGTTATAAAAATTCTGCTGGAATATCAGCTCCTTCTGAAATGAATGTTTATAACACAATAATGACTTGAATTTAAATTTATACATCGACATTCATTTAAATCAAATCCATTAATCTTTCCAATAATCCTAGATGAATGAGCTTAATTTTATCATCTATTGTTGCTCTTTATAAAATTATGTCAATTACATCTAACATTATTTTAATATGATTCTATTCTTAATCTTTTAAATAATTAATCAACCAATGAATTATTGTTATTTCCTTTTGTTCAATTTCAAACTTCAAATATATTAAATTAATTAATTATCCAAGTTCATTTATTGAGTCTAGAATATCTTTTAAAATTAATAAACCTTATGTTCTTACATGAGAACCTTCTTTAATTATTAATCTTATTAAAACTTAGATCAATCCCATATTAATCAATATATCTATAGAATTATCCAATTATTAAAATGATCTAAAAAGATGCCCAAATATTTTCACTATGTAATACTTTGAACATTCCTCATTTTTTACATTTTTTAAATAACTTAGCTTTACAAGGTTGGCTAGATAAGATGGTAACTATTCTATTTTTGAAATGTTATAACTTTCTAATTCGAGTAAATTCAATAATAATTTTCCTGATTTAAGATACAAAAATAATTAGTTTGAGTAATCATCAGGATTTTTGAAATTTAAAGTTGAAAAATAAAAATCAATTAGAACATTTAATTCTTTTTCAGATACATTTTCATTTCTATAAAATCTGATAACGTGATAATAAAATTCTAATAAATAATTGCGCAATATTTTAAATTCATCATATTCAACTAATCTTTAAAATTAAATTAAAAAGTCATAGCCCTCTGTTATTAAATAATATTTGAAACTAGACATATCATCCATTATTAGGGATTAAATGATATTAATGATCAACTCAAATATTGTTACATTTTAATAATTTTTAATAGTTAGTATCTAAGAGAGAGTTTACATAAACTATTTTTCATGCTGCTTTATATAAAGATATGCCACCTCATCAAAAATTAATTAACAATCAAAATATCTTAAATATTCGATTATTGTCTATATATATATCATTTTCTTATACATGTTCATTAAATTATCGTTCGCAAAATTATTTTATTATGATATCCTTCATAAATGAAGTATTTTTTAGAATTTCTTTGGTATTTTAATGTTTTAAAATTAAACACAAACATTATTATATAGATTCTAAATCTATAGATTTTTCAAAAATAGAAGTGATTTAATTTAAAATTTCATCATTTTTAGAATTAAAATTTTTGTCTTCTATTTTGCTAGTATCAATAATTCTTTTTTTTTCAAATTCCTTTCTCAAATTCTGTTTTCTTATCTAAAATCGAAATAATTCTCTTTTTTATTTTAAATTTTCTTCAACTCCTATCATTAATATAATAAATGTATTATTATATGTTTATTTGAAATAATTATATATATCATTATTATTCAAAGTTTAAAAGTTTGCAAAATGTAGAGTTTTATTCATTGGATTATTGACTATTTTGAGTTTAATTATGTTATAACGTAGCACTATTATTTGTTCTGCTACTATTCATGATTTTAGGGGTTCCCTATTATAAAATTGAAAAACTAGTTTTGCTATTAATTTATTTACTTTTATTATTTTTCAGTTATTCAACTATAAGAATTAAATGAATATATACATTTTTTAAGTATAAAATCTTAGGTTTCCTAACTATAATCAATTTTGTTATTGATATTCGAATTGTTATATACATTTTCTTTTGATTAAATTAATTATTATGGCTTAGCTTATTATTTTAAGAGAGGAGATTCCTAATATGCATACAGCAATTAAGTTGCAGGAGTCATTAATCCAGCAGGTTATGATTAAAAATTTTAAGTAAAAGTTTATTATCTTGGAAGAATATCTCTTAGAGGTGAATCTAAGATTTTATTATTCAAAGCTGGATTTTTATTATTCATAGGGGATTGTGGGACACTGTTTGATTTAATTTCATTTGACATTTATAACATAAAGGATTTAATTTAAGGAATAAAACTCTAATTATAATATGAAACAATATCACCTAAAAATGAAAAATAAATATGTACCCATACTATCATTTGAAATATAAGTATTACAGACTATCTTTTTAATAAACTATTTTGAATACCATGTATTAGTGATTTCGTAGGCATTAATAATTTATTAAAATTTTAGTTAATTTCCTGTTAATTTTGTAACAGCATAAATACTAGCCAAAACAACTTAATCTAAAGAATGATGTCTTAGATGATCAGTCTTTTCACTAATAATATATTTGATAGTAATCCAAATATATTCTTATAATTATTCTTATAATTTAATATTGCTGCAAATAATTTAGATTTAAAATGCACAATAATGTAATACTCGTTTAAATAATCTATTCATTTAATTATTATTTTATTAGTATCTACTTAAATGAATTTCATTAAGAAATTTAATCAATTCTGATTGACTATCACAAGCCCAAATAGAATAGGATACAAATTTAACTTCAATATCTAGAATATGTTCTTTTAATTAATGTGGTATTTTAGAATCAAATTGATTTAAGAAGAAATCTAGCCATTTCCAAAGTTAATAATGTTAAATGTCACATTTTTACATTAATTGATCTAAAAGTTGTGATTATTTGTTTAAAACAAAATAAACACATTCAATACAAAAACAGATTAAACTTTTAAGCATTGGTTCATCAATTTAGAAATTGGATTTATCTAATAATAATATATATAAAGTCCAATATTAATTAGTTTTAGATTTATTTTCATCAATTAGATTGATCTCTTAACAATATTAAATACATTCATTAAATGTTTAATCAATCAAATCAAAGAATTTAGATTAATTTTATAAGTTTAAAAATGTATTAGGAATGTGTGATATAATTGAATTAACATTTAAAATACCATTTTTAAACAATTTTTTAAAAGGTTATTGTTTTTCATGCATCCAATTATACATTTCCATAGCTTCAGTCATTGGAGTGGCTACAATGGATTATTATGCATAAGGAGACATTAATACAGTTTATGGTAATTTAATCTCTCTTAAATTAGTAGTAAGGGTGATTTTAGTATCTAATTCATAATTTAATAATTTTTGATAACGATTTTATTATTATTATTATTATGATAATTCTCTATTTTAATCATATTTTGATTACATAGCTAATTATTTAATATTATTAGATTTTAAAGTATTAATATTTGGTGTAAGTTTTTTAGGTGTCATATTTTTTAATCTATCTGGAATGAGCAATCTTTCATCAAATTCATCTTATTTTAGTAATTACTTATATTGTTAATCTAATTTATATTAATTAGAATTGATAATGCTAGCCATAAAGATGGAAAAACCATTATTGTTCTTTAATTATTTAATGATATTTTGTTTATTTAATTCAGCATATTAAAGTTTAGTTTACAAATTTATAGAAGTGAATAAATCCAGATCTTAAATTTTGAATTAATTAATTAGAAATTATTGTATTAACAATTATTATTCATCTTCTGTTGTATGTTATTTTTTAATGTCTGAAAGTATTTTATTTGTAGTAGGGAAAGAATTTAATAATTGACTAAGTATTATGGTTAGAATTGAAATAAGAATACATGTAGATTAAACAACATCTTATAAATTTAAAGATTCTAATAGAATATAAATGATATTTACTTTTTGTAATTAGAAATAGAAGCCAAGTGATATTTTTGATAAGAATATTTTAATCGTTGATTTTGAAATGTAATAAAAGAGCCTCCATTTTTTGATAAAACATATTTAGGATTGAATTATTATGTTTTAAGATGGTTAAAGTTTTTTAACAGGTTTAATCTACTTTTAAGTCTGTAACCATATTGATTGCAACATCAATTAATTAATCGATATTATTGATTCCTTTATTTTAGCAATCATTAATAATGGAATTGATAGAGATTCCTGAACCATAGACAATAGAGCCATCAATAGCAACAATTTGTTATTATTTGGATGCTAACCATAAAGCTAATCTTGGTATGACTATATAATCATTGGTTTTATTATTTAAAATATAGTTATTAGTCATTTCCTACATTAATTTGTATGTTGATTAATCTAAACTAAATGTTTAATAAATGAGTTATAGTTGTTGTTGAAGAGAATCTGTGTCCATAATATTTGAATTTGAATAAATTAATATTTATTATGACTGAATTGGGAAATTATCTGATAGGTATTTATTATAAAGTGAATTATCATTAAAGGCAAAACAATAGGAGAAGGAACATTTGGAAAGGTGTGTCATGCTAAACATCAAGTATTAGGTCATGATGTAGCTGTGAAAATATTAGAAAAGAAAAGAATCAATGATGAATTAGATATTGAGAGAGTAAAGAGAGAAATTACAATATTACAGATGCTGCATCATCCAAATGTTGTGTAGCTCTATGAGGTTTCTTATATATATATAATTAGATGATTGAAACTGACACTCACATTTATTTATTTATGGAATATGCAGACGGAGGTGAATTATTTGATTATATTGATTTAAAGAAAAGGTACTTTTGAAGTAATCTAATTAGAATCAATGAAGTTGAAGCATGTAAATTCTTACATGAAATAATTTCAGCTATTTAATATATTCATTAAATGAGAATAGTACATAGAGACTTAAAACCAGAAAATTTACTTTTAACTACTCAGAAGAATATTTTGGTTGTTGATTTTGGACTTAGCAATATGTATGAAGATACTCTGAAGACAGCTTGTGGCAGTCCATGTTATGCTGCTCCAGAAATGATACAAGGAAAACCTTATAATGGATTATAAACTGATATTTGGAGTTGTGGAGTTATCTTATATGCTATGTTATGTGGATATCTTCCTTTTGAAGACAGTAATACTTAAGTTCTATATAAAAAAATACTTAATGCTGATTTTCATATTCCTAGATATGTTTCATTAGATGGAAAAGACCTTATCAAGAATATTCTCACAGTTGATCCCACAAAAAGATTTACTATTGAATAAATAAAATAACATAAGTGGTGGCAACTTTGGAAATCAGAAGTATCAATTTAAATTTAGATAGAATGTATAAATGACTCCTCTTAAAGCATCATTTAATAAAATATAATGTACACTCTTGCCTAACAGTATTTATAAATCTTGTGTTAAAAAGAATATTGAGAGAAATATTTCTGAAGATGTTAAAACATGTTGTGATACTGCTCAATAATCTATTGATATACAATTTACAGATAAAGATGATTTTAATTACAAATCTATCATTAAAGAAGAATCTATCATTTAAGATCCTATCATTCTAAATCCTATTCCTGAATAATTTGATTAATGTCTAGATTAATGTCTAGATTAATGTCTAGATTAATAATTACTTAATGTTTAAGATTAATATGAATATTAATAGTCTATGAGATCATTAACAAGATAAAAATCAAGTTAATCAATTTAATCAATTAAACATCTTTAAACTTAAATTGATTCTCCCTTAAAAACATAAAATTTAACTATTCCTACTAAATAATCAGTTACATCTAAATAATAAATAACATAAATTAACAAATTTATCCCAAAAAAACCTCCTATTATTTAATAATAACCATAGTAATAATAATTATCCTAAAAAAAACCTCATTCCAAAATGGGACCTTCTAAATCCTTACATGAACCTCCCAATTTAGAAAATAAATTAACTAAATTACCAAATACTCCCAGTAACAAATCATAAATTAATAATTCTACAAATCCATCCACATTTACTAATCATCAATTAAAAACAGATATTCCTAAAAAGAATTCTATTCCTCCTGTCAAATTAACTGTTATCTAAGAATAATTAAAAGAAAATAAGGAAAAGTCTCATTCTCTAAAGACTTAACCCATTCAATCCAAATAATAATAAGTTTAATAATAAAATTAATAATAATAATTTTAATAGCAAAAGTAATAAATTAATATATCTATTAAACAAAATACTTCATAAATTAGTTCAGCTAAAAGATCACTACATTAAAAATAAACAGCAAGTCTTCAAATGGAAAGATAATCTTTTCATACATAATAATCTACTGTAGAAGAGCATATTACATTTTAATTTAATGATAATCCAAAACCTTCTATAGAAAACACTAAAATTATGGTTGAGAAATTTACATCCAGACTAAACAATGTTAGTATTCCTTCCTTATTAAAATAAAATTAAAAATAAGGCATACAAGATATTAAAGGAATCGAAAATTATTATGGTCCATACAATCTTTCTTTCATTACTAAAAAACATCCTTAATTATTTTTAAAAGGAATTTAAAGATATCTAGAGGAAAAGTATTAATTTATTCAAATACAGGTAAATTTTTACGATAATTATTAGAATTACTAGAATGGATTTAATTTGACTCTTAATGAATAAAAGATTGATTTAAAATTATATAGAATAGAAAATTTAGAAATATTTTATTGTCAGATTAATTGTCCGAACTCTAAAAATAATTCCAATAATTCAGAATTTAATGCAATTATATATGATCTACAAAGCAATTTTGAATTTTGATTTTGATAAACTATCTTAAAATTATTTTTGAATTTTTATTATTATTATTATAAAAAACAATCATTAAGATTAAAGAAACTCTATATGGATTTATAAATTATTTTGATGATCAAATAAGAGTAACATCTATAATTAATTAGATTTTATAAAATATTTAAATGAATCAAAGTAATATTTTACGTTATTTTACTTTTCCAAATATCTATTATTCATGTTTTAGATAATTATATTTTTCTTAATTTCCAGGTTATAATTTCTCATCAATTTTATTGAAATTTTTCTAATTTTAACAAATTGAATTTTTAATTTTTCTTTAATGTGTTGTTATCTCATCTTTTTCATTATTTAATTGCTGTATTAAAGTTCCAAGTCTTCTATTAGATTCATATTATTTAGGACTGCAATCAAATGAATCAGATATCATTGAAAAACTTGTATGAGGATCAAACAACGGAGAAGGTTCTTAAGATAAAACCCTTTTTTTTGTTTTTAAGTATCTATAAGATGCAGTAACCATACTAAGTTTTTATGAAAATTAATTTAAAGATTCTCTTTCTTAATTTTTTGTCAAAATAATAGGTAAAACGATTTTAAGAGGTTTTGGATTGGTCTCTGTACTTTTTCTCTCTTTTTCAAATTTGATAATTTTATCAATTTGTTATTATTTGATTTAGTTTATTGTTGGCTTTTCTAATCCTTTGTTTTTAACCATTTGCCCAACCAGTATAGTGGATGATAATCTTTTGATTCTGTTTTTAGGAACACTTTTTCCAATTTAGGAGAAAGATGATCTTTAGCTACCTCTAAACATAGGAGATGTATCAGTTTAATCAGGTACTGGTTTGTTAAATTTTAATATATCTCTAACACAATCATCAATTAATTTCTGATGATTTATATCATCATTATCCATTGCTGTTATTTACTTTTTATCATTTAATTCATCATCTAAATATTTGTCCAATTATTATGAATCAATAACACATAATTTCTTTGTCTTAAATGATGCTGACTTATATTATAAGTGCTATTTCACTCTTTGTAAAAGATTCATGCTTTATTATTTTTGATTTTCAAATCTATAAGTAGTTCCTGTACGATCAGTTGATTGATGAAGAGAAATAGGGATTGTAGTAATCATTAAATTTTTATTAAATAAATAAAATCCAAGTTTAGTATCAAAATTTATAATAAATACAAACACCTCAACAATGCAAACCTTTTTATTCTTTTACTAGTTAAAAACTATTTAAATATATTATTTGATAAAGAATTAAATTAGAATTATTTCCTATCTTATTTATTTCTAAATATTAAATGATGAATCAATTTTATTTTATTTCATTTTTTTACTTGATCCAGATTTCTCTTGTTATTAATCAAAATATTTTTTAAAATAGGTATGATGTATCAAAATATTTTTTTTTTCAGTTTAAGTCCAATTATTTTTAAACTTTCAATCCACTCAAATAGATTTTTCGTTGAATTCTTTATAAAGCTTTAATAAATTCATTAAATCTATCGAAATATATTCAATTTGATTATAAGAGATAAAAGTTATAATTTTATTATTTCATCCCAACATCTTTCATTTATGTCTTAATCTTGGTAATAACTTCACTGTGTAGGTTGCTCGCAAATAAAAGAAATTATATAAGGAGAAATGAAAATTTTGGGAGTTTCCACTTATAATCTAATTAATGACTTTTCCCAATTATCTATCCTTCATTATATACCTAACTTAGCTATTATTTAAAATCAATCCTAAATTCTCTTAATTCTTTTTCTAATTTATTATTTACAATCTTCTAATACCTTATTCATTTCAATTTGGCAATCTTAAACAATATACAAATTTTGTGAATTTCTTTAAAATATATTTAATTTAATCAAAACTTATAACAACTACAATTTGTTAAAATATTCAATTTTTCAAGATTAAAAACAATCTAATTTATTAAAAATTGATAATTTTATGTTAAGATGATATGATTCATACTAAAAAAATAGTGATTAATAGTCTCTTCAGATTTGACAAACAATAGTACTTCATTCAAAAACAATAATTATTTGATTTCTTTTATAGGTTTAATTATGCAATCATATTCACCCTAATCATTCATTTGTTCTAAAGGTAAGTAAGTGTATAAATAGAAAATTTATTTAACTTTCTTCAATTCATATTGACATTTCACTAATTCTATGTAAACTCTTAATCAGTCTTTTACTAATAAATCTATTTCAGAGATCTCCTATCTTGAATTATAACTTTTTTTTTCATTAAGCAATATGATTTAAAGATTTTTCAAGCATGTAAACACTTTACGTTGTCCCTTTTTGATATCCTTCATTAGATAAAATAAAACTCAAATTTATGATTATAAGTTTAAAGTATATTGTTCATATTATTTTATTTTAAAACATATTCAAGAATATTGAATTTTTTATCATCAATTAACATATTTTAACAGAGTTTAGAATATATAGATTGTTTTGATTATTTAATGAAAAAGATTTCAAAAATAAATTTAAATATTTCATATTTTCGAATTGATTTTATAATAGAAAATGATTATGATTAATAAATATAATCTTATTTTTGAAAAGTGTTAATTTACTAAATAGAATTATCTGAATTTAAAACTAAAATAATTTGTTAGCAATAGTTTTAAGTGGATAAGAAGATTTTGATTTATTTTTGATAATCAGAGTAATTTTAATTAATAATTATAAATTGAATTTCAATGAATTCACTGGAATTACTGAAATATTATAATTTTCGACTATAAGAATTTAAGAATAATTATTTAATAATTCATAAATGAATGATAAATGGGGTTTTGCAATTGTGTTAATTATATATATTTATTCCAATATTTAAAATATCAATGCAAATAACTTAAACCCAGTTATTAGAATGGGTTAAGGACGGTGATATAAATACTTTAAAAAAGCATTTTGAAGAAGAATTGAAGTTTGCTCATAAAAATTTGTTGTAATTTTTTAACATGGTTGATGATGAGTAAAGAAGTGTTGTTCATTGGGCAGCTTATTTAGGTTAATATAAATTGTTAAAGTGGTGGTGTAAAGTTTATAAATAGATGATTGATTTGAATAAGGGTGATATGCATTCATATACTCCATTAGAATTAGCAAGCATTAAAGGGTATTTGATCAAATTAATTAAACTAGATATTCAGGAGACTACAATCCAGAAAAGTAAGAAAAAACAATAAGGATGTTGATTGATAATGGTGCATAAATACCTCGTCCATGTGCTTATAAACCTAATCCACTGCATTGGGCTTGTTATTATGGAAATAAAGAATTAGTGGATTATTTAATTGCATAAAATTTCAATTTGCAATTTGAAACTGAACAATAAGGAAATTTTCCTATTGATTATTTATTTTTAGAGAATCGACCAGAATATTATAAGTAAATTTTATTAAATATAAATCAGAAAAGACGTTGGGGACATCTTTTAAAATGTTGTAATAAACTATGCATATGTTACAACTAAATAAGAATTAAAGAGGAAGATTAAAAAAAGAAAATAAAGAAAAGCCACAACATTTACATCCTAAATTCGATTAATATAAACTTTAAAATAAGAAGAAGAATCATCACCTGAATCCGAACCATCTAGATATGAAATACCTTGTTTGAATATTTCAAATATCAATAGAAGTTATGCTTCAAATTCATTTCTCTCTAAATATACAAATGCTAAAAGTACTTAAAAAACTCCTCATACTTAATAAGCATTAAAATTCTAACAAAAAACAGGATCTTAAAGAGTATAATAAAAGTTTTTAGATGAGATTGCAGATATTCCATTATATGATGATTCTCGTATTGAAATGAAGGAACCAGAAGAAGAAAAGATTCCTGATGTTAAAGTATTTAATTCAAAAAATACAAATATTAGTAAAATAATTACAGAAACAAATTAAGATGAATTACTTCAAATTTAACAATATAATTCTAATAATAATCAACCTACTTAAGTCGAGCCTAATTTTGAAACATCAATATAAAAACGAAAACATCATAAAGGTAATAAATAGAAAACTACACTAATATTCAAAAATAATGATTTAGAAAAAGAATAGAAAGAAAAGTTTATTATTTTTGATAACAAAACTTAACTTACTATTCATTAATAATATGAATGTAGATTATAATATTGGTCTGCAAGATAGGGTATATAAGATTTCTTTATCTATTTCCTAACAAGAAAATGTAATCCTTTTTTAAATGTCTATTAAGGATTCAACTGTTTGCATATAGCAGCTTACAAAGGAAAACCAAAATTATTAAAAACAATTCTAGAAAATGATTATGAATATTATGATAGTTCAGAATCGATGAATAAAAAAGGAAAGAAAGATAAAAATAATCTATAATTTAATAAAGTAATGAATTGTGATCTATTAGCTAAAGAAAGAATGTATAAATATTCTTACTGATTTAAATCCATCAAATGCTCTTCATTTAGCTATTGAATAAGAGAAATATCATTGTATGAAAACATTAATCTCACATGGAATATCAGTAGATGCTGTTAATAGCAGATGTTTAAAACCATTTGAATTGACTTTTAATTCAAAATTTATGGAATTTTATTAGGAGAATATATAAGTTAAGTAAGAAATTAAAAGTTTGACAGAATTAGGATATTAATATGTAATTTAAACAAAAGGAACATAAAGTGTGGATTAAGATATTGTTTATTTACAGTTATAAAATATAAGATAAACATTTAAGGAAAGAGGTTGGAGTTTTGAATTTTTAATATTTCATTCTCCTAATCTAGATTAATTAGAATCATATAATTAGAATTTTTAAGATTAAAAGGTTAAACCATTATATCATTATTATGTTTTGAAACTGCCTCCAGATTCTATATACAGATTGGCTGATCTTTATGAGATATCTTGTTATAATTTTCAAACAAAAGTAAAATTTAAAAAGATTAAAATAGTACATTTGTTAATTCAATTATTAAAAGAGTAGATTTTTTGAATTCCCAAAAGATTTATAAGTATAAATGTTAATTTTGAAAACTTTAAATGATGAATTTGATGTTGATAAATTTGTTTTAGAATAATTGATAATTTCTCATTTTCCTTTAGAAGATAAATAAAAATGTGAAAAGATTACTTAATTTTGGGATGAGTAATAAAATAATTGTATTCGTGATTCATTAAGATATGAAACATAATAAATTGCTTTGAGACCATTACATGCAATATCCTCTTATTTTGGTCCAGTAATTGCATGGTATATAGCTTTAAATGTTCAAATTATAGGATGGTTAATAATTCCATCTCTTTTTGGAGCAGCCTTAGGAATTTATATTATTATAATTCAATAAGTAAAGTAAAAATTTAAAATATATAAGTTCATCTATTGTTCCATTCTATGCATTACTTATGACTCTTTGGTCAACATTGTTTATGGAGAAATGGAAAAATAGAGAATCAGAATTGAAATTCTGTTGGGATATGCATAAATTCAAACAAACTGAACCATAAAGAGTTATGTACACTGGATAATATATTATTAATGAAGCAAACCATAAAATATAAATCTATGATTATTTTACTACTTTTAAAAGAAGATTAATAGCAGAAGGACCTGTTATTTTTATAGGAATTGCTATTATTGTATTAAGTTTTTATGCTTTTAATCTTTGGTTAAAAGAATATTAAAATGATTCAATTATGCCTATTGTAATAAATTCATTGAATGGAGTATCTATGACAGTTTTTTGTGATTTATATAAAAGATTGTGTAAATCTTTAGTAACTTGGGAGAATCATATGTATGAAACAGAATAAGAATATTCTTATATTTTAAAAGTGTTTTTGTTTGAATTTCTAATTTCCTATGTTTCAGTTGTTTATGTAGCAATTTTTGAAAGTGATGCAAATTCATTAAGTGTATCCGTAGCTAGTATTATTATTACAAGAGGAGTCATTTCTAATGTAAAAAGTAATTTGTTACCTTTTGCCATTTTTAAATTGGAAAAACGTTCATTATCCAAATTATTTTCTTAATTCAAATTGCTATTTACAAAAAGAATTTAAGAAAAATAAAGTGTACCTAAAATCTGTAATTAAATATTTTCATCAGAAAAATTAACATATGATTAATAATTACTTTTCTTATAAGAATTAGAAATCAGTAGAATCAAAGGCCCTTAAAAAATATTATATGATGAATACACAAGTATTGCAATATAATTTGGATATACTACAATGTTTGCTCCAACTTTTCCTGCAGCTCCTTTATTCTTTATGATTAATTGCTATATCAATCTAAGATCATCAATATACAATTACTAACACATTTTAAAAAGAGAAAGAGCCTAAGCTGCTGATTCTATAGGAATTTGGTTATAAATATTTGAAATCTTAAATTATTGTGCAACTTTCATGAATTGTATTGTAATTGGAACTGTTAATAAAGAGTAATTCAAAGGAATTATAGGAAATTAAGATGCACTTTATAGTGCTTTTTTTCTAGCTGCAATTGAACATATATTACTTCTAATCAAGTATATTTTAGATGTGTCTATACCAGATTGCCCTTATTGGGTAGAAAAAGAATTAAGGAGATACGAATACTTAGAGGAAAAATATTAGAAAATTATAATATGATTTTAATTATTATTTTAATTTTAATTTTTTTCTATCAGAATCAGCTCTCTATTTAAATGTCATCACTTCCATATGAGTATTTTGACAGTCAATAATCGTTCAAGTTTTAAACATTTAATTAATCTGATTTACGATAATTGGAAGAATTTTTTAGGGCTTACCAGAAATTGTCGCCTATTATGAGTTTAAAGTAAAAAATTATATTAGTTTAGATTTCCTATAAATTAACATTTTAGAATAGCTTAGATTAATCAAATAATTTTATATCCCAATCAGCTGCTCGTATCATACTTTTATGAGGGAAATAATAACCATAAATATCCAGTTATTTATGGCTAATAATAATTTAAAAGAGCTTTACCCCTTCCAAAAGATATACAGGAGAAATAAAGATTAGATGTTGTTGCAATCAAATCAGTATTTTAAGCTTTGATTGAGATGTTTCATTGGAGCGCAAATTTTGGGTATATAAATATAAATATTACATAAGTTTATTTTTTGATCCAAATTATGAAAATCTTCTGTATAAAGAATGTGAGGGTGATTTTTATTTATTTATTCCCAGTTTTATGCATATTGCTTAACAAATAAATAAACAAAATGAATATAAAATAAGATTGTTTGATGAGTTCAGAATTAAAATTTACTAAAATTTAGTAAGAATATATAAATATATAGACTTTTATTTTTTTTCTTAGATTCATTAAAGAATTCTTTGATTTAATTAAGTAATAAGATGAAGATATCAATTTATATAAAAAAATCAAAGATAAATATAATTATTCTGAAGATATTGATAAAATAGATCCTTATCAAATTGCAGAAACTTGTTAAGGAGTTGATTTTATTTATTCTGAAGATTTAGTTAAAAAGAAAATGATTAGATATGGTTTAAAACAATCCTAATTTTTATATTAAATAAACAAAAATGAAATTTTAAAAGCAACGCTTTACAAATACCATGAAAACGAATAAAATTTTTTGAATTAAAATATGAAACCTGATGATTTTAAAGATATTACATTAACTTCCAACGTTATAAATTTTTTTAAATAATTTAAAACCAAACCAATTCAAGGTACTAGTTATGATATTAAAACACCATTTATCAAGACCTTATTTAAAGAAAAAGACAATACTTAAATTCTAATAAGAAGAAATTGGAAATAAATAAATACTAAACATGAATTAGATTTAATAGATTAGAATAAATAATAAGACTAATCTTTATAAAACAAGCAACAAATTTCATAAAATCAAGATCAAGTTACTTCTTAAATGTTTGATGTTAAATGGAGTTCTTGGATTAATCCTTAAAATCTAATATACATGTCTATATCTTAATCAGGAGCACTGGTTGATAAGGATCTTAAGAAATTTACAATTACATATAAAATTGAAATGTTAGAGGATAAGAATTGTTATTTGGTAAAAACATAAGTTCCAGAAATACTATTTGGACTTGACACTGCTGATGATATTGCATATTTTGTTAATTCAATACAAAAAGAAAAAATGCCTACGAATGTTTATGTAGATGATACCAGAAAATTGACATTTTACACAGCTTTAGTTTCTGTAAATTTTTTTTAAATTTATTTAAAGGGAAATCCCGGACCTATTCTATGGGACATTTTAAAAATCATGGACATCCATTAAATCTACTTTTATATAAGTCTAGATTTTTATAATAAAAATATTTTCTTAGGAAAATAGATAAAAGAGGTAAAATATAGTAGTTTTCTAACAGAGTTGAAAAACATTCTTAAAGATTATGAATATGATTCAAAACTAATTTATGCTAATTTTTTAAATCAAAAATTAGGAGAGGAAGGATTTTGAGTTGATGGATATCTCATTTATCTACTAAAAAAATAATTCGAGTAGTTAAATGACTTAATAGAATAATATTTTTATTATTTATTTTCTAATGTTTTCTTTTATTTAAAAAAGAGATAGAATATTAAATATTCTGTTTTATGATAATAGAATAAAAACTAAGAACAATCAAATAAAATTACAATTATATATATATATATTAAAAATTCAAAATGCACCCTTAATCTGATAAAAATCATGATGATTGATGAGATCGTAATTAATCAATGAAAATAATCAATTAATAGAATAGTTTAAGTCTTCCTTGATTGATCCAAAAAGGGAAAGAAAAGAATTGAAGTAAAAGTTTAAAATTTTCCTGATGGTGGAAGGTATGAAGGAGAAATAGAAAATGAAGTGAGGAAGGGATATGGAATATTCTATTTTGCGTTTGGGTATGATAGAAATACAATATTTGTATGAATATGTATTGTGGGCAATGGAATGATCATTCATATTATGAAGATAATTTGAGTTATAAAAAAGATTAGGTAATTGGGATTAAAATAGAATGAATGGAAAAGGATTATATGTATCTCCTGATGGAGTATAAGCAGAAGGAATATTCGATTATGATAATTATGTAGGACAAGCTGACTAATAATATTGATTTTATGTTTTATCAGAATATATTGCATCCATCATCTTTTTTAGAGCCTTTCTTTGGATCAGGTTTTCCTTTAGACATCATGGCAGGTGTTCTATCTTAAGATGAACTTCTTGGTTTTTGAGCATTCATTTATTATTATTGTAATTTAGCCTTCATTTGCTATTGTTCTGAAGTATGATCTTCAAATTCTTTTATTGATTATCTATTAATGGTTTATGGGGTTGGTTAGTTAGGAGTAAATTCTAAAATAATAATAATCAATTTATATACTTTCAATAGGTTGTTTCACTTAAGGAATTTGTTAAACTGGTTTATTAGGTTATTATTATTGTTATGATTATAATTGTTATTGTTAAATATTTTTTGATTAATTAATTGTTTTGGTTAGAATATCAATATGCTCTTCTTATTTTTTGACTTGTTCAATTTATTAACTGGGTTGTGGTTATTATGAAATAGAAGGTTAATTTGATTATTAAGTAGTCTATTATTAAGGAATTAAATTTTCAACTGGAATTTCTCTTTTTTTCAAATCTTTACTCTTATTTTCATCATATCCATAAACTTTAAAACATATCTTAATTTATATATAAAATAATTACTGTTCCATTAATTAAATAGTTCAATTAGACTTCAGTTAATTAATCAAATGTATGTTATTAATCATAATTATAAATAGGATTTGGATGAGCTCCAGCTAACTAAAAGTATAAGATAGAATCAATACAGTTTTAGTTTTATATAATTCTTTCTTTTTTTCTTCAACTTGTATTGAATATTCAACATAAGTATCTTTGCATAGATTTTCTGGCAATCTTGCACTTTCAATTGAAACTCTAAAATCAAATCTTCTACCAACTAATTCAGATGGATCTTCAACAGGTGGTTCAATGCCATCTTCAATATCTTCTGATAAATTTCTTTGTCCTGTTTCATCTGTAGGAATCAAATTAACTTTTAGAGTTCCACATTAGAAATGTTCTCCTACTAGAGTCAAATCACAAGGATTATCCATCAAATAAGCTAAAGCTTATAATTTAAGAAATCCAGAACCAATAACTCTTGCTTCAGGAGGATCCCAAAAAGGATCTTAATCTTTTGGTAATGATAATAATTGATTAGATTCGAAATACCTTTCTAATAAATCTTTTATTATATAGTATCTATTAGAAAATTTATGTAAATCCCAATAATAAATTTATCCTTCTTCTTTATTATTAACCTAGATTTGAATTTATCCTTTCTATGCATTCTCCTCTGTAAATTAAGAGTATTCTTAATCATCAGCATATACATATTTTAATCTAGCTTCTAAAGTAACATTTCGTTTAAGTTCTTTTGCAATCAAATTGACTTCCAATACCTTTGGTAAATACTTTTATAATTTATTCTCTATAAAATTCTTTTCTTTAATTCTATATTTCTTCATAGTTTCTTCATCTTCATATTATTTTCTAGCTTTTTCTCTTTACAATTATTTTTGTAATGTTTCTTCTTCTAATTTCTTTCTTTCTTCTATTAATTTTCTTTCCTCCTCAGCCATTAATGCTCTATTCAACATATCTTTATTTTATTCTTCTAAAGCCTTCATTTTCCTATCAAAATCCTCTTATTATTTTTTCATCTATTCTTCATATAATCTTTATTCTTCTTTTCTCTATTCTTCTAATTCTTATTTTTTTCTTTGCATTTCTTCATGTACTTATTTCTCTGCTTATTTTTATAGTTCTTATCTTTTTTCTTCTTCCTTTTTTTGCATTTCCTGTTATGCTAATTCCCAATCAATTTCAGGTCCTTATTCTATTTATTCAGATCCTGGAATTTAAACTAAAAATGTAGTTGTAGTTCCAAAGATAATTCTATCATTATGATGTAATAAAGTAGGACCTGTAATTGGTGAACCATTAACAAAAATAAAATCACCGCATTCTTTTGTAAATGGTTTTATTTAAACAACTCCATCTTTATTTGTTATAACAGCATGATTAGGTTAAACACACATTGCATTAACAACAATTTATGGAGTTGGATTTCCATTAGGTCTTCCTACATGTGTTTCCTCTTAATTTAAAGATTTCAATATCTTTCTATTTAATAATGGATCTTCATTTAAATTAACCAAATGTGGATGTTCCTTAATTCCTTCATTTTATAAATCTTCATCATCTTCTTCTTCATCTTTCTATTTTTACTTTTCTAATTTAGATTGAAATGACTCTTAATTCTCTTACATGATAGTCTCATTAGTTTCAATATCATCTTAAATCTAAGACAATTATTTTAACATTTCAGGATTAATGACTCCACCTTTTAATTGTTATTACAACATCATTAATTATTATTTCAAAGAGTGAATTTCCTCTTATTATTCCCTTAATTTCTTATCGACATCACTTTCATTAACAACAGCGCAATTCTTAATCTTTTTTGCTTAATCTGCATATCTTAATGTACTCAAAGTTTCTTCATAATTATCAGTAGCAGGACTAACAGCACAAATCATCAATGTCTTTGAATTACCTCCTAAAGCATTTTATAATATTCTAGTTAACTATGAATCTCTATATGGAACTACTGCATTCTTTCCTTTACCCATTGCCTTATCTGCCAATGCTGCTATAACCTATCCCAACACAGACAATGATTTATTTATATTACCAGCTATAATTAACAATATTATTAAACCTTACCTTCCTTTAAACGATCACCTTATGCTCCTGTCTTTCCTACTTTCTCTGAACCTGCAAGATCAACCAAATTAATAACTGATAACTTCTCTGATTTTCTTCCATCTACATTCTTTATCTCCTTAAACTCTATCTAAATAATTGTATGTGCTCTTGAAGAACTAATCAATAATATAGAATAATCTACGATGCATTCATTTAAGTTGCTGCAACTGTTCTATGCTTACTTCCCTCATCCATCTTTGCCTCTATTGCTTCATATGAATCAACTGGATATTTTGTTAATCCTTCTACATACACTCCATATACTTTATGTTCTCTAACTTTTAAACCTCCTGTTGGTCTCTTAGGAACAGGTACAAGTAGATCTTATACCTTTTCATTGTATATTTCAAGCATACTCACTTATACTTCATAAGCTAATCATTATATCATCTATCAATATACTTAATTGAGAATCTGGGTTCTTTTTTATTCGCTTAAAAATCTCTTCACATGATATTGGTACGATACCTTTATTCGCTCCATATCCAACCATTGAATATGATTTACCAGCCTTAATTATTATTATTCATTCTTACTCCTGTTTAACCATAGGCAAATAAGCAACAATGATAACCTTACCAAGCATTATTTAAAATTTCTTAACCAACTGTGTCGAATACCATTTGCTAATCTGCATATTTGCTACCTGGAATTGCTCTACTGTAACCGTTTTCATCATTCTCAAATGAATCATGTGACCAAAAAGAATAATCAAAAGCAAAATCTCTATTTTTCTTAGCATCCTCGAGATCTTTTGTTTAACTTATATTACTTACCTAACAATATTGTTGTTGGACCATTCATAGCCACACATAATGAACAATTCAATTCAAGTTCACGAGAATTGTAAGGCCTTACTCTGACTGCCACTTTGACGGACATTATAATATAAAGATTTAATAACTTAAAAAAGTAATATAAGAATATTTTTTTCAACGTAAATCGATGGTTTCTGCTCTAGTGATACCATGACTATTTTTAGAAGCAGATTGAGGAAATACATTCCAAAATCTAAGAGTCTCATCTCCAGCTCCTGTTACTATGTTTTAACCACATGGTGAACCACTCAAATATAGAACTCTTTAGGTATGACCAGTTAAAGTAGCAACTTTGGACATATTATTATAATTCCAAACAATAATTTAATTTAAAGAATATCCATGAGTTGAAACTAATTCATTAGAATTTTTAGAGAACATTAAATTGCACACTTAAGATCCAGTGTCAATGCAATCAACTTACTCTATAGTTTAAGTATTGAAGAATCTTATGCATCTATCAGCAGTACCTCCACCAGATGCAACAATATTATGTTAATGAGGTGACCATCCAATAGCTTTGACGGCTGCTTAATGCTATGAAAAATGAGTCAATTCTCCTTGATTTTTTAATGACCAAATAAATAATTTATTGTCATTACCACCAGATGCTAATAGTTATTCATCAAATGACCATTTTAATCCACATATTTCTTATTTATGTCCAACATATTTTTAAATTGATTCATTTGGACATCTAACATCTCTAACCAAAATATTACGATCTCTACTCCCAGTGGCTAATAAATAATTATTCCATGCTAAAGAACCAATTCTACCTTAATGTCCATTCCATTTTCTTATGACTTTTTATTTAGCAACATCCCATACTTCAACTTCTCCCATACTATTTCCTACTGAAAGATGTTGATTACGTTATGACCAAGCTACACTACATACCATATCTGGATCTTCAAGTGTACATAAACGTGAAACCTTTGAAGTATGACCTGACCAAATTAATACCGAATTCTCTAATCCTACTGCTAAAGCATTAAATGGTGACCAATCTAAAAGGTTTAGATAAAAATCATCTTGTAAATTCTCAGCCTCTAAAATTTTATAAGGGCGTTTATTGATTTTTCTTGGTGGCTTTTCAGGTTCTATTTTTGTTGGAGTTGCTGAAAATTTTAAGCCATTATTAATAATTTTATTCATTTCGTTTTATTTATTTTCAGTTTTATAATTGAATAGTTTCTAATTTACTGCTGGTGATTTGCCTAGAATAGAAGACTGAAGTAAATTGTTGTAAAGAGTGCCTTAACTATTTTCTTCACTCATAAATAACTGATAGAGATTTGATTATACATTACGAGGAATGAACTAAATTAAATTAAATTTATACACGATCACTCTTATCTTTAGGACTTGTCCATGATTATTTATTAAGATCGACTTCCTTTATGGGTGTTTAATCATTCATTGAAAAACAAGTAAAATTTGTTAATAAAATTTATCTGTTATTTAATTTATATCAATAAAATATATTGTCTAATCTAAACCCCCTATTTTTATCAATTTGTTAAAATTCTAAATTAAAATTATATTCCACTTCAAAATGATCAATGAAATCAACATTGTTTCTTTAAGTTAACTTCTCAATAATGTTCATCTATCTTAATCTCATATAGATGAAGCTGCACGCTTTTATATTAGACATATTCATGATTAAAAATCACAACAATCTCTTTGCGAAGAGTGGTGCAATTATTTTCACTTTGCAAAAGGAAATGTTGATGGTGATAAAGTTATCATTTCTCTACTATACATGGCCTAAAGGGTTATTGAGTCAATCATCAAATTTGAAGGTGCATGTAAGTTCTTTTTTAATTCTATTTATAGATGCCTCCATGACTGATGCATTCAAAAAATAAATTATCAAAGCCTTTCTTTTACTTAAAGATTATAATTGGACTCAAGATCTTAAATAATAAGTCAAAGATTTAGTTAAATAATGGGAAGATAAATAATTATTTACTAAAATTGAAGTTCAAAATATTCTTGAAATCATTGATCCTACCAAAATGAATAAAGAAAAAACCAAAAATTAGTTTGCACCTCCTTTATTTCTAATCAATTTTGCAAAAAATTACAAAGTATATTAATTTTTGAACTATATTTCAGGAATTATAAATTAGATTATAAAATGCCAATTAATATCAAATGAGACTAGATGAACTTATTAATTGTGGAGCATAAGACAAATTAAATTTATATGATTCCTTATTAGATTAATATTCTAAATCTATTGAAAGTGTATAAAAATATAGATAAATCTTAATCAAAGATATTATTGATAAACTCAAAGAATTAGATAAAATACATTCTAAAAGTATTATTGATTTAAAGTATCTATCATATAGAGTCTAAGAATTAAAAAATAAAAAAGACAAAAGAGTGCAAAATGAGTACTATCATGAATGATTAATAATTTCATTTTAACTACAATACAATCAAAATCTTCCCTCCACTTATTTTTTATACATTACAAAACTTATATTCTTCATCTGTTATTATCTTGGAGTTTAAATATGTTATCTAAAACTATTAATCTATTCAAAATCATCCTCTAATTTTAATTGCTTATTATAATCCTTTTAAATTCATAATTATAAAACTTACTCTTGAATAATCATCTTAAATTTTTATCTTTTTAAATGATTTACGCATACTCTCATTAAAATAAGAGTCATTTTCAAATTCTTAAACCTAATAATTGTTCATTTAATTTTCAGACTATTTTTTTACAGAATCTATTTAGACAATATTCTCATCAGTTGAAGATTATATACTAATAGTTAAGATTTGATCTATTGGTAATAAATAAGCACTATCTATTAAATTCTTTTTTTCTTTTAGAGGACTCATTAATTTCTAACCCTTCTTTATTTATTAGTTCATAACAATATTTTATCGATTTATTAAATTTTCCTTATCCTCAATATTGTTTCTCTATTTTATTTTGCTATTAGGCATTATCCTTTAATTTTAAGGTTCATTATCTATTTATAAATCATTCATGTTATATCTAGATCGATGAGGACTGAATTAAGGACTGAAAGTCCATTACTTCTTTATTTCTTTGGCTTTAGGAGATCTCTAGCTTTATGGGAGGTCTCTTTGAGTATAATATTCTAAGTAATTGGCAAATTAGTTCATTTAAGTTAACGGTAATATAAATTAAATAATATAATGTATTATGAACATTTTATTTTATCATTCATAAAGAACATATAAAAAAAGGAATGATTTTAAATTAAATTAAAGGGTTCTTAAATTTACATATATATCATATGCATCAAGATCTAAATTTTACTAATCTACTATAAATTTAATCATGAAAACTATTTCTTCGATGAAATATCTCGAAAATTTTATAAAAAACTTTTATCAGCACATTCATCACATTTTATATTGAAGTTGTTAACTTATTTTTGTACAGACTTTTTAAATTATAACTTTCCCTTCATTTTTAGCAAAATCATATTAAAATCTTAGAAAACCTTATTTTCATGAAGATTTTAAAATTAATTTTTACTTCATATTGGTGAAAGAATTATAGTGAACTTTTTGAGTTCCTTTTCTAATAAAACTAAAAATTAAGAAATTTAAGAATTATTATTATTATTTTATGAATAAAATTTACCAAAAATTTATTGATCATTGTTTCTTTTTGGTTTAATGTTAATGCTAATGAGAAAAATCAATAAAATTTAATGGGCTTTCAGACTAGGTGAAAAATTCATTTCTAAAGCTATTTTGATGACTAAAATGGATATTCCTAATACTAGAAACATTATCTGAAGTTGATATAACAGATTATATCATAGATTATTCATTGGATTCTGATTTCTTAACTTTAAAATGTTATTATTATCTTTCAGTTTTGGGTCTATGAGAGATTCGAAATTCAATTTAATCTGGTTCTGGTTCTTAATTATCAAATTTTTCAGTTAGTTAGGTTACCATTTTTTAAAATTGTTGAAGTACTTTAGGAGTATTGATTTACTCGTCTTTATATTATTCTATAAAATTTTCATCATCAAATTTAATTATATCAAATTTGATGGGACTAGGTTGCCTTTTTTACTCTTTAAAGTGTAACTCTATTTATCTATTAATATTTTATTCTACAGTGAATAATTAAAGTTGAGGGTAGGATTGAATTGTTGCAACTTCATTACATAATTTTACCATTTATGTTACACTTCTTCCTAGCCTAAGTGTTTCAGTGTAAACTTAATATAATTTTAAAGATTATTCACTTTCCATATGAATCATATGATTAATATGAGATTATAAGTAGATTTAAACTTTAGGATAGAAAAAAAAGAGATCATTTAGGAGTTATACACAGACATACTTAGACACTTCTATGTTTTAAAATTTTGTTAAAGAAATGTCCAAATCTTTGTGAATTTTTACTAAAACCTGGATTGTGGAGACAATCTTGTGGATAATAAAAGTTTTCTAATATTCTTCTTTTTCTTCGAAATCAGAGAGAGCATTAAGGAAAAACAGATAATTTTCATATCTAATTTACAGATATTAAAAGAGATGTTGGACAATATTTATATGTAATTATGCAATTGGATCTTCTGACTTCTTTTGTTACTTATTTTTGATTTTATCATAGAGATGATTATTGCAGACAGCATCAACAAAGATGTTGCATTATTTCTGTGATAATATACATAAAAAATTGAATATACTTCTAAGCAGTAATGGAGGACATACGCAATCTTTAAAGCACTTATCCATTTGTTGTATTGGATTTAACATAAGATATCGTAGAATTTATTAAATGCATCTAATGGTAAAATCTTTTAATCTTAACCTTTGAGACATTCGATAATTGGCTACATAAAAATTGATAGTACTTTCATGTATTTTGGTTTTGGAACATCACTATTTTCACTAGAGGTACATTAATATAGAGAATAATCAAAATCATCTTTTGATATGAGTGATAGGTTTCTGAATATTTTTAACATAATTAATAATATAATAAGTTAATAATTTCTAACCTCTTTCTAAGTTAATTTGATTGAGATATTTGAAATAAATATTCAAAGTATTCAAAATCTTGTGATATATTTATTGACTTATTAGATAGTAGTAGAGCAGCTTTAATTTCTAAGAGATTGATTTGATGTTAATGGCTATAAAACAGTCATTAATTTAATTAAAGTTATAAATAATCAAATTAAGACGTATAAAACTAGAGTTGGAGATTGTATTTAAATATTAATCACTTTTTTTTAATCTATTTTTAATGGAAACATTATAAATTTATAAATCTTGGATGAATAAATTCTTTAAGATTAATTGAATAAAGAATATCTAAATATTTAAAAGATAGAAAACATGGTGGTTTTCATGATTCAAATGAAAATAAAATAATAAAAAATTAATAAATTAATTGAAAAGATAAAATAAAGCATAATGAGTATAGAGGAAATCAAAAGATAAGTGGAGTATTATTTGTCAGATAAAAATCTATCTTAAGATGAATTCTTTCATAAATAGATAAGTTAGAGTGAAGAAGGTTATTTATAGCTTTAATTTATACTTAAATGCAATAAGGTTAAGTAAATGAAAATAACTTAAGAATAATTAGTGGAGGCAATAAAAACTTCAACTGAGGTTGAATTAAGCCCAGATTAAACAAGTATTAAAGGATATTTAATAAATTAGGTGTTAGAAGATTAAACAAGAAACCTTTACCAGAATTAATTATTACTCAAACAAATAAAAAAGTGAAAACAAATACTGGTGATGCAGTTGTTGTTCAATAATAATAGGAAGAAAAAGCTGAAGAAGAAGTTATTGACAATCCATATCATAATTTTGAACCCCTTATTTTTACTGTAAAGGCTCCAGCAGGAGTTGCAGTTAATTGGACTTAAATTACAGAGGCTTTAATGAAATAACATAATATCAGTTCTCCATATGTTAGATATGGTAAAACTGAAGGCAATTTTGCTTTATCTAAACCTAGAACTCCAGAAGAAAATATTATTCGTTTGACTTCAGAGGGTATCAAGATTGGAGAACATCAATTAGAAATCAGAGTAACAAATGGAGAAGATTTAACATAATTCTGGGCTCATCATGGAAAACATTATGAAACTATTATTAAGAGAGCTAAAGAAACATTTGCTCATGGAGGCGCTGGTAAAGGAGGAAATAAAAAATATGAATAAAGAAAATAAAAAAAAGATATTGTTTTCCATAATTAAAAAGTAATAAATTTATTTATTTATTTAGTATAGAGATATTTCTTAATTGAAGAATATTTTTAAAACTATTTTAGCTAGATCCGAAAATAATACTCCTTTAAAAGAACCATATCATTCAATGCTTGTATCCTTATTACAATATCATGATAAAAAAGACTAAAAATTAAATGGATTAAAACATTTTACTGTTGGATAACATCCAGATCATGCAGAAACTAGGTGTTTCTTTGCTGTCAAAGAAGATGGATCATCTGAAGATTTCAGCAGTCTAAAATGCATCAAAAATTTAGAAACATCTCTAGGTTTATGAGTAGCATTAAAAAATTATACATAATATAAATTATTTCAATAACTTAATTTTTCTAACTTCCAAATTGGACTAACAAACCCTATTGCAAATAAAAACATTATCATTTTTTAATATTAATTTGATTTCTTATTGAATTTTTCTTAAATTACTTCCATTGTAGCGATATAAATAAATGTACCTGCAGATATTGATTAAAATATTCCAGTTATAATAAATCCTTAATCTGATAAGATCCATTCTATAAGTATTCCAATAGGATTAATAATTTCTTAAATGAAAATCATGATAGTTGAAGATCTTATACTTGCTTTTTTAAAAGACAACCTCAATATTAAACCTTCAGCCCATTTATGACAGATTATCGCTAAAGAAATACCTAAACATTGAGGTACTTATGATTCTATCCCAATTGCTAAACCTTCAAAATGCATGAATTCCTCATTAAATATTATTTTTACCTATGCAAACTATAATATATAAGAAGTCAAAGAATTTATACCCAATTCTTCTAACACTTTAATCTCTGGTTTTTTCGATTGTTGCTAGTTTGTTTCACAAAAATGCAATTCTACGAATCCTTCATTTTGAGATATTACAGTAACTTAATTAGAATTATTTTAATCAATAGCATTGTCATGAATAAAAGCTATCTTTTCAATATACATAATCAAAGCAAAACTTAGGACTGTGGTTAAACAGGCATATGGAAATTCTTCAAATTTTTAAGACTTATAGAAATTATGAAATTATTTCATTGACTCAGGTAACAAATGAATTATTCCAACTGATAAAAAGTTAATTCTAATAATAATTGATTTCGTTTGAAAGCAATTGATCTTAAGGGTATATTTCCCATAAAAATTATCATTAAAAACATCAATATCATACTAAATACTTTTATTGCTATCGAATAGTCGAATTCCATTTTATAATAATTTTTAATTAATGTTTCTTTTTCTATTTTTGAATTCCTATTTTTATTATATAAATATTTTTTAAATATTTCACTCAAATTAAATCTCAAAGAAATTATATTTAATTATTTTTACTAAATATATGGGATTTTTGACTTATTTTTTTAGCAATAAACATAAAGGTTTAAATGACAAAGCCAATGAAGAAGAGGTAATCAAATTTATAAAGTAGATATGGATTTATGATTTAGTCTATGAACATTTAACATCCCCAATCTGGAAAATTGCAATTATGGAGTTCATTGATGAAAATTGCATAATATTTGATGATGAAGATCAATTTACACAAGAATAGAACTAAAAATTCTAATAATTTTAAGATCTAATATCTTTTTAATTTGATAATATGCTTAATGAATATGGATTAACATAGGAATAATTGACTAAATAAATTATTAAAGGTTTGGCACATCCATAACATAAACAAATTTTTCAACAGATTATAGCTATAAATGATTACAAGATATTCAGAAAATAAATGTTAACAAGAAATAAGGAATTAGAATTTGAAGCATTTGAGGAATTAGATAGATAGGATAAATTACAATAAGAATAATAACAATAGTAATAGTAAATTCATAAGTAACATATATGTAATATTACTTAAGATAACCAGCAGAATTTGATTAATAATTTGAACTAAAAAGATTGTAAATAGAGAAAGAGAAATCTGAACTAGAATTAGCTATTGAATTATCAAAAAAAGCAGAAGAAGAGTAAAAGCGTCTTATAGAAAAAGAAAATGAAGATTTGCTTAAACAAATATTGGAATAAAGTTTATTAGAATACAAGTATCTTTTTATTTATAATTTATTTAAAGTGAATTACAAAAAAAGTTGGAGGTTGTCTAATAAAAAGAATCAGAACTTAGATCAAATCCCTTATATAAATAATCAGAAATCTTCAAATCTATTAAAAATTTGAAATATCCATCTTTTTCAAGTTACATTCAAAGATAAGATGAGTCCGATTAATTAAAAAAGGGATAAGAAGAATTAAAGAGTTAGATCCTTCATAAATAAGATTTTTAAAATTAAGTTTATTAGCCTTCTTTAGAAAAGGATTACTCTTTTGAACCTCCAGTAATTGAAAGAGTAACATCAGAATTAATAGAAGAAAGTGATTTACTTAAAAGTGAAGTGATGTAAGATTAGAAATTAAAAATGATATAAAAGAAAGAGTTAATAATTAAAAAGAAGAATGAAATGAATAAATCTGAATTACTTAAGTTTGAACAGGAGAAAAAATAAGTGTTCATTAATTAGGTAATTAATTTTTACATTATATTATAGACTCAATATTTAAAGAAGTGATAAGTGCTATGTATTTTTATTTAATAAATTAAAATTTCAAATTATTGTAATAATATTCAATTCATAAATTTTAATATCGATAACTTAATTGTTTAGTAAATTAAATACCAATAAAAAATTGAATTTAATGGGTTGTTCAGGATCTAAACAAACAAGAAAAACTTCCAAATAGAATCGTCCCAGTTTATTAGATAATTTAAATGATATACCAAAACAAAAACTATTAACATTAGAATCAAAACCAGAAGAAAGAAAAAGCAAATAATTAAAATCTTTAGATAAAAACAAAGTAGCAGAACTTTTTTAAGGAGATCATCAATAAATCTTTAGGAACAAGAAATTTTAAAATGATTATTTTATTATTGAAGAAAAAGTATAAATCTGTGGTTTTAATGGAAAAACATTTGTAGTAGAAAATAAAATAACAGGGATGAAGAGAATAGCTAAAATAACTAGAAATGCTCTTTCAAATGTTTAAATCAATGAATATGTTGATTACTTATAATCAATTAAAAAAATAGTAAGTTTCATTAAAATGTATAGGATCATCCAAACATAATAAAATTATTTGATTTTTATCATGATGACAAACACATTTACTTGGTTGAAGAATACTATGATGGTGGAGATTTATACCAAAGATTAAATTAAGAAATTCATAGTTCTGAGAAAATTCATATTGCCTATGTTTTCAAATAAGTTTTGTCAGCAATTTATTATTTACATTCATAGGAAATTCTTCATAAAAATATTTCCCCAAATATAATTGTTGTAGCATAAAACTCTAATTTATTAATTAAATTGACTGGACTTGATGATTTAAATGGTATCTTTCAAGATTCTAATAAGGATATCAATTATAGAGCTCCTGAAAGTTTTGCAGAAAAATATAAATGGAATAAAGCAGCAGATATATGGTCAGCTGGAGTAATTTTATTTGAATTGATGTATGGATCTCATCCTTTTAAGGATTAAAATCGATAAATGACAATTTAAAATATAAAAAGAAATAATATCAATTAAGATATTGATTTGAATTCAATAAATGATGATGCATTTAAATTAATTAGCGAAATGATTAATCCTGATCCTAATTAGAGACCTGATGCTAAAGAATGTTTAAAATTTAAATATTTTAAAACTATAAGAAAATCATCTATGAAAATTACAAGTGCTTTATTAAGAATTAAAGAATTTTAGAAAAAAAATGAATTAAGACTAGTATTATTAAGTTTAATGATTGAATATTTGATGTCTAAAGAAGAACGTGATAAAATTGCTTAAACTTTTTATAAAATTGATCTCAATAATGATGGAAAAATATCTAAAGCTGAATTATATTAGTAATACTTAGAAATATCAGGGAATGAAAATTAAGCAAGAGAAGAAGTAGAAAAAATCTTTTCATAATTAGATATCAATTAAAATAAATATATAGAATTCAATGAATTTTTAATTGCATCATGTAATAAAACAGCTCTTTTCAATGAAGAAAACTTAAAGAAATTTTTTAATAAATTAGATAGAGATCATAGTAAATAAATATCTGCCAATGAACTTAAGGTCTTTTTCTATAATACAAATTTATCTCAATCAGATTGGTAATAGGTTATTCATTTAGGAGAAAAAAAAGAAGAAATGAATAATAAGATTTCTTATTAAGAGTTTGTTTCTTTGTTAACTGAAAATGAATGATTATTATTACTGGACTTAATTAATCAATTATTTCTTCTAATTATTCTAATTTGATTGGTCACAGGTATTTTAATTTGTAACTATTTTTATTATGTCAAATTGTCTATCTTTAAATCGAATCGACAAAAAGGACAAAATTAATTTTTCTAAAGCCATTTTTCAATACATTTAGCATGAAATATATGTCTAAAATTGTATTAGATATATACTTGCATGGAGTATATTTAATAGGTTGTTTATTGGATAAAGGATCTAAACAAATTGCACAATTATCTTATAATTCATTTGATTAGATTTAATTATCCATAGTGACAAATTCATCTTCTTTTTTAATTGATGATCTTCCATATGTAAATTGTTTTTCTCTCATTTCATAGTCTTCTGGTGATTATTTTTCTGAAGATCTCTTTTATCTTGCTCTTCTAATTAAAAAGATACAAAAGCAAATTAATAATGAACCTGCAACACTACAAATAATAATTATAATAGTTTTCATTTAATCTCCTTTGTTATCTTCTGAGATTGATTCCAATTTAATATTAAATTAACCTCCTTGAAGTAAAATAATTAATCGATCTGGAATTGAATCATAATTATCTTGATTTCTTGAGCTTCTTTAATCTATCTCTCTTATCAAAGGAGAATATTTTGTTATTCTTGCTGCATCATTGAAGAAATTATTAGTTGGTAAATATACTAAATCAGGAATAAGTATATATGCTAAAGTTTCATTAAAATCATCTTTAGTCTATATCATAAAAATTATAATTACTGATATTTCAAGTCTTAAATCTTAAGTTCCATACTTTTCATAATAACAATAAAAGTTTGGATCATGAGAACCATTTACAGATATATTTTAATCTTCTTCTAATTATAAAGCTTTTAATGAGCAATCTCTAGCTATGAAACCTTTATCACATTTACATACTCCTTCCAAACATTTTCCATTTCCTTGGCAATCATTTGGACATAATTTAGTTTATGATCCTCTTAAATATATATCAAAGGAAATTGGAACATTTGTCAATACAGTAAAATATACTTTATCATTTGAACTTGGTATTAAAATAAAATGATTTCTCTTTTTTTATACATAACTATCAATTATATTTACTATATTTAATACCTGTCATAATCCATACCATCATAAATTAAATCCTCTTTTTAATCTAAAAATGGTGCTTGTCCTTCCAAAAAAAGTAATGCTATTTCAGCTGATCTAGTTTATGTTTAATTTAGCTCAATTGAACAATACTAAGCATATAAAATTTTGCAATTAACAATAAAAGTTGTATTAGTTGAAATTGCATTCACATTTCTTTTTTATGAATATAAGGTAGATTATGAAATAGATATTTCAAAATTGGCTGTCATTACTTCGAGAAAATTGAGAAACAAAAACCCAATTGTTATAGTATTAATCATAGTAAAAATTATTTAATTAGGAATTTTTTACGAAGAAAAACTAATTAAGTACTTTTTTAAATTCAATATATTTTTACATCTTATAGAATACTCCATGATTTCAATTGTTTGATTAACAAATTTGATTTATGAAGATTAAAAAAACTTAATTTCTAATTTTGATCTAAAGTTTTAACAATTAAAAAAGAAATCAATATATATATTTTTATTTTGTTAAACTTGGAAAGCTCATGAATTGAAATTATTTCAATTTGCCTTCTATTAGTTAGAATAGTCAAAATGTAAGATATATCCAAAAATATAACATTTGCAAGGTTTAATCGATTTAATAGTAAGATCAATTAAAATTTGGCTTGAAATACCATTAATTTTAATTAAAAAAATTATTAAGCCAACACTATATTTAAGAAATAATAATGATTAAAGAAAAATCGAAAAATAGAACTTAATTTCATTGCTATACTAAGGACTACTCCATTACTGTATTCTTTCTCTTTTAAATACTAATTAACATACTTATTATTACTTATGATGCTGAAGGACAACTTATTTCAGTAATTATTTGTTCGATTAATGGATTTCTTGCATTATAATAATTATTTTTGCCAAAAGAGAAAGCTATACTTTATTAATAAATATGTATACTTTTAAGTAAAGTTGCAACACTTATACTAATAGTTGTTATCGGCTCTGATTTATAAATTTTAATAATAGCATTATTTGAGCGTTTAGATTTAATATCATCATCTAGAAAAAGTATATTAAAATAATTTGATCATATACTTTTACGATTTATTACTCTCATAATCATGATATTTAATTATAATATATTTTTAACAATAACACTTTCATACACAATTTTGATCGAAATAAATAAACTCATTTTAGATAAGTCTAACGAGAATAAATAATATTAATATAATATTACCAGTAGTTATCAAAATACGATCAAAGCTTCAGATTAAGATTGGAATTATCGGTTAAATTTAATTCCATAATGTTTTATGGTTATAAGTTTAACTAATTTAAAAGTAACTTATAAAAATAATTTTTTATTCACGTATTTTAAATAGTGTTATGAAAAGGAAGATTAGTTAGATGAATTAATATTACATAAATTATAATTTAGTATAATATAGGATAAAATCGATAAAATTAAATAATTGTACTAAAAACCTAAAATCAACTAAAGGTAAACAAAGAAATAAAATTTGTGGCAATATAAAAGTGATTCTCTCTCTTTTTAATAATCACCATAATAAAAACAAGAATAATCAAAAGAAGGAGATTCTCTGGAATTCTTAGCAACACAACAATCATCAATTTTTGATATTTTGACAAACATAAAGTAAAGTACTATGTAGGACTAAAAAATATTAGGTCACCATATTGAAATTTATTCAGATTAAAGCTGGTAATCAGTTACTGTAAATTATAATTATTCTTTTTCATCAAAAAAGTTTCAACTTTCAGGACACATTATTTTTTCTGAATAGGAAGGGGAAGTGTTACTTACACTTACAGATATTTCAAAATAAAATGAATTAAACGAATTAACTTCTAATTCTGAGTTTAAGTCAAAGGTATTTACTTAATTAGCAATTTAGATAATAGAATCTTTTTCTCATGAATTAAGGACTCCATTAAATAGTGCTTTAAATTTTCTTGTCTCTTGCTAATATGATTAAGACATTTAGGAGTATATAAAAGATGATTATTTGTAACCAGCAATCAATTCATTAAAATTACAATCATATATAATTAGTGACATAATAGACTTATCGTAAATTTCAACAAATAATTTTATACTTTCTGTTAGAGAATTTTCGATCAAAGAAATACTTTAAGAGATAATCTTATTGTTTAAAACTTAATTTGAAATGAAAAGAATAGAATTTAAGATTAATTTACTTGAATGTACCACTAATAAAATAACATCAGACTATTTAAGACTTATCTAAATATTAGTAAATTTGATATAGAATTCACTTAAATTTTCATTAGAAGGAGCAGTCATTTTGCAAATATAAACAACTTAAAATTAAGGTTTAAAAATATGTGTTTCTGATTAAGGTATAGGAATAGAGAATGATCATTTAAATTAATTACAATCTCTTTTATAAAATATAGAGCAATATAAAGATATTTAGTTAAATAAGACTTGGTAAGGATTTGGTTTACTAATTTCTGCAATTTTAGTTAGTTAAATAGCACCAAAAGAAAATAAATTTTTATAAATTCATTCATCAGGCTAAGATTAAGGATCATAAGTTTGGTTTTATGTTGAAAATTAACATAAAATAGAGAGGCCTAGATAAAATACTTTAAGATAAAGTTCTTCTAGATTTTAAAGTTCACATGAAGGAGAATTATTTAATATAGAACTAAATTGTGCTTTATTTTAGGCAACAGAATTTAGAAATATTAGTCATTCTAAGTAATTTAGTTAAAGTGTGAAAAGACATGAATCTAATAAAAATGATTTTAATTGTACTGATAGTAAATCATTTGAATCTTTATAATTTAAATTAGGTTAGCTTTCACCTCTTTCACCATCATTGATTACAGATAAATTAATTAAGTTTTCAAAATAAGTTGATTATGTAAATAATTGTTAAAACTTAAAAATGATAATTGAAGGATGTAAAACAGAAGATTAAGACTTTCTATAGCTTTTTTAAAAAAAGAAAAAATGTTCCTGTTAAAATTTATTGTCTGTTGATGATGAAATTTTTAATTAGAAATCGATTCAAATTTTATTGGCCAAATTAGGATTCAATGTGATTTTAGTAATTATTTTAAAATTATCAATTAAGGCATTTAATGGAGTTGAGGCCATTAGAATTGTCGAATAAGCAATTCCTTGTAGTCCTAAATGTTAATTATTTACTTTGATATTGATGGATTATCAAATGCCAATAATGGATGGCTGTACGACAACTTCAAAGCTTATTGATATGATGAATAAAAAACAAATTCCTAAAATACATATTATAGGATTAACAGCTTTTACTAATGCTACTGAAATTTCTAATTGTATTAAAGCAGGCATGAGTGATGTACTATCAAAACCTCTTAATTTAAAAGAGTTGAAAGAAATTTTGACTCTTGTTTGAATATTTATGGAAATATATAGTTTTATTTATTAATGAAAATTTAATCTTATTACAAAAAAAAATAAAAAGTTTTGTATACTTAAAAAACGATCAAATCTTAATCATCTTCACATTTTCATAACTTTTTTGGTTGATATTTATTGAAAATTTCATATATCAAGATTTGCTTCTATGATATTTTCTCTCTAGCTCAAATAATTAATATAAATAGATAAAAACTATAATGTTACAAAATTCCTTGGACTCTCCTTCTAAAAAGGCTTAAGATAGTTTGCTTATAAATACAAGAGGAATTGTTTCAAAATAAAATGTCATTTAAATTTTGATATTTCATATTTTGCATTGTCTAGTTGACCTTGCTTTATTGATTCAGTATCCCTATTATTTAGAATACATCATTCCAAAAATGTCTATTAGTATCTTAATGGCTTTGATAATATTATCATTTTAGAAAAAACTAACTCATGTGATAATTAATATTCTTTTGCTTGTGGTAAAATTCAATTCAATTCTTTTTCTTTTGTTGATTGGATAAGATTATATATTAATAGTAGCATTAATTTGTGAGCATAATAATTATTCACCAAACATGATTAGCTTAGAGTATTCTATTCAAAAATTTATCACTAAAGTTAGTTGTTTAGTAATAATGATCATTTAATTTTAAATTATAGATATATGCATTATTACAAGCATTTTATTCTAAGAAATATACTAATTAGGTTTACTATTGAAATAATTTAAAAAATAAAATGTTGGAGATATATTATTTAGCTCTTTTTAAAATAAAATTAATCGAGAAACATTAACAATTTTTTCTAAAGAAAATACCTGGATGAGTAGAATATCCACTCTACCTATATGTTTCATTTTGATTTCCAAAAAAGATTTGAAATTAACATATAAAAATTAAAATGTATATAAACATTTTTCGACAATTTGTAAAACTGAGGAAGAATTCGATAAATTAATACTTAATTAATTGGATTTTTCAATTATTTCAGGTAAATTTTAATTCATATAAACTTAGAATTTTTCGAAGATTAAAAAAACATCGCTACTGATCAGCATATAAAAAAGAATAGATTAAGAAATAATGGTACAACATTAAAAAGTAATTAAGACAAAAAAGATTTTTGTGATTAAGAAAGCATAAATTAATAATTTAAAGAAACTAAAAAATTAGCTGAAATTTTAGAAAACTACAAAATAGGTAAACTAAGCGAAACTACAAATTCCATGAATAATACTTTGGAATTATTTTGTCAGTATTTTTGGGAAAATAGTAAATGCTCTACCTATAGTGGATAAATTATTATTAATTAAGAAGATGATGAAATAATTTTAACATTAATTGACATATCAAAGCAAAATAAGTATTATGATGAGCTAATAAAAGATTAATTTAAAACTTAAGTAAAATATTTTATTTAACATAAAGATAGCTTAATCATTTTCACATGAATTAAGGACACCTTTGAATAGTTCATGTAATTTTTTATAGTATTGTTTAAATCATAAAAGTGTAGAGGAAGATATCAAAATTAATTTTATATAACCTGCCATAAATGCATTGAGGCTATAATCTTACTTGATCAATGATATTATTGATTTTAGTTCATTATGTGCAGATAATTTAGAATTAGATATTAAAGATTTTTAAATAAAGGATTTAGTTGATGAGATAAACAAATTATTTAAATCAGTTATAGAAATGAAAAATTTAATATTGTATGTCGATTTATTGGAGAATTAATTGAATAATCTTTGCACAGATTTTTCAAGATTGGTTCAGATTATAGTAAATATATTATAAAATTCGATTAAATACTCAAATAGTGGATATATTCTTTTAAAATTGACCTCTTTTTCATCTAATTATTTAAAGATTACAATAAAAGATGAAGGTTTCGGAATAGAAGAAGATTAATTAATTAATATACATTAAATGCTATTAGATGTTGAATAAAATTAAAACTTTTCTTAATATAAATCTTGGCATGGATTTGGTTTATTGATTTCATCTATGTTATTATCAAAATTATGTCCTGCTGATTATAAATCATTATTAATAAGATCTGGAGGATAAGGACAGGGAACAAAAGTAACATTTTATATTTAGAATCATAAATTGACTCATCAATCATCAAGTATTCATTATAAGGAGAAACCAATAAGATTTAATAGCAAATTAAGATAAAGCAATCTTTCAGGTTCAAATCATCATGTTTCTATAAATGGAACTCTAATTTAAATTAGTGATTTATTTGTTTCAAATCGTAAACTTAACACTCAATTTGTAAAAAAAGTAACCCTTAAATCTGTAAAATCAAATGAAAATTCAATATTTTCTGATAGTATCATAAATTTAGATTAAGATTTATAAATTGCTGAATTACATCATTTGTAACCTTTTTTATTTACAGAAAATGCTCAATAAAAGATTAAATTGAGTAAATAAGAATTATCACCTAAAAGTAATCATCAATAAACAAAAATTGTAAGTTATAAATAATTAAAGCTTTAAGAAGATTAAGAAAGTGAATAAAATCTAAAATCAATTATGAGAAAGAAAAAATGTAATTGTAAGAGGATTTTATCAGTAGATGATGAAATATTTAATTAAAAATCTATTCAATTCTTATTATCATAATAAGGATTTGAAGTTCTTTTAGTACTATAACATATTATATTTAAGGCATTTAATGGCGAGGAAGCTATTTAACTAATAAAAGAAACTCAAAAATGTAGTCATAATTGCAGTTTATTTTTATTAATATTAATGGATTATCAAATGCCAATAATGAATGGAATATAAGCCACCAAGTAATTGAAATTAATGATGGAATAGCATTAAATACCATAAATTCATATAATAGGATTAACTGCATTTAATAGTAAAAATGATATTCTGATGTGTTTAAATTCTGGGATGAGTGATGTATTGACCAAACCATTAATTATAAAAGATCTTTTTGAAATATTACAGTTAATTTGATTTTATTAGTATTATTATGCATAATTTTACTAAGCCATAAATAATGGTAAATCAAATTAAAAAGTATACAATTTTTTAAATTAATTTATTAATAATTCTAAACATGAATTCAAGCTCAGATTTAGTTCAAATGTTGAAAGATCTTCAAATTTATAATTCAGTTGAAAACAATTTCAGTCCTGATCATAGCTAATTAGTTATGATATATGAAAAAGTAATTGAATTAAATCTTATAAGAGTTTTGTGATATAATAAATTTTGATGATAATTTTACTCTAGAAAATTAAACACTCTAATTATTTTATCGTTGTAAGTTGATGTTTAAAACAGTTGGAGTGATTGATTTTTAGATGGTAGATTTAACAGATCCTGATTAAAAAAGAATGAAACACAATCTTACATAATTATGCAAGTATTGCATATGGAAAAAAGAGCAATCTTAAAAATGGGAAAAGAAAGACAAAGAAATAGTAATTATATTTTTATAACAATAATTTAGATATAACTTGAAGATGTTGATTTACAATAGGCTCGAAAATAAAAAAGTGAATTAGAAGACTTAATATAAATGAAATATAAAGACATGGATTTGAAAAAGAAAAAATTTGAGTAATATAAATAAATGAAACATAAGGCTGAATCTGAACTATTAGCTAAAAGAAATTAAAATTTAAAATTATAAAATTCTATTTCATAAAATTAAAATGAATTGAAAGATGCAGAAAAAAAGTAGAAGAATTTAATTGAAAAATTGTAAGTAGCCTAAAATGAATTATCTATTTTGGAAGGGTAACTATATATCATAATTGTAATAGTATGATAGTTAAAGATCCAAGAAATTTAGAGAAAAAGGTAAATGATAGTTAAAGAAGAGTTGAAAGTCTTCAAATTGAAGTAGATAAATGTTAAAAAGAATTATAAAGTGAAACTTTTAAGATTGGAAAGATTTATAAATAATTATACTATGATTACGATAATTTTTTAAGATTATTTGAATAAGTAAAGGATGCAGAAAATGCTTTAATTCAGGAAGATAATAATTTTGAAAAATTTAATGATTAAATATTTACTGTAACAAATAAAATTCTTTAAGAAAATTTAGCTTTGTAAAAATTGCAGTAAAATAAAGAGTAGCTATAATAATAGAAAGTAGTTGAATCTGAAAAAAACAATACATCAAACTAATATAGTTTACAATCTTTAATAGATTTACAAAATAAATTGTAAGAATTATAGGCAGATGTAAAAAAAGAATAATAAGAATATTTATAAATACAATTGAAGAAATAAGACTAATAGAAGATTACGTTAGAAAATGATGAAATAAAATCATCAATTGAAGCTAATTTAAAATAAGTAGTGACTTAATAGAATAAAGAAATTGAATAATATACAAAAAACATTGAAATCTTATTAAATAAAATAGAATTTGAATGAAAATATATATTAATATAGAAAATAAAAAGATTTATAAAATCTTTAATTTTAAGCCTATTTTTTATATATATAATAAATAATGATTTAAACTTTCATATTAAAAAATGATATATCAAAGATTCTAAATTCTACAAATAAAAATTTTAATTTAAATTCTCCAATTATTTTACTATTTTGATTGTCAAAACCTTGTTTCTATTAGAGAATATATTCAGTATCAAATAAAAAAATCTATATTTAGAAGAACAAATCTATCATTAATTATAGAGTATGTCAAAAATTTAGAAAAATTAATAGTAAATTTTTGGATACTGTTAAATAATTAAAATTCTAATAATTATTTTGATTAAATTGTTATTTTATTCTAGATTAAAATCTATTAATGAACTATTTCTTTAGCCACTATTGCATCAGATTTTATCTTTTCCTGTTCAAATTAAAGAAATAATTAATAATTACTAAATTGGATGGATTATTTTATGTAAAATAATTATTAAAATAGCTTTAATTAATAAAAATCTTAAGACAGTTAATCAAATAAGATATTTAATGATTTTATAATGTAATAAAAACTATTTTAATTAAAAATAAGTGATTTTAATATTGTAAATTAAGATAAATAAAGAGAGATTTAATTATGATTAAAAATAAGATGTGAAAGGGTTGTAAATAAAAAGATTGACTATTAAAATGATTTGATTTGGAACTATAAATAAAATATTGTTTGAAAATATACTTATTAAAATTTAGACAATTTTATAGATTTAAAGAATGGAAAATGTAAGTAAAAAGAGGGGATTATAGTTTATAAATAATAAGAGGAAGAAAATTTAATTAAATTTATGTTGTTGATGAATTAATAAAAAGAAAGTAAGAAAATAATTGATAATATAATATAAAAAATAATATTAAAATTACTGAATGGGGAATTGTTTCTTATAAGAGGAAGAAAAGAATTAGAAATCTTCAATAAAGAAAGTAGATAGTTTTTTAGCGTAATAAATTGAGAAAAGGAATCAGAAATAGAAGGTGACTTTGAAAGATTTTTTAAGTTAAGGTGAAATAGGAAGAGTAATAATTATGATTGATTGAAATATTAGGGTAAATTTGGGAAAGTTTTAAGAGTGAAAATGAAAGGAAAAGATAATAGGGAATATGCAATGAAGGTTATAAAAAAAGCTGATATCTTAAAATATGGGCTTGTAGAACATACAATGTTAGAGAAGAATGTATTAGGTGCAAGTAAAAATCCATTTGTTGTTAAATTGAAATACTCATTTTAAACGGAATAAAAACTTTATTTAGTGATGGAGTAAAATATATTTTAATGAAGTTAAGATTTATTAAGGGTGGGTAATTAGCGAAAGTATTAAGAAAACGATAATAAGGTAGATTTACAGAAGAATAAACAAAATTCTGTGCAGCTGAAATAGTATTAGGTTTAGAATATATGCATAATACTCTAAGAGTAATATATAGAGATTTAAAGCCAGAAAATGTAATGGTAACAGAAGAAGGACATTTAAAATTAGCAGATTTTGGTTTATCGAAATAATATGAAAATGAAGAAGCTAAATTTTTTACGGTATTAAATATTTACTGAAAATTCAGCTTGCAGGAACCCCTGAATATTTAGCACCAGAAATATTATTTAATTAAGGTCATAATCATATGGTTGATTTTTGGTGTCTTGGAATTCTTATTTATGAAATGTTGGTTGGTTAGACTCCATTTTTTGATAATTAAGGAAATCATAAAAATATAGAAAATAATATAAAAAATGCATAAATTACTTATCCTAAATTTATCAGTGAATAATCTAAGAGTATTTTGGATAGATTATTGAATAAGGATCCAACTTAAAGACTTGGATCTAAATCTATATAAGAAATTAAAGATCATAATTTTTTTACTGATATAAATTGGGAAAAATTATATAAAGTAGAAATTCCATCACCAATTTTGGAAAATACTCATATTTATGTAATATCTATTTATATATATATTTTTTAGCCTTAAGTAAAGAAAGATCAATTTGGTAAAAGAATATATGAAACACCAGCATCACATTTTATAGAAACTAATGGAGATTTCAATGGTTTTTCAGCAGCTTAAGAATGATTATATATAGATGAAAAATGTTATTTATAATATTAATTAAAGTATATGCGTATATTTATTAACAATATAAATTTCATGGTTATTTTCTCTTTTTCAATTTTAAAATTATTCTAGACTCTTAATTAAATTTATTTATTTTCAATAATTCATCAAGATCTTTTTTTAAAATAGGATCATTTTATATTAATTCTGGTATATTAATGGTTTTCCTTATTTATTAATATGTAAGATGAAATTAATCAAATTCATTATATTTGTTAATATTGCATAGAAATGTTTCCATTGTAATTTTAGCATCTTCTAATTCATCATTAAATGCGAACATATCTTCACTATCATTATTATCATCTTTTGCCTTTTTTAAATCATGATGATATTATTTTTTTAAAACTGATACAAAATTTTAAAGCAAAGTTATATTAAGATGTTAAGGGTTTTTAAATAAGAGTTAACAGAATCCATAAACATAAAGTTGACTATCATAATCTGGTTAACAATGTTTGCTTGAATCAATTATATGATCATAAATAAATCCTTATTATTATTCTATCCATGCTAAAGTTTAAGGACAATTTTATATAAAACCTGATATATATACTCCCATTAATCTAGCTCTCAAAAAATCATTCTTTACTTCAAATTAAGATCTTTATAAGATTTTTGTATAAATGTATGCTAAAACCTCTTAACTTAATTAATATTCTTAAATTAGTAAGTGTATTAATAAAATAGCTTCTCCTTAAGAAGCTTCTCCTCTATGTGGATTATTAAATACAGATTCTAATATTTAAATTAACTAAATTTAGATATATAATCATTACAAATTCTTGAGCTTTGATATTTTAAAATAATGTTTTTCCATAATAAATGTAATAATTAAAAAGCTCAAATAATTATCCAAGTGTAAATTTTTATTTTTCTATTACTTTATTACATTAAAATAACATTTCAGCTTAATAATCACTAATAAATTTAGTTTTAAATATTAATTGTGATATAAAATATACAATATCCTCATCAAAATCTATGATATTAGGATCTAAAAAATTAAAATATTAATTACTTATAATATACTTATATAAGACAGAAACTCTTTTCTCTAAAAGATTAAAATGTACTGGAATGATATTCTCAATTTCAGGTAATGCCTTAAGTATATTCCAAGTTTAATTAATTAAAATTTATCTCTCAGTTTATCCTTATTCTAATAATTATTATTCTTTTTATATTTTTAAAACTATTAGACCTAATGATTAATCTAATATAGATGCTTCTAGTTTGAATGTTCTTAAATTATTAACCTAACAATTACTTATAAATTTATTTAATTGTTTCAAAATGAACTTCAAAATCACTTTATAGCAAAGATTCACATAACACTAATAAAATTTATCCAATTGAAGATTCCAAAACTTTTTCTAAACTAGGTTCCTCAATAATATTTTTTATAGCTTCTATTGCACAATAACAATTAGCAAATTAATCATTTTTTTAAGATTGTATCTAATTCATTAAAAATTTAAGTAAAGAATAAGAGAATTCCTCTTTCTCATGTAAAATTGTTTTACAAAATGAACCTATAAAAGTACAAAGTCTAGCTTTAACGAGAGCTAAAATTATATATTATTGATTTACGTATTGAATAATTTAATAGGTAATCACCATATTCATTTATAAATGATTTAAAAATTAATCCTACTTCATTTCTTTAGGTAAGATAATTACTTACAATTGATAAGATTAATAAGGATGATTCTAATAACAGATTAATATTCATAGATTTTAAAAAATAATGTTCTTTTAATTCCATTATTAATCCCAATTACTCTTTTATTTCTGTATTCTAAACTTTTTAAATACAATATGAAGCAGCTAAAATAGAGAATGATGTAAAGAAGGATATAGATCCATCAATTTGTTAACAATAAGCTATAATTAATTGAGCAATAGATGATTTAATGATATCTGATTTTTATTCATCTAAAATATCTTAAGTTAATTGAACAAATTCATTTGGATCATCAATAAGATCATTTATTTCTTTTTAAGTTGATGAAAAGAATGGTAAAATGATATCAATAAAAATAGCCATTCTATATTCCGCAAATATATGATAGACTTAAATACTTTTGCATGAAATAGCCAAAAATTTAATGATTTCATTAATTAAATTCGATTGATTCTGATTAATGTTATCTTTTTAAAAATTCTATGACATTGTAAAAGCCACAAGACTTTAAATGTAAGCATCACTTAGAATACATATGATATCTAAAAATGGGCATTTCTTAGCTATGATTGCATCTTTAAACTATTTAAGTATTGAATCATATATTAATCTTTATGAGGCAACAACAAAATGACAATAATCTAAATCTTCACCTACAAAAGTTAATTGTTGAGTCTTTAAAATTAATACTTAACACAATTCTTCATTGTATATAAAGTACTATTGTATTGGTTCTGGTACAAAACTAATTTAATAAGTTGTGAATTGTTTATTTAATTAATTAAAAAGAACTTTAGCCCATAGTACTTTTGTAGATTAAGAAAAACTATCAATAATTTTACCTGCCTTGATAATTGATTAAAACCACTCCCATTATGTATCTAATTATAAAGTTTCGGCAATAAAAAATGCAGACACTACCATATTTTCTAACCTACTTTCAATTGATTAGATGATATGTTATTTAAGCTGAGTCTTGAAGTGATTCTCTAAAGTTCAATTATATTTATTTATTTACATTTATCGTAACAAACTAATTATTATAATGCTTATTATATGCTGGATTTAATTTTATCTGATATTTATTTTGATAGCATTTAAACAAATAGATCAACATGATGCAATCTCATTTCAACAACATATGGTTCTAATTTAAATATCAAATTTTATTACTTGTGTTCGCAATGAATTTTTTAACAGCAGTTATTATTGTAATTGCTGCTTATTCAGCTAATAATTAATCATTTTATTATGTTGATAATTCACATAAAATATCGATAGATCTAACATCATTCTGACAGGTTTGTATTAATAATTCTTCTGCTTTCTTTCTAGCTCCACTCTCTTTACCTTAAAAGGCCATAATAATCATGTTTGTATACTCTTGCTAATTTATCATAAATTTATATAGAGTTAAATTATAATATTTTAATATCAAATATATACATAGTCATTTTAAAGTCAAACTAATTTTATTTCCTTTGTATTCATACTCGGAAAAGACTGAGATTACTTTCAATGCTTCATAGATATCAACCATAGTGATTTAAATATTTTAAGTATCAAGTTTGATTTCTAAAAATGATATTAGGATTACCTTAAATTTTCCCAACTAATTTAACCATGTCTTGGATTTCTAATAATTAAGGAATTCCAGAAAATTAGAGAACTCTAGTTAAGGGAACAATTTTAAATTTGGTTTAACTACCTTGATAATATTCTTCATTAGAATTTATTGATTATAGTTGGGGATTATGAGTATTATAGAATAAGATTCTCAACTAGGATAATAGAATGAAATACTAACCTCATTTCCAAAAAAAACAACATTATTGAGTAATTCTTTGGCTATAATTGCATTCTCCTTATTTAAAAATTATAGAATTGATTATCGATTATTTTTTTTTAATAATAAGGCTTCCAGATGTCCAAATCTGTTAAATAGATTATAAAGCATTCTTGGAGTGACTCTTTCATCTAGATTAGAAACTTTAAGAAATTTAGATGGTTATTGATTTAATAATTCTTAGATGACCAAATCATTGGAATCTAATTGAGTGAATTAAATTTTGGCTACTTCTTATTCATAATCATCATCTAAAATTCTTTCTAATTGTCTTAATTGAGTTTCCATTCTAGAAGATAGATAATAAAATAGTTACATTGCTTTAGAGGGTGATTCTTCTGTAATTTTGAGTATATCATTGAATTGATTTTAAATATTCGGCATTTATTCAATAGATTAAGGTTTGATTAAAGGAGGAGATACCTGATTTAAATTAGGTAGCGTCATCGCTTATAAAGAAGACTTCTATTCTCCTTGTGTTTCTTCATCATCAGAATGGTATTCAGAACCTCTTGTATGATCAACCACTTCTAAGTCTAGTTATTTCAAGCGAGAATAATGAATCAATAATCTGGTATAAATATAACTGAAAGTGTTACTTTCCACCTTAAGGAGTGAGGGATTTTCCTATCATATTACGTCTTGCTGAAATAGCTTGTTTAACTTCATTGTATTCTACAAATGCTTTGTTTGTCTTTCCTCTTTCGAAAATTAATATTTTTTTGACTTCTCCATACTATTTAAAAGTCTCAAATAAAAAATCATTAGTTAGTGGGAATGAATGAGGCAAGTAAGTTATGATCAATAACAAAATTTTACTAGGAGGGTCTCTAGAATTCATTTATAAAATTAAATCAATTTAATTTAAAATCCTGTATAAAGTGTATTTTAAATTAGATTATTAGGTGTTAATATTAATAAATGTCTATGATAAACATTCTAAGTATTGAAATCATGGATATGTCTATTAAAATATTTCAAATTTTTCTTGTATTTTATAAGTAAGTGTTTGTTTATTTAATTGTATGTGTTATGATTGTATAATGATCTAAAAGACATTTGAATTAGAGAAAGCTTTGAAATCTATATATTTTACTAGTAAAAATAGTTGAGTATCTTTCTATCTCTTGATTAGTAAAAGATTAAATGATTTAATGAATAATAAAAATAATCTAAAAATTATATATAATGATGAATGGGTGTCATAATTTCCAAGCCATTTTCATAATTAAGACAAAATGTTCATCATTGTCTACTGAAGCAGAGACTGCAGAATAGTAATCACACCATTCTTAATAAGTTAATTAACCATTTCTATCAACATCTCCAAAATTAACAAGAAATTCATCAAACACTTATTATTCTGTCATTTATCCATTTTTGACTTTTGGATGTAATTTGGTATTATAAACACCCCTAAAATAAATATAAAAATGTACTTTAAATCATCTGCTGTAATGTATCCATCTCCAGTTTTATCAAATTTTCTAAAGGCTTGATCTACAATAGCCTTTCTTGTTGGATTCAATTATCCCTTAATTATAAATATAATTAATTACTCTAATAGCTACTAGGAATTCATCAAAATCTATATGTCCACTTCTATCTCTATCCATAGCTGCAAATAGTATCTACAATTTATAAATAATATTACTTCAACTTCATTCCAAGACAATTAAACTCCATTCTCAGCTAGACCAACTTTCAACTCATTTTTGTCTAATTTTCTATTTCCATCATAAGAATCAAGACATCTGAAATTGATACCTAATTATCTTATAGTCTTTGCTCCTCTTGCTTATAAAGCATCTCGAACTCGTTTTAATACTAAGTCTTAATTATCTAATCATACAAATTTAAGCAGCTTCCTATTATTGTCTATTCATTATATTAAATTTATTATAATTATTAACAGTTTCATATATTAAATTATCCAATTAATATCATTATTTATTGCAAATCTAAGAATATATTATCTTTTGACTTCTCATCCCTTTCAAATTTATTTGGATTCTTACAATATTTCCAAAACTAACCATATCATTTTTAAGAAATATCTTCAAATCCTCTATCTAAACATTATACTAACCATGCTAAATTTGGCTCTTTCTTCAAATTACTAACATATAGACATTGACTATCTAACTATAGGTTTTTCTTATTCAAACCCATAAAGATTTACTATAGGTTTTATTTCTTTAAAATCATCATTGATGTATTAATTTACATTCCTAAAGATTTCTTATTATTAACTTCTTATTATTTTTAATCTTTTGAATCAAATTTTACAAAGAAAGTGTATTTCCTATCAGCTAATTCAATAATTGAAATATCTTAAGTAGTCATTCATGTTTTTTATGTTTTTACCATATTAATCTATTACTTTATAATCCAAATTTATCAATAACTAACTAATTTTTATTACCTTTACTACATATCTGAATGTATTGTTGTAATATCCCTTATATTTCACCTTTATCTCCCTCTGCACCAAATATACCATCATTCTTTTTAGCAGATTTGTAAAATATATTTTTAATCATTTCCTTTGGTATATATGAAACCTTACATATTCTGTCAGTCGCAACTATTTACATCACAGGTGCATGAATTTCTAATCTTAAAATCCTCATTTAATAATAATTCTTTATTTTTATTTTATTTCCTATATACTTCCATAAATGGTTCATATAGTAGCATTCTCAATACCTGTTGGGTATACCAATGGATTTCTATAAGCTTTTATTATTTTCTAATTCTCAACTATCATAANTTCATCAAAATCTATATGTCCACTTCTATCTCTATCCATAGCTGCAAATAGTATCTACAATTTATAAATAATATTACTTCAACTTCATTCCAAGACAATTAAACTCCATTCTCAGCTAGACCAACTTTCAACTCATTTTTGTCTAATTTTCTATTTCCATCATAAGAATCAAGACATCTGAAATTGATACCTAATTATCTTATAGTCTTTGCTCCTCTTGCTTATAAAGCATCTCGAACTCGTTTTAATACTAAGTCTTAATTATCTAATCATACAAATTTAAGCAGCTTCCTATTATTGTCTATTCATTATATTAAATTTATTATAATTATTAACAGTTTCATATATTAAATTATCCAATTAATATCATTATTTATTGCAAATCTAAGAATATATTATCTTTTGACTTCTCATCCCTTTCAAATTTATTTGGATTCTTACAATATTTCCAAAACTAACCATATCATTTTTAAGAAATATCTTCAAATCCTCTATCTAAACATTATACTAACCATGCTAAATTTGGCTCTTTCTTCAAATTACTAACATATAGACATTGACTATCTAACTATAGGTTTTTCTTATTCAAACCCATAAAGATTTACTATAGGTTTTATTTCTTTAAAATCATCATTGATGTATTAATTTACATTCCTAAAGATTTCTTATTATTAACTTCTTATTATTTTTAATCTTTTGAATCAAATTTTACAAAGAAAGTGTATTTCCTATCAGCTAATTCAATAATTGAAATATCTTAAGTAGTCATTCATGTTTTTTATGTTTTTACCATATTAATCTATTACTTTATAATCCAAATTTATCAATAACTAACTAATTTTTATTACCTTTACTACATATCTGAATGTATTGTTGTAATATCCCTTATATTTCACCTTTATCTCCCTCTGCACCAAATATACCATCATTCTTTTTAGCAGATTTGTAAAATATATTTTTAATCATTTCCTTTGGTATATATGAAACCTTACATATTCTGTCAGTCGCAACTATTTACATCACAGGTGCATGAATTTCTAATCTTAAAATCCTCATTTAATAATAATTCTTTATTTTTATTTTATTTCCTATATACTTCCATAAATGGTTCATATAGTAGCATTCTCAATACCTGTTGGGTATACCAATGGATTTCTATAAGCTTTTATTATTTTCTAATTCTCAACTATCATAATATCTTTTTAATTAGGGTAAGTTATAGATCCAAAAATCAATAACATACAAAATACAATCACTACTAATCCTATTAAAAAAAGTCCAATCTTCTTTTATATTAAGTATCTACATTCCTTTTAAACTTGTATCCACTGATAATATAAACTTGTAGATAATGCAAAACCACTTATGATAAGCAATAATGAAAAAAACCTGTGTAAAAAATATTCTTTGACATTGAATCTGAAAATGCATTGCAATTTGAAATAATTAAATATTGTTACAGAAAATTTGAAAAACTTTTTTATTGCCACAATTGAAAATATTTTGTTGTCTATTGATTTTGTAAGGTATGAATATATATGAAGGTTGTATAAACAATATAGATATTAAGTATTTCTTAATTTATTAATCATTTTTCAACTTAATTGTTACTACATCTTTTTCCCATAATATTGATTATTATTATGATCCAAATATTTGTTGCAGTTTGCATTTTCTTTTATCCAATCTTAATGTTATTACTTATTTGTTATCCACATTAATTAATATTGGCTGATCTAACTTATTCACTTTATCTTACAATATAGAGTGAAATAAAAATTATTAAAATCAAATTTGTATAACCAATAGTTTCAAATAAACTATTTTTATAAATAAAAGTAGTAAGTAAAGTAAACGCAGCTATCATAAAAGATAATAATTTTAATGTTTTAAATAAAGATTAGGTAGGCATATGATTCATATGAAAGTGAATTGGGTGTTCATAATTCAGCTATGGCTTAATTTGCTTAACTTAATGCAAAAGATGCAATTAGAATTGTAGATTATGCAAATACATATATACATATTCTCAATTATGATTTCTGAGGTATTGCAATATAACTAGTGAATGCAACATACATCAAGATTAAACTTATTATAATCAATATTGGAAATCCAATAACCACTCCAGTTTTATAATTACTCATATATATAATACTAATTATTAGCCTATTAATAATCTTGTCCTAACCTATACCAAAATACAATAAAACTAGTAAAATAGAATTATATAAAATATTGATGAATAAACCCAGAAATACTACTGCTGAAATTGTTGAGTCTACATCAAATTTTCTTATTTGTAACTTAACTCTGATTCTTCAGTGATTTAGCTATTATTAAATCAATATATCATAAACTCCTAATCTATTACACTTAATAAAACAGAGATAATTCCTGTTAACAAAAATAACATCATAATCACCAACGAACATTTGTAGAAAAAAGTTATTGCTATGATTATCATTGTTATTGTTAAAATTAATGCTAACAATGTGATTTTAGTTGAAAATTCTTTTAAAATAAAATAACTCTACTTTATTTATCCTCGAATTCTCTATGTGACCATCCTTCGTTATTTACATCTCTCTTCTATTATATCTCCTATATCTGCTATTCGATATTCGATTTTATTAAAATAAAAATTTATAATCTAATATTTTCAATTAGTGTAATTACCAAAAATATTTAGCAATAAACTTTTGATCCATATAAATATATATATTTGTAATTAATATTTATAATAGAGAAGATTAACCTATAATTTGTAAATTAAAAAAATATTTCATGAAAATTGAGAAGAATCATCTCCTGAAGAATCATTATCCATATTCAACAACATTTTATAATCCATCATTAATTATTCAAAATTTTCTCTACATTCTGAAAGTTCTCCTGATTCCAAACCTTCTCCAACAAACCAAAATACAAAAGCTCTTTTACTATACAAGATATCAAACTCTTTACCAATTTTTTCTAACTTTTTTTTTATCATTAAATCATTAGAAAATAAAGTTTAAGTTTAATTAATTTCAGCTAATTACTCTAATACCTAATAATTTTTAGATTTTGATCCGAAGTAATTAGTTTTTTATTCATAATAATTATGATAATTTATAAAGTTTTGGTTGGTGTTTTGAATCTAATCTATATGTAATCCTCTAGAAATTAATGAAGTAGCTAAATTAAATGGGTTATTCACACTTTAATATAATTTTGATTCCCTACTAAAAATATACTGTAACAATTATTTTTAAGAAAAAATGTTTCTCTTATAATCATTAACATCAATTAAAGGACCATAAGATGGTGTAATATATTAAATTCTTGGATAAGGAACTAGAGTACGTAAAATTTCTTGATTGTTTTTATTAGAGAATCTAGAAATACTTGTATAAGAACTAATTGTTTAAGCTATTAGATTATTTAAATGAGAATAATCAAGATGATCTAATTCTAAGGTATTTTATAACATCTAATACATAGTTTCATTATCAAATATAACCTATGCATTACATTATTCAACAATTTAATGTATACTAAGCATAGCATTATAAGGATAGACTGTATTATTATTCATATTTGCTGATGGATATATTGTAAAAGCTGTCTTAAAAGTTTTCTAATAATTTTTAGTTAATTCATTCAATAACAACGATTAAAATCCTGATCCTGTACCACCAGAAATACTTTAGGTGAAAATAAATTGTTGCACTCTATCACATGCTTCACTTTATTTTCTTATTTGTTCTTCAACTAAAGGTCGTAATTCCTTCCCTAAAGTATAATGCCCTTTACTAAAATTATTGGAACCATCTTCTTTGTAATTTATTAAGTAAGAAGGATGATATTGAAATTTACTATTTAATTTTATTTGATTTATCATTCTATCATCTAAATCAATAAATAATGCTCTTGGTACAAGTCCATTTTTAACTTCCTCAAATATGAAATGTTTATAGGGAGTATCTGGTTCTTCTTTGAAATATTATCTCCAAAGCATATCACCTATCATCACTCCAGCTCCACCAATATGAATGTGAATCATAGTTTTTAATATTAGTAATTCTTTAAAAAATAAAACATTTATAGTATTTTAATTAGAATTCACCACATCAAAGATTAAATAATTTTAATGTTAAAAAAACCATTTTAATCTGTTTTTAAATTGTTTGCTGGTTAAGGATTGTAAAAATTAGAATCATTTAAAAATATATTAGATACTCTATTCATATATTAATACAAAGTTAACTTATAGTTTGTTTATTATTAATAATGAGATTTCAATCTAAATCTTAAAAGTAAAATTCTGAGGATAAATAAACTTTTAAACAAAATGAATTTTCTGATTTAGATTCTGATTTTAAAGAAAATCGTAAAGTGAAGAGTACTAAACCTAAAAAAATAAAGAAATAATAACCTAAAAGCAAATCAGGTAATTGGGGTTCAGGAAGACCATCTAAAAATAAAAAAACTATTGCTGATAATCAATAGAATTAATAATTAACTGAAGAAGCTCTATAGAATTTATGGTTTGGTAGGGATATATCAATGAAAATAATTATCTATTTATGTAAAATGGGCAATATGATATTTAAAGTTGTTACCGGTATACCTGCATCAAAAATTAAAAAAGGTTTTATGAAAGTTGACTCATATACACATTAAGATAAGAAAAAATATTCAAATTAATTAAAGAAAGATCTCAAAGTAATCAATTTTGATTATTATAGAATAAATACTCTTAAATTCTTTAATATCTAGATTATCCTATTGAAACTACTTATTTGTTTTTAGGATAGAATAACAACTATAATAATAAATTATATTTGAATAATATACCTGAGGAAACTAAAAATGGCTTAGAAATAGTCATGAAATACTTGTCTCCAAAATTTATCGATACATATAAACTTATTGTAAAAGAATTCTTTTAAAATTAAAAAGATGTTTATCAAAATACATTTATTGACAATATTGTTTAATAATTAATTGAGAACTATTAAGATCATAAAATGATTTTCGACAGACAATTAATTTTTGAATTAACAAAAGATGATTGCATTCTGATAAATGAAATTGTAAAAAAATCAATTTATTATTTCTAAGGAATCAGATCCTCTTTAAGCTTAAATTCATTTGTATCAAAATTCAAGCCTAAGAAATTTAAATTTTTTTTCCAACACATTTAATGACGAAGTAGATGAAATTAAAAAAAATTCAAACTGGATTCGATAATTTATTCAAGGATTTATTGAAATATTGCAAATTTGCTGTTCAAAAGCTCTATCTGAATGAAAAATTTCAATTAATTATTTTGGGTGATTATTATTTTTATCTATCATTATAATTAAATCAATTTATCTTTAGATTCTATTATCAAAATTATTTCGAACATAAAAGTAAAATCTTATACATAGAGCATGTTTAGATTAAATTTTAATCATGGTAGGTATAATCAAAAAAAATTTATAAAAATGAAAAATCTACTTTAGGAATATCAGTTTCAGAAAAATCTATATTACATCTAAAATGTATTAAGATAATCAAACAATATGTAATAAGCTTCTTGTCTAACTTTATTTAATTATTTAAGAATGATGAAAAATTATTATATATGGGGTATAATCATGGGAAGATAAGATTTTTTAGTCTACTTTATGTTAATCCAATTTTAGATATGCTTAGGGGAATGAAATATGATTCTATTTAAAAGAAGAACATAGGCTATCATTTTTTACTTATAGGATATAATACACGAAAAGAATTAAATTGTTGGATTTTTCTATTTTTAAAAGGAATATTTTAGATGTGGTTTAAAAAGATGCCCATAATTTTAGCTATATATTAATAGTATGGGAGGAAATTAATTAATTGAACTTTTTAATTAAAGGATCATCATGCTTTAAGGTATTAAAGGTAACCAAATGATTGTGAAATAGATTTTAAGTAATGGTTATGTTTGAATCAGTTTAACAAATATTTAAAAAAATGAGTGAAAATATTAATTTAATGATAGAGAATTGTTAATGATTTGATGAATATAGTTTTTATATAAATTTATAATATAATGAGACTCATAGTATAGCAATATTATGGTTTTGGATAAAAGAAGACCTTCAAAATAGAAATAGATGATAAAGACACTTCAGATCAACTGATTTCAGTAATTGCATCTAAAGTTGGACGTTAGAGTTAAGATTTAGTTATAAAGTGTAAAAGGGATCAATATTGTGTAACAATAATGTAATATTAAGATAAAAATAATAGAGGGTTGGCCATTAGAATTTTATGAATTCTTAGAAAATTAGAATATTTCAGTAGAAGTAAGGGAAAATGAATCAGATACAAAATAGAAAGAATAAAAGAGATAAACTGAAAAATACTTAAATAAGTTATTTTAAAACTAAAGAGAAAAGCCTTAAAAGTTGTCTGCAGTATCAGAAACAAGTGAAAATTCAGAAGATGAAGGTAATTCTTCTTAATAGAAATTGTCAAATGCAAAAATGGAACCAATATAATCTGATTATGATGATAAAATATTTTAAACAGTGAAAAGTGGTAATTTAGAAATGTTACAACAACTTAGTTAAAAGATAAATCCTTAGTTATTAAATTAAGCATCATTTGGTGGATGGAATCCTATTCATTTTGCAACTTTTTTAGAGTATAAATTGATAGTAGAATTTTTAATTTCGAAAGATATAGATATAAATAAAGTGACAGATGAAGGATGGACTCCATTATAAATAGCTGTACATAGACATAATATTGAAATAGTGAAAGTAATATTGAATCATTCTTAAGTTGATGTTAATTTAATAACAGATAAGGGAATAGCTTTAAATTTAGCATGCAAATCAAATTAGATAAAGATAATAGAATTGTTACTTTAAAAGAATGCAGATCCTAAATTATAAGATAAAACAGAAAGAACAGCATATGATTATTGTAATTAGGAAACAAAGATGGCAATAGAATAAATAAAGAAAAGTAATTAGATGAAAGATTAATTAAAAAATGCTGATGATTTTATACCTCCTAGACCACCAGTAGCAAGAGGATTCATATATAAAACTGGTTAGATGATAGTCACTTTGAATGAGAGATATTTTGTTTTAAATCCAGATGAAGGGACATTCATAAGATTTAAGAATATATCTGATTATCCATTAAAACCATTGTAACAGTTTTTAAATTAATATATTTAAGAGAGATTATTCCTTTAAGAAGTGTAAGAAGTGTTTAAATGACGCAGAAAGGTTTTATATCTAAATCAGGATATTATTATTTTGAATTACTTTATTCTACAAGAATAATATTAGCCTGTAAAAATGAACATATAGCAAAAAAATGGGTAGAATATATTTATAAAGCAACAGTATATTATTAATATATAGAAGAAAAGATTAAAGAGTAATTAATTATAATTATGAAAGAGGAATTTTAGATCCAAATATAATTGATAAAAATATAGAAGTCTAAATTGAAGATAAAAATGCAAAGATTCCCATTTCTGATCCTCCTCCAAAATAATTATCACCAGAATAATCTATTTCATTACCAAGAGATGAAGCAACTCTTATTTAAAAAAGACTATCAAATCCAGAACTTAATTATAGATACAGTTAAAGTCCACCAAAAAATTAAGAAATTGTATAATCAAAATAAATAGTTGCTTAATCTTAATAATAGTTACAATCATCATATATTGAAAGTTAGAATGAATTGTTAAAGGATAGTAAAGTAACTTTTGATTCCTTTGAAATTATAAAAGAATTAGGATCAGGAGCATTTGGAAAAGTATTTTTAGTTAAACTTAAAACAGATGGTGGTATATTTGCAATGAAAGCACTCAAAAAAAAAACTTTAATTTAATAGAAATAAATTAAATATGCCATAACTGAAGCAAATGTTTTAAAGTCATGTAAACATCCATTCATTCTTGGTTTACATTATGCTTTCCAAGTATATATTTTTAATTTATTTAAAGACTCCAAATTATTTATACTTGGTTTTAGACTATTGTTAAGGAGGTGATCTATCTTATCATATAGCCAATTAAGGTAAATTTAATGAAGAATCTGCTAAAATCTATGCTGCGGAAATTCTTTTGGCTATTGAATATCTTCATACTAAAGATATTATTTATAGAGATATGAAACCTGAAAATATATTATTAGATATTTAAGGACATGTTAAATTAGCAGATTTTGGATTATCAAAAGAAGGTGTGGCTGATTAAGATAAAGCAAAGAGTTTTTGTGGATCCCCTGCATATTTATCACCTGATATTCTAAGTCAAAAAGGAGCTGGAAAACCTAGTGATATCTATGGAATAGGATGTGTCATGTTTGAAATGATGACTGGTGAATCTCCCTACTACCATGATGACATACAACAAATGTATAAAAACATATAAAGTGGAACCTTAAAATGGCCTAAGAAAATGTCATCTGAAGCCAAAAACTTACTTAGTGTAATCAAATATTCTTTATTTTTAGAAAATGCTAGAAAGAGATCCCAATAAAAGAATAGGCACAAAATCTAAAGATGAAATCAAACAAGATCCCTTCTTCAAAGGAATTGACTGGGATAAAGTTTATAGAAAATAATACAAACCACCTATTACTGACTTCTCTGAAATGCATGAGGATGATGATCAATAAGATCTTGATGGTGATGAATTAGGTTATTATGGAAAGGTTACTATTATTATTTATTTAAATTTTAGACTATCTTTTAAGATTAGGATTATGGATAAGAAAATAATAAAACCAATAGAGTTAAGAATTTTAGTTTTGCCACTAACTCATCCTGATATAATTTATAAAAAAAATGATTATTATTACAGGTTTTAATATTAATTTAATTTATTAATTGAACACGACATTTAATTATGCAAACCCCAGAATAAATTAAAGTGGAATCAAAAACATGGAAAACAATATATCCTCCTTATATTGATTCAACATTAACTACATCATAAGGTATTCATCTAAAATCTAGTATTAAGGCAGACGATTAGGCAAAAGTAATTGTATTCCTCATCCATAATTAATGGAAATATCTTAATGTTTAAGCTCACTTGGACTTAGACATGTAATTGATGTACACAATTCATTTAATTAAGTAACATGCAGGATTTCCAAGAGATATATTCAAATAAGGAAGAATTAAAGTTCGTCTACTTGCAGAAGATAAAAAACCATACAATCCATAGATTAAATGCAGTACTATAATCTTATTAAATTCAGAACATACTCTATTATAATATATTGCAAAAATGATTAAGTCAATACCAAATAGAAAAGTTGAAGTTCCTCCCTATCTTGCGTAAATGGAAGTTGAAAAATAGAATAAGCCTCCTTAAAAAAAATAAACTTCAAGTAAAAAAAAACATAAAAATGCATGAGATTCTATTCCAAATTATTATAAATTATATTTTTAAGAAATTTATTTAGTTTTATTTTATCGTTATACTTGAACAATAATTTTAAATTATGAAAACTCAAAATCAAAAACAAAAACAAAATAACAAACCTAATCTATGTAAATTTTTAATTCATAAAAGCGTAGATTATTACAGATCTTTAATATTTAGAAGACATGGATAAATAGGATATTGAGTAATAAAAAATTTTGAAATTATAATTATAAAGAATAGAAAATTTGAAAAAAGAGTATTCTAAAAAAGACTAAGAAATTTGTAAACTAGAACAGTAAGTTGAATAATTTAAAATATATTATGAGAAGTATGAAAATGTTAAAAAGCTTCTTGAGTCAGCTTTAGAATAACTTGAGAAAATAGAAAATTAAAATAAAATGCTTTAAAGAAAGTTAAGTGAATTTTAAGAGTCTTATGCTAAATTAGAATTAAAACATCAAAATCTATTAGCTGATTTCAATAATGTCATTATGGAAAAAGAAGTTAATTAAATCTCTCAAAATAGCAATATAAGATTAGAACTAAATGAACTTAAATCACAATATCATCAAAAGATATAACATATGGAAACAGAAATATTGAAGTATAAACAAACGAATTAAGAAAAAGAGTTATAAAATAATAATTTGCTGGTTTAATTAAATACATATTCTAAATAAATTCTATAGTATAAATAATAAGCTAAAAATGTTGATCTAATTTTAAAAAATCATATAGCTACGAATAAATAACAAAATAACTCTTATCCATAATCAATATGTGAAACAGAAAATTAAAAAGAAGATTAAAAAGAAGATTAAAATTTTAAAATATTATGTTCTTAATTAACTTAGGATTATGATGAAGCTGTTAAGCGAATATAATCATTTAAAACATAACTAACAGAATATAGAACAGAAAATCTTGAATTAAAGAAATATATTCAATATTTAACAGATAAATGATAATATATCTTAATAAGTCTTTAAGCTTCATAGATTAAAGTTTATTTTTTTCAATTGTACAAATTTTTCATATATGATTCCCATTCTGAATTTGGAATTCCTTTCTTCATAACATCATCATATAAAGAACTTATCATCATTTAATGGATTAAATTATTTTATGGTACTTAACTTTTTATTTTTATCACTAAATCATAAAATTCTCGCTTTGATGTATTTGTTTGGAATTATTCTTAACCTAATTATTTTAAATAACAAGCTTTGACTAATTTTTTTACTTAAGAATCATCAAATTATTTAGATATTTATCTTAATCTTCGAAATGTCTCATTATTATCTGTATTCTTTAGAATTTCTTAGGCCAAAATAATAATATTTTAGTATTCTTAATTATTTTATAAGAGAGAAATTAGTTTTTAAATTTTGATATTTATAGCATTCATTGTTTAATTAGAAATTATTATGCTTTCCTCTGATTCAAATGAACTACTTTATTGTTAAGAAACTTTAATTGGTAAAGATCGTTATTTTTAAAAACATTCATATGAATTAGTTTATTATAATCCTGTTTACTTTTTTTAAATTGATTATTAATCTGATAATGTTTTGGAATATGATATTAAGTTTTTCTCATCTGACTTTACACTCATTTTTTCCATAAATTCTCCTAATAATTTAATTATCATTAAAACTTCATTTGGAACTCTTTCACTTTAATCTACCTTATTTAAAAGTTCTTGGTATTCTTAATTAACTTAGATTAAATCCTACTTAATAGTTTTTCTTATGGAATTATCTTTACAAATTAGCATTTTAGAATATTTTTCCAATAATGCTATTACTTTTTTCTTTAGTAAAACAGCTACTTAAAGTAATTATTAATGGTTATCTAACGCATTTATCGTTTCTTAAGATTATAGCAATATTAGTTGTTAATTGATTAAATCGTCTGTAAATTTTTCTTCTATTAAAGGAATAGCAGATATATCTAACATCATGCTTTTTTCATTTAATTTCATTCCAGATATGTCTAGGAAACTTAACATAAGTAACAATGTAAAGAGATTTTTAAGGAATTATTTATTATTAAATATATTGAATAATAATAAATTGTATTATTGATGTTCTATGGTGATATTTTATATCTATTGAGATAATTATATATAGTTATTAAATCATCATTCATTATCTTGAAAAATTAGAATTATTTTAGCTCAAAAAATTATATGATTAATCTTGTTATCAAAAGGAGGGAAATATTTTTCATCTTCAAAGTGAACTGATTTGCAAAAGTGAGAAAAGGATGTTCTTTATACATTATGATGTTATAAAAGAATGGATTTCGGTTAGCTTTCTTCAGAAAAAGATCTTCTTTTAGTTGAATCAGATTTGAATTAAGTACTTTTTGTATATTTGTATAGTTAAGAATGTTAATAAATATGTTTGCAATGGTTTTTCTTTTATTTGTATTGCTTTGTCGTATTAGTAAATTTTTCTAAGTAAAATTTTCGATTATATTTCGTATGTATTTGAGCTTGCTCTATAATTTAATAATTTTTCATTATTTAAAAAAAGCACTTATCATCATCTTTTGATATTGGCTTTATATAATTCATTACTACGTTTTAATCACGATTATCACAATTATGTTATAAGCATTTAGGATGATCATTCTTTCTTTATGAGTGCATCACATCTTAGATACTCTCGGTTTGGTTGGTAGATATGCAATTAAATGAAGAACCCATTTAAGTATAATTTATTGATTTAATTAGAATTTTTATGAATTGTTAATATGCTCAATATATTGACTCAAAATATTTAATAAAGATATAATATTCTTATAAATATGTAAAATTTGTTAAATTAAATTGTTTTTGAATTCCTAAGTCAAAAAAATAGTGAACAATAAATTGATAAATAATTAATGAAATATTCATTAATGAAGAAACAATAATTATATCTATATATTTCTAATTTTATTTTTACATATTTTAATGCATATTTTAATGGTTAATAATAATAAAAAACGATTAGTTTATAGGGCAGAATAATTAAAAACTTATTATTTTTGATAAAAGTAAAAAATAATTGAACTTTAGTAGATAAAATATTATTAGTCTAGGTGAAAAATGTTACAGCATAAATTCTATTATTGACTTTAGTAGATGAAATATCAATATATATCTATTAAAATTTATTTTAGTGTGTTTATGGCATATATTTTTCTTTTAGAAAATAATAATATTTGTTAAATGATTTTAAAAATTTCTTGATTGAATTTAATTTTATAAATACATTCATTTTAGAATCTTCAATAATTAAATAGATCTTGAAGAATTTAATAAATGTTTTTTTAGTAATTTAACTATTTGAGATTAGTAATTATCATAGTTTATTCTTTATATAAATATTATAATAACAAAAATGTTGACTAAATTGCTCTTAAAAGCAAGACAAGCACGCTTTTGTGGTAATTATTAATGACTGAACATATAGTTTATATCAAAAACTCAGTCAATTATCATGTAGCAAATAGCTAAGACCCTAATAGTAAATTTGCAACACCTTAGTTCAATTCAAGCATTCTTGATTTTGATAAGGATTAAGAAAATAATGTGTAAATGCATTATTATTAAGGTATATTACAATTATATTAATAATTAGGCAAATTCATGCCTGATGAATTGGATTGGACTGATGTTTGGGAAACTGCATATTAAAATTTTACATAACCTGAATATTTATATCACTTTTGGTTTTGTGGTGTGTTATATTGTTTCGAACCTGAATGGACAATTAATTATCCATATGAAAAAGGTCCACTTTCTCCACTTTTTAGAGGAGAGCATGCTTTAAGAAGATATCCAACAGGAGAAGAAAGGTATTTTTCTTAAAAATTATAAAGATGCATTGCTTGTAAATTATGCTAAAGTGCTTGTCCAGCTAGAGCCATTACAATTGAAACAGAACCTAGACCAGATAATTCTAGGTATTTTAATAATATTAATATTTCTTTTAGACGAACAGTTCGTTATGATATTGATATGACTAAATGCATCTATTGTGGATTTTGTTAAGAAGCTTGTCCTGTTGATGCAATTGTTGAAGTAATATTAATTTTTAATAACTAGGGACCCAATTACGAATATACAACTTATCAACATGAGGATTTATTTTATGATAAGTTTAAACTACTGGAAAATGGAGATAAATGGGAACCTTAAATTGCTAGAAATATTGAATATTTAATAACAAGAAAATATTGATTAATTGTTTTCAAATTAAAAAGATAATATAATTTATTTGATCAATTTATTGTTAAATATCTTATTAAATAAAGTTAATAAAGTAATAATTGATATCGATATCTCATTATTCTTATTGATCATTAAGATTGATATCATCTTAAACAATCTCAGAACTATTCAATAATAATATTTATATCTATATTGTTTTAAATTTTCTCTTAGATTTAAAAATTCAAGGTTGCAACAATTACAAAAAATCCCATTAAATCATACAACCTTTTTTTATATGAACTCACTAAATAAAAGTAAATATTATTTTGATCTGCTACTTAATATATCTTGCAAGTTTCTAGTTATTAATTATTTAATTAAAAAAGATCACACGTCCCATTCAAGATTGAATAATTTTTTTATTTTCTAAAAAAAATAATTTAAAATAAGCATGAAAGCTCGATTTTTAAAATTAATGTTTATTATTACAATGAATATTTAAAATATATATTAAATTAGCCTTCCTCAGAATATTATTTTTGTGATGAAAAACTTCTCATAAGCTTATTGTTTTAATTTTGAAATTTATCTTCTTTTCAATTTTATCTAACTTTAGAACAGATTTAATAATTTATTAATTTGTTATTATTATAATTTTTGAAAGATTTCTTTGTGGTCCAAAATATATTTGATTAATTAGATTTATTGGTAATCATTTGGATTATTGATATCAACAGTTGCTAATTATTGTTTGACTTCGAGGATTATTCTTTCTTGCTCTTTTAAGAGATTGTACTTTAAATAATTATTTAATTAAATTCTGTCCTAAAATTTATTTATAAATTGTAAAAATTGTAAATATAAAATATTTGTTTAATGGATTGAATTTTTTATTATTTTAGTTATAAAGAAACTTACTAAATCAGTTTAATAATCATCAAATCTATATCTAGAAGAAGTCATTCCAAATATAGATTAACATGTTTGGAATATTGCTTTTTTTCAAAAAAATTTAAGGTATCATTTTGTAAGTTCGCTTTCTAAGCTTAAAAGCTGATAATCACTAAAAAGTCTTGTAATTATATTTAACCCCTAAAATACCAGTTTTATTTAAAATTTTTAACTTTCGAATCAAAACTAAAACTTGGAAGAAATTGCAAAAGTTAATTGAAAAGTATGCTTATTTTTACTATAGATAATTCAATATTTTTGAAATATTCGTGTTATATAATATTTATGCTTTTTAAAAGTTAATGATTATTTTGTTAACTAATAAGTATTTTAAAAGCAAATACGATTGAAATTTTAATTGAGCCTGGATATTGGTGGGGTCAACTTTATTTCACGATTTTACTTAAATATATTAAAAAAAGCTGATAATTTAAGTATTGAATTATATTATATTAGAAATAAATGGAAATTTAAAAGACTAGTTTCTCGACTCATTTTCATCATATCTCTCCACCACTCTTACAGACAAAAAGAATGAAATCAGAAGGATAGAAATTTTTAACTGAGTTAGATTTGAATGCTTAGCGTTCTATTTAAAAAAGGATGCAGAAAAGCGAAGTAAAAATAGTTGAGACAAATCATTAATTGATTCCAAGTAAGAACAATTTAAGAACATAGAATAAAAAATGAACATTCAATTAAGAAAGAAGGTAATAAAAACTAAATAACCATCATTACCATATCTAAAACTTGATGAAAAATTATATTATGATAAATGGTATATCCCTTATGATTAAAGATATATTCCAAAAGTTAATTTAGCTTAAGAATAATACTAAGGTAATTAATAAATAATTTAGAGGCCAAAGATCCTAACCATTTTTACAAAAACATGCATGTTAGAACGGCATAATATAATCCATTTGAAAAGGATTTGCCAAAAGATCTCGAAAGAAATATTGAATACAAACATCGATCAGATATTTTAAAGGAAATGCTTAAAGGCTAGAAAATGATTTATGAATTTCGAAAGTATATCTAAATCTTATATGAAGATCATTGGAGTAAAATCAACAACGTATTCCATAATTTATTAAAAAAATAATTGAAGATAAGAAAAATCCAATTCAAAAATAGTAATGATTATTAACTAAATCAGAATTATACATTTTTATGGGAATCCAGTAGGTTACTATATTTTTTTCTATATTTGTTATTAATTGGATTACTCTTTTTACATCTTTGGAATTCTTAACTTTACTTAATGTAATAATTTTGAGTTAAGTTTTTGCTCTTGTTTTTGTTGTAGCTCTCATTTTTTATAAAGGTAAACTTTTTGTTAAAGTTTAATTATATTCTAATTTATTTTTGCAAAAATCCTTTAATTTTAGAATAAATTTTTAAAACAAAACTTGAATTATTATCCATTAGAATTAAATTGAAGAAATATAGTTAATGCTAAATAGATGTTTTCTAAAATAATGATCCTATTGAATCTATATTTCTGTGTGTTTTAATGAATGAAATACTCTATAAAGATTGAATAATCTGCGCTTCTTTAGGTGATTTTATAAAAATTAAATAGGCTTATTCAAATATAAGATTAATTATAATATTTTGATTTATTAATGTATTTAAATATTATGTAAATTTTTTTTTAGACTTTAATTAGAAAGAATATTAATTGATTTTTGCAGATGAGCAATGAATATAGACTCTTTCTGATTATAAAATTTAAAAACAATCATATATCCATTTAGTGTTAATATTAAGAGGACGTTATTCTGGTTACTAGTATATCAAAGGGTAGCCATAATAATTTTAGAGAAAATATTTTCAGAGGTTGTTTCATTTGGTGTATAATTTTTAATTATATTAATATTTCCTCCTGAAGAGTGAAGAAGAGAGTGTTACAATATGAGTGATTATTATGAAATGTTTAGTTTAATCATTTATCACTTTTATTTTTCAATTATTTTTTTAATAACTATGAGAATATTATTAAAATATAAAGTTCCCACATTAATTAATTATTAAAATGAATAAATTCTTAGGTAAATCTAATATTGATATTGACTCTTACACTATAACCAGTAGAACTTTTCTTTTGTGTCATTAATGAAAAATTGAGATTTTGATATCCTCTTTATTTGAAAAAGATGTTGACCTTTAATTAATTTTAACGGAAAAAAGTGTATTTATAAATAAATTAGTTTTAATGAAGTATTTTTGATCATTTGTATGTCCATCTTTCCATAAAAAATCACTTTATTAATTCTTAATGAAGATTAAAAATTTTTTTCATTAAACACTAGCCAAAAGCCATAAAATTAAAGAATACTTCATCTGCTTTTGGTTACAAATGAAATATAATAATTCATATGAATGTAATATAATTAATGTATTATTATATTAAATAAAAGATAAATGAAATCAAAGTTACTAAGGTTTATATATATTCCACCAACAGTACTAGATTTTTTATATAGCTTAGATATATATAACAAAGTGTTTTAACTGTATCAATCAAGATCCTCCTAAAAATTCTTTTCTAATTTTTACATTTGATTGCTATTCTATTTTATTTCCTTTATTAACAATATTATAAAAATGAAAATTAAGATTTTTTATGATGTACTTGAAATTCTAAATAATTTAAGGCTTATTGAATATTGTAGATAAGATTAAGATTAAATTATAATTTTAGATAAATTAATTCATTCCAAATTCAATGATATAGAGATTCAACAATTATATAGATATTCAAGAAATAATGTTATTGTTATTTAAAAAATAAAATTATGATAGATATATATGAATCTGTTTAATAATTAATTATTGATGAATAGGAATTTGTTAATAATAAAAATATGTAATAGGAAAGAGGATTGAGATTAAATTGTAAGTGATAAAAATAGATTATTGATAATGAGTAAAAATAATATAAAAAAAGTAATGAAACATTGAAATTAAATTCATTATTAAATTTATCATAAAATTGTGAGAAATGTCTGCAAAAGGTAAAAATAAAGCAAAAGCATTTGCAACATTGCCTAATGCTGTGCCAACTTCATCTACAAAGATGCATGAAGGAGCACTTGATAATTCAAATTATGTTTTGGCTTAGATGAAAAATGGAAAGTGGGAAAAAGCAAAGATTATTGAATGTAGATTATCAAAAGGTAATATAGATTATGATAATTGTAGATTATGATCCAAAACAGAAGAAAGTAGATTCATCTTATGAATATTATGTGCATTATGAATTTTATAATAGAAGAATGGATGAATGGGTTTGTAGAGAGCGTATTTAGTTAACTGATGAATAAATAATTGAAGACACATAACCTAAAAAAAGACCAAGACCAAGTGATAAAAGAGAAGTAACAGCTGAAAATGATGAGCATGAAGGAATGGATCATTAAAGTCTTATTACTCATGAGATGCATACAAAATTTAAAACAATAGAAAAAATAGAATTTGGATAATTTAGATGTGATACTTGGTATTATTCTCCATTTCCTTCTGGATATCACAATATAGATTGTCTTTTTATTTGTGAATTTTGTCTATCTTTTTATATCAGGAAATCTGAATTATAAAGACATCAATTAAAATGTCTTTTATGTAAATTAGGTCATCCACCTGGTGATGAAATGTATAGAGATACAGAAAGAAGACTTTCAATGTTTGAAATAGATGGTCATAAAAATCCAACTTATTGTGAAAATCTCTGTTATATTGCCAAATTGTTTTTAGATCATAAGAATTTATATTATGATGTGGAACCTTTCCTTTTCTTTGTTCTTACAGAATATAACGAAACTGGATTTCATATTGTTGGATATTTTAGTAAGGAAAAAGAATCATCATAAGGTTGGAATTTAAGTTGTATCCTAACATTTCCATTTCATTAAAGAAAAGGTTATGGTAAGTTTCTAATCTCCATGAGTTATTAATTATCATTAATTGAAGGAAAATATGGAACTCCTGAAAGACCACTCTCTGATTTAGGTAGAGAAAGTTATTTATCATGGTGGACTTAAGCAATTATTGATTATTTGAAAAAAAATAAAGATGGTGAAATTACTATTGCAGGACTTACTAAAGAAACTGGAATTAAAGATACAGATGCTTGGTGGACATTAGAATAAAAACATTTAATTAAATATTAATAATCATAACCACTCATCTGCATGGATATGGCATATTTAGATCTCATCTATTCTAAAGCAGGTAGACCAGGTCTTCCTGTTAAAAAAGATTGTATCCATTGGGTACCATATAAAAGACCAAAAGGATAAGATAAGAATTGATATTAAATTTTTATCACTTACATACAAATAATTATATTTTTACATTCTTTTCTATATTATTATTATTATTATTACTTATAATGGCATCACACAATTAAATATAAAAAGATGTATTACTAATTTAAAACTATTATATAGAAATATAAAAGAGAATATTAACCTTTAAATAAAGTAAGACATCAATATAGAATTTTGAATAAGGAGAAATATAAGGTAATAGAGAGAACTTTATTATTCAAATGGATCTATGTATGTTACAGAATTTTAATTAAGAGAAACACACTTATGAAGTATATTTTCATCATCAAATATGAAATATGAAGGATAATGGTATTTTAATTGCATCTAAGGATATGCAATCTTATAAAAACCCATCTATAAAATTGAAGGAACTCTTCTTTAACATAAACCTCATGTATCATTTAAGATTAAGAAGGTGAATTTTTAGATGATTAAAAACATGGTCAAATAATCAAATATCATTTTATGATGCTGGAAAATTCTTTTAAAATAATCCCATATGCTTTATTTTTTTATATGTGTGTGCAAACCAATAAACTTAATTTTTAATTAGATTCTTAACCAGAAGAATCTATGGATTCAAAAGTAAAAAAAGGAAAACCTGCTATTGATTTAACTTAAGTTTTAGTATATGAATTAAAGTCAAGAAAAACTATTCATTTTCAACTTTATTAAGTTTATTAAGATTCTGTCTAATTATCATAATAATAAAAAATTGATAAAATAGTTAAGAATTGGTAAAAAGAAGAAGCTAAAAATAAAAAATTCATCTCCTATTCCTAATTTTGAGAAAAGAGAATGATACCTGCTGCTCTTATTTAAATAAATAAGAATGAAGAAGAATTTTAGAATCTAAAATGAGAAATATATCATATTTAAGTATAAAAACTGAACAAGGAAAAAAACTATTTAGTATTGATTACAGAGAGAAATTAGCTTTTAAAAGAGAAGAAGTTGTACATTTGAAAACTGAAATAGAGGCATAAAAACAGTTATTAAAATAATAAGCTCAATAACCAGTTAAAAAGAAAGATGCAAAAGAATAAGCTAAAAAACAACCTCAACCAAATCAAATAAACTTTTCTAACAAATAATATGTAGAAAGTGATTATGAACCTTTAAATGTCTTAACAAAAGAAGGAGAAATGAGAATCGAAAATTTAGAATACCTTGAGGATTTCCATCTTGAAAAATATTATTATGGTATTTATTATTTCAGTCTTAGTTATTTCAAATAAATCAACTAATTCATTAGGAGATTTTGTTCCAATAAAAATTGAAGTAATTATTAATCTAGAAAGAGGTTTAAAATAATAATCAAAAAAAGGTGAATATATCGTAAATTATTTTTTAAAATAACATTTTATTTTTAAAATGATTTATTTATTTGCAAGAAGTTTTCGATTTCTTTTTCTGTTTATTTTTAAATATAGTTTCTTAAATAAGAATTAGAATTTGGAAACTAGTTTAGAATTAGAAAATTATAAATGAAAATATATAAAAAACACCAAAAAAATGTGAAAAATTATATCAATTATTTCATTACTTTTGTCGCTTAAAAATAATGTTAATGAATTACTTAAATTAATTAATGAATTCTGGATAATTCGCTTTAAGGGACAATTACTGGTTTTAATTTTTTATCCTTATATATAAATGAAAAAGATTTACTTTTTGATTCATAACACTTGAAAATTAGAAATGCTAAACTAAAGCTTGTCTACCTTGTATTCTGGCATATCTTAATTCACATATCTAAATAAAAATTTTGATATGAAAATGAATTACTTTTTCACTATTAAAATGTGGCCAACCATTATCATGAAAGTTTTTATAAAATTAAACAATATAAAGAGGATGGATAAAATTAATGAATGCATAACCCATATTGCATTTATTCTAAATGAAATAAATAAGTTTAAACATACCTTGAAATCTATAGGGAGATATAAAAAATCATATGAATCATGGTGTTAAAGGTCAATTAAATCTTGCAACATTTAGACTGTATATTTATTAGGTATGTTTTTGATCATGATTGTAGTTCTTTCATCTGAATAATTAATGACATCTTCTAGTTTGACAACAAAATAATGAGATTCCTCTTCTGAAATGGTCTTTCTTTTTCTCCTTTCTGTTTCTGAACCACTAGTCAATAATGATTAACGAGATGAGCCTAATTATAAACAAGGTTCATTAGAAATCTCAGTTGAAAGATTGGAGCCCACTTTCTAATCAAAAGATTTGTTGTTAAACACTTGAGAGATCTACTCCATTATTTGATCAGAGGCTAAACTATTTTCTTTCTTATAAAGTATCACTTTAGGTTCTAGAGAGTTTAACTTTATAATTTAATTTACCTGCAAACATTTTAATAGCTCTATCGATTGTATCACTATTTGATTTGCTTTCTTAACTATCTTTACTTTCACTTGACATATTGTTGGTAACTTTTTCAATTTCATCAAATAACTCTTGTGAACTATGGTCTTTTTATTTTGATAAGATTTCATTTAAATCTCTATGATTTCTAATGCATTGCAAGATCTGTTCCTAATTTAAACGTATCTGCTTGTCCATTAAAATATTAATTTTTATTATTTTACTATATTTCATATAACATCCCTCTAATGGTAATGTAAATATAATAATTTTGAGTTATCAACCAAATAGAGTGTTTGTACATCTAATGTTTTATCGAAGCGATAGAAAATGACAAAAAGTTATTTTAAAGGAGATTTGTCATAATCTGACATGATAGTTTTGACAGAGTCTGAATTATAGAGAATAAAGGTTTATATAAAAATGAAAATAGAATCTATCAGTTATAACAACAAAGGAGGAATAATTATAGCATAAAAAGTTATTGGAAGAATAGAAAGAGAAATAATTAGCAGAAGCTTAAGCAAAAAAACAAAGGATGTTATAGATTGAAGAAGAGAAGAAAAAATCGGTTCCATTAAGTTAATAAGAGTAAGAGGATAAATTCGCTAAAGATTCATTAATATCAAGGGTTTTATAAAATAAATGATATTAGGCTAAAGAGATTATTAATGAATAGATAGATGATGTAAAAGAGATGAATAAAATGGTAATGTATGCAAAATGTGTGACAATTAGAGATAAATAATTGTTAGAAAAAAAAGAGTTAAATGAATAATATAAAATGTAGGAAAAGCGTAAAGATCTAATGATGGAAATAGAGAGACTTAGAGCAATTAAATATCATGAAGAAAAGGATTTAAAATAAAAATAATAATTAAAACATGGACATGAAATTATAATAGAATAAATTAAAGAAAGAGAATTAATAAGACTAAAAGAAAAAGAAGAATAAGAAAGAGAAGGATAAGTTATGCTTAAATAAATCAAATAATTATAATAAGAAGAAGCATAAAAAACATAATAAAAAAAAGTTCATCAAGCTAAAATTTAAGATGAAATTTAAGAAACTAATCATAAGGCAATTTTAATTAAAGAAAAAAGAATTTAAGAAGAAAGAGATGAAGAAGATAAAATATTATAATATAACTTATAAAAGGCTCAAAAAGAAGCTGAACTTTTATAAGAATAAAAGAGAATTAAAGAAGAAAAAGAAAGAGAAGTCTAAAGATTAAGAGAAATGTAAGAAAAGGCATAAGATAGAGCAGCTGAATTGGATCTTTTAAGAGCTAAAAGATAAATGGAATAAAATGAAAGATAAGCTAGAGAAAAAGAGAGAAAAGAATTAGAATTGAAAATGAAATTAAATAATGATGTTATGGAAGCAAGAAAATTGTAATAAAAAGAAAAAATGGAAAGATATTAGGAATAAGTATATTCTATATCATAATATATATAGGCTAAATTAGAAAGAGATGAATTTCAGAGGGTCATCTAAAAACAAAAATAAGAAAGAGAAAATGAGATCAAAATATTATTAGAAAAAGAAGCATTAAGAAAAAAACATGCAGAAGAACTTCGAAAATAAATAATTTAAAATGAAGAAAAAAAAAAATAGGAAGAAAGAGATATGTATTTTCTTATATTAAATTGAAGACTTGAAGAAGGAAAAAAGATTAAGGATAAATTAAATTAAGAAAGAAGACTTTTAGAGAGTATTAAAGATACTAAGCTCAAAGATCTTAATGAGAAAGCTATTCCCGATAAATATAAAGCTGAATTGGCTAAAAAGAAGATTGTTATTAATGTTTGAAAAAAATATATTTGTTAATTTATATTAATTAAATTATTATTAATTAATTGATTTCTTAAAATAACCAGAAGTTCTATTTAATAATATACGACTAGATTCATTCCTTTTTATTAAAAAAATGAATGGATTTTTTTAGTTATGAATTTGACAATAATTATTTTAGATGGTTTTTTGTTTCTTTTTATATAATTGAGAAATGAAATATTCCAAAAAAACTTAACAATTTTAAAAAAAAGATACTAAAATCCTCTAATTTTGGATATATAAAAAAATAGATAAAGATGACCAAAATAATATCATTTATGATTATAAAATAATTGTGAAATACAATATTTATATGATGAATATTTTTTAAAAAGTTAAGAAAAAGTTCTATTGAAAATTTATTGATTAAATATTTTAATCAATTAACAATATTAATTTAATCTTAGTTTTATATAAATTATATAAGATTTTTTTGAAGAACTTAAAAAAAATAAAATTTTATATAATTTAATAGAATGTTATTAAAAAAAGAAGTATATCAGCAAAAGAAATCTTTTGGAAATTATTTGATGCTCAATCTTGCTACTTTAGCTTTTGTTGGCATAATTTGTCTGGCTGTTCGAGTTTGTTCAAAGTGATGTTTTAATTCAATAGTAGAGAGCAATAATAAATCTAAGAGGTTCTGGTTTTCATATTTTTAATTTTTATTTTATCTTTAAACTGTTCCTCTAATTGAATTCAAATTATCTTCTCTATCACATTCTTCAGTTTTAACTCTTCTAACTGCTGCATTTTTTTGTAATCTTAACATAATTTCTTAAGATTCTTATAAAACATTTTTTTTTGGGCTTTAAACTTAATTTTATAATGCTGTTTCTGTTTTTTATTTTCTTGAGATAGCTTAAGAATCATTAACCATTTCTTAAAGTTTTCTTTTTTGTCTTATTTATTAAGAATGAAATGAACTATATTTAAGTTAAGGTCTTTCTCTGCTTGGACTAGATGATGATGCTTATCGTTAAGGAATAATTTTTGGATTGCTTTTAATTCTGTATGATGGAGATTCTTTTTATTTTGGAATATTTTTTTCAGGTGTTCTAACCTTCTATAAATATTAAGCCACAGAAGGTAGAACATTAGCTCTTTATGATTGTCTTTAATATCTTGATGTCTGTAAATAGAAAGGTTATTTGTTGAACATATTAATTAGAAATTAAATATATATAGATATACAATAATCTGCTGAATCATAATATATTATTATCAAATATTCACTAATCTAAATCAATGTTAACACAAATCCCATTTAAACTCAGTAAATGTTTCTAAAAATATATATTATTCATACTGTTTCTTCTTCAAACTGTATATTCACAAGTTATTCAATATAATTCTAAATTGGATTAATCACTAAATTATTCAAAATTTAATCACTCTTATCCATTTTATCCAGAAAATCAGAACCCAAATATATAGAATCTAAGTTTATAAATTTATTTACCAGCAAATGAATTGTAAATAATATCAATTATTAGACATATTTTATTTGTAACACTCTTAAAACTAAGATTTTAAGGAAATATCATTCCATTATATATTAATTGCATATCATTTAAGAGTTTTAATCGAACATCTGGAAGCCCTTATTAAATTATTGCTTTTATCTCTTCCTTCTAAGTTAATTTCATTAAATTTGCATCTCTTAACATTTTACAATAATCCATAATCGCATTAATTTTATCTTAATTATTTCTTATTTCAAGTGATTAAGCTCTTATTTTCATTAATTTATACTAATAAGCATTCCAAATATTATAATCTTCTTCAAAAATAAATCAACATCTATTTTCCCTCTTGATATTAATATATCAACATTCTTTGAAATAGACACTGCATCCTCAAAATATTTATCATGCATTAACACTTCCCTTATTTAACTTAAAGTTTATTTTCTCTATTTTATTTTAAGGCTTATTTCATCAAAGATGTTTTATTAATACATTTTATCAATAATATTAATCCATCAATATACAAATAATGAATATGCCAAAATTAATCAATATATATAATCAATAAGCAATACTTAATATAACCTACATTTTATTTATATTTTAAATTATAAAAAAATTATTATAGCCATCAGATCAAGTAAAATTTTGTAGTAAAAATTGTTTGAATCATACTGGTTTATTTAAATATCTAAACTACATATTTCTAAGTTATTTAACTATTTTTTAGAAAAAACTTTTCAGATATAGTAATTGTAATATGATAGATAATATATTAATAAGTTAAATAATTAAGTTGATAATATAATTGAATTAAAATATAGTTATTTAGATTATTTAGATTAAATGACCTAAAAATCTGAATTTGAATGTTGAATAAAATTGTTAATAAAGAGATATTTTAGATA